TGATGCGACCCACCCTGAACCCCTCGCGCTACACCCACCCACCCATTCCGCAGCCCCCCAGTACATATCGTTGGTTCCCCATTTTATACCCTAAACCCCTCCCTCACCCGCATGAACATGTCGCCTTTGCCGCCGCTGCTGCTCCCGGACTGCTGGTGGGAGGTCTGCAGGAGGCGGCAGCGGAGGGGGCCACACGGGGGAAGCGGGACAGGGGGGAGGCGCGGCGCTCAGATAATGAAAACAGCGGCGATGTAACGAGGAGTGCGCAGAACACAGAGGACCGCTATCAATATGGTGGCTGACTATCTCCCGTTGCGTGTGTTTGGTTGAACTTGGTGCTCGTACATCCACATGTCCCACAAAATGTACGACACATCGGCACACATCGTACACACACCTGGGAGGTATCCAGGTACGTACGGATGGAAGCCAGGTACGGCAACTGAAGGTCCGACAACGTCACATTAACACATTGCGACGCATTGCCCGTCGTCATTGCTAGTGTTGCTGTTGTTGTCGTATTGCCGTACGAAGGCAGTGGCGCTAGTGCGATTTGCAAACCCCCGCCCGCGCTGCTGCTGCCGCTGCCACCCCCGTTCCAGAACAGCTGGTTCACAGCAGCCTGCGCCGCCGCCGCTGCTGCGGAGGCCGCAGCGGTTAGCGACTGCAGGGCGGCTGGCGTCAGGCCAGCAGTCACCGCGGCTAATGCGGCGGCAGCAGCAGCGGCGCTGTTGCTGCTGCTAGTGGCGACGCCGGCGGCGGTCGCCTGCTCCGTCACTGCCGCCGCAACGGCAGCTGTCATGTTGTCCGCAGCCCAACGCAGGATAGCCCTGCCCAGCACATGGAACGGAAACCGGAAAGCGAAGAAGGGTGAGTTTATGTTGGACAGGCATGTGAAGAAGGGACGGACGGGGAGAGCAGCTTGGTGCCTGCCGATAGAAGCGGCGAATGGCCTCATGTGCCCCTTGAGCTCGAGTGGACAGAGCCGGACCGAGTGGTCAGAGTGGGGCCGAGTGGGAATCAGAGCAAAGTTGCGTACCGGTACCGTTGTCAGATCCCGACAACCAAAGCACAAGAGCATCAGACCCACCTGATCTGCTCAGCACCAGGCACCGCAAGCGGCGGCACGTGATTCGGGTGCCTAGCCGCCGCCTGAGCCGCCGCCACAACCGCCGCCACCGCAGCCGTGTCGTATCCCGCTTCAGCCCAGTAGGACATCGCAACCCCTCTCTCGCCACCACTGCTGCTGCTGCTGCTACCTTGTGTCCGCTGCTGTCGCTGCTGCAGCATTTGTTCGCTCCTAAACGGCCCCACCGGGACCTCCGCATCTAGAACCAAGTCCCAACTGGTTTCGGGGCCAGCCAACCGCCCCAGCAGCCGTAACGCCAGCGCCTGCCGCCAAGGCGCCGCACGCGCCGAAACCACCCCTACCAGGTGACCCCCCACATTGATGACCGGTGCACGGTTGATAATACCGGTAATCAAGCCCGCGCTGCTCGCATTAGCAGCAGCACTCGCAGACATGGCATCGTCAAGAGTGAGTGGAGCCGTGGCGGCCGCTGTCTCCGTCGCTGCCTCTCCGTGCGGACACAAGTCCTCGGTGCAGGCCGCCAACCGACCCGTGGTTCGGTCCAGCACCACAGCCCAGCCGGGCAACGGAGCCACGCCGACCACGCTGCTCGGCAAACCGCTGCTGCTGCTGTTTCCATTAGCCTCCGAGGCAGCTGATCCGGATCCGGATGCTGCTGCTGAAGCGTTCGTAGCTGCTGCTTGCGATGCCTTCATCAGCGCCTTCACAGCCGCCGTGGAGGCCAGTGTTAGGGCACAGCGACCTGCCATGAAAGCAGGATGCACCGCAACCTCATCATCCATGTCGCAGGAGGCTGATGCTGCACCTGCTGCCTCTGCTGCCGGTGGTGACAGCGCTGCCAGCGCCGCCCACGTCCTGAGCGCCTCCACCGCAGCGGTGGTGTCCAGCTGCGGTTGCATGGAGGCGGGGTCGAAGAAGAGGCCGCGGGAGGTGCCGTTGCTGAGCGCCAGGGGGGCCCAAATGGCGGTCAGGGCGGCATGGGAGGAGCAGCCTGCAGGGGAGGGAGGGGGAGAGAGAGGGGGGCAGCGTGGCAGCGAGTTGACAGTCATCCTGAACCCGCTCTGCGGCTTCTGTGCGCTGAGGTCAGCAGAGGTCAACCAACACACACCCTCATTGCTTGTGGCCAGCCCGCGTAACACAACCCCCCCCAGCACACCACAGCGTGCACTGCCGGACAAGGACATCAGCTGCATGCACACCTGCCGTACGCGCCCCGTTAACCCCAGCATCCCATCCGAATGATAACTCAATTGCTTCCAATGCCGGCCCCTAGCTCCCCGCTAGCTCTCACCAGGCCGCACGTCCAGGCACACACCCCAGCCTGCCTCATCGCCACCCTCTGCTGCTGCCGCAGCCACCGCCGCTGCTCCCTCCACCGTCATGTTCCTGCCGTGCAGGCTGCGGGCCGTCGCCAGCAGCTGCGGCCAGGTGGCGGGCGGGCCGGGCGCCCCCGCCGCCGCCAGCACGTCAGCGCGGTAGAGCAGGTGCAACGCGCCGCCCCCCAGCGGCACCGCCAGCAGGGTGCGGTTGTACAGGGCTGCAGGGAGGGAGAGGAGGGGAGAGGAGGGAAGGGAAGGGTGCGCATGGGTTGAGGAGGAGGGTGAAGGCGGCAGGGCGGGGGTAGTGGGCCCGGAGGTGTGTCTCGCACCCAGCCTCCCTTTCCGGACCTGCATTGTGTGCCCCATCCCCACGCTGCCTGTGGTTTCCTATGGTTTGGCATGGCCTTTAACCCCCGACAATAACAGAACTATTCGCACCCTGTCTAAGCCCTCCTACAGGAGGGGATCCGTTGGAGCGCCTGGCCGCACCAGTTCCACATGTGAGGGACAGCCCGCCCTCACCCGTCAGCCACATCCCCACAACACTCCCCACCGCTCAACGAAACACACCTGTCATGGCGCGCCAAGATCCGTCGATGTCGTGCCAATCGAGGTCGGGTACGGCATCCAAGGCGTACGACAGATCTGCCACGTACCCCGCCAGCTGCGCCTCCCCCACCCGGCCGCTGGGGACCAGCCAGGCATCTGCGTCGGGGGCCACATGCCAGGGCGCGGCCGCCGCTGCTGCCGCTGCCCCCAGAGCTCCGGTTAGGGAGCCATCTGGGCCGCTGAGGACGCCGCACACACCGATGGCTGCGGTGGGTGCTGCGTTTGCTGCTAGTGGTGGAGGCTGGGATAGGGGCTGCAGCAGTACCGCCTGCCCCACTGCATCTTCCAAATCCGACTGCCGGTCAGCTGCTCGGGTCAAGAGCGTTGACTGGAAGGCAGCGAGGGTGATGGGCTGCGAGGTGGAGGAGGAGCGAGACGGCAAGTGGGGCAGCATGGGGGAGAGTTAAGGGCTAAGGGGGATCACGCAAGATCAGATACGGGGGATACGTGTTTCGGAGCGCTGGTATGGTGGGCATGCATGTGGGAGGGGGCTCAATGGCAGCGGGGTGTTGTGTGAAGAGATGAGTGTGCAGGAGGTATGGGCGGATCTCTTCGGTTAAATGGCTGGGGAGCGTGTGTCAGCCAAGCACTCGTGACAGCGTGTTGCCGGAGTAAGTGCCCCCGGATGACAGCTTGTGGTAAGACGCACATATCGATAGCGGACAGCGACGCGTTTTGTTCGGTAGGAGTCATAGGAGCACTATTTGCCTGTCATGAGCGCTGTAACGAGCTTGGGTCCACCTCCATCATGGCCAACACGTACGAAATGGACACTGGACCTACCTGCACAGCTGATACCTCCGGAAGCGCAATGCAAAAGCCCACTTGTGCCGTTAACGCTTGCGCTGTAAGGTTGCTGCCGCATCTGCGTCCATATAGCGGGGCCCGATGAGCATGGCGGTCAAGGGAAATCAAGTGCCCGAGATTGGCAAAATTGCCGCTATTCAGTTAAGCCAATGCAACTCTCTAAAGCGGCACGTGCATGCCCCAGCGCGCTAAGGGCGTCGCAAGCATACCGCTTAGGCGATGGGCCCTCGCAACAATCCCCACTTGCCTGACTCCACGTTGCAGATTCTTTAAGCATGTGCTAGAAAACGAATCCTGAACGCTAATGGTGGCGTTGGCCGAGGTCAACAAAAACCTCAGGACAAGGAGCAAGAGCGTCAATGCATTGCGGCGGAGATTCATCTGTGAATGTCATTTCCTGTCTTTCATGTATACTACCTAACAGATAGACATGTGCCTCAGACGATGGCGTATCCAGTTCGGCGTTAGTGTGAATACGTAAGTAGTAAGGTGTCATGCAGTTTGTATACGCTGCTGAATGCAATGGGTACAACCAAGTAGATAATGCTTTTGCGGTACACCACGAGATTCAGGTGATACGAAAGGGCGTCAATTATGGTAAAGTCGTATGCCGATGCCAAGTAAGTACGTTTGATGTCGGAAGGGGCTACGAACAATATAGGCATCTCCGAAATGCAACAATTAAAGGTCAAGCGGCTAGCGACCCCGGGGTCGTACGGGGTCAGATGCGTTTTGCGAAAGAGGGACCTTAAAATACCGTACACGCAGTGAATGGGTGCAGGCGCCATACTGTACCAAATATCTGTGAAACAGGAGTCCGCAGTGCGCGCAAGGTGACGTTCTATGGCACGCTTCCATGGATGGTGCCACCCAACACATTCCACCTGCCGTGCAGGCTGCATATGCGTATCTGCGACCCTTGCCGCTGTAGCAAACCCTTGCCGCTGTCCAACCCTTGCCCCACCTTCCCTTCTTGAACCTCAGACCACATCTTCAAGCCCTTGGCCACGTGAAGGGCAAGGACAAGTTGCAGAGCACGCCCGCCAGAACACGCTCAGCTGGAAGTGCGTGAGAGCACTATGGTTGGACGGGATTACGTGCGACATGCATAGTTCCACGCGCGCCGCGCGACTTGTCATTAGTCAGGATGCATGCAAGCACTGGAGTACCATGTATCCCGCTATCCGCCGCTTCCTTGCAACTGCACCCAATGCAACTTCCCAGCTCCGACCTGCACGGTGTTCGCAGTATAAGCGACAAATGGCAAACGACGAAGGACCGACTCCCTTTCAGTGCGTCATCATGTGTTCAAGCAAAGTTCAAATCTAATACCCGCACGTTGACAAAACTGTCGCGCCCCAACTCGGGCTTGACCGTCTACCGGCACCTGTGGGCGGATGAGACCTACCGGTACACCTACTTGCCGCCCCATCGCCCCCTAGCAGCATTCTCGCGACGCTCCTACTAGGCGGGCGCCAGTCCAGTGAAGCTGATGCCAAAACGTTAGAGCGCGCCACACGCCACTTACTAATAGCAAGCTGCACAGTTGTTGCACTTGCGGAAAAAATCAACACCCGCAGTCCCCCCACACACACCCTCCATGCAACCAGTACCATCCTACCGCACTCCTATGCACACGCAAATGAATACAGCCCAATCTTCGGCCTAGCAGTGGAATGCACCCGCAATCACAACAAAGTCCTGACGCACTTGTTGCCGTACGCATTTTGCCGCACGGGAAAGCCATTGCCACAGCACTTATTATTGCGCTTCAGGCGTAAGGAACAGCCATGCTTACATACCTGCACGCAAACACAACATCGCAGTTGCTCACTAACGTAGTGTGACACGGGTGTTCATGGTCCTTTTGTCACGTGCACGCACAGCCGTGACCCATGGGTCCATGCAGCCCACAGTCCTAATCCCAATGACCTCAATCCGAGTCCCTCAGGAGTCCCCTGCCATGCATGGAGGCCCCCTACACACGCCGTTTTGCCCCCTTTTCAAAACCACAACCCTTCTTCTCCATCTTTCAATTCATTCCCACACACAACACAACCTTCTAAATTATGAATGTAAAGTCACATAGCAAGTCGTTACGCCCACGCCGCCGCCTTTCCTCCCTCCCGACCAGCCCCCCGCCCAGCCACCGCCGCCACGGCCGCCGCGGCGGCGGCTAATGCGCCGCTGAAGAACGATTCCGACTCGCCGTCGCCGCCGCCTGCACGAGCCGCCGCCGCCGCCGCCAGCCACCGCCTGCCAATGCGGCCCCGTCTGTCGGTGTCCGAGTCGTCGTCATGTTGCGCATCACCGGGCTCCGGGAGCTGGAACACGGTTGGATCCGTGAAGCGTACGGAACGAGATCCAGCTTTCAGGGGGGAGCGGTTCCGGTGCGGGGAGCCTGCGGGGGCAAACGTTGGCAGGGTGTGGCATGTGTGTTGGGGCCTGTAATGTTTCCCAGCTTCAGTGGCGCATGTTGCCGCATGAAACGCAACCACAACACACGGTCTTGCATGTGCGCACAGCAGCTTCTCTTACTGGTACTTCCTTTCGCCATCCTAAGGCCCCGCCTTTTTCGGAAGGAGTCCCTTGGACCAGCACCCCTAATAACAAACAGATAAACATTATTACGCAACACGCACCGTCGCCATCTCCGCAGGTCGCGGTTGCGGCTCTATCACCGCCTCCCTCTTCCTCCTGCTCCGCCTCCTCGTCCCCCACCCAGCGGGTCCGGCGATGGCCGCCGCCGCCGCGGGACGGAGGGGAGCCCGAGCCCGCAGCCGCTGCAGCGGTTGCTGCTGCTGCTGCTGCAACGGTAGCTTTCGCACGAGCGGCGTTTCTATGAGCCTGTGTATAGACAGTAGCGACGGCGGTGCGGTGGGGAAGGCAGCGGGGGAAAGCTGCGTAAGGCACCGGTAAGGCAATGGAGGTAAAGAAGCAAGGCGATGTAAGGGAGTTCAAGACGGAGAGCCGACAGGGCCGTGAAGACACGAAGGCTGGAAACCGTATGTCCCAGACCTCCGCAGCATACGGTGTGAAGGTAAGGAAACTTGCACCTCATCACATGAAAAAAAATTGCAAGGGGTTGCTCACCAAAATCTTCAACGCCGCAAGCCGTTCGAAGGCACCACCCGGACTGCCGCCGCCGCCGCCGTTGCCGCCGCCGCCGCCACTGTTGTCATCGACAGCCGCATCCACAGCGGCCGCTGCCATCGCCGGGCCCCTTCCAAAGCTACTTTCCACCGATTCCACTCCAAGCCTTTCGCCCAGTATCCTCTTAGCGGCGGCGCTAACGTCGCCGTCACGGGGTGTCCACTGGTTGTACGGAACCACAGCCGTACTGCTGCCGGCGCTTCCGGCACGTGAGGGTGCCGTACTTGATACATGCACCAATGGCAGCGGCGGCGGCGGCGGCGCTGCTGCCAGTCGCAACATGGGTCGCGGCGGCGACGCCATCAAAGAAGGGTAACCGCTGAACGACGCACGTGCATTGACAATTAGCGGCGGCGACGTAACGCCAACGTCAGTGTAGGACAGTACTTGCGCCGCCGCTATCGAGCTCTGTCGCAATACACCGCTGTCGGAGGATCGCTGCAGCAGTGATCGCCGGGGTATGCTGGCAGCGACGCCGCCTCCGCCGGCGCCACCACTCATTGTGATGGCCGCGTCGTCGTTCCGGCGGTTGGTTGGGTCGTGGCGGTACGGCGGTGAGGCGGCAAGGCGCAAGACCTCCCTGCGGTTTCCCAGCGGCATGGCTGAGGAGTTTCCGAAGAAGGGCGCTGGCTCTCGAGGCCTGGGAGCTTGCAGGGCGGCCCATGCGCTGTGTGGTAAACGGGGTAGGTTGGATCCAATGGAATTGTGCGGGGCAGGGCTCGCGTGTTTTCAGGAGAGGAGGGTAGAGGAGCAGGCGAACGACAGCAGACGCACATCTTGTTTGGGGTTGTTCATGAGATTGTTTTTCAAACAGCGTCAGGCAACGCCTCGACAACAAGCCATACCCGCACACGCAGACGTACAGGCCAAGCCAGGGCAAATGTTGGTCCACCCACACGCCCTTCCCAAGCCTTAGTAGCTCCAGCCTCTTAGTACCATCCCACCAACACCTCCCCAGCTTGCACCACCAACACCTGCCATGCTTCAATCATCCGCTCTCACCCAATGTCTTCGTATCCGCTATCCGCGCCGCCAGGCAAGTTGCTTGAACTGGCTACCTCGTCCAGCTCTAACGAACCAGCCAAGGCTCCTTCAAACAACGGCCTGCCAGGCACCGGCGCCATCAGCTGCTGCTGCTGCTGCACTGCGGTGCTCGCTTTGTGATGATGGTGTTGCTGCTGCTGTGGTGGTGGAGGTGACGGCGGGGGTGCAGCTACCGCACCGCTGGCCCAGCCGCCGGTCGCTGCTGACCCATGGGTCTGCGGGTGGTGCTTGCCGGCTGCGCCCGGCAGCGGCTCCTCGGGCAGCTGGATGAGGTTGGAGGCGGAGCTGAAGCCGCGAGAGGGAGCGTCGCGGAACAAGAGCTGAGCGGGTGGGCTGGGTTTCGGAGCTGCTGCTGCCTCTCCTCCTCCTCCTCCTCCTCCTGCAGTGCCGGCAGTCGTGCCCCCAGCGGCAACTACCACCACCCTAGCAGCGGGCGTTCCCTCAGCTACTCCTTCCTCCTCCTCCTCCTCCTCTTCCTCCCCTCCGAACCGCACCCGGTGGCTGCAGGAGGCAGGCAGCGGAGGCGACAGCGGTGGCGGCCGCTGCGGCCGCGGCGGTGTTGGCGGCGGCGTGTGGATGCGTGTGGAGGGCAGCGGGGAGCCGCCTGGCTGCGGACCAGGCAGAACGCCCCATGCGGCGCCCTTGCCCGGGCTCTGCCGCGGGGGCAGCGGCGGGCTTCTGGGTGGCATTGCAGCGGCCCGGCTACCTGCCCCCGCTGCCGCGGCCCCCGCTCCCGCCGCTGTTGCTGCTTCTGCTACTCCCATGCTAACGGCGCCGTGGCCTTCTGAGTCAGCGGCTGCTGCTGTTGCGGTGGTGTTGGTGGCTGCAAGTGTTGGGAAGCTGATGGGGGAGTGCGGCGCTGCTGGTAGGAGGAGGGGGGGTCCCGGCTCCTGGGCTGCAGCTCCGGTCGAGGGAGGGCACTGCGGGGGCGGCAGGGAGGTAGGGAAGGAGGAGAAGCAGCGCAAGGGTGCTTGTTTGTAGGGGAACATAGGCGGGGGCATAGGAGGGCCCCGTCTATAACAGTTACACAAGGGACAAGGCCCAGCGGAACGCGCGTGTACGGGTATTTTGGGGTTTCAACAGGCTACCTGTGACGACCAAGTCTGGCCTTCAACTCCAGCCCCTTCCCCTAGCGTCCGGGGCCTTCAACCGCCCTAGGCTCGGTGGGTCGGGGCGACCAACATGCGTCAACAGCACATGGTGGAGAGCCTCGTCACATCGTTCCCAGCGGTCTGCCCTGCCTTTTCATTCAACACATGGTTCTTCTTCTCCCACCCACCACACCCACCCACCCACCACACCAGGTGTAGTGGTGAGTGGGTTGCATCTCTTTCTTTATTTACACAATACATAAAAAAATGTTGCATGTGGGGAGGGAGGGAAGGAACAGCGGGGAGCAGTGGGCAGATCAGGAAAGCTTGGGCAACCTCGCAACGGTTTAGGCAGAAGCGCCCGCTCATGCCACAGCGCCACGGCCGGAGGAGGCGGGAACGAGACGAAATGGGCAGCAGAGGCGTGTAGGGACGGCTTCCTTCCTGCTTGATGAACCCACCATGAGCTCATCTGCCGACATCTTGGCACTTGCAAAAGAGCCGCCTCCACCACCGCCACCACCTCCACCGCCGCCAGGCTGCATCGGACTGCCTACGCGGCGGCCGGCTGCCGGCGGCGACGGCGCCCTCATCTTGCCTGCCGCCGCCTTCTGGGGTTCTACACCCTCGAGCGGTGTCGGTGCAGGGCGGGGCGGATCCGGGTCGTTGTCGGCCTGGGCAGGAGGCATGCCACATGCGGCGCGTGTGGCAAGCGGGGAGAAGTAAGATAGCAGATTGCAGCAAGATCCTTCTGTCTATCCGCCGCCTAACGTTTTGCCATCAGACCCGGGCCTCCCGGGCCCGCTTACATCCCGCCTAAGTCCCCGGTCGGGCATCCCACCTGACCCGCCCCATCCCCAAACCCGACCCCGTCCCTCCCTCCCACGCAGGCTCCTGCATCACCCATATCGCACACATGCGCATGCTGAGCCCCCCACCCTCCAGGTCCCGGTGAACAGGGGGGTCACCTCACCGGCAGGGGCGCCGTCCAGGACTCAGCCGCAGCGGGCGGGGGCGCATCCGTGGCGCGGTTGGCGTTCTTCTTGAGAATGGACTTCTGCTGGGCGGGGTGGATGGAGGGGGGGGGACAGCAGTGCACGTGAGGGGGGGCCCGAGGCCGCTGGGGTGAAGAAGTGAAATGAACAAAAAGCGAATGTGCGAGCATTACGGGCATGTATACATTGTGACCCACGGGTCAATTCGTTACACAAGCGTGCTGCTCATGCCGCGCAAAGCAAACCTGTACCGCAAGGGAGGCCCGTCTCCGTGCGTCTCTTCGGCCACAGCCCTGGTCTGGTACCCATCCTGTTGTGGCCCCCTCAACCTCATGCGGCTCTGCATAAAGCCCCCGCAGCCCCCTACACACCGGTCTAGCCTTGCTGCTGGCGGCGTATGCGGCGATGGCGCCAGACTTGGACGCAGCCCGGGAGGGACCTTTCCCCGCTCCCCCTGCTCCTCCTCCCCCCTGCTGCTGCTGCATGAGGGATGTGGCTCGCGAGGGAGCCAGCAGGGCGAGCCAGCGGGAGGAGGAGGCGGCGCGGGAGGGGGCCTGCCGTACAGCTGCCGTCGCAGTAGCAGTAGCAGCAGCAGCAGCGGAGGAGGAGGAGGGAGCAGAGGTGGCGAAGGTGGGGTCTTTGGATGCGGTGCGGGAGGGGGCGTGGGAGGGGTACCTGGAGTCGTCTGGCAGGCTCTGCGGGACGAGAGGGACGAGAGGGGCGAGAAAAGGGAAAGAGGGAAGCGGATAGGAGGGGAAAGAAACGTGAAGAAACGTGAGGGGGAAGCCTGGGAAAGAGGTCAGGACAGGGAACAGGCGGCCAACGATTGAAGCCTAGATACGGTAGACCAAGTGCCCCGCTTTCGGGTTTGTTGCGGAGGCCGTACGAGGAGCGATTCCAAGGTCAGGGTCCAGTGCGGCACCCAACCTCAGTACCCGGCATCACCCCACGCAGCAGCCCGCTTCCTCCCTCCCCCGCACGCACCTCCAGTTCTTCGAATTCCCCCTCCGACATATCGTCCCAGTTGCTGAGCGCGTCGCTGCGCCCGCTGCCGCGCCGACTGGGGCCGCCGGACGAGGAGGCTACTGAGGCGGCGCGGGAGGCGGAGGGGGGCACCCGCTTGATGGACTGGTTGGCCTGTAGGAGGAGGGGGAGGAGTAGGAGGAGGGGGAGGAGGAAGAAGGGGAGGGGGGGGAGGGGGAGGAGGAGGAAGGGGAGGGGGCGGAGGTGGAAGGGGAGGGGCGAGAGAGCAGTGGCAGGAGTACTACGGAAGTGTCGAAGATGTGTCAAAGCAAAGCGAAGAGTATTGGTGGAGTGCGCGGGAAAGGGGGGGAGGAAGGGCACGGGGAGGGTGTCAAGAGGGGAGCCTGCCAGGCTGCCGGTGCAGTTGGGTGGGTGAAGAAAAAGGGATGGGGACAGTGAGGAGGAGTGCGGAGGGCTTGCTAGGGCGGTAATGAATTAAGCAATTAGGTAATAGGGTAAGTAGGTAGGCCTGTCATGATTCTTCCCTATGCGTCATTCCCCTTCCCGCCGTCCCTGCCTCCCTGCCGCTTCCCAGCTTCTGCTGGCCAGCACCACCCCCTCAGGAGGTCAGCCGGGGCGGTTACCTGGCGGAAGGAGGGGTCGAACACGGAGGGGGCGCCGCGACCTGAAGGAGGGGGAAGGGGGAGGGGGGTACGGGGGTAGGGGAAGAACTAAATGAAAACCGGAAAGGGTGGGTCTGGGCTGGGCTGGCTGGGGAATTCAGGTTGGGCAGTTGGGCGAGGTGTGGTGGGGCCACACGGCCGGGGTGACGCACGAGGGCCCCTCATCACCCGCCTGCGCGGGCAGCTGCGGGCTGCGGGCCTCTCCACAGCATTGCTAGGGCACAGCATCGCTAGGGCAGAGCCCACAGCTCCTCCGTATCGTTGCTCTTGTTCCTTTTCTGTGGTGCCACACAGCGTCATGGGTGCAAGCTACCACCTGCACCCACACACAGGAGCAAGGCGTATCTAGCGCACCTGAGGAGGAGGCGGAGCCGCCCTGGCTGGAGCCGCCCCTGGCCCGCCCGCCTCGCGCCAGGCCTAAACAGGCAAGACAGCCCGAGGGCGCAGGCGGCTCCTGCGCAGAGGTGGGGAACGTCCATCGTAATGCCGAACGTGAACGCACGTAACGTAATGCGGTGTGTAACGCAAGGTGTCCCTTGTCAGCTCTATAGTAATCCCTTGCAGCGTACTTGCAAGCCATTGTAGGATAGTAGAGGGCCATCGCTGTACTCGGCTCACCCCATTCAGCTGTGTCCTTCACCGCCTGAAAACGCCTCTTCCCATACACCCGGATACACCCAGCAGCACCCGCACCCGCACCCGCAGCAGCACCCAGCCAGCCAAACCCACCTCTAGGACATCTGCAAGCTTGGCGGCCCGCTGCCGGGCTGCTGCTGCGGCGGCGGCGGCGGCGCTTGCCGCCGCTGCGGGCTGTATCATCGCCGCCGCTGCCGCCGCGCTGGGTGCACCCCGCTGCGAAGGCGGCGGAGGTTTCATTCCATTAGCCAGCATGATACGTTCTGCGGTGGTGGTGGCGGTGGTGCTGCTGCCGCTGCCAACACCGCCCAGGGTGCCGCCAGCAGCCTGCGTCGCGTTCGACAGAGCCAGGGTGGCCTCCGAGCTCAAGATGGCGGCAACTTGCGGCAACAAGAACAGCAACACTGACCTAGCAATGAGCGCATGTGATGTCCCATGGGTCACCACACCCATGCCCCCAACCCAGTATGCAGGCCTCGTGTAGTCCCCGTTCTGTCCCTGACTCCAACCACCAGTCCCGCCACATGGGCCCTGGCGGTGTCCTGACGCCTACGAGGATGTCAACACCGGCGTATGTTCTGAACCGACGCGAGAAGCTCTGGACACCGCACCTTGGGTTTGCTAGCGCCTCGCAGCAGGCTGACGACGGCTCGCTGTGGGGCCGGGGCCGGGGCCGGGTGCGGCTCCTCAGCTGCTGCTGCCGCCTCGCGCCCAGCACCCCACCAGGAGAAGGCAGCACGTGTGCCGCCCACGTCCTGGCGGCCCAGCAACGGCAAGGGGGGGTGGGCTCGTTTAGAGAGCAGTGATCCGCGCAGCTGTCATTGCAAAGGAAGGAGTGTTTGGCAGCCGCGGGTTGAGGAAAGAGCGTTCGTACAAGTCGGGCGTATAAGGGGTTGCATCGGGACGTTGCGGAAGCTGTCTGGAGGAGTGTTGGGGGCGGGGCCGGGTGCACAACTGGCGGAGGTGATTTGGGTGCTGCTGAGCTGAGTTTGCACGGGCGTACGGGCGAACGCAGTACGAAGCTGCTGGTGGCTGTTGCTGAAGCCACTCCACAGGCGGTGGAGAAACCCAGTTAGAGCTTCGAGAGTCTGACGTGCGCGTCACCTTTACCACGAAGACCTTGTACCTGGTACTCCCGTCGTTCGACGAGCTGAGCGTTAAGTTTCCGTGCGTGAATGCGGTTCGAAGCGGGGCGACCGCTTGCAGGAAGCCGGTTGGTATTCGGTAACGAAGGGCATATAGTGGCTCTTACCTCTTCAAATTCGCCCATGATGCTCGTTGCCTGCATGACAGGGTATGGGCATTGGATGGCATTTGTCGTATGCATGTAACGGACATGCTGCTGTCACACGGCGCACAAATTGGCTTGAGTGCTGTACCTAGACCTGCTATTAAGGATTTCTCGCATCCAGCCATGCAACGGGTGGGGATCGAACTGAAAGGGCAGGCCAGGTACGGCGCAGGAAGTTCGCTCGCAGCTGAGTAGCAGCACTTTGTCATTTAGGCCTGCAAAGCTCCTTAGCGAGGTACTTACCGCCACCGCTGTTGGCATTGTGCGTTGAAAGCTATGTTCTTTCCTCCAGAGCGACTGTCGAGTATCCGGTTTAATATTCCGCGGGGCCGTCGATGCTTTGCCATCGCATGCTCCTATGCTTCTTACGACAGTTTAATTAGTAGGGCTCCGAACTGGCAGCTGTTAAGCTGTCGCTTTGGCAACATTCCCTTCCCGCAGTCTTCGTCGTAGTTGTGTGATGACCACCGGTACAGAGTTGTATTTACACAAAAACACAGTTCTCAGCTTGTAGGAATATTTCAAGCGTGTGTAGAACCGACGGGATAGCTAGCGGGTACTTCATCGAGCACGTGCTGGTTACCTTATGTACGAAGGAAAGGCATACCTGCGGCCGATTAGCATTTCTGCACCGTTAATAATGCTTTGGGTTTTACAAGGCCATCTGTTAAGCTGTCAGTAGCTTTATGGTCTCTGGGCTTCTAGCCGTGTCTTTTATCTAGCTATGGCTAGATAGTCCAATTGCAATTCGCAGCAGCCCAGTTAAGCACATTGGTGTTTGAGTGGCCACACACATACAGCACACACATACAGCAGCAGTGAATAGCGTGGCCACGCAACTTGGCTGCCAAGTATCGTTAAAACGTTAAACCCCAAAGGTCCGTAAGTCATGGTCTTAAACAGACATGCAAGCGTCACCTTGATAAACACTTAGGCAGCTAGGGGAGTTAAGAGGCCCTCCCCACGGGATTTAAGCTGGCCAAGCGCCAACGGCTGACAGGTATGTGCAGTAACCAGCGACCCTGATTTGCTACGTTGCCAGCACCTCACTAACACGAAAGCAATGACAGCTGGGCGGCGGCGTGTTACCGTTTACCTTTTAGTCCTCCGATCGGATGTTGGTGGTGAATGTGGGTTTTGCAGCCAAGGCCACATCTCAGGGGTTGGGGCACTGGGCTGGGGCCCTTCCCCGTCCCAGGCCCATGGGGCGCGACTACCCAGTTGGGGAGGAGGAGCTGGGGCCCGCGGCAATATGCCACATTTCGTATGGCATCGCATATGGAAGAGTAGTATAAGACAATGCAGCTTGTGCGGCATGACTCAGCTTATCACGTGCGTAGGTAAGCCTGAAGCGTGAAAGCGGCCTGAGGCCTGAACACAGAGGGAAAAGCTGAGGAAAACGAATCAACCAGCAGCCGCAGTTACCTGCATGATAGTTTAATGACCCTTTGGACAAAGTGTTGCGGGAGTTGCGAATGCAGGTGACATTTGTTTTCCGGAGCTACTATCAGGGAAAGAAGTAATGTAAAATGGTTACGGGACCTCTAATCTGGCATGAAGCATACGCCAAAGCGCAGCAGGGCCAGCAGCCTTTGTCTACAGGCTGCTGTTGTACCCAAGCATACGGCAGGGCTGACGTGCTCTGTTTTTGCCTATCAGCTTCCACTGTTACTTTCCAACACAGTTCCGCCCTTAAGAAATGGTGACACTAGCACATAAGAGTAGCATGCGGGTAGCCCGCAAAGGGGGCAAGGTAGATGTTTCGACCAAGCTGTTTAGCTTTGTGACAAACGTTGCCGTCCTGGCGCTTTGGAAGGTCCTATGGGCACTCAGTCTACCTATCGGCAAGCTAATTGCGCTGAACCTATGGCTCGGCAAGAGCCTCCTGACAATCGCTATACACTTTGAGCACCAAGTGCTCAAGGCGATAGGCTGGCTGTCGTCGCCGGCTCTACCACCACATGCGAAACTAGCTCGGGTCTACAAAAGGAATATGGGGGCTGACGTCAAGAACTGGCACTTGGGCCTTGGTGAGTTGCAACGCGGTGGTTGCCAGGTCAGCATTTAAGGGTCCCAAGCGAGCTCTGGTTGTTCACCGACCTTTACTGTTCCGATGCTTTCCTGTCATATTGTAGCGACGATTGTGGCAGTCGGCGTTGTGACCAGCGCGGCAAAGCGATGGCAGGAGCGCATGGACGCCCGCCACAGGCACCGCGCCAGCCTAAGGCGCCTATTGGCCGCAGCCAGCAGCTACGAGCAGTGGCGCGAGGTAGCTGAGCAACTATATGCCCTCGAAGAGGTGGACATGCCGGCCGCGGACGTCTCAACACGGCGTGCAGCACGTCTTTATGACCGGAACCTGCTGCTGGAGAAGACCAACCATCTTCGCAGCATTCGATCAACGGGGAATGTAAAGGAGATTATGTTGGCGCTGCGCACGGACCTTATTCGCAACATAGCGAACATCGCCAAAAGGTGTGAATGAGCAATAAAAGCTGGCAGTAAGCGCACAACTTGATGTATAAACCTTTTGTTGGCATGAAGCAAGACTGCCAAGTCATGCAACAAGCATTACATGAAGGCAAGTAACCTTTTTGCCGTCGTCCCGTTACCTTTCCCGTTGTCCCGTGTCTCACAGCCAACTTCACGAGCATTTCGTGGTAATCCCGGACGACATCAGCCGGTATCTGGCCGAAATGAAGGAGCAGCTGATGCAGCTTGTAGAGTGGCCCGAGGTAAGGCAACTGCTTACCTTCCGGCCGTCCCTTCCGGGGCCTTCTGAACGGTCCTTCGCAATCCCGTCAGGAAGCTGTGCACTTAACCCAAGGAGCATACGCCATGCAGTTGGCCCGCAGCCTGAGCTGCGGCTAGCAGTCTAACACTACCTCCAGCATGCAATTCCATACCCCACTGAAACCCCTGGATATCATATCTAGTATATATATTATAGACCCTCCCCCCCTCCCTCCCCCGCTCCTCCTCCCCTTTAGGACGAGCTGCCCGCGGAGGAGAAGCTGGCGTTCTTTCGCGAGACGCGGCACACGTTTGGCCGCACCGCGCTGCTGCTGTCGGGCGGCGGCGGGCTGGGCACCTTCCACATCGGGGTGGTCAAGTCGCTGTTCGAGCAGCGGCTGCTGCCGCGGGTGCTGGCGGGCAGCAGCGTGGGGTCCATCGGTGGGTGCGGAGGGAGGCGAGTTGTTGGGGATACATCTCGCTCGTTGGTGAGGGAGCAGCGGGGATGCATCGAAAACAACACACCGGGAAAGGGGGAGCTATGCATGGCGAAAGGGAATACCACCAAGCACACTCTCGCTGTGTCATGGCCTTCGTTCTACAACTCCTGTCACCTTCCCCTCCCCCTCCCCTGTGCAGTATGCGGCATCATCTCCACCAAGACCGACAGCGAGCTGCGCGACCTGTTTTCCCGGCTGGACGAGTTCGACGTGGGCTTCTTCTCCAACAGCCGCGCGGTGGAGCTGGTGCAGCACCTCATCAACAAGGGCAGCCTGCAGGACATGTCGTACATGATCAAGAAGCTGAGGAGTCTGATTGGGGACGCGACGTTCCTGGAGGCGTACGAGCGCACCGGTGGGGTGGGGGCTGGGGGTGCATGGGCTGGGTTAGCGGGTTCGCTTACCTTGCCTCGTACTTGCGTCCCCTGCATAACTCCCGTCGATCCCTCCACTAATACCATACACCAACCGTGTGTTGAGTAACCGCGTGTGTGTGTGTCCCCAGGCCGCATCCTGAACGTGACGGTGTGCCCCGCCGACACCAACGAGCCGCCGCGCCTGCTGAACTACCTCACCGCGCCCAACGCGCTCATCTGGTCGGCGGTGGCAGCCTCCTCCGCCTTCCCCGGCCTCTATCCCGCGCAGCACATCCTGGCGCGCAACAGCCGGGGGGAGATCATCAGGTGGGGCGGGGCGGGTTGGGGAGTTGGTTGTGGGGCCGACGGTGTCCTCGTCGCTTGTTTGGCTTCCCTTTCGTGACCCGCCCTTTTTGTATACCTCCTTGCCCCCTTCTCGGCCTTCACGGGTCCCCCCCCCCGCTTCAGGTTCTCCGCGCAGTCCACCAACGACTCGCTGGAGCGGCGCTGGCGGGACGGGTCGCTGGAGCTGGACCTGCCGGTGCAGGTGGGGCGGGGTGGGGGCGGTGCCGGGGAGGGTACTGTGTCATGTAAGGAAGACCCAGGAAGGCCCATGAGTGCATTATCGGTAGCTTGGGAGTGGATTGCAAGGAGTGTCCGTTGCTGTTGTTGGCGCTCTGTGATTCGGTTTATCATGCTCGCTTGGCCTGGAGCACCGTGAGAGCAGCGCGGTGTAACCCATCTTGCACTCACAACCCTCTACCCTTTCCTGCCTCCCCCCTGCTCTCCCCTGCATGCAGGCCCTGGGTGAGATGTTCAACTGCAACCACTTCCTGGTGTCCCAGACCAACCCGCACATCGTGCCGCTGCTGAACCTGAAGAAGGCCTTCAGCCGCAAGTGGGCCAACGTGCTGGAGGCGGAGCTGAAGCACCGCTGCCAGGTGGCGCAGTGGCTGCTGCCGGACTGGGTGCCATCCAAGTGGCTCATGCTGTTCACGCAGGTGGGTGTGTGTTGGGGGGGGGGTCTGGGCGGGGGAAGGTTGGAGAAGGGGATTGGGTGAAAAGGGCCGGGTCGGGGGAAGGGGGTGTATTTATTCGGGCACATGGAGAGGTGGTTGTGTAGGATGAAATTAGGGTGGATAGTGGAGGGCTTACTAGGAAGAATGCTGCTTTTTGAATGGGCGTTGCAGGTCCATTTTGCGTGCTAACTTGATTGGTCTGACCCGTGGGTCTGTGTGCGTGAGTGCGTCACAGGCGTGGGAGGGCGACATCACGATGACGCTGCCCTCGGCGCTGTGGCACATCGGCAAGACCATTGTCAACCCCACCACGGAGGAGCTCATCCGCAGCGTCAAGGTGAAGGGGCTGGGGAGGAGCCGGGAGCTGGGATGATGTGTTGTTTCCATGCGCTGTGCTGTTATACCGCTCTGCTGCTGCTGCCTCACCGGCCGCTCCCCGCTGCTGCCTGCTCCCCGCACTCCCCCCCCAGGTTGGCGAGGTGGCCACCTGGGAGAAGCTGGCCGCCATCGAGTGCAACTGCACCATCGAGGCGACCCTGGACAAGTGCCTGGCGCACATCACCAACCAGGTGGGCACCTCGGTGGGACATGGTGGTGGTGGTGCAGGGGGAGTGCACAGCAGGTCGTAATGTACACATCCCTGGCAACCCACTCCTCCTCGCAAACTCTCTAAAGCACCGCAGCCCCGTCTCCCAACACCGCTATCCTCATCATAAGCCCCGCCCGTTCTTTCCCCTTTGTCCCCCACCCGCAGATCCGCGGCTACCGCCTGCAGCGCATGCACAACCGCATCCCCTCCTGGCTGCACATGTCGGCGGTGGGGCTGCCGGCTGTGGCATCATGGGGCGATGGCGAGTTTGCAAACGCCTCTGGCGCCCCGCGCACTACCTCCTGGGGGACACCGCCTACTTTTGCCGACGCCGCCGCCATTGGCGGCGACGGCGGCAGCGCCGCCGCCATTGACGCCGCGCTGCCGCCGCTGCCAGTGCCACCGCCGTCGCCGGGGGCAGCGGCGGCGGCGCTTCGCCGCATGACTCCCTCCACTCACCCCCTGGCGGTGGCGTCCTCCATGACGTCATCCACCCTGGCGCTGCTCAACATGGGCGGGGGAGCGCCGCCGTCGCCAGTGCGTGGCGCCGCCGCCCCCGGCGGCGGCAGCCCCGTGCGCGGTCGCGGCAGCGCTTCGTCGTACAACCTGGGCGGGCTAGGCACCATTGCCGAGCGGCCGCCGTCGCGGCCCCGCCACAGCGAGGGGGGTGGCATGACCCCATTGGGGTTTACATCCGGCGTGGGGCTGGGTTTGAACGGCATTGCGGCGCCGTCGACGGCCGCGGCTGCGACGGCTGGGCTGTCCAGCATGGGGCCTGTGGCTGGCTACCCCTTGGCGACTCTTGACGGCGTCGTCAGCCTCGGCGGCGGCGGCTTGGCGCGCATGGGGTCCCCTCGGCGGTACGGCATGATGGGCGGCGGCATTGCAGGCGGCGTACCCGCCGCCACGGTCGCTGGCGGCATTGGCGGGGCCAGCATTCCACCGACGCTACCGACATGGGTGGACGCGGCGTCGGAATGCGAGGACAGCGCCTCGGACGCTGCCGCCGCCGCCGGCAGCGGCGCTGCCAGCAGCACCGCTACCGGTACGGCAGGCAGCGGCGCCGACGGCAACAGCAGCCGCAGCCGCATCAGCCAGGAGCTTTTGGAACTGGCGTACTGCGACTGTACGGATAGCTCTGCATGTGACCTTTGGTCGGCGCTGCTGCCGCTGGCACGTCAGAGCTTAAGCTTGGGAGAGACCCCGCCGTTCCCCAACCACCACCACAACAACAACGGCCATCAGGGCAACCAACACCAACGGCCGACAACAGCCAGGCGCGGCGCGCAGCCGGCGGCCGACGGAGACTCTCTCGACGTTTTTGCCTACTGAGGGGGGAACACTGAGTGGGGTGAGGGCGCCGGGTGCGTTTGTTAGTAATGCAGAAGAGCGGATGAGGCACGGGGGATGTAGTGGGTCTCGCTGTGCGTTTGCGTTTGGTTTGGGTTTGCCCGCTGGGCAGCATTGGCCGGGCAGAAAGCACGAAAGCGGAAGACGGGTAGGGGGGTGAAAGGACGTGTCCGTGCGTTTAGCGCTGCGTTTGGCTGTGAAGTGACTGTGTGTGCCTTGTTTGCTTTCTGAAACCAGTAATGGAGCGGAAGCGGAGAAAGGCGTACGTTTTGACATCTTCCTCTCCGCCAACTCATGGTTCACCTGGCTCCTTGCGCGGCGTCTTTGACTGTACAATTTTGTTCCCCTAAACAAAATTGCCACCATTCATAGATGATCTCCGCACGGCTGGTAGATTCCTGTAGGTGCCGATGACGGGAGGTTTTGGTGTGTTAAGAAAACTGGTGTGTCTTTTGCCTTTTGGTGTGTCTGGGCAGACGTCCATGGAGCTTGACGTGCAGTTGGGGATGTGGCGCTGGGCTCTACTGGCCTTATTCATCATTTCGATCCAGGCAACAGCCATTCCAACAGGCATGCGAGCCCCATCGGCTCTGCCGATGAGGCCGACGGGCGGGATATGGCTGCTGAGCTGCGGATTGGATGCCATCATAATGCCGAATCCTCGTCACGTGGCTGCGTGCGAGTTTTGGGAGAGGAGAGACTAGAGGCGGGGGCTGGAGTTGGGTGGGCTGGCGTGCGGCCCGTTGTGCGCGTGTGCATGCACCTTTGGAATTGTTCGTAAGGGGAAAGTTAAGCTGCTGGCAGGATATGGGCGCATATCTTGTCCCTCTTCGTTGGGCTAACCAAGGTAGTGTATCCCGTGTGGGTTTTCCCCGGGTTGGTGCTCTATGGGTGATGTGGTATGGGTGTAGCCTTGTCGGGCGGCGGCGACTTGTCCTTGATGTACAATTCAGCTGATTTTCTTTGACGGATGTCGCACGATTAGGCAACACCCGGGCCTTGAACACGTTCATCCAGCGAGTGTTAAGAATCTACAGTAGAGATGGACGAAACTTAATGTGCGTTTTGTTATACACGTCGTTTGTTTAATACCAGGATTGTATAGCGGTTTGCAGCTGCTTGGTCGGCTGACCCGTGGGTCACAGGAGGGCCCTTCCCGTCTTAGTGCGTGGATTGATCGTAACCTTTTGCCTCTTTTGCCTTTTCGTATATCCAAATGCCTCGCCCATTCGTTACTACAGTTCGTAGCCCTGCGGCTGTTTACTCGGTCATGCTGGTAAGACGATTGTCGTGGGATTGCAGTACGTAAGGCACATCTCACGGTTTCCAATCAACATAAGTTGAACAGTAGTAGATTTAGGTACCGATATTGTTGCTGTAGTATGGACGTCCAGTTGGCTTTTGGTAAGCCAACGCGTGTATTGTGAATGTGACTGATATCTTCGACGTAGCGTGTGGACCGCACGTGTGCTGCTCAAGTAGAGGTTCTGGAGTTGATACTGGTGTGCTTCTTCGATCAGTTTGTTGCGCACTGACTAATACAGTTACTGCATCCCCCTTGTTGGCTTGTAGGGCTGGGGTATGATGCCGTGTCGTTGGCCGGGGCCAAGGCTGTTCCATGATTGCCTTTCTTTAACTTGAGCCCCCAGCCTAGAATCGTTGTGGACGCGGGGCCGCATGCCATTTATGCGGTCTTGCATTTTTTCGCTGTGTGCACCGATTAGAGCTCTGGTTGGTAAAGCGATAAACGAGGAGGTCTATTCTCATGGTAGATCTCAAGTGCGTATGCGTCCGCCGTACCATACGATGGAGCTCAAGACGACGCTGTTGAGAGGGGCTGCACGTGAAACACGGTGGCACTGTTGGCTGCAATTTTGCCATTCCTTCAGAGAGTGCTGTGCTCATTGCATAAGTGACGGTAGCTTGTTCCTGGTTACTAAGTTTCTTTTACTGCATGCGCGTAGCAGCGTTTGCGGGTGTTCCAAGGCGGTCATTTCAAGGAGTGAAGTGGACGAGTGCAAAGGGGTTATGGAACCAGGTGTGGCGCTTTCCATTATGCCATAGTCGCAGGGTCCCAGTTACAGGTATCTCCATGCATGGTTGCAGTGTGTATTGCAAGGCGCGCGTTGGTAACATATACCAGATTGCTGGATCCGTATCAATCATCAGCGTGACGACCGCTTTCCACTTTGCACCAGCGCAAGATCGGAAGTAGCCAAGTGACAGCCTCACGCTCCATTCTGACAGCCGGCCTGGAAGATCGGACAAAATATGTACAGGTTCCCCGAGTACGTCGCATGTGATTCCATGCCCTCCCGCCCTCACGTGTTGCTACCATCTCAGCTCCCTACCTTCACCCCGAAATATCTGGGCTGCCCTAGGCCCTATCCCCGCATTGTGCAGCATAGTGCACTGTCGTCCTTGGCCCCCTCCCGATACCCTGAAACCGTTGCGCAGATAGGGTCATCGGAAAAGTCACCTTGCCTAGTGTACGAATGATGTACAGTCCGATGCAAAGGGTACCGAATTTCAATATGCATCCTTGTTACATTCCTATTGCTTGCATAGTGCGTATGGAGTATGCCACCGGGCTACTGCCGCCCTGAAAATCGGTGGCAGGCCACAAATGACGGTCTTACTTGTTGACTCTTTGAGTCAATTTCAATAATAAATTGTCCGCCACCTTTGTCCAGTTGTCCTACGCCTCGAGGACCCGCTGGTGAAGCAGCCATACCAGTGCAAAAGCTGCTTTGTGTTTTCACCAAAAACCATTTACCAAGCATATGCACTATGTCATAATCCAGATGATAAGAGTCATCTGTGCCAGGGTCTTTGTCCTCATCTGCCATGACAGCCATCCTTAGGCCTGGCCGTCAGCTCGCTTGCAGCTAAACGGCTTGGATATGGATAGTACTTACCAATTTCGCTCGGCGAAGAAGCTGAATGGGCAGGAGGTAAATGAGCACCGACAGCCGCAGCAGGAGAGGCCAACCGATGTGGAGCGCGTGCGCCTGCTTGCGAAGCTAGCATGGCCATGTGAGCACCATCGGGGCACCGATCCTAGGCTTTCCGGAGAGTCGGATGCCGCAGATAAGGCTTCGCGACAGCGCCAACTCATCGCAGTATGGGCTGCCGAGCAGCGCTACGAGTCCGGCAACGAGTGGAGCGCGGTCGGACAGCTAGCAACCTACCTTTTCGCTAATCATCCGGACTTCTGGGGTCACGCCGGCGATTGCAACCGACCACCGCTTCGGAAGTTCTTGAGTCAGCCCGAGAGCCATGGCGTGTTTCGATTGCAGCGCAAGACGCGCCCACGAGACGGAGCGCAGATTGATCTTTTCTGTGTGGACGAGGTCGCCCTGTTTGAGGCAGCAAGCACAGCGCAGCAGGCGGCGGCAGCCTCAGTGCAACGTACGGTAGCCGCGGCGGCAGCGGTGGCGACGGCGGGGTCAGCTGAACTCCTGGAAGAGCAGTTCGCGGGACTCCTTCGTCCGCAGTACATGAGGCGGTCGTCACCCACGCCGGCGCTGGCAGTGGCATCTGGGTTGGATCCAGGCCCCTTGCAGTCGCAACCACAACACCGCAGTGCTGACAGAAGCGGCCAGGCACGCGGCGGCGACGAGCCTTCGACCAGCCGCCGCCGTGGCGCCGCCGCCGCCGCCGCCGCGGCCGGTTCGCACAACAGCGACGCCGACGACGCCAACGGCGACGATCGGGGGTTGGCGAACGATACCGCCGTAAACGTTCACGAGCTGGCGGAGGCGGTTTGGCCGGCGGCGGCGGCCGACGGGGACATGCGGCTGTCTGCGACGCGGGCCGTACGCCGCGTGGTCGCCTCCTGGCTGTTCAGCAAGAACGCACTGGGGCAGCGGCATGGACGGCACGTGAGCGCCGTGGGGGCCTACCTCCGTAAGCAGTACAGTGAGATCTGGATGGACGCGGCCGTCCGATCGTACCGCAACCTTGCTGCCCTGCTGAACCACGCCGACAGCCACGGCGTCTTCTGCGTTTCCCGCTCTGACGAGGAGGAAAGCGCTGTGGTGCACTTGCAGCTTCAGGCCCTGCGCCGAGCTGCCGCCGCCGTCACCGCGGCGGCTGCGGCCGACGTTGCCCTCACCGCGCCAAGAACCTCCGCCGCCGCCGCCACCTCCTCCACAACCAACAGCAGTAGCAGCAGCAGGCGTTCCAGGGACAAGTCAAGGGAGACGCACTCGCATGAGTCGCTGGCGCGTTCGTCTTCCTACACCGCGACCTCTGCACGGCAGCAGCTGGAGCAGCGGCAGCAGGAGCTGCAGCAGCAGCAGCAACAGCGGGGAGGCGCAGTTGCGGGGGCGGGTGGTCAGGCGGCCTACGACTGGAAGCACTTGGAGCGGGCGACAAAGCTGGCCTGCGATGACACGATTCGAGGCAGGCTGTGGCGTCAGGTGGCCTCCATTCTAGCGCCCTTGACCAAAGGCCCCTTTGGACCTAGGAGCATGCCCGCGGTGAGTGGGTACGGCAGCTGATGCGGTGGCTGCTGGGGGCGGCTGCGTTGTGTGCACGTGTGCTGTGCCGTGCGCTGCTAGGGTGTGTTAGCTAACGGCCTGAGCACGGTAATGTTCCTGTATACGTCCCGTGCTTCTCAAACGTCTTGTTTGTTGGTTCTTGGACAGCACACGTACCAACCCTGCACGCGCACGCACGCGTCGCCGCTACCTGCTCGTTTAAGCCGCAGCCGCTGACCCTCCTCCGGCCCCCCACCTTCCCTGGCGCGCTGCTCCTCAGACCGACCTGACCGCCGAGTTGCAGCTGCTGAGCCCCGACCTAGCCTCGGAGGCCGCCCGCTGCAGCGGCGGCAAGCTGCGGCTACGGGAGCTGCTCCAGGGTCCAGGCAGCAGCGCCGGCGGTGGTGGTGGAGGTGGTGGTGGTGGCGGTGGTGGTAGCGACGCAGGCAGCGAGGAGCGCTGTCCCTTCCTACACCTGCGCTGGTCGGATCTGCACGGCGAGTCGGTCGTGCTGGACACGGTGGCTCTATTCAAGGCCGCCACGTCCAAGATGGCTATAGGCGAGGCAGGAGGCGGATTCGCCGCTGTTGCGCCTGCTAGCGGCAGCGGAGGCGCTGGCGAGGTGCCGTCTGCTGCTGCATGCACACCCGTGCCCCGCAACAACAACAACAGGGACACAGCCGCTGCCTCCGTCTTCTCCCCAGGAGGCCGTATCCTCCGTAGCTGCCTCCTGGAGGAACCGCAGCAGCCTCCTGCGTTGCCTCCTAAACTTGCTGCTGCTGCTGATGCTGGTATGCAACAACAGGAGGCGGGTTCCGCTGCGGTCACTCCTTTCGAAGCCGAGCTGCTCCGCCGCTTTCCCGATCCGCCCAGCCCCGCGGCCTTGCCGGGGGCTGCAGCCTCTGCGGACGGTGCCGCAACTCGCGCCGCCGAACATGAATCACAGCTCCTCTTCGCGTACATGAAGCGCTTCATGGCCTGGACGCTGGCCCGAGGCCCGCAGCGGCTTGAGCACCTCTCCCAGGCACTGGGGGCGGCGATGTGGGATGCGCGGCACCCTGGCGAGCACGCCGATGTGCACACCTTGTACACGCTGTGCCTGTCAGCACGGGACGTCTTCCAGTTAGAGCCCTTAGTGAGTGGGTCAACGGGGGTATGAAGTTAGTGCCCGGCGAATGCAGTGGACAGTGTGCATGTGGCTCAAGGTTGATAGGCAGGCAGGTGTGGACGACACGCGGGCCGGCCGCGAGTAGCCTGTGTTGGGTACACGCCAGGGGGCTGCGGGTGCTTCAAACACAAGCAGGTGGACTAGGATGGTGGGCTAGGTTGTCCTACCCCGCTGCCACTTCCCACCTGTTTCCTCCAAACCTGCACCTGCCTTCCCGCGCTCTTTCCGCCGCAGGTCGATGGGTCCTATCTTGCCCGGCTGGTGTGCCCCACGCTCCTCGCGCTCTCCCAGCCCTCCTCCTCCCAGCCCATGGAACGCCATGATGGAGGTCTCCCTCACCCGCAGCCTCGCCCCGCCCACATCGCGCACGTCAGTAGTGCCGACACCCTCACTCACACTCATGACAACGACAACGCCTCTGCCTTTCCAGCCGGCACATCCGCCTTCTTGCCTTCCAACACCGCCTTCGGTACCAGCACCACTATCCCGGGCAGCAGCCTCTACGTGGCGCAACCCTCACCAGCAGCAGCAGCAGCAGCTGGTGCGTCGACCGGAGAGCACCCGCACCCCGCACTCAGCCCGGCTGCATCCTTCACCATGCCAGAACGACCCATGGTAGCAACAGCAACCGCAGCAGCAGCTGCTGCTGCCGCCGCAACCGCAGCCATCGACCCGACGCGTCGCGTCAGTCACACCGCAGCCACCACCAGCCCACATGCCCCGGACGCCAGCAACACGGCTCCTGGTTCCTCCGCTTCCTCCGCTGGTGGCGCAGCTGCCTCAGCCACCGCTGCTGCTGCTGCTGCCGGCCTTACCCCTTTGGAAGCAGCACTGCTACAGCGCTTTCCAAACCCCCCGCCCACGTCCTCATCTCTACTACCCTCCTCCTCCTCATCATCATCCCTGGCAGCTGACGTGGCAGCCGTCAAACGTGCCACCGTACAGCTGCTGGCGGCGGAGGAGCCGCCGCATGCGCTGAGCTTCCAAGCCATCGGACACCGGCTGCGTCAGGTGCTGGGCTACACGGTAGCGAAGGAGTTGGGCCAACCGCTGCGGCAGCTGCTGGGGCGCGACCCCGACGTGATGGTGGGCGTGGATCTGGTAGGCGCTGTGGGGGAGAGCGTGTGTGTGGGGGGGGGGGTAAAAATAAGGAAAACTGACGAACTGAAGGACGGGGCTTCTCCAAGGGGGGGGGAGGCGGCAGTACACTGGGGCAAGAGGGAAGGTGTATTGGGTGTGGTTGCCTCGCAGCCAGCTGGCTTTGGGCTTGCATGCGAATGCAGGCTTGGCATTGCGGAAAAAGCCGGGCTCGGGCTCGCTGCGTCACAATCCTCATTGGGCTGGTGCCACGCGTACCCAACCTCACCCCTCACCCCTGCTGCCAACCCACAGGGCGGCCCCTCCAGACTCGGCGTTCAGCTCGTGTGTCCCCATCTCCTGCGCTTGGCTCGCGAATCGTCGCTGCAGCCCACAAGCGGCAGCGGCAGCAACCGCCCGGCCCCTACCACCGCCTCCTCATCCTCCTCCACCGCAACACGCAAGGCACGAGGGACAGCAACAGCGGCAGCAACGTCCACTACCGGCCCTGGAGCAGCAGCAGCAGGAACCCAGTCAGCCTCGCTTGGGGACTCGGAACAGCCGCCGGCTACAGCTGTGAATGCGGCAGCCATGGCTGCAGCTGTTGCAACCGCCGCCGCCACCTCCGCGGCTGTCAAGGCGGCTCTGGCTCGAGCTGCGGCCATGGCTGCTTCCGGCTCAGCGGCGGCGCAGCAGAAGCAGCGGCAGCAGGCGCTGAATGCGGCGGCAGCGGCAGCGGGTGAAGCACAGCCATCGCGGGTGCCTAAGCAAGCGCAGCAGCAACAGCAGCAGCAGCAGCAGGACCAACAACAACAGCAACATTTGCAGCAGCAACAAGAACTGCAACGACAGCAGCAACAGCAGCAAGAACACGAGGACCAGCAGGAGCAGCAGCAGGAGCAGCATCGGCTGGTTCTGGATCAGGAGCAACGGAAGCAGCGAAAGCAGCAGAAGCACCGGGAGCTGCGACGTTCCTACTCTGACACGACTATTGCAGCTCCTCCTCCTCTCCTCGCCGCTGCCCCCGCAGGCCCTATCCACATCGATTCCACAACATCCCCTGCAGCACCTGCCGCTGCAAACGCTCCGCTCACCACGCTTCCTCTCAACCACCCAGGCTATCACCAGACCAGCAACCAGCCCCAGTCCCTACCGTCCCAATCCAACCCTGGTTTAGAGTCAACGCCTTCCGCCGAATGCGCTGCCACCTTTACCCTTCCCGTTCCAGTGCCTATCGCGGTGCAAGTTCCTGCTGCGCCGGCCGCCCCCTCCGAGGGCCCAACTGCGGCCACCCGTGCTGTGCAGCTCACCAACATGCCGTCCGGGGGCTCGCTGGGCGATTCGGCGAGCGCCGCTGCCGCCGGCTGCCCCCATGCGGCAGGTCCTACCCTCCCTGCCGCCACTGCTGCCACTGAGAGCGTTATTACCGCCGCAGCTGCTATGACCACCGCCGTGGCTCCCGCGGCCTCCACCCACTTTGCAAGCACCACCGCTGCTGCCACCACCGCCACCGCTGCCGCCACTGCTGCCCCAATCAGCACCACGGAGCCACCCACCCTGGAGGTCCTGTTGCCTCCTGACGGAGAGGTTGAGGGAGCTTTCCAACAAGGGCACACCTCCGCAGACAGCGCTCCTCCGCCGTCCTTCCCTCCCGAGCAAGTGCACATGGCCCCTCAGCAACACCAGGACTACTTGGGCTTCTGCATCTCCGAGCGAGAGAGCCAGATGCTGCAGCAGCAGCAGCTGCAGCAGGCTGAGTGCCCTCCGGCACCCTCCTCCTTCCCCTTCTCCGCCGACATCGCTTCTGTTGCCGCATGCGCCTCAACCAGTGCGTCCACCGCCACCACCACCGTCACCTCCGCCCTGCTGCACCTCACGCAGGCCCTGCATGCGGCCGCCCCCGCTGGGCCCGAGCCGCAGGAGGCGCAGGAGCCGCATCCACTCGGCATGCCGCTGTCCGCCGCCGCACCCACAGCTGATGGCCCCCGGGCCCTGGATTCCACCACCAACCCCATGCAGCTGCAAGCCGACGCCAGCTCCTCAACCACCACCACCACCTCCTCCGCTACATCTTTCTCCTGGGCGGCACTTGCATTACGCACATGTCACGCCCCAGCGCACATCTCAGTTCCCGCTGTTCCCGTCAGCACTGCACCCACACCGGTGCCCGCGCCTGCGTCCGTCCTCCCCACGTCTCTCACGCCGGACTCACATCCTCCTCCCACAGCAGAACAGCAGCAGCCGGTACCTCCTCCCTCCACCACGGTATGGCCACTCGGCTTCTCCTACGCCGCGGCCGCAGCAGCAGCCCCTGCTGCTCCTCCCCCTCCTCAGCCCTCCTTCGCAGCACGCACTGCTGCCGCCGCTAACGCCCGTTCAGCTCCTAACCAACACCAACAGCTAACATCTCAGCAAGCCGAGGAGGACGCGGACCGCCTCGCGTTCGAATCAGAGCTCCGAAGACGCATCTTCCCGGAGCCGCGCCTGCCCAGCAACACCGACCCGGGGGTCGCTGCCAACGCCGCCGCCGTCAACACCGCCAAGCGCACCTGCGCTCGCGTGCTGGCGCGCCGTACGCCGCCTCACGAGCTGCCGCTGCGGGTGCTGGAGTCCGTGCTGGCCAAGACCATCACACAGCGGCGGGGGGATTACGAACTGGAGAGTGTGCTTAGGTCGGAGCCGCGCGTATTCGAGCTGTGGAATCCCCCGCAGGTATGGGTTATTGGGTATGGATGGATAGGTGGCATGTGTCGGGCGGGGCTGGTCGGGCGGTAGGGGAGTGATGCAACTTCGGAGGGGCTTTCAGGACTAGGACTTGCTTGGGGCTTTCTTGTAGGACACATGGCGCGCGTGTGGCCGAGGCCTTTTCCATGGCAGAGGCCCTCTTTGTTTGTTAGCGGGCTGCATGTCATGTCATGTTGGTATCTGGGCTTCTCATCGTTCCTTTGCACCTGGACGCTCTCCTCTCTCATTTCCGCCCTTCCCCAACCCTCTGCCCAACGTTTCCACAGCGCCGCCACAGCAACAACCCCACCGTACGGCTGGTGTGCCCCGCGCTGCTGCTGCTGGCCCCGGGCGCACGACGGCAGATGCCAACGCACTCCTCCGAGGACACCGCACCTCCTGGTGAGCAGCGCACTTCTGCCTGCCCGGAAGAGGAACCATGGCAGCAGGGGCAGGAGCAGCAGCAGGACCCGGAGCAACAGCGGAGGAGAGCATGCGAGCTCCATGCGGCCGGGTACGGGTACGGGTACGGGTACGGGGGCGAGGGCGAGGAGCGACATGTGGAGGCATGGGAGGAGCTGGTTGCCGAGGCTTGGGAGCCCGAGCAGGACTCCTGGGGTGAGCTGCCGCTGCCGCCTGCCGCGCAACCCGAGGAGGAGGAGCAGGCGGAGGAGCAGGCTGCTCTGGGCCCTGGGGGGCAGCAGCAAGGGAGCGTAGAGCAGCCGCAGCTGGGGCTGGGGTTGGGGCTGGAGATGCTGCCTGCTGTGGCCGGGTTGGAAGCGGCGGCGGCGGTGATGGTGCCTCCGGAGGTGCATTCTGCGGGGCCGCCGGCGGTGGCAGCGGGGCAACCGGCGCAAGCTGCATGGGCGGGCTTTGGCGGCATGGGGGCACCCCCACAGCTGCTGCCCGTACACTATCAGCAGCCTCTTCAGCCGGAAGTCGAGGTTGAGGCCGAAGTCGGGCAGGACTCGGCGGTTGAGGACCCAGACAGTGCCATGATGCTAGCATGGCTGGGGTCGCAGGCGCCGCCGCCGCCGCTGACGGTTGCGGAACCGGTCGCAGCAGCAGCGCCAGCGGCGGCGGTAGAAATGCGAGCCAGTTGGTCGCATCTGCGGGCTCCTGAGACCTCAATCCCTGCCGCCACTCCGTCTCCAGAAGCCCTGGAGCTGCCAGCAGGCACTCCGGCAGCGGTGGCCGGCCCTGCAGCCGAAGCAGCACCGCTGCCGCCGCCGGCGCCGCTTCCGGACACCGCTATCTTCTTCGTCCACAGCCCCGAGGACCCCGGCTTCGGCCAAATGCTCCAACACTGCTACAGCTCGCCGCAAGTGGGCCTCGCGGTCAAATACGCTGCGGGCATGCCGGTCCTCGTCGCCCTGTACGCCCCGCCACTAGCCGTACCTCCTCCCGGTGCGGCCGCAGCTGCAGCGGCGGCGGGCACCGACGGAGGCCTCAGCAGCACCGCTGCAGCAGTGTATCTTATCGACTGTGCGGTGGGTGCGGGGGCGGCGGTGGAGGAGGCGGCGGGGGATGCGGACGCCGCTGCTGCGGCTCTGGAGGCGGAGGCGGCGGCGGTGGGTGTGGTGATGGAGGGCGTGCGGGGTCTGCTGGAGCACCCCGGGCTGCCCAAGGTGGTGTACGGCTGTGAACAGGTGCGGAGGGGGCGGTGCAGGAGTGCGGCTTGGCAATCTGGTTGCTGGTTGCGACTTCGCGTTGATTCGAGTGCACTGGTCGTCCTTATGCTACGCCGTTTGCTACGCTCCCATAACCCATGCAACGCGGTCAGCCGGTCACCCTTCTCGCACGTACCTTCCCCCCGTTCCTCGCGCCTTGCCCCCCGCCCCCCACCCCCCACCTCTTTACCCCACCCCGCTCAACCCCAGACGGTGGACCTGCTGGAGCAGGCCACCGGCGCCACCACCCAACCCGTGCTGGACCTGCGCCTGCTCACCGACGCGCTGCTAGCCCTGCTGCCGGCACCCCTGCCGCCGACCCCAGCAGTACCCCCGGCGGGGAGTTATCCGGCGCCGCATGAGGCGGATGCCGCCGCCGCTGCCGCGCTGTCTCAGCTGCACGACCACGTGGGTGCGCTGCGAGGCGCGCTGGAGGAGCTGGGGCTGTGGAGCGACCGGCCCTGGCTGCTGGAGGCGTTGGTGGGGCGGCACTGGGGCGCGGAGGAGGAGTGTGTGTGCGCTGCTGCCGGCGTGGATGACAGGTGGGGGTCAAAGACCGCACCGAACCATAGGAGAACACAGGTTGGGATGACAGGTAGGGGGGGGGGCGGCGGCGGCGGCATGGCCGAGGGCGGTATGGGCTGGGATCGTGCCCCCAGAGGTGGGAAGTGTGCGGACGTGGCGGAAGGGGAGCGGGACGGGCTGATGGGAAAGGGCAGTTCTTGATGTGCCAGTAGGTCTTCTAGAGATCTTAAGCCCATGCTCTGCGTTCCCTTTCTTTCCCCATGTCGGCGCACAGGTCCTGGCTGTCGCGGCCGTTGAGCCCGGAGCAGGCGTTCGCAGCGGCGGGCGCTGCCCGGCACCTGCCGGAGCTCTGGTCGGCGGTGGCGGGGGAGGCGCTGCCGTGGGTGGCGGTGTCGGCGGCCGCCCGGCGGTTGGACCTCCTACGTGCCGCCCGGTCTCGGCCTTAACAGAGGAGTTGTACTATTGGCTCTGGTCCCAGCCTTCTTGGTTTCCTTGGTATGTGTGCAATTGTAGTCGCGATTCTAGGTTGCTGCTGGCTGCTGCTGGAGGTTGGAAGCGTCGCCGATGCTTGTGTTGATGATGCATGGTTGTTTTGGCTCTTCGCGTTCGTAGACTACCTCTGTGTGTATGAGGAGTCCGGTGTGGAATACTTTCGAAAATGTTAGGAAGATAGGTATCGTCGCTGCTTGAATAGTCGCTGCTAGGGAGCACGTGGGTTAGTTGGAGCGTGTTGGCATGTTGCGTGCTTTGCGCAGCGGCCTGTGCTCTGGTTGCCTTTGTAAGTTTCCTTCTGGTTAGGTCTGTTACCTTTCGAGGATGTGCGTAATGTTCGCCACGCTGCGACTGTCCAGTTTACCGGTGACTCATGCGAGAGCGAAATGCTAATAATCCAAAATCTGTAAGCAGGAAGCGAAACGAGCTTTGCATGTCTGCATGAGCCAGGTGCAGCCTTCATCTACAGTACTGTATACCGGTACACGATTAGTGGTTTAGTAATTCGAGGATGGCAGTACTGAATGATTCCAAATCAAGTGGTGCAGTGTCATATCAAAGTTGGCTACCTGTGTTTACGTCCACTTTGGTTACGTGCTTACGAGGGAGTATAAACTGTATAACTTAATTTGCAACTACCGATACAACATTTGTAGCTTAGCCCTCTCAGCGTTAATTGTTGTACTGGAAGCAGCCTTTGCACTTGTAATGCCCAATCGATTAGGAACGTCCATAGCATTGTTGCGTTTTTCAGCGTTATATAGCGTGCTGAAATGTTAGCGGCTGAAAAATATTAATGCCTCTGTATGTGCCGCGGCCATTGATCTTATCTGGAAACACTCTCATGCAGCAAAGCACCTATCGTACGCACTGGAGATGGCAAGGAGGGCTCTTGGCCCGAAGCCTGGCAGCGCGCTCCAGCGAGCTTTGCAAACTGGGCTTGTTGACTTGCTTCTACACTATTCATGCATGGAATGTGTACCATGAACGTATCTGTGGTAGAAACGTTGGCTTGGAGCCCGCGCTGTATCCCTGCCCACCGCATCCAGCATGGCGCCGTCTTTGGTACCATGCATTGCGCCCGGGACACCTTTGCATGGAAGCCTTCTTTCGACCGGAAGAGCCTGCCGATTACCACGACGGTATCAGCTGCGTCGTGTTCGTGACGTGCGGGGTTCTGGCAATCCTTTTGGGCCCCGCCACGGCCGTAGCGCGGCGCAGCTGTAACTGGCGCTTTGCGTGGCTAGCAGGATCCACCGTGGCTTCTAAAGGCTTCGTGGTAGCCTACGGACTGTTGTATCCGACAGCCAGCCTTGGAGCAATGGTAAACACCATGCTTCCACGGCACGCGGCCCTCATGCTCTGGATGTCACTTGCGTTCCCGGTAAGAGTCACCTCGTTACTTCCCCCCTGCACACGAAGACTGAACAGAAGTTCGGTACCATGTTAACCCTCCAACTCACCTCGCTTACTACCTCCCCTGGGCATTAACACATGCCGCCCCTCCACCTGTTGGCATCAACCCAAACGGCCACGGATGCAGCCATGCGGTTGGCACCCCTAGAGCACCCAACCAGCAGCCGCATGGGACGCATGGAGGCCCCTTGCTGCATGACCCTTCCCTGCTCACTAGCTGCCAGTGCCCTCCTCTTTGCCGCGCCCTCCATCCATCCCATGGTATTCCTTCTTTCCCTCCCTTCTTTCCCCTTTACCACCCTTTATACTCGCAGCTGGAATGGCGAAAGCAAGCCGTTCTTGCCGCTGTATACGCATCGCACATGCTGTGCCTCATCCACCTGGCGGCGACACGTGGCTGGCCGTACGAGGGCAGCGGTAACTCGCCGTCGGCCATCGTGGTCCGGCTGGTGGTCTCGAGTGCCCTGGCCGTAGCGGTGGCGGCGTTTGGCGACTGGCGCAGAGCCCGGGCAGGTACGACGTGAGCGGGTGTACAATAAACGTTTCTGAGGCTTGTGACGTGAAATGACTTCGTTACACATGCTTACACCGTGACCTCTTTGCCTTCCTCTTCGAAGCACAGAAGGGTATCGTGTTGTATGTGCATCGTCATGCTAAGCGGCGGTCGTGGGCTCGTTGCCTTGACCCCGCGCCGCTCCTCCTGCCTGCACCCTGTCTCAACCTTTTTGCCTTTGCCCGTTCTCTGTCTCACAGCCGCCGCGCGAGCCGTCTCCAAGGCGACCGAAGCGGCCGGACCCTCGGACCCGCCGTCAGCGCCCACAGCAGAAGCAGGCCGATCAGATGCCGCAGGGGCACACCTCCGCAACATGCCCCTCCGAGAGGCCCTGTACCGGGGTCTGGCGGCGGCTCGAGCCCCTTACGCTCCTCGACGAGCCAGAGCCGCTGCCACTGCCGCCACAGTCGCCATGGCTCCCCAGGCAACCGACGCTGCTGCCAGCATCATCAGCAGCAGCAGCCGCAGTAGTGCCCTAGACACCGCTAGCGGCGGTGGCAGCGGCGGCAGCAGTGCATCTTCGTTACGGCTTCGGCATCGTACGGCACATACGGCTGCGGAGAGAAGCCCCCTCTCCAGTCCAGTACCGGTACCCAGCGGCGACCTTGCGGCCGGCACAGCTGTTGCAGGCGCCGTTGAAAGAGCAGCCACCACTGCTCCTGCCGCAGGTGCTGTTGCTGTGTCACCACCGGCTCCAACACCACTTGAGACAGCGGCGACGGCGCCACTCGGCGCCGGCTCGCACCCAGGCCGCGCCGCCCAGCAGCCCCGCTACCGCTCCTCAATGCGCATCACCCGCGTGTATGTCAAGATTGATGGAGTGACGCCGGAGCAGCTGGACGCGCCAGCCGTGGGGGATTTGGCTGAGGATGTGGCAGCGCGCGGCTTCGTGCTGACCAGCGTGGCGGTGCGCAGCGGCTGCATTGAGGTGGTGTTGGAGCTGGAGGGAGATCGTCCGTGCGGCTGCGTTGGCGGCGACGGCGGTGATGGTGTTGGCAGCGAAAACGTCTGCAGCGGCGGCGGCGGTGTGGTGGAGATGGAGTTGGTTCGTCGCATGGTTTCGGCGTTCTTTGACGCTGTGACACCGAGTGTGTGCGAGGGAAGCGCTAGCGGAGTAGCAGCGACGGAGGGAGCAGCGGGCGGCGGAGGAGGAAGAGGCAACGGAGGCAGTGGCGTCGCGCTGAGGGCGCATGTGCAGGTCGGCGGCGCGCGTTACATCGTCAGACGCGACACTGGCAGTGATGGCGGCGGTGACAACGACGACGGCGGCGGCGGCAGCAGGGAAGTGCACCGCGGCTGGAGGATTCAGGTGGATCCGCAGCAGGCTGCATCGGACCTCAGCTACGGCATTGATGGCTTGGACCTTGGGGGTAGCGCAGAGGGCAGCAGACGCAGCAGTGTGGATGCAAGCCCCTTCACTGACCCGTGGGTCACTTCTGGTGTACCGAATGCTCCTGCGCCTGCGTTCGGGACACATGACGATTTGCAGATGCTGCCGCCGGCAGGGGTCTCAGAGGAGCCGCTGATTGTGTTGTTGCCGCCCTGCATGGTCTTTCCGTTGGGACCATCTGAGTCGGCAACAGCAGCAGCAGAGCCGGCGGACGCCTTGCCCTGCTTTACGTTGCTAGTTCAGCCGCCCCGGCCGCACCCTCCCTGCTTGGATGGCCCCGCCGGCACGGACACCTCCGAGGCCGCAACCCTAGCGTCGGGACCCCCTGAGGTGTTGGCCTGGCAGCGTGGATGCTTCCTTCAGGTGAGCAAAACGCGAGTACCTGTTATATCTAATGACCGCGCGCGTGGCTGTCTGAGTGAACCGTCGTGGCCGGGCTTTGGTATCTCCACTCAGCAAGTGCTCCCAGGCGCCTGACCTCAGACCTTTGCGGTTTGCGCTGCTGTTTGGTGGTCTCTCCTCACGCCGCTCCTCCTTCCTCCAATGCTTCTGTGTCTGCGCCGCCACCACGTTACAGGTGTTGAGTGTGAATGAGACGTACCTGCCGCCGCCGGCGGTGCTGGGTCCCGAGGCAGCTGCCCCAGGCTGCCGGGCGTTCAGCGTCACTCTCAGCCCCATCGAGCTCGCTTACGGTGCGTGACATTCGCGTCAACGGGGGCTTTTGGCCTCTCCGCAGCTGCACTGGGTACGGGCGCCTCGCTGTTGCCGTACCTGAATGCTAATGCCGTACCTGAACGCTGTTGGCGTACCGCCGTACCACCTATACTGAGCAATGGCATGGATGGCACTGATCAGCTCTAGCATTACCTGTTTACCTTCCTCGCTCACCCCACCTCCCCGCCAGGCCTTGTCAGCTTTGCTATTCGTTGGGCGCCATGCACTGCCAACGTTGCCGGTGGTGGCGGCGGCGGTGGCGGCAGTGCTGCCGGCGGTAGGCTGCTGCTGACGGAGTCCCCTGCCAGGGTGCTGCTTCTGCCGCCAGCGCTGGCGGCGGTAGCGGAGGAGCTTCGAGATCCCCTGTACGACGATCTGATAACGGCGCTATACCAGCATGACGCGGAAGGCGTTCGCTCCGTAACCGACTTCCTAGCGGACTTATCAGCATGTCTGACCCATGGGTCACTGGAGCCACAGCAGTGCCTGCACTGGACAGACCCACGGGTCCAGACTGCGGCACATGGTGTGGGCGTGCATGTGTGCACATTACCGTCGGACGCATCTGACCGCGCCCACGTGGGCATTGTGGAGGTGTTGGCTGCAGCTACAGCCACGCCCTTGGCTGCGCTGCCTGGCGCAGCTGCTGGGAATGACAGCGTTGCCACACCTGACTGCTCCAACAACACGCTCCCCAGCAGTGCAGTCAGCAGCGGGCCATGCACCGGGGCTGGATCTTCCCAGCGCTCTCTTCCCAGCGTAGGCCGCTGCGACAGCGCAGGCAGCTCCACCACAGACGGCGGCGGCAGCGGAGGCGTGTACTGCGTCATACCGTACGAGAGGAGCGGCGGACCCAATGCAACGACGGGGCTTCTGCCGCTGTCGGCGGGGCCGGCGTCTGCGTACTCGTCGTCAACGGCTACGGTGGCAGGGCAGCCTGGGAGTACCGCCGATGTCTACGAGGGCGGCGGCATGGGCTGCTTTCCGTTACATGGGCCCAACGCAACGGCCGACGTTGGGAACAACAACAACAACAACAGCAACATCCTCGGCGGTGAAGGTGGCATGTGCGTTTGGAGGCCGGCAGCTGTTGAGGTGGCGCCGGTGACGGCGGCTCCCGCAGCTCCCCTTGCAACGTCGGATGGTGAGTCGCGTTTGCTGTCCGGCGGCCGTTTGGATTTACGGGATGTCATGGACGGAGCCGTACGACTTGCAAAACGTACGGCAGGGGTAGGTGCGGAGGCAGGGGGGACAGCTGCGTGGCCGCTGAAGGCTGTGGGGTCATGTAGTAGCGTGGACGAGCGGCGGCGGCATCTGCTGGAGTATACGCGGCTCTGCGGCTGGCGAGTCACGTCAAGGCTGTTGCTTGGCTTGAGCTCGGAGGGTGATGAGGGCGGCGGCGATGGTGGTGGCGATGGTACCATTGGCGGTATGGGTGGTGATGCCCCATGCAGCTTCGTCACTGCTCAGCAGCGTATGTGACGGGGGCTTCAGAAATGGCATGCCAGTTTCCAGAGGCTCGTGTTGTTGGGCGGTTTGAGGGTTTAGGAATGCAGGAGCGTGTCTGTGATTCTTGCAGTGCCGCCTTCCTGGTTGGTCGCTGCGTCCGTGTGCTGAGAAGCAGGGCAGTTTGCATGCCGGCAGTGTGTTTTCTTCCCGCATGAAGCATAGCTGCGTGTTGCTACGAGGGTTACCTGTCTGGGTGCCTTGTCTTGTTCGCTCCCATTGTTGTGTTGTTGGGTATCCTGTTGGCAAAACCGCATGCAGAGCTGACGTGTGCATACCGACGTCGTCCAGGGAGGTGTGACTTCACTCGCCACAACTTTTTCCTTGAGCCGGCATGGCATGTGTCATACGCATGTTCCATGACACGTCTTACTGTTTGGGGGGCGCACGCGCTGCCTCGCTACCGGTACAGGCGGGTACCGGTTGGAGGGGGCCGCAATCGCGGTGCTAGGAAGGCCCCATGCGCCGGGCGCTGGGTGCATACTCCTGTTGTTTGTCAACATGAATCGCAACATGAAGGGCGGCGCACGCTACGTTTCAAGCTCAATCTTGGTCACTAGGGGTGCGTTTTGCGAGAGGGCTGTTGCAGCCGCTGCAATCATCGAAACAATCTTGAATCAATAACACGGGGCAACACCACATAATTTTGCTAAAATCACATGGGGGCAACACATATTTTTGCTGATTCGCCTGGGGACACCACACACATCAGCTATTTCACATGGGGGCACCACGGATTCTTGCTAGCATTCATCTTATATCCATATCCGTATCTTAACCGTTTAGGCCGCATGCCTTATTTTACCATGACTGTCCTGATCATCGCTGTAAGCACGTAGCTGCATGCGGCGGTTTGTTGTCGCGAGAGGGGGAGAAGTTGTGGCAGTGCTGCACTGGGTGTGGATGGGCACTCGCGGGAGTGCGTAGGGAAGCGTTCATACGTACTCGCGTGGAACTGTGTAACCCCCTGGGGACCTTGTTTTGCGGGCGGAGGCGGGGTCGTAGCTGTCCCTGCCCCTTGGTGACTACCGTCCCGCTCGTTTGTTGCAATTGCGGGATTTTACCATAGTTGTTGGGAAGGTGGATGACGGTTCGGCCGGATTGAGAAACAACATCGGGGCCTCTTGGACCGTTCGAGTAGTGGGCCTTCCTCCTCGCTTTGACCTGCAGAGGTTTTCCCCCATGTAACCAAGTACTGTCGCAAACAATACTCAATGTTGTGGAAGTGTAGTCACTAGCCTCTGTCACCTGCAACAGCCGTGCGTGAAGTTTGTGAAGTGTGTCGCGGCCGGTGTTCTTCTCTTCGCTGCCAGCAGGCGTCCCCTGCATACTGTTCGTAAGTTGTGAGTAGGGGCTGGATGGGCAGCAGCCGACAAAAGCGGGAAGTCGTTATGTTAAGGGCGGTACGCTGCCCCTGATGTCGCAATGAGCCATTACTGCGCATGCGCACGCCTTTACCCTCTTCGCTCGCCCGTGTGAGCTCCGAACGGGCGCACCGGCTCACGGTTCGTTCCCCCGAGTGCCTCACGTCCCGAAGCTACATTGACTGCCATGGCTTGCAAGTCCCAATGCGCAACGCAACGCATGGCCCGCCGGATTCGCGTACGGACCGCTGGCCCCGCCCCCCGTGCACCGCTCACCGCGTACACAGCCCTTCACACAGTTCAAGCCGCACAAGCACATGTTGCTGCCCGCATTGCGGGAGTGTCCCCTCCTTACTCCCTGTAACACTAAATCATATCTTATCCTCCGCTCCGCTCTGCCCTGACTACCGTACGTACCAACCCTCCTCTGTCGCAGTGAACCCCTGCCTCCGTACGAGTCATCAATCATGCGGCTGTTCGTTCGCGGTCTGGACGGCACCACGGCGGCACTGGCGGTCGGGACCGACCCACGGGACGGCACGCCTGAGCAGCTGCAGGCCGCTATCGAGGTATCGATCTCCCCGCTCTGCAAGTCATAGTCTCCGTGCTGGGTGTTACAGACCTGGGGCAAGCAGTGAGATTGCGAGATCCTTCTAGAGTCGCCACGGCGGTTTGCTTGAGACACAGTAACAGGCAGACGCCTCCCCCCGGGAAAAACCAAACACAGGAGCGTCTGGGGGTTCCTGCAGCGCACCAGCGCCTCGCGACGCTGGGCGGCAGGCCGCTACGGCTGCATGCGGGCAGCGGCAGCCTGTACGACCAGGGAGTACGGCAGGACGACACCCTGGAGCTGTCAGCACGGCTGCTGGGAGGTCAGCCTGTGAAGGTAGGGGTTTTGTCACAGCAGAAGGTTCAATACGGTAAAAGGGTCCTTTGCAGGCCGCGCTCAAGCGGTGTGTATTGCAAGGCTTGTACTTCCTTGTGTCAACAGCCACGGTCGGATGTGTATTTGCAATTGGTCCTGATCCGGCGGGACAGTTGTACGGCATCTGCCTACGGACTTCACAGGTTCCTTCACCGTAACCGGCGGGGTACCCTGGCTGGTTTGAAGGGGTAGAAGGTTCATGTACTTCAGCCATGCTCGTTTGGCTCCCTACCCGGCGCAGGTCAAGGTCCTCACACCCACACCCAAGGCAGAGTGCGGCTCCGAGGTAAGAGCAGCTCGCGTGACGCCTGCACCCCTGCATGTATGTGCAGGTGCACATGCAACCCTGCAGCACTGTAGGCGCCCATGCAGCACCTGCACCCCCTTTAGGCGCCCATGCACGCGTCAAATACACACTGCTACGGTACGCTACTCATTGCGGCAGCTGGGGTGCAGCCAAGTGCCTTCGCACGCACACACAGTAAACCACACACCTGGTCACCAACACCTGTGCTGTTACATTCCCAATAATGATCGCACTGCCCCTTACGGCGAGCCCCTCAACGGCGGCAATTCCGACCCGGTTGTCAACGCAGGTCACGGTGGATCTGGACACCCACACGCCCATGCACGAGGTGAAGATGCAGCTGGCCCGGGCTACGGGGCTGGATGTACGGCACCAGCGGGTGCTGCTGGGCGGCATCGGATCCATGGTGCTGCTGGACAAGAGGTGAGGGAGCGTGGGAGGGAGGGAGGGAGACGAAGAGGAAGGGAGGAGAAGAAGAACGCCCCAAGTGCTAATTAACAGTGGAAAAATAGGGAGGGAGGCAGGGAGGTAGGGAGGGATGCAACCCGCTGTGGGTTGCGCCAGTCACCTACCGATGTCCCATTGAAACAGCCCTCATGGAGCAACTGCTTGCAACCCCGCCTCGCACCCGCCTTCCTTAACACGGCTCATGTCCGAATCACATACCCACCCGTGTTCCCTGCCTCCCTCCCCCCAAGGAGCAACATCGGCGCCAGCTACTGCGGCTCCACAAACAACCTCTACTTCGCCACGCTGCCTGCCTCCGAGGCGCCAACGGAGCGCAAGGCCGCATAAGGGGGGGGGTTGCGCGGAGGGGCTGTGATGGCAGGCAGGTCAGCAGCGGGAGCGCACGAGCCATTAAGGTGGATTGCGGCGAAGGAAGTGGTGGAATGCTCAGCTTAGACTGGAAAAGATGCCATGTGGCGGTACGGCACGGAGTGTGTTAAAGCACGTTACAGCAGGTAGCATGGTGAGGGAGGCGCGAATGTAAGCGGCATTGGCAGCTCTGGGGACCGAGAGCTGTTTGCATGCAGCCGTACCGCTACTGAAGGGAATACGGTAGTTGCTGTATGTGCGTGAGGGTAAACAGTCGTACATCCAGTTTCCTGCGGTACGGATGGCGCAAAGCGCTATACGCCTTTTTGCGATCTACAGCCGGGTTCCCATTGCAGACACGCTGGGCATCCTATTGGCGAGCTGTATAACGCACCACACGTCGCGAGCAGAAAGCAACTAATGGCGGCCAACGACCACAACGCGACCGGCACGAACGCTTGCGTGCCCCAAAATGTATAGCGGCATCCCTAGCATCACAACACACCTGCCGGGCAGACCTGCAAGCGCAAGGACGCAACGTACCTCATCCCCGATATTTCTGCCTGAAAGGAGTAAAGGGAGAAGTACGAAACAACAAAACACATCCTGAACCCTCTCCTGGACTCGCGAGGGAGGATGGAGGGCAAACCCATACACACACGCGCGGCGGGTGAAGCGTACCCATCATGAAGGCAATCAGCATCCTAACCCCTGCGATGACATACGCAAGGAACTTAACGCAACACATCAGCGCTGCCAATTTCCTTTGAATAACTCTAGTCTGCAGCCTGCCTTAGAGCGCAGCAAATGGCTCTCGCTACCCTGCCGCCATTGCCCAGCTGGAAACAAACGGCAATGCCGGCAGAAGATCAACTCCCTCCTAATGTTCATGCCCGCACAGCTGCGCCAGCAAACAGCTTCACATCTCCGCATGCTGACAAGAATACGGGCGCTCGCATGTGCGGTTGCGGAACATTGTCCACATTGCCCTGTTCGCACATGATGTCAGCTGCTGCTGCTGCTCTGCCACCTGATCACCACGCGCACATAACAAACCAAAACCAAAAACATGAGCTCCATTCGCATCCGGTAACGGGTCAACCCATTTAAACATCGAAGGACACACCACCAACGCACGGCCCGGCGCCTTCGACCCGATACGCCGCGGGGCGTTACGACACAGCCTTTCCTTACATGCAGTTTGAAAGGCTCGTGCTGCCTCATATCGCAGATGCGCTCTTGCCAGGGCTGTCCCCACCAGGACGCACTAACCCTACATACCAATCAGCAGCTGCTTAACTTGCGACCGGGCCAACATGAGCATGGCTCGCCGCGCCAGCACCTTGCCGGGAAGCCAGGGCCGCCGCGGAGGCAGTCGCCGCCGCCGCCATGGCGACCCAAGGGACGGCCTCCGTCGTCATGGCCTCCCACAGCTCTGGCAGGTGCCGTACAGCGGCCACCAGGTTGCACTCGTGGAGGGAGGCGTTGCTGGGTGGGTGAGCAGCACGGGTGCGGGCGGGACGGGTTAGGAGTGCGCGTGAAGACTGCGCAAACTAGCAACGAGGCGGGGTGCAAACAACTGAAACAGGCAACAACAGAAGGGGAGGAATTGCCTTCCACATGAAGCAGCCAAAGCGCCACAACACACTCGCAAGGTATCGTATCAAGCAAATCCAGTTCTTTTTTCGCCATTTCGCCTGGTCGCCGCTTTGCCCATTCCCATCAGCAGAACCCAACCAGCAGAGTTATCCCACCTGGCCCAATCCCGAGTGCCAAACAAGTCCTCCCTCAACGCCACAGAATGTCGCCCCGTTAACGCCGCCAGCAGTTCCGGTCGGTCCGCCCAGAGGCCGGTCGCCGTCAGCACCTCACGTAGCGCAGCCACGTGGGCGTTCAGTCCCGCAACCGCCGCCGCCGCCAGCGGCCCGATCGCGGCGTACGGCGGTGGCGGCGGCGGCAGTGCCGGCAGCGGCGGCAGCAGGGCTGAGAGGGCGCGAAGCAGGACTCGAGTGTCGAGCAGGGGTGAGATGGAGGCAGCACCGCAGAGGGCTGCCAGGCTCATAACCTGTGGGTTGGCATGGGTCGCCGCGCGGGGGTTAACGGTATAGCCAGGGGTGATGAGGAGTGAGGACAGAGAAGCAGGCATGAAGGCAGGAAAGGGCGGAGCAGGTATGTGTATACTTTTGAGTGTAACTGCGACTCCCCCGTTGTCTCACCTGTTCACATCCATGCACAAACTTCGCAACATACGCGCTCTCCAGCAGGCCGCACAGCGCCGCAGCGGCACCTGGCAGTGCACCCCCCGCCCCGACTACAGCACCGTCGCTGCCTCCCTCTTGCGCCGCTGTTACCAATCCACAGTCGAACAAGTAAACCGTGGCGACCCACGTTAGCAACTGGGCGCCGCCGCTGCTCGGCTGGCCGGTAGCAGCACGAACATCAATGGTGGCAGTAGCAGCAGGCGCGTAGATCGCAGCCACGACGGCTCGTCGGCCTGTAGCATGTATGGCTAAACCAATCTGCGTGGCGCCGTAGCAGTGCTGTATCATGGTTTCAAACTCAAAGGAGCTTTGGATCCATTGTACGGCGGGCGCGGGCAGCACTGCAGCCTCAACAGCGTTCGCAATGCTTGCTGGTGTTGCTGCTGTTGCTCCAACAACGTTCGCAGCGACGCCTAGGCTGGACGCAGCAACACCGGCAGACACGCTTCCTGGTATGCCTGGCGGGAAAGCAGTAAGCCCCCGTGGTTCAGCCTCCAGCACAACTGCCGTTGCGGAGGACACGTCGTTCCAGTTAAAAGCCGGCCCTTCTGTCGGAGCCGCGTCATTGGTGACCCATGGGTCAGAAGGTATTGAATTCGCTGCTGCTGCTCCGTAGGCTCCTCCTCCGCTTGAAGACGAGCCCTCGGTCGCCATACCAGCTTGTGAGGGTGCAGTTGCACCGCTGGGGGCTGCATGCAGCAGTGACGTCTGGGAAGATGGAAGCTGGGTGGCAGAAGCAGCGGATGCCGTTCCGCCGCTGTTGCTAGGCAGCGGTGCGGCGGGGGGAGGCAGTGCTCCCGCGCCGCCCAGCCCCAGTCCTAGGTCTAGTCCCGTGTCTGGGGGAAACAAGCAGCACAGCTTACGCAGCTTGAGCTGCATAGTGCCTTCCTGCGAGGGATAAAGAGAGGAATGTAGGGTGCATAACACCCACAGCAGCACAGCAATCGACAAGGGCCTTGTTCGGGTTTCCAGGTTTCAAACTCGGGAATGGCCAGGTAGGGATCTAGGTGTAATATAAACCTAGATGAGGCATGCTGGGATTGCACGAAACTCTGACAAAGTAACTTCGCGGCCTTTTAGCATGGCGGGCACCACCATTCAGGGGCACCATTTTCGGCCCCACCAGGTACCCAGTTTCCCACCCTAGCAGCCCACCCCACCCCACCTTTCCTCCCTTCCTCACATACACCAGCAGCGCCTCCCTGCCTCGCCCGCTCTCATCCAGTTGCGCCATCAGCCCCCCGCCACCGCGTGACATCACCGCCGTATACGCCGGCGCATTCCGCGCACGCAGCTCGTTCCCTAGCGGACCCGCATTCATGGCATAAGGCCCATCCGGCGTCCTCGGCCGCTCCAACAATATCTTCACTGCCGTACGTTTGAGACGCAGCAGCGACTCCGGGCCCCGCCAGGCGGTGAAAATGACCTTGTTGATGCCCTCGGCTGCGGCCCTGCGTAGCGCTGCGGGGTCTAGTTCCACGCAGTCGACGCTGCTGTTGGGATCAGCCGGGTTGCGGAAGAAGCGTTTAGCGGCGAAGGCACCCGCGCTGGCGGGGTGCAGGATGAAGGACTTGAAGGCGGCGGGGGTGCGCAGGACGGGTTGGAGGGCGGCGGCCTGGAGAGGAGGAATGGAGGCGGAGGCAAGAGGAAGGGGTCGGACCTCGGAGTTGGAATGAATTGAAGTAATGGACCTACCGTAACCATTGCAACCAGTTACCGGTACTCGTTGTCGCTTTGTGTAAATTGCAGGCGGCTTAGCGATTCCAAAATAGGCAGGCCGGAACGAAGGTGGTTATGAAGGCGCATTTCCGGTAATAGCCCTACAAGGACACACGTGAACCTACCTACACATCAGCAACAGCAACAGCAACAACAACATTGGCAGCATCTTACTTTGGAATCAGCGACCATGAGCGCAATCTGTCGCCAAGGAATGGCGTACGGCGGCAAACCACCACCACCGTCCGGCGCCGCCGTCGCCAGCAACACAGCTAGGTTACGTCGCAACTGGCTTGCTGCCGACGGCCCAGGAAAAGCCATGTAAGCCACATGTTGGAGCGGTGGCGGCCTGTGGTGAACAGCGCCCTCGTCTTCCCCCTCAACCGCCTCCCCGTCAGCACCTGACGTCATCACATCTGCACCCTCATCGTCTTCGAAATCACCGTCTTCGTCGTCCTCGGATTGCATACCGCTGGGACGACTGTACGGCGAGGCTGAATCCGCACCAGGCTTGCCGTACCTTGGAACCAGGCCGGACAAGTTGATATGGATACCGCCTTGCTTGGAGCTGAAACCCGTCCGTACACTGCCGCTGCCGAATTCAGCTTTGAAGGTACCGGCACCTCCGCCATTGCCGCCGTTCGAGGTCGCAGGAAGTTTGCCACCCGCGTGCCACTTCAGCAGCGCTTGTACGTCAAGAAAGACGCAAGCGTCGTACTTGTACGACACGCAGTACAAAAAGGCGCCGCCTGGTACGTCTTCCCCGGCGGATACTCCATTGCTGGGCACGTCAGGAGCCAGCGAGATGAGTTGCTTAATGCGCAGGGAGCCGTCGCGGGGTGTGCAGAGGCCGGCAGCCTCCGTCACGAGTGTGGGGCAGCGCTCGCGGAGGTGACTTGAGAGGCGGGCCTGCAGCGGTGCGGGGTTGAGGTTTGAGGTTTGTGTGAGAGTGAGGTTTATGGAGTCATGGATGCGGGGTTGAGCGCGGATGGGGGTAAGGTGTGAAGGGGCGGAGAGGTGCAGGGAGCATGGAAGGTCGGGTGGAGGGTGGGCAGGGCACAGGATGTGGGATGATGTGGCAGCGCCGAGGGGTGACTGGGCAAGCACAGTGGGGCACAGCAAGGCGAATGCGTCGTCCACATGAGGTCGAGGGAGCCCTTCCCGCGGCAAGAGAGTACCGCAAGACAGAAGGTGCGCTATGGCCATGACACGTAAGCGTGTGGAGGTGCGCATGTGATCCCTGGCGTCTGGCGTCAACCTCCACGCCCTCGTCGGCCCAAGGGAGCTGCATCTGTGAGTAGTCATTTGCATATAACGTTCTGACATCTTGTGTCTTTACGGAGAGGGCATTCGGCATTTCTGTCAAAAATTGCTGGTACCCACTGAGCCCCAGGCATGCAATGCCGTCCAAGCAACATTGGCAGTTAGGCCGCGAAAGCGCTTAGGCTACGTCACCCCCATCGTACAACGAAACACCTATCCACGTACCGCCAAAACGCTGTGCGGCCCAACCGGGCCAGAATCGAAGCTCGCCAGCTCCATTGCGACACGACGTCTGAAGCGCGCCAAAGCGTTATCACCAGGCCAGGCCGCAGCTACCGCAGCCACAATATTATTGCTCATTTGTATAAGCTGAATCAAGCACGCCGCGTAATACGCGTGGCGCCTAACTGTTGCAGTAAGCACGAGCGCGCTGCTGCCTCGGCGCCGTCTGTCCCATTAGGTGAAGCCGGCCTGATGGATGCTTCCCTTAACGTGCAAACCCTTCATCCCAAGTATATTAGCCCGCTTTCACCATCCTGTAAAGGGCCATCTTTCCCTGGCTACGCAGACTCTGGAAGTTACCAAACTTACAGCGATCAGTCTCCACCCATTGGCGCAATCACCTTCGCCACTGGGAGTTTATGAAGAGCTTTCGGCTACATGTGAAGTATGCGAAAGACTGATGCGTACTTGTACGACGGCTTTGGATTGCGACACGGCGTGAAGCGGACGCCCTGTTATACATTTTCTGCAATTTTGGCATCATACATATAGACATTTGCAGCGCGACGTGGCTCGGCATTACCAGACATTACTGCAACATCCTCGGCGCGACCAGCCCTGTCGTCCCAAACTGATCGCGGGCAGGGTTGCGACGAAAGTATATACCAGCTTTTCCACCTGTTAGTTGTAGCGCGCATAGAGCTTGCGATGGCTCGTAAGGCTTTCCCATCTTATTTGGCTCGTAAGGCATTCCCACTCTTACATATGAATTACATTAGGCCTCATAGTCAGCCATTGCCACCCTCCAGATTTGCAGTTCGTAGCATGTGTGTGCAGTGTACAGGCCGACATACACAAACGCATTTCTCAGAAGTTGGTCAGCCAGCAAGGCCAGGCTAGGCAGCCGTAAGCAGCTTGAAGGATGAGAGCGAGTAGCCCGATGCCAGAGCAATTCCTTGTTTGCGCGGGGCGTTGGGGATATCAGGTACTGTGCTAACGTGTGTGCGCACCGCACTTGCCCCGCCGACGAAACACTCCCGTACGGAATGGCACGGCATCGTGACGATGCCCAGGTAGGGACAGAAATGAGTTGACCAGTAAACTTAAGAACCACTCATCACGGCGTTCTGTTGCGTCCGGTTACAAGCGTGCTCAAGTACCGGTACAAGCGAGGACCCAGTGTCATTTGTTGCGGTAGTGCACTTCCGGACAAAAGATCAGTATTGTTTTTACTTCTAGCAAGGTCACTTTTAGCTGTCGACGAAGACTTCACCAATCGGGCTATAACTTGGCAACATGCTGCGGGTAGGCCAAACATGTTATGGATAGGGTGCAAAGCACTATTCTGCACGAATGCAATTTTGGGGTGCAGTAACATGTTATACCAAGGGTGAGGTTTAAGGTTGTTCGAGGCAACATCCATCCATGGCCAGAAGCACGCTCGCTATGCCAAAACGTGTTTCATGAAACTCAGAATATACTGATGTATAGTAGGCCATCGCGCGTGTCTATTGCGTCGAGTTGTCACGTCGCTGCTGTAACTGCCGTTTCGGCATTTCGCCATGCCAGCGCTGCCCTTCGTGAGTCACCGGCTTCTGGCCTCCAGGCGTAACCTACCTGACTTTATCTTCCTTGCCTCGTTGCAGATGTCATCGGACAACCTTCCTCCGGGGAGCGACCCCAGCTTTCTGCTGGACAGTCGCCACACCAAAGAATCTGGCCTCTCACCTGTGGTGGTTCACCGCAACCTATCTCCACCACAGCTTTATGAGCTGGTAAGCTGCGCATCACTACATGTCAATTCACACTGTAACACGCCCAGGACCGGGCCATCAGCCCCTTCTCTGTTGCACAGCTGCTGCTCTGATTTCCTCTCTCCATTGACCAGTCGTACTCCCTTTCCTACCTTTCCATCCCCTGCCGGATCGCCGCTCAGGCTCTTGCCTTCGAGCCCGGCACCTTCCTCACCTCCACCGGCGCGCTGGCTACGCAGTCGGGTGAGCTGCGACGGATGATGTGATGCGTGCGGACTTCGGGGAGGAGGGCAATCCGCAATCCGAATTGTAGGTGCGGGTACCGTGTAGGCATGTGATGAAGAGTGCAGCGTGTCTGCTGTAAGCATGTAGATCCCGCCCTGCAAATCGTAATGACAAAGCCGTGTCCAATGCCTCCTCCTCCTCCCCTCGCGTATCCTTCTTTCCCCTGCCCACGCTGCAGGCGCCAAGATGGGTCGCAGCCCCAAGGACAAGTAAGCAGCTGGGAAGGGAAGGGCGGTGGGAGTGGGGGGTTGTTGAATGGATACAATGTCGCTGTGTTGTTGTCGTCGTAGCACAGTTGCCCCTCCATTCCCAGCAAGCTTCCACCACTGATGTCCCTCCTCTCCCTTCACCCCCTGCTCCCCCTCCCCCCCTCCCCTAACCCGCCTCCCCAGGCGCATCGTTCGCGACCCCGACACCGAGCGCGAGCTGTGGTGGGGTCCCTACTCGCCCAACTACGTGATGGACGACCGCACCTTCCTCACCAACCGCGAGCGCGCAGTGGACTACCTCAACACGCAGCAGCGGGTGTTCGTGGTGGACGCGTTCGCCAACTGGGAGCCCGCCAGCCGGCTCAAGGTGCGGGTGGTGTGCAGCAGGGCCTACCACGCGCTCTTCATGACCAACATGCTCATAAGGCCCAGCGAGCAGGAGCTGGCGGAGTTCGGGGAGCCGGGTAAGGGGGGGGGGGCTGGGGGGCGGGGGAGGGGAACGGCAGTAGTTGCATGCACCGCGGACTGTTACCGCGGGTAACGGTAACGGCTTCCCTGCTCTTACTACCGCGATCTCGAGACCTCTTTCAACCCCGACCTCTGCCCTCTTCCCCCTCCCACCCCCAGACTTTGTGATCTACAACGCGGGTGCCTTCCCCGCCAACAAGTACACCAACGTGAGGGAGGGGGGAGGGGGGGGACCTGGGGGGGGCATGTGGGGTTAGGGGAGGGACTATCCGTACGCCCTGCTGTTGTTGATGCCCTGACTGCTCGCGTGATGTCTGATGTCCATGTGGCAGGTGGTCCTAACCCTTTCCCTCCTCCCCGCACCCGCCCCCTCCGCCCCCCACCCACCCCCCACCTGCCCCCAGTACATGACCAGCCAGACGTCCATCGACCTGAGTCTGAAGCACCGCGAGATGGTCATCCTGGGGACCATGTACGCGGGGGAGATGAAGAAGGGAGTGTTCACGTGAGTGGGGGGGAGGGGCAGGGGTGAGGCCGTGCATGGGCGTCTCATGGGCTATTGACAGGGGTACTTTGCATCAACTCACCAACTCCCTCCCCCCCCCTCCCCCCTTCGCAGGCTGATGCACTACCTGATGCCCATGCAGAGCAAGCTGTCGCTGCACTCGGGGTGCAACGTGGGGGCGGCGGGAGACGTCACGCTGTTCTTCGGGCTCAGCGGAACCGGCAAGACCACTCTGTCGGCGGACCCGCACCGCCCGCTGATAGGCGACGACGAGCACGTGTGGGGCGACAACGGCGTGTTCAACATCGAGGGCGGCTGCTACGCCAAGTGCATCGGACTGCGCCCCGAAACCGAGCCCGAGATCTGGGACGCCATCCGCTTCGGCACGGTGCTTGAGAACGTGGACCTGGACCCCTGCTCGCGTCAGGTGGACTTCTCCTCGCAGCGGCTCACGGAGAACACGCGCGCCGCCTACCCCATCACCCACATGCGCGGCGCGCACCTGCCCTGCACCGCCGGCCACCCGCGCAACGTGGTGCTGCTGGCGTGCGACGCGTTCGGCGTGCTGCCGCCCGTGAGCCGCCTCAGCCCGGAGCAGGCCATGTACCACTTCATCAGCGGCTACACGGCCAAGGTGGCGGGCACGGAGGTGGGCGTCACGGAGCCGGTGGCGACCTTCAGCGCATGCTTCGGGTCCGCATTCCTCATGATGCACCCATACAAGTGAGGGGGCGAAGGAGGGAAGGAGGAGGGGGGGGAGGAGCGGAAGGTCAGGGAGGGAGGCATGACGGGTCGCCCGTTGTGCTGCGCTCGTTGCCTTCCTGAAGCTTGTTTCCGCCTGCTATCCCAACCCGTCCTGAGTCCCCCGCCCTCATTCGCGCCTCTTGCCCCTGCCCCCCCTCACTCCCCGCCCCCCCAGATACGCCATGATGCTGGCTGACAAGATGGCTCAGCACGGCACCACCGCCTGGCTCGTCAACACAGGCTGGACGGGCGGAAAGTGAGTGGGAGGGGGGCAGTGCATGCATGCTTGCACATGCTGGGCTGCCGTACCACTCCACAAGTGCCGTACTTGTGGAGGTACAAAACACACCCCCCTCCCGCCACCCCCCTCCTCCCCCCCAGGTACGGCGTGGGCCGGCGCATCCCGCTGCGCACCACCCGCGCCATCATCGACGCCATCCACAGCGGCGAGCTGGACTCCGTGCCCTTCGAGCCCACGCCGGTGTTCGGGCTGCAGGCGCCCACCCGCGTGGCGGGGGTGGCGCCCGAGCTGCTGCGCCCGGAGGCCACCTGGGCCGACCCGCAGCAGTTCGCGGCCACACTCAACCGGCTGGGACACATGTTCGTGCGCAACTTCGAACACTTCAGGTGGGAGGGGGGCCGGGGGATGGAGGGATGCGGGGGGTAGCGATTAGGGCTGTCAGTGCATGGCGGTTGCCTAGCCCAGTGCGGCGACCACACGCCGGCCGGCCCATCCTGCCTTGTCCTCTGTGCTCTCTGGACGTCCAATCCCACCGGTCTTACCACACGCGCCCCCCCTCCGCCTCCGCCCCCTCCGCCCCCTCGGCCCCCTGCAGCGACGGCGATGCCTTTGTGGGCGGCATGTTGGCTTCCCGCATCCGGGGTGGCGGCCCCTGTCCGGTGCCGGAGGAGGAGGTGGAGCAGCTAGGCATGCGGGCGCTGCGGACGGCTGCCCCGGCTGCCCCTGCTGACGGCCCGGCGGCTCCTGCTAACGGCCCCGCGGCACCTACCCGAGGAGGTTGAGGAGCTGCAGCAGCAGTAGTAGCAGCAGGGGCCCTGACAGGGGGCCGGAAGGGATGCGAGGCAGTAGCAGAGGCAGCAGCAGAGGACTGGTCGCCAGCTGAAGAGTGGCTGGGTGGTAGATGGGTAAAAAGGTAACAGCTAACTGACCGTGCGTGTGGGTGGGCTGCAGGATGTCTGTTTGCAGGAGGCGGGAGGCTTGAGAGGTCTTCTGCGCGGAAGTGGGAATGTTGTTGGAATGGTGTTGCGGTGGCGCGTTGCTGCCTTGGTGACGGGCGTGACGGGGTGTGATGTGACGAAACGGGATGTGGTGTCGGCTGTCAGGTACCGGTAGGATGTGGATTGTGAAGAAAGTATGGTTACCAATGTTTGCTGGCATGCATCTCATCAGGCGGCCTGCTTATTGTAGTGACAGGTAATAATCAGTTGTAGAGTTGCAGGCTTGCTGGCTAGTAGTAATGACCTTCGTTATAAGCTTCCCCTCTGCAGTGAAGAGTGGAGAAGATAGCATGCATGCAAGGAGCGGATGGCAGCAGCACCCGACACATGTACATAGGTAGCATCGTTTCGCTATGGTTGCTCGCTTTTGCCGAAATGTCTTTCAGCTGTGCGCATTGTTAAGCGCTGGCTCGAGCTCCCTTCTAACCGTGCGTTCAGATACCCGCTTCTCTGTTCCCCAAGCGGGGAAGTGTTAGTGCTGCTGGCATTGTTCGTGCTTCGCTGTTTGCTCGGAGGTTCGTTGCAAAGTTTGAGTTGTTGCAGTTTTGCGGGTGTTCCTCATGATTCGTTCTCGTCGTTTTCATGTACAAAGTAGCTGGAGGATGGGCGATGTATTTAGGTTGGCTGTGGCTGTTTCCAGCAAAGTAGGTTTTCGCAGAGCCCACCCTGGTGGTTTTCATGGAAAAGTGGAGTGTATGGCCGCAGTGCCGAGTTTCCACTTTAGCTGCTCGCGGGGGTTGATTCAAACGGCAGCCATGCCATGTTAAGAGACGTGCTCTGCATGCTGCCAACTCATTCTACGGCAGGTTATAAAGCGTGCTAGCGCAGTGTGGAAAGTTGTAGTTTTGGTTTGTCTCGAAGGTTTATCGATTTGTGCTACCAGTATTTCATGTATACCGTTAGGTGCAGTCAGAGTTATTTAAGCAAGAGAGGGCTGTTGTGGTTCAGCTTGTAAGGTTTGATTTGAAGTGGGATCGCGCCTGGCAAGGCGGGGGCCATGTTCGGGGGATGCTGTGGGTTGTGACTGTGACCCATGGGTCACTTCTGCACACGGCAGAAGCGTGCCATGCTGCGGAGATGTACCGTGGGTTTATCGCAGTCACCACCCTCAACGCAGTCGACTGGGCCACTTTCTGTCAACGTTGCTCCCCCCTTTTACGTCACGGCACACCCCCGTCCGTTTTGTGGCGGGCTGCAAGAGATTAAAGAACAATATACATGCCAGCCAGCTGCCTTCGCTTTTGGGCTGGTGAAAGTCATTCCATTGTGACCGGTTTGGCTTCCTTTGCTTGGTATACACTCGGTTGCTCAGTTGCAATCCGACAACCCTCCTCCTTTCCCCGACACAGGTCCGATTGTCTGACAACGCTACGCCACACAGCGGTGCCGCCGTAAAGAAGACTACAACACAATGCAACGTACAACGCGCAAAACGGCACGCATACACACGTTCCTTCCAAAGTAACAAATCCGGAACCAGGCAGTGAACCAAGGGTACACACAACAGCTGTGTAGCCGCAAAGGCCCCAACAGCTGTCCACGCTTGGGACTTGCATAGACTAGCATCCAACGCATCTTATACAAACATATACAAAGCCCGAACCCACGTCTTAGAGGCGGTCCTGTTGGGATGTAATAGCAAATCCCAAGACCCCGCAGCGGTTGGTACAACATGGAAATATCTTTCCATGGGCGGATTCGGTTCCGTACAACCAAGAACCATTTATTCATTCGCGACAAGCGGGCACACAGCGACAAAGAACACCACGGCATGGCCCAGCCACTTCACCTGCCCTGAAATCGCTGTTGGAAATGGGAATGGCAAGCGGGCGTGTGTGTCAACCGGACGCACTCCTGCAATCTCTTATAGCAGGGAACATCAAACACGCACGCAACCGAGAACGCAGCCGAAACATATGGGAGTACAAAGGAGCAGGTCCGATAATAATGTCATATAGAACACTACAACCCCAATTTGTCAGCTCAAGGCGACCCAACCGTAAAAGTCTACAGGCAGATGTTTATTCAAGAGTAACCCAGCTGCTTTCAGCCTGGTCCGTATATGGGAGCTCCTCCCTCCTTTGTGTGCCGTACGTACTAAAACGCCAGCCTGTGTTGCCACACGACCTCCAGCGTGGTCCTCGCTTCCAAACGACCCCCGCACCCTGTTTCTTACACTACACGTCCACGACTAATCCATAATGCCATGAGCTTCCAACATTCCAACATGCCATTCTTGCTTTAGCCATGTTCGCAAACAACATTCCCTGCAGCAGCTTTGTCAAAAAATATCTTCAAAAGGGTAAAAGGTCATTAATGCCCCAACGTGCGCTCGACACGCTCGCACGTTGTGCGCCATCAAACCGACTACTACAACTATCCCATTGAGATGGGAGCAAGGATGAGCTCTAGGGGTAGGCTCCATCAATCCCCACGCAGACCCCACGCAGCACCCACAAGCCACGACCCCATGCGACGACTTCACCTAACAAACACTCTCCTAACCTCGTAGCACGCATGCATGCACGCACGGCACATCCTAGCAGACGCACGCACGGCACATCCTAGCAGACGCACGCACGGCACATCCTAGCAGATGCACGCACGGCACATCCTAGCAGACGCACGCACGGCACATCCTAGCAGACGCACGCACGGCACATCCTAGCAGACGCACGTACGCATGCAATCACGCCGCCGGCATGCCCACGCAACTACTCCAACTCCCAACACACGACGGCACGACGCCACGCAGATAGCCGGTTGGTTAGTCGGGTGGGTGGTTAGTTGGCCGCCTTGGCCGCCGCCGGTGGCGGCGCCTGTGCAGCTGGTGCGGGCCCCTCCGGCTTGGGCCCCCCGTTGCGGATGCGCTGTACCAGCTCGGGGTCCATGAACGCATCACCGTCGCTGCGCCGGAAGGTTGGAAGTGGACGGTTGGGGTGGTTAATAGGAGGTGGTTGGGAGGAGGTGAGTATGCAGGAATTAGGTATGTAGGTGAACAGCGGAGCTTTGAGTGATTTGGTGAAGACACGGACAGGCAGGACAGGGGATGACGATCTTGCTTCTTTTCGAAACTTCCACGCTACAGCCTCAGTTTCCCCCATCCCGCCCCTCTTCCCCCTTCTTTGGGAATACTAACCAACACTTTGTCTTGTGGCGCCCTGCCAACTCCTACCCCCATTGCTTTGCCCTAACTTGTGGTCTCCTATGGTTTGGTATGGTCTTTGACCCCCCCCCCTGCATGCCCTCCCACCTGAAGTGTTCGAAGTTGCGCACGAACATGTGTCCCAGCCGGTTGAGTGTGGCCGCGAACTGCTGCGGGTCGGCCCAGGTGGCCTCCGGGCGCAGCAGCTCGGGCGCCACCCCCGCCACGCGGGTGGGCGCCTGCAGCGCGAACACCGGCGTGGGCTCGAAGGGCACGGAGTCCAGCTCGCCGCTGTGGATGGCGTCGATGATGGCGCGGGTGGTGCGCAGCGGGATGCGCCGGCCAACACCGTACCTGGGGGGAGGAGGGGGGTGGCGGGAGGGGTGTGTGTTTTGTACCTCCACAAGTACGGCACTTGTGGAGTGGTACCGCAGCCCAGCATGTGCAAGCATGCATGCACTGCCCCCCTCCTGCCCCCGTCCTTCCCTCTCACTCACTTTCCGCCCGTCCAGCCTGTATTGACGAGCCAGGCGGTGGTGCCGTGCTGAGCCATCTTGTCAGCCAGCATCATGGCGTACCTGGGGGGGGTCACCACGCGAGTAGTGGGGGGGACAGGAGGTGAGAGCGAGCTTAACGTGAACAGCACATCACCCCCCCTTCACCCCGCCCCCCTCACTTGTATGGGTGCATCATGAGGAATGCGGACCCGAAGCACGCGCTGAAGGTTGCCACCGGCTCCGTGACGCCCACCTCCGTGCCCGCCACCTTGGCCGTGTAGCCGCTGATGAAGTGGTACATGGCCTGCTCGGGGCTGAGTCGGCTCACGGGCGGCAGCACGCCGAACGCGTCGCACGCCAGCAGCACCACGTTGCGCGGGTGGCCGGCGGTGCAGGGCAGGTGCGCGCCGCGCATGTGGGTGATGGGGTAGGCGGCGCGCGTGTTCTCCGTGAGCCGCTGCGAGGAGAAGTCCACCTGCCGCGAGCAGGGGTCCAGGTCCACGTTCTCAAGCACCGTGCCGAAGCGGATGGCGTCCCAGATCTCGGGCTCGGTTTCGGGGCGCAGTCCGATGCACTTGGCGTAGCAGCCACCCTCGATGTTGAACACGCCGTTGTCGCCCCACACGTGCTCGTCGTCGCCAATCAGCGGGCGGTGCGGGTCCGCCGACAGAGTGGTCTTGCCGGTTCCGCTGAGTCCGAAGAACAGCGTCACGTCTCCCGCCGCCCCCACGTTGCACCCCGAGTGCAGCGACAGCTTGCCCTGCATGGGCATCAGGTAGTGCATCAGCCTGCGGGTGGGGGGGGGAGAGCGGGGGGGCATGTGACGAGAAGGAAGGCAAAGCACCCCTGGCATCAGCCCATGAGACGCCCATGCTCGGCCTCTCCCCCCTCCCCCCCACTCACGTGAACACTCCCTTCTTCATCTCCCCCGCGTACATGGTCCCCAGGATGACCATCTCGCGGTGCTTCAGACTCAGGTCGATGGACGTCTGGCTGGTCATGTACTGGGGGCGAGGTAGAGGAGGGGGCGGAGGGGAGGAGGGAAAGGGTTAGGACCACCTGCCACATGGACATCAGACATTACGCAAGCAGTCTGGGCAGCAACAACAGCAGGGCGTACGGGTAGTCCCTCCCCTAAGCCCACATGCCCCACCCCACAGGTCCCCCCCCTCCGCCTTCCCCCCCTCACGTTGGTGTACTTGTTGGCGGGGAAGGCGCCCGCGTTGTAGATCACAAAGTCTGGGGGCGGGAGGGGGAAGAGGGCAGGAAGGGGGGCAGTACGGGGGAGGCGGGTTAAACAGGGTCGGGATTAAGAGGACCCCGGCACCCCTAAGAGCTAGGAAGCCGTTACCGTTACCATTACCCGCGCAAACCCCCATGTGCATGCAACTACGCCCCTTCCCCTCCATACCTCCCCCCCAGCCCTCTTCCCCCCAGCCGCCCCCTTACCCGGCTCCCCCCCCCTCACCCGGCTCCCCGAATTCTGCCAGCTCCTGCTCGCTGGGCCTTATGAGCATGTTGGTCATGAAGAGCGCGTGGTAGGCCCTGCTGCACACCACCCGCACCTTGAGCCGGCTGGCGGGGTCCCAGTTGGCGAACGCGTCCACCACGAACACGCGCTGCTGCGTGTTGAGGTAGTCCACTGCGCGCTCGCGGTTGGTGAGGAAGGTGCGGTCGTCCATCACGTAGTTGGGCGAGTAGGGACCCCACCACAGCTCGCGCTCGGTGTCGGGGTCGCGTACGATGCGCCTGGGGGGGGAGGAGGGAGAGCAGGTATTGGTGGTGGGGATCAGGGAGTTAATGTTGTCGAGGTGTTGTAGGTGTTGCCGTACTGTCCACAGGTGCCGTACGGCACCCCGTCGTTGCTGTTTAGTAGCCGTTCACAACCTCGGGTCCGGCAGCATCAGGCACTGTAACCTCCGTGCCTTCCCTCCTGTAAGGAACCCGCGCATCTGTGCATGCCACGGTAGGCTCCTTGCGACTTACTTGTCCTTGGGAGAGCGACCCGTCTTTTCGCCTGCAGCAGCAGGTGGGGGTTATAGTCAATGGAGATACGGCGTGGCGGAGAGCGCGGCCCGTGACTTTCCCTGGTCTGTTACTACATCTGCCCGGTGCGCCACAGCTCATACCTGATCTGGTGGCTAGCGCTCCCGTGGAAGTGATGTAAGTGCCTGGCTCGAGAGCAAGGGCCTGAGCAGTATTACAAAGGGTAGGTGAGCCGGAAGCGAGGAAACCAAGCCGCACATTACCGCATGCGAGCGAGCGAGGGACCGCGGCTACGTACCAGCTCATATAGCTGCGGTACAGACAAGTTGCGGTATACGACTTGAGGCTGTAACCCGGACTCCTTCGTGTAGCGGCTTTCCTCAAGGAACTTCTTGTCGCTTCCCGGGGGCAGGACGTCGCCGACATGCGGCATCATGTACTGCAGCCAGGTGAATCCAGGTACCGTGGTGAAGCTAGCAGTCTATAAAAGGATGGAAGCGTAACACTTGCGAGCAGTTACGAGAGTGGCTGCATGTACAGGAAACAGCCCGACGATTCAACTGCTGCAAGTCGCAAGTCATGTTGCCAACAAAGCCCAGGAGGGACAAATAAAATGAGTTTAATGCAATGATCATGGGCAGGCTGCATACGATACTCATGACTCTCGCTTACGTGCAAACCTACATGTGAGCTCACGGAGAGTTCTAACCAGCAATCCTTACCCGAAGCGACGTTCTGGAATGGCCATTCTTAGACTGGCGATGTAAAGGAGCCAGTTTCGGTACCGGCTTTGCAACCCGGCGACATGGCGCAGCGAGTCCAGTAGTGTTCCGACACTTTGAAACGCCAAATAGCGCTTTCCTGTCAGCAAGTCCCCAACTATGCATCCTTGAAGAGCTTTAGGGTAAATAGTAATTGAATATTATCGGCACTTCTGCTGATTCCGCAGGATACTTACACTGCGTCCACGCAAGCATGCGCTCCAGGAGGGCCATGCAACGTGGGCTTTGCTAGGGCGCTCACGATACGCAAAATTTGCAGTGGCATAAGATGCATTGCAATCGACTCCCTTCCTGCGCATCCAGTCTTAGTGTGCCCCAGGTCCTACCTTACTAACTGCCACAACGTACAAAAGTACATTGAATGTACCGGCCTTGCGCGACGGATAAAGGTCCGGCCGTTACCCGCATATAGCAACGAACTGTAGACTCATCAACGAAAGCGCCTACTGCAACGAAACAAGCGGTACTTTGTGACCAGCAACGTGTTCCTCGGGTCATGGCATGCGGCCGGACGCTCTGCGAAAGGTCACATATCCAATGCTCATTTGTGCGAGACCTACTGTCAAGGATCTGCGTGACCAATTCCAACTGCCATTGTTTATGTCGATCGCACTCACGAGCCCATCTCAGCCTCCATCCTGCATATGCAGTAGCATGCGCCCTACACAACTACGCCCTGCTAACCATTATTCCTGGCACCTGCAACAACTATGTGGAACTCATCACACGCTTACCGGTACTGTGGGCAGCACCGCGCTGGGATAGTACACGTGCGCACTGTACAATGGAGTTCAGCGTCCACAGAATTGCAAACCGAAAGCCCATGATGCATTCAATACAAGCCCCTCTGCTGTAGCAACGTTGCAGCCACATCCTCGCAAGTTTAACGGGTTTAACGGGTTTAACTTGCAGTGGGGCCACAGCCGGCAACCCTACCTAAGAGCGTCCCAACGCAACGAAAACACCCCTTTGTCGCAAACCGCTTAACTGCAATCCACCATGTCACACCCTATCGCCGGCAGCAGCATTCCAGCGACACCATCAAACCAGACGCTGGTTGCATACCGGTAACAACAGCGATGAGACCTCACAACACGGCCTGCTGCTGCTGCAGCTTCTGTTGCCACCGCACCCCACCACGCCCCTTTTACTACTATCTACTGCAGTGGCTGCCGCGGCTGCAGTGGCTGCTGCTGGGGACTAGCACTTGCCACTGCGGTCTCAAGTAATCCCGCTGTCTGCGCCCCAGCCGGCAGCCCCCCAGCCATCACACGGCCTGCACGAGCGGTGCCGCCACCGCCGCCGCTGTTGTTGTTGACGTCGGCTGCGCCCTTGCGTTGCGAAGCTCGACGTCCAGCGACGGCGGCGCCGCTACGGTCCCGCCTGCGCCGCTTGTGACCGTGACCGTCACTTCTGCTACTCCTGCTGCTGCTGCTGCTTCCGCCGTGGTAGCGGTGATGACGGCGGTGGCCATGCGAGCGGCGACGTCTGCGACCCCGGCGCTCGCTGTCTGCATCACTGTCCTCAGTGCTGTCGCTGTTGCTGCTGCTCGTGTCGGTGCAGCCGGAGGTGCCGCAACAGCTGCATGAGCGGTATCGCCGGGACCGCCTGCGGTGTCGAGTGCAGCGGCTGCAGCTTCGATCGCGGCTGCAGCGGTGGCGGCTGCGACTGGGGCTGCGGTTGCGCCGCCGCTTGCTGCAGTCCCTTCGGCGCTCCTCTCTCCTCCGGCAACCTCCTACACGGTCGTCAAGGGCCGACTGCCGTCTGCACCTTCCTCCACGACGCTCCTCCTGGTTGCCACCCGCAATAGCCGCGCTTCCATGCGCTTCCATGCGAGCTGTGCCATTGCGGTGCCCAACCTGCTGCTGCCCCTGCTGCTCCGGACCGCCACTCCCCCCGAGGGCTACAGCTTTAACTGCCGGACCTTGTACAGTTGCCGCCGTACGTTCCGTCGGGGGAAGGCCCCTTCCAGCGGTAACGGCCGCAGCAGGTGCAAGTCCGCGTCCTCCTCCCGCCGCGGCTGCTGCTGGTGGCAGCTCCGCTGACCCATGGGTCATCAAACCCTCCACTGCTGCAGTCGTCGTAGCTGCTGCGGAAGCGACAGCAATAGCACCGGGCGTCTCCTCCGCTACAGCCGCTGCCCGGGCGTACAACAGGGCTGTCGTGCTAATGCCGTAGTGCTGCAGTACCTCCCATCCGAACCGCACACCCGACCGCCAGTCGGCGCCGCAGTCCCTGAACAGCGGCTCCTCGGCGGAGATGTCACGCAGAGCCACCAGCACGAGCAGCAGCAGGCCGCGCACGCAGACAGGGACTAGCTGTAGGGGGCACACAGGGTGCACACAGGAGAGGTTCAGGGAGACGTGGAGAGACATACAGGATTTTGCTAGAGCGACAGGCCTAACGTCATGACACTATCACCAGATGCTGCATTTTCACCCAGGAAGGGCCGGAAGGCAGCATGCGGAATTACCGGCAAAATGTGCAACAAAGACACAACGCACTGCACCCCACTCCGCCCCGCCCACCCACCAGACAGTTCGCCGTCGCCATCGCGGGGCTCTGCTCGCCGCCTCCGCTCCCTGACTGCTGCCGCCCGGCGACAGACCGCCCGGGAACGACCCGCGGGTCAGTCACCAGCGACAACAGACTGCCGTACCCGAGCATGTGCAGCTCGAGCGGCGACAAGCCTAGCGGCGGCAGCGGCGCGACAAGGAGTGCGCAGGGGAGGAAAGGAAGAGTGTACCGGTAAGCGTCGTGATTGTCTACCGATGTATAGCAAGCATATGACGGCAGAATGTACGGCACGGAGAAGATAATAAGGTGGCAGGGCAATCACCACACGACATGTCATAGCGCATCGTACACCAGCACCAGCACCAGCAGCGAAGTAGCACATAAAGGAAGCGGACGTACCTGGGTACCCTGCCGGCGCCATGTCCGCATGACCCGCGTACGGTGCTCTGTACCAGTTCGTCAGGAGGTTCCAGCAAAGCCCCTCATGCGCATCCTCGGCAGCAGCCGCCTGCGTCCCTCCCCGCCCACCACCACCACCACCACCACCACCACCACCGCCGCCACCCGAGCGGGCGCGTAGCTCGGCACGCGCAGCTTCCGGCAGCCCCTCGTACCCGTGTTCCACAAAGTCCCGGCCTCCGCAACCTTGCTCCTGTACGTAACCCGCCATGCAGCCGATTACCGAGTTGCGGCGAACCACCTGCGTCGCATACACTCCCACCGAGCCTCCACCGCCGCCTCCGCCTCCCTGCGACGGCTCCTGCACCACTCGTAGCTGCAGACCCACGGGACACACCGGGCCCTCCGGAAGCGGTATGCCGCACGATTCCCTACTGCCCCGCAGACCTAATCCCGCAGCTAACTCGTAGCAGATGACGCTACTACTGAGGTTTTCGCGACGAAACACGGCGTGCCAGTGCTCGGAATTGCACGGCAAGGCCGGCTGCGCCGCCACCCTCGTTTCCCCGTGCGACAACGCTGGATCAGTGTCAATTCCGGGGATGAAGATCTGATCCTTGTACGACAGGTCCTTCACGGTATTGCATGACCGGCGATTGCAGACGCGTGCCGTCCATGCTTCCATGCAGCTCAGCACCCGGGGAGCTAGGTTCGGGTGCAGGGTGAGACCGCACACTCGGTGTTCTCCGGGCTGCAGCGCCGGCGGTCCGCCGGCCTCGACTGGCACGTAGCCCGACAAGTGGGCTGCGGATGTGAAGGAGGCAGCGGGCAGGACCAGGGGCTCCCTAGCCTGCACCGCCTCCGCTGCCGCCTCCACGGGAGCAGTGGCTGCTGCAGGCTGCTGCGCCTCCAATGCTGTCCGGCGCATTGGGGGCTCCTCGGGGTCCCGGGTCGCATGTCCCGGCCCCGCTTCACCTTCCTGGCGGTTGCTGGGAGCCCCTCCGCTGCTGCTGCAGCCGACGAAAGGGGCATGCATGAGCGGTGGCGGTGGTGGCGGAGGCGGAGAAGGAGACGCGGAGGTGGCGACGGGTGGTGGGCCCGCAGCACCGGTGGGTGCAGAGGGAGCCGCAGCCGGGGCCTCGGACGTGGGCTGCATCGTGGCCGTCGCGGGCGGGAACCCAGGAGCTCCCGGTCCCAAGCCGCCGGTAGCAGCCGCGTGCGCGACCGCACCCGCCCCTGGAGTAACGGCTGCCGGCATCGCAGCGTCAATGAGTGCGGTGTCAATGAGCGCATCACTGCGAGCACAGGCGGCGGTGGCGGCGGTGGCAGCGGCGAGGACATCACCTACGCCGCCCCTGGCATCCCCATCCACCGCCACCGCAGCAGCGGCAGCAGCAGGCGCAGTAGCAGCAGCATTGTCATCCGTCGGGCGGATCTCGGCCTGCTCAGCGCCGCCAGTCTCTTCCATCGTGCCTGGGCCTCCCCCCGTGTCCATGTCCTCACGTTCGCCCTCCACCTGCCCACCATTCCCACGGCCCGCCCCTTCCCTCTCCTGGCCCGCTAGGCTGCCCGAGCCAGCTGCCGCTTCCAAGCCCTCGCTGCCCGACCGGCCACCCCCCGCGCTGGAAGGGACCATGTTACCCTGGCGGGCTTCGCGAGCGGCAAGCAGTGCTGCACGCGCGATGATCCGCGGGTCGCGACACTTATAGAGTACAGCGTAGGTGACCCGCGGGTCTCGGCAGCCAGGAATTTGAGCAACTCCCGTTACGGCTTCCGGCTTGCTTCCTCCTGCATTGCTGCCATCGCCTCCTAAGGCCGAATCCAATTCCGTTGCTGTATTATGACTGACTGGGTGGACCGAAAGCCCTTGAACCGATCCGGTAACAGCCCCAGCAGCAGCGCCCCCAAAGCCACCAGAACCAGAAGCAACGGCTGCATTGGCGCAGCAAGCACCAACACCCTCATCGGGAGCAGCAGTGCCCTCGTCGACATCAGCAGAAGCAGCAGAAGCAGCAGCAGCGGCGGCGCAGGCACCAGCGCCAGCAGAGCCCTCTCCAGCAACGGCTGCCGACATGACAGCACAGCCCTCGTCGGCTCCGAGGCCCATGCCGCCCGCACCGGATACGACGCTGGCGGCGGGGCCCGCATCTGCACCGACCGCACCCGGGCCGCCGCGGACGCCGCCAGCGGCAGCGCCGGTATCTGCTGTAGCAATAGCAGCATGCGCAGCATCTTCAGCAGCACCCCTGCCACAGACGGCAGCACCGCCCCCCCCAATACCAGGCGTGACAGCGCCGGTACCGCAACCTCCCACAGCATCCTCTTGCACTGCAGGAGCAGCCGCCAGAGTGCCCCCGTCGACGACCACATCACCGCTTCTGCTGCTGCCGCTGGCGCCCTCCCATGCGCCCGGGAGCTGCTGCCCCGCGAGAGCGACAACGTCCAGAGGAGCTGCTGCCTGGTCGCCATCAGCGACATGGCTCCCGCATCCCGCTGCCTCTGCCCCTCCTGTAGCACCGCTCTCTTGCGCATCCGCACTTGCACACCCGGTGGCGGCACCGGCGCCGGCAGCGGGGGTGGAGCCGGCAGCTGCGGCAGCGCCGTGCATGACAGCATGTGTTGCCGCCACAGCAGGCCCCACAGGCTGGGCGTCTTGGCCGCAAGCCGCAGCAGCTGTGGCCGCGTTGCCAGTGTTGCCGTCGCCAGTGTTGTTGTCGTCGGCAGCGGCGTCGTCGACGGTGGCGTCGCCAGTGTTGTTGTCGGCGACGATGGCGTCTGAGGCGGTGGCGTCATGTGCACCAATGGTGGATGTCCGCTGAGGCGGTGGCTCTGATTGGGACCCAGCAGCGACGGAGGCGTCTGATGCAGCAGCAGCAGCAGCCGCACTCCCGCTTGCGTGGCTCTCAGGTGCAGGTTCAGGGCTCAGGTGGGCTGCTGCGCTGCCGGCGCCAGCTGCCTCGTCCACGGACCCGTGGGTCGCCGCGCCCGGGGCAGCTGCCTCGTCCACGGACCCATGGGTCGCCGCGCCCGGGGCAGCGGCGTCATCCGCGGACCCATGGGTCGCCGCGCCCGGGGCAGCGGCGTCATCCGCGGACCCATGGGTCGCCGCGCCCGGGGCAGCGACGTCCGCTTGGCCGTTGGGGGCGTTGGCTGCGTGTTGGTTGCCGTCGTTGCCCGCGTGGGGGTGTTCGTCAGCCGCTGCGGCGCCTTCTCGGGGCTTGTGGATGCAGCGGATGTAGTACGTGGTCTGAGGTCAAGGGGAGGCAAGTCGGTTTGGAAAGGAGTGGCTTAGCAACATGGCATGACTACTGCTCTGGCAAGCAAAGAAGCGCCAAGGAGCGCGAGTCCGGGAGGGAATGGGGCGGAAAGGAGCGGCTGATAATCTAAATGGGACATGAGGACAGCAGGTTGGGTGGTCCGCGGCTCTCGTCACGCAACGTGATGAGCAACATCTCCATCCTTAGTAGGATGACACCGCAATGCACGAATAAGGATGAGGACGATGGACCCGTGGGTCACTTATTGTTCAGGTCCGGGCACACGCTGCCGAGTGGCCATGCCACACCCCCATGTCGCCATGTGTGCACACCCGGACAACTTCAGCAGTACACTTCACCCCTCCCTCCCTCACAGCGCCCGCCCCAGTGGCTCTCACCAGGTCAATCTTTTCAAACCTGACCACATCCTCCACCCGCGCCTCGTAGTGGTCATACAGTTCCTTCATTTTATCTTCTTCTATAATAATGTCTTGGGACCTGCGTTTCGTCGGCCTGACCTGCAGAGGCGGCAGTCGAGGGTGCGGTTGTTGCGATGTTGGCTTTCGCCTTGACGGCTGTTTTGGGCTGCCAAGAATGTGCACGTAACGAGCGTGCGTGCGTGCGTGTGACATGTGGACACGGGGACGTCTCGGGAGGGCAGCAGTTCACTGAGGGGTGCAGGGCAGCCGGGCGGCGTCTCAAGCCAACATTGCAAACGTTGCATCAGCCGCTGAACAAACACCTGTGCAGCCACTCCGCAACCACGAGCTCTCATCCCCCCTCCCCCCGTTCAACACGCCGCACTCCAGCACCGCCACCGCATGCTCCCCAGCGCACTGTCAACCCACCTGCCACTAAACCTTCCGGCATATCACAGTACATTCCGACTCGCGGCCAGAGATGTTACCAACCCACCTGCCACTTCGGGGCGCCGTTCGCATCCACGAATGTGATCTGTCCGAGCTGCCCGTGTTTTTTCAGGTCGTACAGTTCCTTAAACACTCCGCCCTCCTGGACCATGGCCCCGCACAGGAGGATTCGCTTGTTACTTACGAAGCTCTCACACAGCGATCTGCCATCTGGGTAGATGTCGGAAGGGGGGCCTGCCTTCCGCCTACCCTGGTTCGGCCGACACCCCGCAACCGCCTCCCCTGAGCTGCCAGATGCAACGGCTTCCTGTTGCCGCCGCCGCTGCTGCTGCCGTTGTACTTGCTGGCTGGCCGAAGCGTCGCTGGCAGTCCGTGCGCGGGTCCGTCTGGTTGTGCCATCAGCAGCAGCAGCAGCAGCAGCAGCTCCAGCCGCCTGAGAGTTGCCAGCCTCGTTCTTTCTCTTGCGCCGGACCCGTGGCGTTGGGGCCTGCGGTTGGTCGTTTCCGGACGGGGTCCGTGCGGGTCCCTGTGCGGGTTGCTGCTGCTCCTGCTGTGGAGGGAGTGGCTGAGCTGGCTGCGGTTCCAAGGGTGCGACATGTGACGGCTGCTCAGAGGAGGGTAGGTGAGGAGGGTGTTGCGGCTGTGGCTCCTGTTTTTGCTGCTGATGGTGCTGTTGCGGCTGCTGTTGGGGCTCTTGTAATGGCTGCTGCTTGGGCTCTTGTAATGGCTGCTGCTGGGGCTCTTGTTGTTGCTGCTGCGCCTCCTGTTCTTGCTGCTGCGCATCCTGTTGCTGTTGTTGTTGCGGTAGTTCGTCAGGGGCGGCTAGAGGCTCGCTAGCGCCTGTGGTTGGCATGGATGGAAAAGGACTGGACTGACGGAGGAAGCAGCAAAACCGTTCGCAATGCTGTCGCAAATACGTCACTGAGAGTTGACACTAGGAGCAAGATTCCCCAACAGTGAAGGTTGAAGGTACCGACTGAAAAATACATGTTCTCGATCCGCACCAGCGACCATGGATGGATGGGTCGCTTTATCCGTTGGCCTAAAGATACAGTGTGCTTGCATTAACGCGTAAGACGTAGCAATATTTTAGTTTGTGGACTAACGTTTGGGGCTTGGTTGCAAGAATCATGAAGCTAGTATGGCATGGCAATGCACCTCCTTGCGCCACTCACCTGTCCCCATAGACTGACTGTCGTCTCGGTTACATGTACTCCTATATTCGAGCATTCCTTGCTTTTGTTCATTATAAAGCATTTCAAGGAAGCCTCCCGAGGTAGAACCGTGCCCAGGCTCAGGGAGCGTCATCCGTCACCGTTGCCCATAAAGCACCACAAGCGGTAGCGGTTTTCAGATCTGCCGAGGCATGGCTCCGTCTGCACGGCAAAAGCTGTAGCCGAGTAGCGAACAACGAACGCGTGAACATATACCTTGAAGGGCTTTGTCTATCCCCTATTTCGTCTGTACCGATGTTAACGTTCCAGTTAACTTTGCTGTTGTGGGACAAAAGTGATGAGCGGTTATGAGATCAGAGGTTACCGTACTGTACGATCCAACTGTATGCGTCAGGTAACCTTACAGGTTTACAGCCCGACCCCATGTCGCCCGCTAATGTCCTGACTCCCCTGTAATACTCGCATTATGCAGCAAATGGTGTGCCTCTATCGCTTCATGCCCATGTGCGTTCGCTGCACGTATGGTGTCGACGCCGGCATGTTGGTCATTGCAGTTACCAGCAAGGCAAACGAGAAAGAGAGGCCTAGGTCATAGCCCACAACAGCGTGCTCCTTGTCAGCACGCTCCACTTGCATGGAGCCCTGGCAAGGCCTGCATCATGAGGCCACGCATGTCTGCCCGCAGCTGTGCAAGCACCCGCCAGCAATCTATCCCGCCACCCGCAGTTCGTCATACGGCCGGACTCCCAACATCCCTCCCCGGACACCACACACTGGTTTTCCTTCGTTTCCCCGCACACAAAACCCCGAGCAACTCGGTTCCGCAGCCTCGGTTAGCAGTATCCGAGGTCATGCAAAAAGATCCCTAGACTCTAACCGCAGCGTTGCGTCTTTGGTGTCTCAAGGCAGACCATGTAACCGCAAGCGCCGATCCACCAATGCTCGATACCACCAAGAACTCCAAGCTGCGCCCATTCGGTTTAAGGCTTCAAGCAGTAGCTCGCGACCATCAGGCTGGCGTTGACGATGCAACCCAGTATCAGCACCTGCGTTCGGGTTACCAGGGCAGGCAGGCTACTGTTAGGACGCATCGCAGCGCAGATCTTCCCACATTGAATCTGTGTTAACCCCAACCCTCACCGCCACTCAACATAACGGCAAGGAAGCCAAAGGCACGCGGGGCAACGCCGCCGAGCCTTCGGCCCACAACTACACCTCTGCGCACCAGGAGACGAGGCAGCTAGCCTAGCGTGAAACAGTTGTGCCTGACAGCGCTTACTGACCCAGGCGAGGGAGGTTTCCTCGTGTGCCGGAGCTGCCCCTCATCACCTGATGCCCCCAGCCACATTGGCAACCGACATTGGCTGGACAAGGAAGGGCGAAGGGCAGAGGAAAGAGTGCGAAACCCCATTCCAGGAAGCGGTCGCAGTATGCCATCACAACAGAAAATCTGTAGCAAGCCCATCAGCCGGACACACATTTAACAGCTAGTCTTCCCATTACCTGCCTGAAAACTATGCTCAGACAATGACTCACCCAAGAAAGTGCGAAGCAGTAGCCTTGCCTCCCTGTGTCGAGTGCGCCAAACTGCGCAGGTTGCCCCATCGCAGGTGGCATGCGTGGCTATTGCCAGCAAAAGCGTGAACCATGCCACTGCCCTTGCGCCTGTTCGAGCCTCTTCGGTTCGAGCCTCAAGGGCGTCTCGCAGCCCTCTGTCTGATGCTAGTGTCGCTACAGCAGAAACACTGCTACTATGTTTTACCCGCACAGCCAAACTGTGATTATGCATGCGTCCTCACGTGCCTAGGGCCTCCCTACGTACATGCGCCCCTATCTACCGGTACATACAGGTGGCCAACACTCCAGCCCCAACAACCACTCAACGGTGTCGTGGCACAGCAGGCATCACAGTGGCGCTACACAGGCACCCTAAAAACGCTTCATCCTTCCTTAAGCCCCCTAGACCAGCCTAGACCCTGAATCCTAACCTCCACCAGCAACAACCGCTGCAACCACTGGCAACCCCAGCGGTCCCGCCGGCGCGGCAGCGTTATCCTCAGACGCAGCAGCAGCAGCAGACGGGGAGCGAGGGCGGAGGCAGCCGGGCAGGAAGCGCAGCGGCCGGCGTGCGTTACGACCCCGGCCTCCACTGCGGCGAACCGCACCGCCGCCATGGCAGGCATGATAGATGCGCTCGGCATCATGAACCAGGCCGATTACATCATGAGGGCGAGGAAAGCGGTTGGCAAACTGTCGGGGACAGGGTTGTTGAACACTGGAGGCGCTTCAGTAAAGGGTTCACTCATGCCAAGCAAGGACAACACGATGTTGTTGAGTGGTTGGCAGCGGGGTGTGAGTTACAGATTAAGCCGACGAGAGAGAACCAGGGAAAACAGCAGCAACCCGCATAGCCGCCACTAGCTGCCCCTCATCCCCCCCACCTGAACGACCTCCTCCAGGTCATGGCAAGCCAGCAGCGCCCTCCTCTGGGCCCGCAAGGCTGCTGCTACCACATACACCCGCAGGTCAGCCACAGGCGCCTTGGCTGCGGCTGCAACCATGACCCCATCAGCTGCGGATCCACCGCAAGCCCCCAAAGCCCCCAGGCACGCAGCGCTGCCGAGAGGGCCCCACGAACCCTCCTGCATCGCAGCGGCCCCGGCAGCTGCGACAGCCTCGCCTTCGCCCTCAGTTATCGCTTGCTCATGTTCCAGCGCCTGTCCTGTCATACCTCCTTCCATGTCAGGCGAGCCCACATCGCCTGCGGTCGGAACCCCTTGCTGGACGTCCCTAACTTCCCGTCCGTCGTGAGCCCCGCCGCTAGGCCGCCGGCGACGTAGCTGCAGCCTCCGGGGCTGGCTGCGCTGCTGCTGGTGGTGGTGCTGTGCGCGTGCTATCAGCGCCTCACTCGCCCACATGCACTCCCACAGCGTGAACACATTCGGCCAGGCGACCTCACGGCGGAGCTGCAGCAGCAGCATCTGGAAGGCGAACACGTAGCTGCCGGCGCCGATGCGGACCAGGTGCCTGGCGTCGGGGGGGCAGGCGTGGGTCCGGGGAGCGGGTAAGGTGAGGGCAGAGGAGGAGGAGGCGCGACTGCTCGGCAGGACGGGATAGGGCATGGCGGCATGTTGAGGAACATGGGCGAGGCCTGGCGCGCCTGTGGGGCAGCTATACCGCTGGAGCTGGTGCCGTACAGCAGCTTTGTTGCGCGGGCACCTGTGAAGTCGGTGATCCACGCAGTCCAAGGCCCAGCCCAGCTGCCACAGCTGCCGCTGCATGTCCAACATGCCGGTGAGGAAGTTTGCGCGGACCCGGGCCATCAGGCCTCGAAAGGTGGCGAAAGCCTGTTCATGTTACGAATTGACAGGGTGTAATTGGTGAACAGCCTTCGGCAATGGAGCAGGGGTTCATTGCTGGTGTGTAAACCCCAGTTAGCGGGCTTTCGCTAGCTAAGTATCGTTCAGACAATGAAGGTGCAACCTGTCTACGTCGTACGCTTTCGTGCACAAACCTGCTCATCGTCATCATATAGTTGGAGCGGAACGATGCACAGGTCGGCCATTCCCTGGCAGTAGCCAACCTCACAGTCGTACAAGGCGTACGCGGTCAACAGACGGCGCAGGCGGGTGATGCCCTCAGGTCGTGCAGCGCCTCGCAGCATAAGTGGCTCATCGGAGATGCGATGAGCATCCATTCCAATGCGACCAATGGTTTGCTCCCAGGGCTCCGAGCCGCCCTGCAGTTACCAGCTGATTCGAGTAACTAGGGGCAGATGCGCAGTGGTGCGTGGAGGCCCTGGACGACGGCATGTGCGGAAATTGATACGCAGCACAGGAGGGTACAACAAGCGGTCATCACTGCATATCTTACGCGTCAGCCCAAATGGTATGTAACCGTGCCCGCTGATTCCAACCGCTTGTAGCAATGGTCAAAACGGCACCATAGGGAATTATCTATCACAGACATCTCTGCAGGTCTAGATAACATAGCGCCGCCGGCTAACCTTTTCGGCATAGAGCGCGGCAGCTCGCTTGTGCTCGGAGGCAACTCGAAGCAATGGCCCTAGCCCCGCCGGTGGCCCTGCTTGCTGCGTACCGGTGAGCAATCTTGGCCATAGACGAGCTCTCAGTTTCAAGGGGATACCGTTAGAACGAACCAGAAGTAAGAATGCCTCTTCCCCGCGAGCACAGTACTGTTCTAATGCTTGCATGTCGGTTTCAGGGACGACGGAATTGAGCTTGGGCATTGCATTGAACGGAAAAAGGTAGATAGCTGTCTTTGCCGTTAGCAATTCTGCTGCTTTACAACTGAAGTTGCCGGACAGGGTCCACGGCAACTTTGAGCATGGAGGCCTGTTGCAAGCCCTCGGTGTATCGCCCAAGCGCACAAGATAATCACTCCTAGCGAATAGCATTTCCACCTTCCAATATAGTTATCAGAACGTTAGACTACTCGGGGCTTGTCACCTAACAGCGCCCCGGCGTTAAGCGAAACTATCATGGCTATGGCTGATGACGCGCTCGAACGGGATGCTTTGTTCAGGAAGCTGAGGGCAAAGGCCGAGAACAAGGTACATAGCAGAGTAGGACACGCAACCGTTGCAGAAAGACATCTCTCAAACGCCTGCTCTACCTTTCCAATTCCTTTAGGTCTGCTTCGATTGCCCTAACAAGAATCCAACATGGGCTTCCGTCCCCTACGGGGTCTTTATTTGCTTGAACTGTGCTGGCATTCATCGGAGTCTGGGCGTGCACGTCAGCTTTGTGAGGTATGTTGCTGTCTTATATCGTATCTTTAAGTATGATGCACTTATGCTGAGGAATACGCAGGTCGACAACTCTAGACTCATGGACGCAAGACCAGCTGAAGGTGAGCAGATACATCGCGACGTCCGGTCTAGTCGCCTTGCAGCCTTTAACGAAGTTGTGTTTACCTGCAGCTTATGGCTGCTGGTGGGAACCTGCGGGGCCGACAGTTTTTCAAGCAGCACGGCTGGGATGACATCGGATCTGACAAGATAGAAGCGAAGGTGGGTGTTGCAGTGTGCAGGTCAGTACTGGAATAGGCTGGCAGCACACGTAAGCGTGTTTGCTCTTCGTGTACCACAGTACACCTCACGGGCGGCACAGCTCTATCGGGCTCTGCTGGAGAAGGAGGCCCAGAAGGCGACGGTGCACGCGCTGCAGCAGAGGTGCGTTGCTCCCCGCTGTGCAGGATCAAAACCCGCCAGGCTGTGTCTGTATGCTTGATTCCCCCGCACTGTTGCAGCATAAGCAGCTCGCACGACAAGGCGGGACACCGCGCGGATCACCCGGGGGAGCTGTCAGACTTCAAGCACATCGAGCCGGAGCATCAGGCCCCCGAAGCCGCCCAGCCAGCGGAAGCTGCGGCCCCTCAGGCGAGCGGAGAGCATGCGGCTGCAGCAGCGGACAGCAGCGCTAAGGCAGCGGCGGTGCCCAAGCCGGTAACAACAATCAAACGTAAGGGGTGTCTCCACCCGCTGGTTTGGTTTGATTCTCGTCTTCCTATCCTGTGCCTGTAACAGTCTTCATGGGCGGGCGAGTGCTGGCAAGAATACATTTAGGCCGTGCGGCCGCATAGGGCCTAGCAGCTCGATGCTGCTTTTGCAATCAAATGGATACCGCTGTGGGTTTCTGAAACGACGCCTTGCCCTTACCATAAATTTCACCTTGTTGGCTCTGCACACAGCTCGTCCGGCGGCCAGCGGCGCAAAGAAGACTACCGGGAAGTTGGGCCTGGTTAAGAAGCTGGAATCCAAGGTGGACGACTCCATCTTCGCGCAGGTGCGTGCGACACTGGCCATCATGCTTCATGCATAATGCTGGTGGCGTTTTGAGGTGCACAGTCTGCTGAAGGAGCTAGTCTAGGGTTGCGCAGCTGCCTGCTTGTACCGGTAGTCCCAGCACGCTAAAGTACCAAGGGTAATTATATCATAGCCGTAGTTGGGGTACCGCACATGCGGTGCGTAATAACACGTGTGGTATCTTGCGTTTAGAACATGGGTAGCGGCAGCGTTCACTATGGGTTTGAGCTCCTGCGTGCAGGCACCTGCCCCAGAGCCGGTGAAGCCGGAGCCCGCGGCTCAAGCGACGAGCCTTCCGGGAAGCAGCGGCGCCGCGTCAAGCAGCACTGGGGCGGCGGCTGGGTCGCGTTTTGCGTATGACACGCTGAATGCGGTGAGCTGGGGTTGCAACTCTACAGCAGGCGGAGAGGTTACAGTTTGAGGCTCCCGCTGTTTTGTCTCATTGGCTTTAAGGGCTAAACAAGCTGGAGGAGGGCCCAAAAGACGCGTCGTGCGCCACATTAAGGGCTGAATGCTAGATACCGGATTGTCGCCCCCAACCAACATGCCACTAAACGGTATCAAAGTTAATGTAGGGTGGATAGGACTTTGTGCCACGGCCTCTGGATCTGAGCAGTGTGTGCTTGGTTTGCTGCATGTGCATCACCCTACAGGAGGCACCGGCGTTGCAGCGCGGCAAGGATGGGCATCTCACCATTGGTGGGGCTGGCGGGTCGGATTTCTTTGCAGCGGCGCCCGCGCGGCCCGCCAACCGCTCCGGCGGCGGGGCACCCCCGAAGTCGGAGGCCTCGCGGGAGGTCCAGGACGAGCAGGTACGAGGTCGTGTGACAGCAGGCGTGCTGTGCAATTTACTTCCTGGGGTACATCGTTTGTGATTTCCTTTAGTCTTCCGCTCAGCATGACGTGTCCTTTTGAAGTGGTACACGATTGACAGTGTTGTCCCCGTCAAAGTACGACTTTAATGTGCATGCCCTTCAACTCTTGGCTTTCCTTGAGCCCGCAGTTGAAGAAGTACGCCAAGGCCAAGGCCATTTCCAGTCGCGATTTCCAGCAGAACGACGCCAACGCCGAGCACGAGCGTCAGATGCGGCTGTCCAAGTTCCAGGGCGCCGCGGCCATCTCTTCAGCTGACTTTTTCGGCCGCGAGGAGTCCCATGGGTCGTTATCTGGTGCTGGCGGCTCTGGAGACCTGGATATCACAGCAGCGGAGATTGTCAACCGCCTCTCCTTCCAGGTAGGGCCCTAGGCCCTTAGGTCTTCCTTTCCAAGTGCCTTGAAGTATGGGCGGGGTTTGCCAAGTTTGCTCCTACCTTGGAATCTGACAGCCATCCACTTCGGTGTTTGCTTTGTTGCGACTGCTGCTGCAGGCCAAGCAGGACATGCAGCAGATGAAGCAGATGGCGGCAGCCGCCACCAAGAAGCTGACGGGCATGGCGTCCAAGCTCATCAGCGACCTCAACCGCATGAACGGCTAAGCAGCAGGAGAGATGGGGCTGAGCAGCGATGACTCTGCATTTTGCTGCGCAGCGCATACAGCCGGCATCGGAGACGGTGGAGTATGCATAAGAGTCAGCATTAAACGGGGTACTTGCAGGCGTATTCGTTTTATTATTGGCTGCTCTTTTTGCGATGGCAGTGCATATTCCTTTTCAGTGGCGGGGTGGTAAGTGCTGCATGGGAGGGAGGCTTGTAGGCACTTGTGAATGGGGAAGAGCCGTGTGGGCCGCTTGTTAGGTTTTCCGTGATGGGTTCCGTGGATTGGGTGAAGTTGGTGCATGAGCCGCTCCCTTAGCGCAGCGATTCAAAGAGATAATCCTTTAGGGGCTGTCCAGCCCATAATAGTCGGTAACTGATGAGCGCGTTGCGATGCCTTGTTTGCGTGCCTCTCATGATGAGAGAGTTTAGGATTGGAGAGCTGTCATGAGCGGTGGGAATTGCATGGATGCCCTCAGGACTAGCACAGCGCGCCACATCTGCACCCGGGATGTACGTAGTGGGAGCGGCGAGACACGTCCTTGTAAATACGCCACCCGTACATGCCGTGAAGGGGTGTGAGCCGTCTGATTAAGTACAGTAATGCACGTACTGTCCATGCCGCCACACCCTACCTGACATTTAGGGCCACATTCACGGACTAACCTGATATTCTTTAAGACATAATTTGCCTTTACGTCCAAATGCATGCTGGTAACCGCATGCCAGACCCTCCAACTAGACCAGCAAAATCAGCACACCGCTCAAGCGTGCGACTCTTGACGGAACATTGACAGGCAGCTCAGCTGCATTCCTAGCATCTCACGTACTATCAACAGGATCACAGCTGAAGATCACGCTGTGACATTCGTTCTTTACCCACGCCGTCAGCTGAATTCGTTTTAATGACAGCAGCAGTGGCCATGCAGGTGTGGTCATGCACGGCAGTTCAAGCACGCAAACACGCCCTCCACGCGGCACTCAGGGGTTTATACGGGAAACCCGTAGCGAGCTCAATGACGAATTTTCCTACGCTAAAGTGCATGTACGGCAAAACAATTATTGAGTGGTCGAGCCTAACGGGGCAACCCTATAGAAATGGTCTCTCATACATCCCTACCCAACGCGGCCACGGGAAGCCCCAGGTCCGGATGCAAGCTCTCAAGCATCTCCCAGACGTCCAGACGCCTCTGTAACAAAACTACTATCAACGACCACTTCTGGTGCAGCGCAGTGGCTTCAAGAGCCTCAAGCTTAGTCCCGCATGACCTTCCAGCCCCAGGATGCACCCGACCCGCACCCCCAGCTACTCCGAATCCAAACCCGGCATGCTAGCGATGCCCCCAGTAACAGACACACGGCGGATCCGCAAACGTGCAGCACCTACCGGAGGGACTGACCCGCGGGTCCAGGTGCTGTCCCAAGCAGCACTGCCACAGCGATGACCAAGACAGCGGGCAGCAGCGGCACACGTGCACAGCGGTCCACGGCGGCGAACGCGGCAGTGCGGCACCACCCGCGGCGCAGGTAACATAGCAAGGAGGTGGACAGCAGGGACTCCATCCATTTCCTGCGTGTGTGGACATACATAGGGAGGGGTTGGCAGGGAGCAGGGTGCTGGCAGGGGCGTCCGTGTCAGGCACGGAGCGTGAAGGTACGGTAGGTACCGCTAACTAGTGGAGCCGCCCGCAGCGGCACGCAAATGGTGGTGGGCCGCTACCCCTCTGCAAAGGAGGGTTGAAACTGCCGCCCAGTTGTTTGCCTTTCTCAAGCCCGGACCCTACCGTACCTTACGAATGCGCCCGGATCCCTGCAGCCCTGCGTGTAGGTGTCTCGTGCGCAGCAGCGGACCGGGTGCTCCTCCCCCTCCTCTTCCCCCCGCTTCTCCGCCTGCTGCAGCTGCTGCTGCCCTTTTCGTTCCTGCTGCAAGCCCTTGTCAAAGCCGCCAGCCGCAACAACTCCGCATGGTGCCGCATGAAGGCTGCAAAGCGCAGCCCCGCTGCCGCACAATGACGGCGACGGCGGCGACTCTTCAACTTCGCTGCCGTACCCGCTCGGCGGGGAGCTCGTACCGGTAGCCGTGAGCGTGCTGTCCATGGTGCTGAGAGTGGCGGAGGGCCGGGCAACCGAGGCGTCCTCGGAGACCAACCCAGAATTGTACAACAGATCCCGTACAGATCCGTATGGAGGAGGTAGGTTGTCCCCAGCACCGAGGTAGGATTGAAGCAGGGCGCTGAAGGCGGTCCAGCCGTTCATGACTGCGAAGCCGAGCAGATGTCGACCGAGGCTGTGCAGCCTGCTTGGTAGGGTAGGTAAGGGGGATGACAAGGCCCGGAACAGCCGTGAGCCCATTACGGAACTCGTCATCAGCAGCAACAGCACTAAAAACATCGGATTGGAGCCCTAACATGCCCCACCTTCATGCTTTGCATGTGCTTTCTAACAACGTAGACCTACACCACCATACTCTGGCAAACACTTAAAGAGCAAGGTCTAACTCCTGCTCCGAAGGGGTTCGGAAATCACTCTATCTGTCATCCTACCTTGGGCTGATCTGGACCCGCATCCTGCCTCCCAAGCCACTTCTAGCCCAGGTAGCCGTCGCTGCTGCCGGAATAGTCATGTTAGCGCCAGCGCCGATGGTAGTATCCCGGTAGCCACCCGCATTACCACCCGCAGCAGCAGCACGAGGTGTCAGCCCAGCGAGCGCCTCAGCCATCGTCATGACGTCCGCTGTCTCTTGCACGAACATTGCCGTATCCAGGAGCAAGTGATCCAGTTCGGCGGTGTCACCGTCCCACTCGTCGACTGTCGCCTACTCATTGTCAGTTTGGGGGATGCAACACAGACTTACTGACAAGGGGCTATGGCAGTATCCGAGCGAAACACTCAAGCACACACCGTACTTGCGTTCTACCTTGTTATTGCGTTCTACCTTGCCACCCACCTGCAATTCCGCCGCCACCGCCGCCTCCTGCACCACCACCACCGGCACCACCGGCAGTCCCCGAGGCTCAAGTAACAGCAGCCCTGGCTGGGCCGGTAAGTACGGCAGCTCAATGACGTATTCCAGAAGTGTGCATGTCATCATCACGGCATTGCTACCCTCGCCGCCGCGGCCACTTGCCACACGGCTCGGCGCGGGTGCATACGGTGCCGCTGCCGCTGCCGCCGCTGCTTCTGCTGCGGAATTGTGGCTCGGTCCGGGCAGCTGGGTTTGCGTGGCATGCGGCGACGGCAATACCGCTGACCCTAATGACTCGACGGTTATAAGCCGGGACGGCAGGTGCAAGCCGCGGCAGCGCACCAACAGCTCCAAGCACTCCTCGGAGCGAGGGGTGGGGGCTGGTGAGGTCGCTGCACCCAACGGCTCCCTCACAGCTGCTCCTGCTGCTGCAGCTGCAAACGAGGTTGTGGTCCTGGCACGCATGGCAGCAGGAGGTGGAGGAAGAGGAGCAGGAGCCGTTTCCGGCCAGCAAACCACCACCTCAAGACGGAAGGGGCCCGGCACCGCTTCGTCAGAAAACCGCGTTCCGATCGCAGCGCCGGCGTCACGCTGGTTGCCCCTGCGGCGTTGACCCTGCCAAACAGCACCGCCGTGATCCTGACCGCCGCCAGCGCCGCCGGCAGGATGTCTACCGCCCTCGCCTTCTCCTTCCCCACCGCTGAGGCTGGCACCTTCAGCGCCCATGTCAAGATGGGTAATGCGGCGGCGGCTTCCCACATCCAAGCCTGCCGCAACGTCATCCTCCTCCTGCGCATCTCCTCGACCTCCAGCAACGTCTCCGTCGCCGTCATCCCCGCCAAACGCCGTCCCGCCCACAGCACCGGGGCCGGAACCGCTATTGCTACCGCTGTTGCCCGGGTGCGGGGAAGTGTGCGGGTGATTGTGGGTGGGCCCGTGGCGGGCTAGCAGCACCCTGGGGTATACACCGAGGATGAAGGGACCGCCACTGCCAGCAGCAGTAACGTCGGCAGCGGCGTCGGCGATGGAGACGGAGTCTTCATACCAAACATTCCAGCCTGAGGTGTGCAGCAAAGGCCTAGGCGTGACCGAGCGACGAGGAGGAGGAGGCGGCACGGCCGCCTGTCCGCGGCGAGTACTGATGCTAGTAATGGCCTCCTCGGTTATCATTCCTGCTGCTGCGCTGCCGTACGAAGCGCCGCCACCATTGTCGTACCCTCCAGCAGCTCTCCCAACGCCGCTGCGGCCACCATCGTCATAGTGACCCTCATCAGCTCCGTCATCATCGTCGCTGCTGACGTCACCTTGACCAATCCGCAGCGCACGAATGAGCGAGCCGATGTCGATGTCACGAGGCGACTCCTGCAGAGGTGCAGCAGTGCCTGCTGTTGTTGCTGCTATTGGTCCTGCAGCGGCGGCTACTGCCTCTTCTGTCGTACTACGCGACGCATCAGAAGGATTTGTCCCCTGCTTAACACACTTTGCTGACGAAGTGCCATTTGCGGCTGTGGCCGCAGGCGTATCCCCAACTTCCACAACTGCCACAGCGGAGCCGACCCCGGCGGCGCCGTAGCTGTTCGGAGCACCGTGCCACTCCTGCGCGTCGATCACCTGGAGGTGTTGGCGAGCATTACGGACGAAACAGTGGGGAGGGAGGAGCGGCGTGTCAACACGGTCCGTGCTTCATACACAAGCAGGTGAGAAGGTGGGTCGGTTAGCCTTAAAAAAGCGGTTATGCAAAAAAGACCGTTATACAGTGACTGCTGTCTCCGTACTTGTAACGTTTGCTACGTTCTGGTTCCAACACACTGGTCACTATCTACAGCGCTAACCCACCATTAGCTAACCCACCAGTTCAATGCAGCCTCGCCGCATGTACACCGCCTCCGCATGATACCCCGCAGCCGCCACCACTCGACCCACTCGCGCCTCGTAGCCCGCCGGGACCTCATCCGGGTCAGCCCCGCGGATCTTGATTTGCACCCGGACCAACTGCACGGCAGGCGTGTACGTCATACGCGCCGCCTGGGCTGCAGCTAGCGCGCTATGCTGCGAAGGGAAAGGCGCCAGGAGTCGCCGCACTGCTGCCGCATGGCTCCGCTCGGCTAAGACAGTGCTGGCGTTGTGGTCCCGTGGGTCGGTGGTCGTTGTGACTGGGGTTGTGGCACCGGCACCGGGCCTGGGCAGTGGAGTAGGAGCTGAAGCAGGAGGCGGTGGTGGCATCAATCGTACGGCCTCGGTAAACCTTGGACTGTCGTCTTCGGGCACTGAAGAGTTAGGGCCAGTGGAGTTAATGCTGCGGGTGGTTGCTGCCTCGTAGCGTTGGAGCAAGCAAGAGGTCGCGAGCTGTACTGCAATGGCCGTAGCATTGGCGACAGTAACAGCAGTAGCTGTATCGGTAGTCTGGGCAGCGGGATCAGCGTCGGCAGCTGTTGCTGTAGCAGCCCCGGAAGAGGCAGTGCAGCGACTGGTCCCAGCCGTACTACCGCCGACCTTAGCCTTGCTGCTGTGTACGACATCGTGTCTACTGCTGATGCCGTTGTAATGCAGCCGTCGCTCTGCCCGCTCCCACAGCAAATGCACGGACAGGATGAAAGCCGTAGCAGACGCGCAGATCATGAGTTGCATGGGAAGAGGGTAGACCAGGTGCGGGTGCAGGGCACGGATGCGTGTACCGATGGCTGCGTTAACCGCAAAGCTCAACACCCCGTACACAGCCTCGTGACGGAATCCGGTCTGCGGCCGAGTTATAAGGAAAAGGAGCGTCAGATGCGGGGTGTTAGGCACGGTGCTGCATGCCGGCAGGGGAATCCAAGCAGCCATCTACGCAACTACCAATCTACGCAACTTTCGATGGATATATAGGTAGCTGAACACCCAAGCGGCGGTTTGTCCACACAACGTACGCGGTGCGCCGCACCGCCCAAGAAACCTCCACAAGTCCTGCAGACTCCCTGGAGCGCATTACGCCTCATCACGCACCCGGGGACTGCTGCAGCCAACCCTTCCATCTTCGCCCTGCCTCCTACAACCCCTTGCACCCCCTCCTGCAGCCCGCCCTGCAGCCCCCTGCAACCCCACCCGCCAACACTGCCCCATGCCCCCTGCCCCTTGCATGAGTCGGGATATTGGATTGGGACTACAGTTGCTGCACCTATCATTTATCCCTGCCCCCTGCCCGCCTGCCCCCTGCCCGCCCCACCTGGAACACCAGCAGGTAGGCGCAGTCCAGCAGCGGCCAGCTCCGAGCGAACCACACCGCAAGAGAGGAAGGCGGCTGGGGGCCGGACACAAGCAACATGGACACAGGTGGGGCAGGGCTGAGAGGCTGGGGCCAGGGCAATCCTCGCATGCACAGGCGCACAGCACGCGCAACGCCGTCCGCTTACACGTCCTTTCATCCTTCCCATTGCCTCTTCCAACCAACTGCCCCAAGATCAGTAGCAGCCAGCCATGCTATGCCGCCTCCATTCCCCTCACGCGCAACCCTTCTTCCCAGCTCCTCCCAGCTCACCTGCCCCGAGGCCAGCAGCCAGCCTAGCAGCGTCACTGGCCCCAGCAGGCGGTGTGCTACGAAGGTCCAGCGGAGGTGCAGCGAGGAGGGCCAGGTGAGGCCCAGCAGCAGCCGCAGCAGCATGCAGGCGGCGGAAGCGGACACCCAGCAGTCTGGGGGCTGCAGGCGGAGGTAGTCCTGGTGGGAGGGCGGACAGGAGCGGAGAGCCGTTTTGAAGCCGAGAGGAGGGTGGTTGGGCTAAGAGCCGGGCGGAAGGGGTTCATGTAGCGCGCGATGGCGTGGTGGGTAGGCAAGTGGGTAGGGCAGGGCATGGGCACAATGCGGTGGGTTTCTGAGCTAGTGAGCTGGTGGGCGTACGGGCAGGCGCATGATGGCATGAACCTGGGAACGTCACAGGTATGCAAGTCAGGATAGATGGCCTGCACGGCTTGCATGTATTTATAGCAGGAACGCATAGGTAACGAAACAAGGAGCCGCTGTCTCGCGCCTTACCCTGTATACGAGGGCCGGCTGGGTGGCTAGGTAAAGCACTTTTTCCGGCAACGCGCCGCTGCATGGGTAGGTAGCCGCCAAGCGGCTATCCAGTGGCAGGGTGTGCGGCTCGGAAGCGCAGAAGGGCCTGGCAAGCTGTGATGCAGTGCCGAGCGGGCCAAGGGTGTGGTGCAGCGGTTAGGAAGCGGGTGGGGAAGGGTGGATTAAGATAGAGGCGGGTTTTCAAGCAGTGTAAGAAGGGATTGAGGGCTTGCAGAGGGTTTGTTTTGGATGAATTGGGGTTTGCCACTGGCTCTAGCCAGGTATTGCAACACCTCTAAATTCTACACCTGAGAAACCTGGTTCATCCGGGGCGCTGTGCTTTTCACTTATAGCGTGTGAAGTGCCAAGGACTGTTAGAAGCATGAGCCTAACCATTGTAACGGAAATGGCAATGTGCAGATCCGGTCCGGTCACGTCCGGCGACAACTACTTTATGTCAGATGCGTAGGGTCGCCGGCGCAACTGGTGAAGACATCAGACGACAACATTATATAAAATAACAAAACACAAATGAACATTTGCATTACCTGCACGTAGCCGAAAACTTGCAGGTATGCAACAATGGCCAACAAAGCAGCGTTTCGCCGCTTCGTCCCCGGCTGGGCGCCACAGGGTACAGGCTTAACTTCTTGCTCCATGGCCTCTCTCATATCTCTGTGTATGTTGCTCACTCGCCAGTAACGTCTTCGCATTCAGCTGAAGCCGGCTCCATAGCTTGACATGCCAGGAACTACAAAGGGATCTTCAATGATGTACCGGTCATACATATCATGGCTTCAATATTTAATACAACGAGCTTGCAAACTACTGTAGTGAGCTAACCGAACTCTTATTACCGTATACCACGTAGCTCCGTACCTAGGTAGGTCGCATTGCTTCAGCTGACGCCTGCGCGGCGGTTTCTTACCAGATACTATGCGACGTGTTTGTTAAACTTATCCTTGCTGGCTTTTACGTTTGCTCACTTGCAAGTTGTTTGCTTGCGTGGCCCAAGCTGGTTAGCTACACGCAGGGTATCATGATGTTGCCGCAGCGTCGCCTGACAGCTGTAATACATTCATATCAGCAGCATCCACAGAATCACTGGAACCGCCTTGCAATTCCGCGCGAAGCGGCATCCCAGCTCATCCCATCCGCTGGTCGCCAGCCAGAACATTGTGCCTCTACAGCTACAGCAGCTACATGCACAATACATAGGCGCCTAGGCGCTACTGCTATGTACTCTGGCAATCAGTGCCAGTATCCGTCCCCACTTGCATGCACGGTCACCGCCGGACGCTCGCGAGGCGCGCGATGCACCCTAATGGTCCGGAAGTATTCATTCCCAAAAAAGGAACAAAACGATCTCTCAGGAGCCTCCCCCTGCTTGCAGAGAGATGCATGGGTCCAAACATTACACGGAGCACAGGCCGTCGAAACGTGGCACAACTCGATCGGGGACGATCGCTGTTTTCGAACCGTTGCCGTGCTTTTGCAGGCCTTCGTTGGCAAACCTCCAACGCACTCAAAAGCAATCGTTTATCGGCAACGCACGTCCTCATGTGGCACAGCGCCCCGGTTGGCTACAGAGGCAGGTCGCCGTGAAGGCGAAGCCCTGGAAAACAAAGGTTTTGCAAATCCAATGATTTACTCCTATAGGTGGGCTGAGTCGGCACGAAGTCATGCGCCATGTTTCGGGGTCAACGCTTGGATCCAATCGAACGGTTGCAACGAACGAACGAACATAACGTGCACAGATAGAGCTGTTCAACTCCAGCGCACCGGTGGAGACCCAAGGCCTTTCGAGGCAGCATGCATGTTTTATAAAGCATCGCCTACACTCAGTGGTACAGGCACTCAGCGACGGCCACTGTTATCCTCCACCATCGCGCATTATTATATTGCCTACCAGCTTTCATTATGGGGGCCATGCCGCGAACCAGCCGTGGTGCACGGCTGTCGCTGATGGTCTTAATGGCTGCGGTTGCATCCTTCGCCGTCATGCAGCTGCCGGCTGCCGCAGGTTAGTCGCATGCATGCAGCATGTGACATGGGTGCTCGATGTTGGTTCCCTTCATGCCTATCTCTGCTTGCGGTCTGAGGCATCATGCTGCTCACCTGGGCAGCATGTGAGAAACCACGGCATGTGTCTGTGTGCCTTAGCCAGTGTGGCACCTGGAGTGGCAGCCCCAACCTAAACATCACAAAAATAGCGCGCCACAAAACATCAAGCACCCAAGCTTTTGTTGGGGTTAACGAGATTGGGTTGTGAGTGTTTGCTCTTTTTTCTCTCCTGTTGCTCCCGCCCCTTGAATGCCTATTTGCCAGCGAACATGCCTTTACGTACAATGACCAGCACGTGACCCGCCCTTGCTGCAGGCGCCGCAGCTAACGGAGAGGTGCGTGAGTACGTTGCTGCTGGATAGGCACGGGTAGCGGCATGCCTATCAGCGCTGGCATGCATTTATTTAGCGACATATCTTGAATGCGGTGCCTTCGACGACCCATGGGTCGGTTGGTGTATGTTTACACAGTTTGACGTAGACTATTCATTCGCTAGAGGTCTTAGACAGTAGGTAACTTAGCCGATTCTTACCCCCGTGATTATCTCTTGGGTGGTATCTCTTGCCGAGCTCCTGGCAAATGCACGCCACCGCGCGCTGGAGGTACCGTAGGGTCTCATGAGACCAAGCATCCGATCGGCCCTTGCATGCCCTGGTACCGGAACCGGCAATTGAACTGAAGCCCTCCCCATCACCGCCCTTCCCTCTGCTTGCCGCCATTCGCAGCAACAGCAGCAGCGGGCCCTCCTGCAGGAGCAGCCGGACTACGCGGCAGGAGTGGGCAGCGCAATCGAGAAGAGCGCCAATGCGTGAGTGGCAGGCAGCACTTGCATGAGTGTGTTGGGTCACATGCGTTCTGGATCTAGTTGTACCGGACGTTCTTACCACCTGTTTAAACCTTGAGTACGGTGCATGCTTGGTTGCAGTATTACCCCGGCGGCAACCGCAGCAGGCTCGCAGTTCGGCGGGTGGGTAGGCCTTGTAAGGTTCCGGCACTCCTCTTTGGCAACTGCTAGCATGGCGACGAGAAGCCCTTTTGTTTGCGACCTGCAACCAGCCGAATCGTAACTGCTGTCTGTATGTGTTGCTCTGGCCAGTGATGTTTGATTCTGTTTGCCCAGCTGGGAAGGAACCATTTACCTGCTGGCTGATCCCTCTTTGTACCTTTCGTGACCGTACTACGTTTCACATACTATGTGTACGCTAACTTCTTGGCCGACGGTTTGTTTATGGTCTACGCAGTGCGGCGGGAGGCCTGCTCAACGGTGGGGGCTTCTTGGGCCTCCGCCGCCGCATGCTGGAGGAGAACGGCCAGGTGGGTGGATTGATGGGTGGTGGCGGGTGTAATGACGGGCGGGTCGCTGAACAAGCAATTGTGTAGCGCGGGTCTTGGCGGGTCTCGCCCGCCTACAGTCCTGCAGTAGATGTGGCACTACTGCCTGACTGATGTTTACAATGAAGTTAGGCACACCGCCACTGGTACAGCTGCTGCTGGGATTGCTTCGTACGTGTCTAAAACATGTAAAGCGGCAGCGGCTTAATTGTATAGGCATGAGTTGCGACCTGAAACTGAGAGCGGCCATGGGTCTGTGGTGGGAGGCTTCCACCTGCGTGCTAAGCCCTTCCTCCACCCCTTTCCGTCCCGCTAAACCTTTCCTTCCTCTGCTGGCCGCCATTCGCAGCAGCAGCGGGCCCTCCTGCAGGAGCAGCCGGACTACGCGGCAGGAGTGGGCAGCGCAATCGAGAAGAGCGCCAATGCGTGAGTTCCTTGCTTGATAGCACGTGTCTGGGCATGAGGAGGGTGTAAACACCGGGTCTACTTACATGTTGATGCTGAGTAGGAGGATCCTAACATACATAGCTGGATATATACAAGGCGGTTGCAGCAAAGAAACTTGTATGTTAGGGCAACTGGCCGCGAGACTTACCGGTATACGTATGTGTGCGACGCCCATGCATAAGTATGGATTCTGGTAGGCAGATGTATGCCCATACAGCTGCCCCACCTACCCGTTGACGCCTCCATGCGCATTTGACGTGCCTGCCGCTGTTCGTACACGGCCTCATATGAACGCTTTCTAAGCCTTCTTATGTACCCCCATGCATGCGTGCAGCATTACCCCGGGGGCAACCGCAGCAGGCGCGCAGCTCGGCGGCGGGTGAGGAGCGAGACGTTTTGGCATTCCCACCTTGCATGCATGTTGACAAACCACTGGGCTGGCATGCTACGAATGAAACCCTGCTGTGCGCGACCCAATTGTCACTAACTAGGACTGGCGTATTGCTGTAGCTATCGTTCCGTTGTAGCGTTCGGGCGTCGCTAGCGTTCCTCGGGTAGGAAACCACCCGCTTCCTAGGCACCTCGCCACGGTAGGGTGTTCATTTACTGGCGTGTGCGCGCACTTGCTTGGTGCTGCGGCCTGTCCCTTAACTGACGATGCTTGCTGACTATTTGTTTGTTTGCACATGCAGCCTTTTGGGTCACCGCCGCCGCATGCTGGAGGAGAACGGCCAGGTGGGCGGGGTGGTGGGTGGGTGGTGGATGCCGGTCCGTGTTTGAGCTACTGAGCGTGTGCGGAAGCGGAAGGCTCTTGCCTTCTTACTAAACGGACATGAGTTGCCGCACCAACAGCATATTACCGGCAGTATTACTAACGACAACTGCATCCACTGCTTGCTTCTGGGCCTTACTTGCAGGACCTGCAATACTAGCTGCGTAGATGCATGTACGGCAGGATGTATGTGCGTGTTCCGGTATCGTAGCTGCTGCTCAGCATGATGCTCGTCGTCATAACGAACTTGCATTCTGAACGGGAGACCGCGTGGACAGCTCGCTCGTACGGTTGTTGTTGTTGTTCGAAACTGCTGTATGTGTGTGTAGTTGCCTAAATCTGTACACTGTACGGATTGTTGATTGTTTGACCGTTACGTGCTGTTCAACGATGTGGCAAAATCACAACAGCTGAGACGCTTGGAATAATCACATAACACTTCCTGCAATTACTATTCCAAGCTACACTCGGGATGGACACAAGTATTAGCCATTCGCACTGCTGTAAGCCTGTAACATACTACCGCCGTATAAATGACCCATGGGTCATTCCCACCAGGTCACTAGATGCATACACAATAACCAACCACGCCAAGAAAAGCATGTGTGGCAAGGGTGAGGGTTCTGAGGTGGCAGGGGCGAGGCTTCTGAGGTGGCAGGGGCGAGGGATCCGAGGTGGCAGGGGCTAGGCTTCTGAGGTGGCAGGGGCGAGGGTATTGAGGTGGCACGGGCGAGGCAGCTGAGGTGGCAGGCTTCTGTGTTTGCAGAGGCGAGGGTATTGAGGTGGCAGGGGCGAGGGATCTGAGGTGGCAGGCACGAGGGTTCTGTAGTGGCAGGGGCGAGGGTTCTGAGGTGGCTGGGGGCGTATGCACGTTGCAATACATTTTTCATGTAGATGGTGCCGTGGTTGTGCAGATGCAATAGACTAGGGAATGTTGCTTCCTTCTTGTCTGCACTCTGTGCAAAAGTTAGCTGCTTACCAGCTAATCACAACAAGTCTAACTAGGAGTGCCCTGTTTGAGCTTAAAAGCAAGGGTGATGGCCACCAAGGGAGCGGGTGTTTGTGACCTACGCATTACAAGGGTTGTATGGAAGCGAACGTTAGACAACAAGCAACCCCTCCAAGATAGAGTCCTCTGTTGCCGAGCACTGCCTTCCAAAGCTTTTGTCTTCCCATGCCGCACGTGTCTGCTTACACTGTTTACACACAATCCCAAATCGCGCCTAGACACGGTTGCCCTCCGCCCTTGTAGCACTCCCGTTGCCCCCACCGCCGCTGCTATCTACCACCGCTAGTGATAGCCTGGCAACAAGCGAGTAAGCGTGCTTGCGCTATCTACCTGCCAGGGAACGCATGCGGGTGCATGTGCCCCTGTTGCTGCTGCTGCTGCTGGGGGAACTGTTGTTGGTGCACATACTGTTGCTGGTTGAATTGCTGTTGCGGGTGGTATTGCTGCTGCTGTTGCAGCTGTTGTTGCTGCTGATACTGCTGATGCGGTTGCAGTTGCTGTTGCTGGGGTTGCATGGACGCTTCGTGCCCGGGCTGCGGGTGCGGCTGTGCTTGCTGCGCGCTTTGCTGGTAGGGGAACTGTGGCTGATGTTGCACGTGCGTCATCACTCGTTGTTGCTGCTGCTGCAGTTGTTGCTGCTGTTGATTGTACTGCTGGTGTTGAGCCGCCAACTGTTGGAGGTCAGCGCTGCTCCCAAACTGCCTCTGCTGCTGCGGCGGCTGTTGCTGCTGCTGAGGCGGCAGTTGCTGCTGCTGAGGCGGCAGTTGCTGCTGCTGAGGCGGCAGTTGCATGCTAAGCTGCTGCTGTTGCTGAAGGTTGCAGGCAAACGGCTGCTGCTGCTGCTGTTGAAGTTGCGGTTGTGAAAGTGCGGACAGGGGCACTGCGGGCGGCAGGTGCGGGGGACCCATGGGTCCTATGGCCGCGGGGGAGGAGTCCGAAGCGGGTTTCACCTCCGCCTTCACCTCGGGAGGCCGTTGCTGCTGCTGCTCTCGCTGCTGGGCCTCCCGCTGCTGCTGTTGGTCATGTTGGTTGGGCTGTTGGGCATGTGGCTGGGGCTCGCCATGCTGCTGGTGGTGGTGGTGGTGGTGAGGGTGGTGGTGATGATGCTGGTGATGATGTTGGGGCTGGGGCTGCTGCAGCTGCTGCGGTTGTGGCCCGCCTGACGCCGCCGCCCCGCCTGCCGCGAGTCCCACCGCACCTGGAGGCGACCCGCCTGCGGGCTCTTGCTTGACCTCCAGCTGGGGGTGGGCCTGCTGGGGGTGGCTGGCAGCGGAGGGGCTGGGGCCCAGCACTGTGGGCGGCTTGACATCGCTCTCCTGCTTCACCTCTGGCTGCTGGTGCTGGCCATGTTGGTGCTGGTGCGGCTGTTCCTGCTTCAGGTGGGGTGTGAGGTGCGGGTGCTCGGTCCGCTGCCGCCCAGCCGCCTGATGAGGGGCACGCATGCGGTAAGGAAAGGCAGGAGTGGAGTGGATTGGAGGTACCCGAGTGGAGACGAGAGACGGCCAGCCGTCAGCCAGTTGGAGGTCACACAGTCCACTACCGGCGTATCCGCGCGCGCTTGCAGTACACTTTGCGGCCATACGTGTCATGCGGCTGAACACTTGCGGCCTGTCTAACACCACTTGACACGCCGGTACTGCTGACCGCGGGTAGAACCCTGCCGCCCCCTCACCTCACTCTTTGCCGCCTGCTCCTGTCCTTGTCCTTGTCCTTGCTGCTGCTGGTGGTGGTGTTGTTGCTGCTGGTGATGGTGATGGTGCCGCGCCTCCTGCTCGCGCTTACGTCGCTCCGCCTTGGCTTCCCGCCGAGCCTTACGTGGGCACAGGACGAAGGAGCAAGGTAAGGGTGATTGAGGAGCGAGGGCCGTCGTGTCGAGACCGCAGCACAGCACAGGGAAAGGCTCCAGCAGGGGCACCCGCACCCAAGGCGCAACCAACGCATCCATGCACATCGACTACGCTAACACGTGGCCCCTCTCCTCACGCAACCACCCCTCAGCCCTCTCCCAACCACCCACCATGACCCCCTCAACTACCCCTCCCCCTGCTGCTCAACCCCCTCACCCCCCCCACCCTTCCTCCCCCTACCCTCACCCCACCCCCCCTCACGCAACCCCTCCCTCACCCGCCGCTCCGCCTCCAAGTCGCAGGTGGGGTCGTACCGCTCCAGGCGGGGGAAGGTGCTGCGCTGCAGCTGCTGCTGCTGGCCACCTGCTGCGGCTGCGGCTGCTGGGGCACCCGCACCCGCACCCTGGGAGGACGGCTGCGGCTGCTGCAGCTCTGCAGGTGCAGCTGGCTGATGTGGAGCCGGCGGCAAGAGCGGCGGCTGCTCCCCCGGGGGCAGCGGGGTCCAGGGCTGCCCGCTTCCGCGCCAGATGGAGGGGGGCGGCGGCAGCAGCGCCACCTCCCCCGGGTGCTTGCGCAGGTCCTGGGGGTGGGGGAGTGGTGAGGTGGTAGTGTGGAGGCGGGAGTGGGGGGTTGGGGTGATTGGGGAGGGGCCGGCATTGCTGCGGTGGGGCACGGCAAGGCAGGGGGCAGCGGAACGGCATCCCGCTGGCGAGAGGCAGGTGCGTGTTGGGTGGCGGAACGGCTGCTAGCCGTGCTGAGGCTCGATGCGGGTTGCCCTGTGACACCGGCAGCGGTGGTGGCAACCAGGTAACAAGTGTGCTACCTAGCCACTAACCCCCTTTTTCCCTTTGGTTACCCTTACCACCCCCTCCCCTCCCCTCCCCCGCACCTCCACCGCCTCATGCAGCAGGTCGTGCAGGTGGGTGCTGATGGGTTGCACCCAGCTCGCGTCCAGCTGCAGGTGCCGACACACCTAGGGGGGGCGGGGGAGGGCGGGGGAGGGAGGCAGGAGGAAAAAAAGAAATTCCAAAGTCAGGGAGGGCGGGGGAAGGGAATACATCATCTGCGCCGCGATGGGTCACTGAACGTGACTACATGACGGAAGACCGGAGGATGATGATGGCGTCCAACGGAGGACGTAGGGCAGGGGAGGGGTCCAGCTTGCAAGGTGTTGGGCTATGGCAGGCCAGGGAGGGGCTGTGCAGGCACTGCTGCGGGGATGGGAGCCAGGAGGGGGCCGCGTGTGGGGGCAGGCACGGTCGTCCGCCCCACACAGCTCCCTAGGCTGCCGGCACCCGGCAGAGGGAGAGGCCGGGGTCGCCTGAATGGGGCAGCCCGGCTCAGACAGCCCACCGCAGCAGGGGCGACTGCAGGGACCTCCTTTCCGCCCACCGCGTGCCCTCCAGCCCGGCGCAGCCAGCAGGGGTGTCTACAGTTTCTGTGCATGCCACATGGTTCCGTACCACCACCCTTACCCCCCCCCACCACCTGCACCACCCTCCCCCCCCACACCTCGCAAGCGTACTGCAGGGTGCTCGCCGCGGGGTCGTTCACGTCCCACTCCAGCTCGTCACGGAACACCGCCTCCCCGCGCCGCACGTACAGCTGGCGTGCAGGGGGGAGCGGAGGGCGGCAGCAAGCGGGGAGAGGGGGAGGCAGGGTGCGGAGGCGGGCGGTGTGAGGCGGGTCAGAGAGGAACCAGGCCGTCCTAATGGGCGTAAGCAGGGGGGAAAGGAAGGGAGCCGGGCAGCAGGCGCCAAGCGACTGGGTCCAGAAGCTGGCGAGTGTACCGGAACGCAGACAGGTACCCTCCCTCCCTGGCCCCCACCTGCAGCCGCACCAGCCTGGGTCCGCCCAGGTCCTTGTAGCCCTTGAAGCCCTTGAGGCTGCGAGCGATCTCGTCCTCGATCAGCCTGGCGGGTAGCAGGCGGGGGGTGCGGAGGGGTGGGGAAGCAGGCGGGGTGTGTGGAAGGGTGGGGAAGCAGGGGCGGTGGCAGAGCCGAAGGCGCTGAACTGTATGGTCTGATGTACCCACCCTGCCGCATGTCATCCCGCACAGAAGCCAGCCCGCCTTACTTTATGTAGTTCTGCGGCAGCTGCAGGTCCGCTGCCAGCCGCATTGCGATGGGACGAGCATCGTACCCCGGCTCTGGGACCAGATGGGAAGCAGCAGGATGCAGGGAAGGAGTGGCGTCATGAAGCGGAGGTATGAGGCATGGTATAGCTGCTCTGGAACCCTGAACACCGCATGCACTGGAAGGCCGTGTATGAATGAAGGTCATGCAGCCATTCGTAGCCGGCTGCGCAGTTGTAATGCTTGCTGGCAAACCCCTGCAACCCTCGGCTTGGCGCTCGCTCTGTGCGAATGCTAGCTTGCCTATACTTGCAACCCTTGTCTTCCTTCAACCGCTGCAAAATAGCGCACCTCCAAGTCGCCACAAGAAGTTCTGCGGGATATTGTAGGAACAGATAGTTGGGAAAAACTCGGGGTAATATTTCAACTTGTCTGGCAATCGGGGACCCTGCTGTCAGCTTTACCTCGCGGATGTCCTCGCCATCTTCCCGGTCTATGTGTATCCTGATAGGTACTAGCAAGGACCCCTTGTTGCGTTTGGGCGGGTCTTGCTGAATCCCCAGAACTGTCAGCACCTCGGATTTCAGTTCATGAACCCGGTCGCCCACTGAGGGGCCTGCATTTGCACTCGCCATCTCGTAAAGCTCAATGAATTTGTAGGCAATACACACTAGTAATGCGCTTGCGGAAACTATCGTGCCGTATGTCAGTACGAGTTCGCCTTAGGCGATGGCAGACCCTTTGCGCTCCTTCGCTACGAAGGACCACTATTTGTTCTGATCACTATAACCGTGCTGCATTTACTTTAGACGACAGCCAGTATACAGTGGAACGGTTCTTCAGGGATTTAGGCCCCAGATCCTTAGGTCATTCCTAGCTTTTAACGCCCCTGTGCCGGTGAAGTAAAACAAACAAGGATGTCTGGCATCGGCACAGGGGTACGTGCCCCGTCTTATGCGCTTGCAGCTTGCGCATTGCAACATTTACCTACCGCATTTTGCTGGTGCTTCCCTGCAGTATGACCTGTCAGCGACCACCTACTCGCCTGATGGTAAAATCTTCCAGACCGAGTACGCTCAAAAGGCGGTAGACAACAGCAGGTAGCTCCTGGACCAGCACCCCGCCTTGGTTGCTTCCCTCCAAAAGCCTCTGTGAACCCCAACTGCAGCTGACACACAACTCCAAATGCCTTCCTCCCCACCCCTTTCCAACAATTCCCATTACAGCACGGTATTGGGTCTGCGATGCAAGGATGGCGTCGTGCTGGTACGTGGGGGTGACGTGGCCTAGGGTGGGAACATCAGGGTGGGGCGGTTGTTCATGGGTGGGACCACGGCTGCGAGGTTGCCAGGTATGATGCCATCAGCTCTCTTCGTCACCTCCCTTACCTCTTCTAGCCTCGCTCGCTTCCCCTCCTCCCTCTCAACGCTGGTTGCTTGGGGCCCATCACCCCGATACGCTCTCTGATTGCAGCACCGGTTTCCTGCACGGATCCGCGACCCCATGGCTTGGCCTCCTTAACCCCTCTCCCCTCTCCAACCCTCTTTCCCCTACAAAACCCTTTACCCCCTTCCTCCCCCCTCACTGTTTCCCGTCAGGCGAGTGAGAAGCTGGTGCTGTCGAAGCTGCTGGTGGAGGGGTCCAACCGCCGCATACACAACATCGACCGGCACGTGGGCGTGGTGGGTGGGGGGGTGAGGGGTTGGTGGGTGGGGGGGAGCTGAGAGGGCCTGTGGGGTGGGAAAAAGGAGGAAGCTGACGAGGAAACTAACGAGCTGTGTGACATGTAGTCTTCATGTGTGAGGTCAGGGAGAGGGAGCTAGAGGGAGGGAGCAGGTGGATGTGGCGCGGGTGCAGAATAGAGATGGGGGGAGGTGGGGCGGGGGTGACTGTCTCTAGGCACTTCCTCACGTGATGTTCGCTCCTTTCCCCAACCCCCACCCCAACCCCACCCATGCAGGCGGTTGCGGGTCTGGCCCCCGACGGCCGCATGGTGGCCAACCGCGCCTGGGACGAGGCCGCCTCCTACAAGCGCGTGTACGGCGAGCCCATCCCGGGGCACGTGCTGTGCGAGCGGCTGGGCAGCTACGTGCACATGTTCAACCTGTACTGGTCGCTGCGGCCGTACGGCGCCACGATGCTGGTGGGTAGGGGGGCACTGGGGGAAGCATGAGATGGTGATGAGATGATACTGAAGCATCAGAGGGGGAGGGCAGGGGAAAAGGAACAAGGCTTCATCATGCCGTGAAGCAGATGTGGCGGGGAGGGGAGGGGAGAATGCGAGGGAGGGAGAGTGCTGCAGTGTGTATTGTTCTTGAGTTACTCCACGCCTCCACGCTGCCTCCTCCGTGTCCTTTCCACCACGCTTCATGTTGTCTGGTGGTTGGAAGATCGGTATGAACACGACGCCCTCCTCTTTGTCCCCCCCTCCCCCCCGCCCCGCAGGTAGCGGTGTACGACAAGAACGGTCCGGCCCTGTACGCAGTGGACCCCTCGGGGAGCTCGATGGTAGGGGGGGGTGAGGCTTGGGGGCCGGGGAACGGGGTTTCAAGCAGTGCAGGTTGGGGTTGCGGGGCACTGTCACCCCGGCATGGAGGACCGGGGGCGCGGGGGATCGCTGGCGGACTTTGTATGCTCTGCGTCGCTGACGCCGGGGGGCTCCTAGCTGCTCTGTGCCCCCTGCCGTCTGCCTTCGCGTCCTAGCGCCCTCCCCTCCTCAAGTCCCCAGCCACCAACATTAACGCCCCCCATATATATTTTTTACCCCCGAGGTGAAGCCTTGTCATACAGCTCGTCAGTTGTTTCGTCAGTGTCTCATTATATATTCTTACCCCAACCGGCCCCCATCCCCCTTATTTTTCCCCCTCTCAGCGCTACTTCGGCACTGCGGTGGGCAAGGGTCGCCAGGCCGCCAAGAACGAGATCGAGAAGCTCAAGCTGGCCGACATGAGCTGCAGGGAGGCGGTGGCGGAGGCGGTCAAGATGTGAGGGGAGGGAGGGGGAGGAGAGGAGGGAGGGAGGAAGGGGGGGTCTGTGTACCGCTGGCACCGCTGTGGGAGGAGGTGCATCGGTTCTGTTGTGTAACCGGAATAGGGCATCTCCCGTCGTCTGTTCCTTTCCCTACTTGTCTTTTACTCTATTTCGGAACGGGTTTCCCATCCCTCTTCCCCCTCCTCTTCTTCCCGCCCCCCCCCCAACCGCACCCCCCAGCCTGCACAAGGTGAACGATGAGGAGGGCAAGAAGTTCGAGTTGGAGGTTAGCTGGATCTGCGACGAGAGCGGCAAGCAGCACCAGAGGGTGAGAGCAGGAGGGGGGAGGGGGGAGGGGAGGAGGGAGGAGGACACAAGGAGGGCTGCGTGTTGAAACACACGCCCAACTGGCACGGTCGTACCTCTGGATGCTTGAAGCGTCCCCGAAGCACCCTAAATGCCCAACCCTACACTGCTCTACCCCCCTATGCCGCTCCTCTCCCCCACCCACGCCAACTCTGCCCGCCCGCCCCGTCCTCCCCTCCCCTTTCCCCACAGGTCCCCGCCGATCTGCTGGCGGAGGCTGAGCGGCAAGCCAAGGCGGCGCTGGAGGACTCGGACATGTGAGGGGAGAGGGGGGGGGCGGGTACTGCATTGCATACAAGGGCTTGCAAGGCGGGGGAGGGCGCGCATGCAAGCATACATACACGCGACTGGGGAGGAGACCGGGGCGTAGGAGGGCACAGCAGGAGCAAGGCTGTTTGGAATCTCTTCATCCCTGCAGTGGTGCATCCTGGCCCCCTTTCGTCGTGGCTGCACTCACTGGCTCTCCCGTCGCTCCCGTCCCGTCGTCCCCTTGCGCGCAGGGACGACTAAGACACGCACACAGAGGTTGTCACTGCGCCACGCGTGTGAGCCCGGCGCATGGCCATGACGGCCGCCGTGGAGGGTTGTGTGGGGCTAGCACCGGACGCCGTCATCTGTAGACATGGTCAGTCTCACGTGCTTGCAGTTACAGTGCATGCCAGCATGCCGCAGCTGCTGCTGCTGCTCCGTGCTTGTGGAAGAGTGGGCGTCTGGGGGGGGGGAAGTCGAGGTGGGCGAGACGACAAGGGGGCTCACAGAGGGGTGCCGGATGTGCCTTTCGGCGGTTACCAGCGGTAGAGGAAGGGGCGCAGGGAGGCCGTCGCGTCCAGACCATGGGCGTGCACTCCCTTACGTGATCTGCGTGTGCGTGGTGCGGTGCAGCCCGGCAAGGTGTTCACTCCTCCGGGGGGCTGGGTAAGGGGTGTACTACACGTCATATGAGGCGTGTGTGTGTGGCCATACAGCTTGGGAGGCGTGTGAAGCGACTTGCATATGTGGGGTGACAGCGACATGTGGGGTGTTGCGGCAAGTGGAGGGAGGGAGGTGAAGGACGCTGCTGCTGCTGCTGTCGCGGCCATTGGGTAGTGGGAGGAGGAGGGGCATAGTGGTTGACGGCGAAAAGCCTGGGGTTATGGGTTGCGGTGTTGCGCAACTCCTGATACAGTGTGCTGTGTTATGCTGCGCTACGAGGTGGGCACACTACGGCGTTGGTGTAGACCTTGGTGCAGAGGAGATGAGCATACGAAGGTGCTTTTTTGATAGTCAGGTTGGCGTTGAGCTATAGGTTAACCTGCAAAGGGAGTTGCGCGCTGGGCCAAAACATCTCTTCCATTGCCCCTCCACTTGATGAGGTGCCCCCCGCCCCGGCTATTGGTTAGTACGTGAGACTGCACATGATGACCCATGAAGCTCTGGAGCCTCTGCCGCCCTTCCCGCTGGGAAATTTCACCGCACACGCCGCTCTGCTGTTGCAACCACCTCCACACGTCCCGGCGCTGCACGCAACCCACCAACCACTCAGGGCCTCTGACCAGACATGAAGAGAAAACCACCAACGGCGGGTCGGTCTAACACTCCGCCAAGGACTACCTCACACCTGATCTCCATACCCATGCTATCCTCAGCCTCTCCCGCCGCATCCTTTCCCCAACCCCCCTCCACACACTACTCTCCTCACACCCCTCCCTCCTCTCTCTCTCCCACATCTCACCGCCCTGCCACCCCAGCTGCCGGCGCCCCACTCTCTTTGCCCTCCTCCGCCTTCTCTTTCCGCCCTTCCTCCACCGCCCCCTCATTCCCCTCTCCCTGCCCCTCCCCCGCCGCCTCCCGCTTCTTGTCCGCCAGCGAGGACAGCTGCGGCGCGTAGTAGTCCTTGTGTCGCTCCATGCACGCCCACAGAGGCCCCATCACCTCGGCGCAGCTCTCCACGTCGTCGCGACCCGCCGCACGCAGCCCGTCCACACAGTCCAGCCAGACCTGCGGAGGCAGGGGAGGGGGAAAGAAGAATATCCAATGTGTTGTGTGACGGTGGTAAACCAGGTGACAAGGAGGGGAGGAGGGCAGGGAGGGTAAGGGAAGAGGGGGAGGCGGAGGAGGGAGAAGGGGCTAGGGGGGGAGGAGGAGCGACCAGGAGGGGTAACCAGGGGCGAATGGAGAGAGGAGGATAGGGGTCGGCGATGGGTTGTCAGAGGCGCCTATCCTGAGGAGTGATAAGGGCGATGATCAACGCTCTGCAGCTGCCAATCCACCATACAGTTAAGAGGACTTGGGGTCTCTCGGTCTATACCTGGCCAAGGCTCGCTTCTGTGTGGTCAAAACACGCGACCCGGGGGACCATAGGCAACCCTAAACCCTTGTGTAGACCATCCTCCCCCTCTTAACTATCCGGCCCCTCCTGCAACTCCCGAGTCCCTGTGCTTGTTTCCGTGTAAGCCAACAGCCGCACGTTGACCACGTTTGCATCATCGCCGCCTCCAGCAACCCCCAAAGAAGAGGACATCGCCTTACCCAGCTCTTGTATGCATACTAAGCGACGTTTGAAGGGCATATAGAGTCTGTCGCCACAAGCAGGGCTGCTCGCACCTGGAATTCATCCTTGCAACCTCCGGCTTTCATCCATTTGCACCAGCCGCACTCCTCCTCATTCTCCTCATCATCCTCCATATCTCCGTTTGTACCAACATCTTCCGCAGGGTGCGTCAGCGGAACATCCTCTCCTGATGGTTCCATAACTGACAAGAACTATAAAGGACGAACACACAATTCCAAATACTGTTGAAACAATGGAAACCTACAGGCAGTAAACGTACAGGACAGAATATGATAGCAGCTTTGGCTGCGCAGGCCTTGAAGCTATGATAACCGTATGCAATTGCAAGATCGCTGCAACAGGTTTTAAGTTATGAAAAGAATATAATGCTTCGTGCTGTGCACAAAATTCTGGCGTTTCTTTGGCAACATGCTGCGATTGCCCGTAGGCCGTGCCCAATGGTGACGTAGTTGTCAGGAACCAGGATGGCTACCTGCGCTTTGTAATAGTGCTTGCATCAGCTCAGTGTCTAAAACTTTGCATTGTCGATTATAGTTTTTTCCAGTTAAATACCTAATGTCATTTTGCACCCCACCAGACCCGTGGTTCAATATAGCGCTTCCTTTGGCTGTTGCAACTGCTCAGCCAGCCTAATCGACCTACACACAAACACCACCATCACACAAACATAACTGCGCCACCTTTGGATGGCCTCTTCGAGCTCAAAGCGCACTCTCTGGACTCCACCGCTACCTCAGGTGCGCCAGCAAGGCCAGCTCAGTCCTACTGTACAGGATGACATCTCAATGCCTATTACTCTACTATTACTATAAAACATCAGGCTCTGCTATTTGGGGTATGCAAATTCCACTCTTGAAGCGCACCAGTCGATGTTGCGCGACGAAACGCTCTTACCACTTCATATTCATTGTTCCTTCTCGGCTATGCAGCAACCTCAACCCCCAATACCTTCTCTTTATGAGGTCTTAGTCTTCCACCTGTTGAGCCACGTCACCTTACATCTCTCACCCGCTCTCCGCGCTTTCTCACGCTTCCTCGTGCGTGGCCCCACTGCCCCAACACTCCCTTCCTGCTGCGCATACCCACAACACCCGCTCCGCCCCTCCCTCCCTCCGCGCCCGCCCCTCCGCCATGCAGCCCCCACTCCACCCCCCGCCGGGTCCCAGCTCCCAGCCAGCCGGAGTGCCCACCACCACCCGCGATGTCGCCGCAGGGCCCTCGCAACCCGCCCCGCCTTCCCTGCCCTGGGCTCCCATAGCCGCAGCAGCCTCTGGCCAGCTGGGGGGCCGAGCCGGCTCCCCGCAGCTCCCTGCTGCTCCTGTTGTTCCTACCACTGCCGGCCCGGGATTAGCAGCAGCAGCAGCAGCAGCGGCGGCAGCAGCGGGGAGGGGTCTGCCTGCAGCGAGAGAGGCGGCAGCGGGGCCCGCAGGAGCTCCAGGGGCAGCAGCAGTGGGTGTGCGCCCCATGCAGGCGTTACTGCGGGAGGTGACGGCGGGGGATGACGACGCGGTGGCGGCTAAGGAGGCGTTTCTGGTGGGGCGGGGTTGGTGGCTCCGTACATGTACCGTACAAGGGTTGCATGTTGCAAGTGTGGCTGCCCGAAGCCCGCCAGCTTCGTAGCCATTGGTCTTTGAGGATATTCGCTATTGCCTTGCGACTGGGTATCCTACCGTGTGTTAAGATAACTGGGCGTGAGTCGGAACGTATCGTGATTGCCGGAGGATCCTGCCGCATGTGTGTACGCTTGGCCATGCATGCGCATGCCTTGGATGTCCCATTGTCCACATGCCTCCACATGCCACCGCACTCCTTGTAGCGCCCCTCTGTACCGGTATCGCATGCCCCCCCACACATGCTCACGCTCATTCTCCCGCCCCACACGCTCTCACGCCAGGAGGACGAGGCGCTCCTTCACCCGGAGCAAGCCGCCAGGAAGCAGCACCCGCACCCGCACCCGCACCCGCAGCGGCAACAGGCAGCGGCGCCCGCTCTGGGCGGTCCTGCCGCCGCCGCCGACGTCGTCCGACCGCCATGGATGTACGGCATGGGCACTGACGTGTTCCGAGGGTACAAAACGGTTGGCGTCAGCGATATCGACGTTGGAGGCGGTGGCGGCGCCACGGGTCTGGCGCCGCTGGGGCCGGAGGAAGAAGAACTGACAGTGGCTCCGCCAGGGCCGGTGGCGGCGGCGGCGAGGAGTCCGGCGTGGGCTGCAGCCATGGAGGCCGCCGCCGCCGCCCGCAACGGCGGCGGGTTTACCGGGTACGGCGGGTACGGCGAGGACGAAGCTACGAGCGCCCTGCTTGAGCCGTTGCTGCCGCCGCAGACCCCACTGCGGGAGCCAGCGGCGGCGGCGGCGGCTGCAGCCGCACCTGACCGCGGCGCCGCTGCCCCGCCGGCGCCAGCGGCGGCGGAGCTCCCGCCGGATGCTGACGGCGGCGGAGGCGGAGGCGCAGGGCCCTCACACCCCGTCACTGTACGGCGGGTGAAGTTCGCGGATATGCCGGGGGTCGTGGCAGAGGTGGTGGAGGAGGCACCGCCGGCGCCGCCGCAGGGTCTGTCGTACTTTCGCGGCAAGTGGCAGCCGAGCGCTGCGGCGGCGCTGAGGATGGCCGTGGTGCTGTGGGGCGTGGCGGCTGTGTGCGGCTGGTGAGCGCTTGTAGCGGAGTAAACTGTGCGCGTTAGTAGTGGGGGCACGTAAAGTACCGATAGTAAACTGCGAGTGAATACGAGGTGAAATCCTGTTTTTAGGATATGTGTGATCTGCTGACACTGCTGCTCCCCGGTACAGCATTAGTTCCCTGCTGATTGCTCCTAGCGCGTCTCTCTTTGTCGGCAAGCGGCCCCTTCCTCCCTTAGCACTCTCACTGACTCCTGAAACGCGCGCAACCATCATGCGCCCAACACGGGGACCAGGTTGACCGCGCTCTGCCTGACCAACCACCAACGCGCCGTGTGGGCCGTCTTCACCGGCCTACTGACGGCCGCCGCCGCCTCCGTCGGCGCATATCTGGCGCTGGCGGCGGCGACTGCCGGCAACAGCCTTTCGACCTCCGCCACCGCCGCCACCGCCGCCAACGGCAGCGCTGCCGCCGCCACCGCAGCGGAGGGAGAGCACCCTAACACCGTCCCTGGCAGCGGCGCCGCAGGCGGCGACAGCGGTACTTTAAGCTCCGCCGCCCGTCATGCTCCCGCCGCTCCCACCTCCGCCCCCGCCGGACCGCCCGCCTCTGACACCCCCACCGCCGCAGCTGCCGCTGCGGTGCCGTACAGCCACGTTGCGTACGGCAGCAGCGGTGGAGGGGGCGCTGCAGGCGCGGCGGGTGGCGGTGTGACGGGCGACGTGCTTGCGGGTGTTGGAGCGGTGTGCTGAACTACCGGTAACTGAACCGCGTAACAGTAGTACTGCACTGGACAGTGTGTGCTGCGGTGGTATGGGCGCATGAGGGGAGGGGGTGGGTTTTGGTGGCCGTAGGCTGTGGCTGCTGGGAAGGGCTGAGGGCCTCCCAAGTGATGAGGCAATGCTAGTCGGCTTCACATGTACTGGTATGTAGCAAAGCCGACAAAGCCGAGAGCGACTTCACACGTTTCGCAAAGCGCCGCGGCTGCTGCTGTTAGAAAGCCGAGGAGGGCGGGGACGGGTGAATTAACACTACATACCCCGGAGAGAAGGGATGTAAGGAGGAGTTACTGGGTTAAGGAGAAGGCGGAGGCCTGAATAAACAGGCCGATGGGCGAGCCTTGGAGGTAAAGTCTGCATGGACGGTTTCGTGGAAGGGGAGGGGCGCAGGCAAGTGGCACCAACCTCGCACGTGGCATCAACCTTGCGCGGGAGCACTGAAGCTGTCAGGAGCATGTAAGTCAGGGTTTAACGACTGACGCCCAGAACGAATGCGTTAAGTGCAAAACCTGCGATGTTCAGCAAATGCCCCAGATACCTCAGTTCATTCGGCCATTCACCGTCAAAGCGCTTGGTTTCGGCTCGGCTCCAATTCCAACTACCAGGGTTCCAGGGATCCGGGCTACAGCTTGCGCAACATTGCTGCATGGCATGCAAGCCAAACAAGTTGCTGCGAATACCAGCTAATGTAGCTGTTTAATAGCGACCAGGGTGTGTAATGGCGCGAGGGCGCACCAGCACGGGCGCAGGAGGTGGACCAGCTGAGCCGCTGTTGCCGCGGAGTGGTATCATAGATGGTAAGAAAGTCAAACTACTGTTCGCGTTCATCAATCTACTATCGCAGTGCCTAGGGCTGTCGGCATGTACATGACTGTTTGCCAACTTGCGTATAAGCAAGCCCCCTGGAATAAATAAAGCAAACCAAGTGCCGTTACGTATCACACTTCTAGGTCCAGCAACCGGTGATGCTCCTGGGCGTGAGCAAATATGGACTGCTGGTCATGGCGCATGGAGCTCTTGCTGGTTCAGCTGGGTTACGCCTCTTATGCAAACGGGCAGTCGACGACAGCTGCAGTCAGACGACCTGCTGCAATTGGATCCAAGTTTGGAACCGGAGCGCTGCGGCCGTACGCTGTGGCTCAACTGGAGCAAGGTGGGGTCCGTCTTGCTTAGGCCGGCTGAGGGACGGCGAGGCGCCCTTTCGTTGCGGGCTGGGAGGATTAGGGCGCTTCTTGGGAGGAGGCCCCTTGGCTCCTAGCCCCAGAAACATGGTGGGCGCATGAAGACTGGGTGCCCTCAGCCCTCAGCCCTCAGCACCCACACCAGCTCCCCACACACCCCTGGCGGCAGCCACTTATCATGCCTAACATTCCGCTACACCGTATTAAGGAAGGAAGGAAACAAAAATTGATGCTCCCTTGCTTGGCCGCCTCTGTCTGCATCGCATGGTACCTCACCCGCTCCTACCCTTACCTTCCTGCCCTCCGCCGCCCCTCGCTCCGCCCTCCCTTCGCACCCCTCCCAGGAGCTGCTGCTGCACCCGCAGCGCCCCTCCCTGCTGCGAGCCCTGGCGCGCTCGTACGGCGGCCCCTTCGCCTGGCTGGGCCTGGTCAAGGTGGGGGGTGTTCGGGGGCTGGGGTTGTCGTATGAACGGTTCCGTTCGCCAGGGAAGAGGCTGTAACCGTACAGCCCCGCGGTACGGCGGTGTTGGTAGGTGGGAGCCCGGGGGCATGAGTCAGCTGGGGCAGCATGGATGTCCTTGTCCTGCTGAAGAAGGGTGCTGGTGCGTGCAAGGGGGCAGGGGGCAAAGCAAAAGAGGACAAGAACTCACACACGAACGAAGTCATGCAGTCCAATTCACCGACCCCTGCCTGCCCTTCTCACCCTCCTCTCCCCCAATCTCCCCTTCCCTCTCCCCCACCCTCCCTCTCAGCTCCTGAACGACCTGCTCAGCTTCTCCGGGCCCCTGCTGCTGCGCCTGCTCGTCTCTTGGCTGACAGCAACACCCAGCCAGCAACAGCACCCGCAGCACCCGCAGCAGCAGCCTCCTTCTCTTGCAGCAGCAGCAGCCGCCATGACGTCGACCGCCCAGGGGACCCATGGGTCGCTCCCGGCAGCGGGTCAGCCATCCTGGGGCACGTTGTTCGACCCCACCAGCGGGGTGGTTGCTGACAACAGCAGCGGCAGCGGTAGCAGCAGCAGTAGCAGCAGCAGTGGCGGGTGGTGGTTGGGTTGGGGCTGTGTAGTGCTGCTGGGGCTGAGCTCGCTGGCTCGGGCGCTGCTGAACGCGCACTTCAACTACCAGCTGGTGAGGGAGGGAGGGATAAAGTGGAAAATGAAGCAACGGAGTCCCAATCCCATCCCAGGGAGAGAAGGAAGGCAGGGAGGGACAGGGGGCGGGTTATGCGGGGCAGATCAGATAGAGCCCGCTAAGCTGCGTCATCCGCTGGAGAGATGGCCTCCTGGACCTCCTGAGGGCATCTAGGCATGCTGCCTGCCCTCATACCCTCGCCACCACCCACCTGCACGCCGCTCCCTATTCTCTCCTCCCCGTCCCCCTACCTGCTCCTCCCCCTCCCGCCCCCTCAGAGCCGCCTGTCCTGCCAGCTGCGGAGCGGCCTCATGACCGCCCTCTACCGCAAGTCCCTGCTGGCGCTGCGACACCAGCCGCCGCAGCAGCAGGAGGGGGCAGCGGGAGCAGGGGCAGCGGGAGCAGGGGGAGGGGCAGGGACAGGAGCAGGAACAGGAGCCCGCGGGGCGGTGAAAACGCAGGCTGGAAGGAAGGGACAGCTGCGGGTGCAGGCGCGTGCTAGGGGCAAGGAGGAGGCAGCTCAGCCGCTGCTGCTGCCGCCGCCGCCGGCAGCGGAACAGCATGAGGGGCAGGGGGCGCAGCGGCAACACAGCGGCGACGGCGGCGAGAAGGGCGGCGGCGGCGGCGACAGAGGCACCTCGCCTGATGTGGAGACCGGTGTGGGTAGCCGTGACGGAGTCTCCCCTGCCACTGCCACTGACGGGGCCGCAGTAGCTGACGGCGGCGCGCCTCACCGCATGGCCGGGGACGGGGACGGGGACGGGGACAAGACCGCTAACGACGGTGGCAGCACCCTTACCCCCAGCACCCCCAGCCCCAGCCCCCCCACTCCCAGCAGCCCCAGCAGCAGCCCCCTGGGCGATGTGTCCACGCTCATGTCGGTGGACGCGGGTCGCGCGGTGAACCTGCTGCTGTCCTTCCACGAGCTCTGGTCGCTGCCCTGGCAGATGGGGCTGGCGCTGTACCTGCTGTACACGCAGGTAAAAGGGGGGGGGGAGGGGACAGATATAGACCAAACCTTGAGGAAAGGACGAGTTGGAGGGTGGGGGGAGGGGCGAGGGGGTTTTAGATGGGTGGGGTGGGGGGTGCGGTAGGGGTGTGGAGGGGGTGGGGGGTGGGGTCGGCGGGCCGTCTACGCTCACCCCCTGTCTCATCCCCTCGCTTCCCCCCCTCCCCTCCCCCCCCCCAGGTCCACTACGCCTTCCTAGCGGGTGTGCTGGTGTCGCTGCTGCTGGTGCCGCTGAACCGGCTGCTGGCGGCCCGCATCCTCACCGCCTCCACCGCCATGATGGCAGCCAAGGTGGGGGGGCCATGAAGAACCATGAAGGACTACTACGCATGCGTTGATTGATGGGTAGGGGGCGGGGACAGGAAGCAGAGGCTGGGTGGGCTTGGGTGGGTGGGGGGATGGGCAGAGTGTAGCGGGGTCAGTGTAGGTGGGAGAGGCAGGTCGGAACGTATGCGTCGCAGGGCCCACTGCCCCTGACCCAACCCTTTTGTTTCACTCGTGGTTTCTCTTCTTTTACACCCACCCCCAACCCCCCCCCGCAGGACGCCCGAGTGAGGTGCATGTCGGAGCTGCTGGCGGGCGTGCGGGGGGTGAAGACGGACCCCGCCTGGCTGGGCTTCTATGTGGCCCGGGTGGGTGGGTGGGGTGAGGAGGGGAGAGGAGGGGGAGAGGGAGAGGGAGCGAGGGTGCGTGGGGAAGTGCCGGGGATGGAAAGGGGAGCAAGGAGCAAGAGACAGGGTGCAATGTGCAAGGATAGCTCTCCCTCCCGCCTCACCTCACCCCCCTTCACCTCCCTTCCTCTCCCACCTCAGGTCTCCTCCGCCCGCCACGCCGAGCTGCGCGGCCTGGCGGTCCGCAAGTACCTGGACGCGCTGTGTGTGTTCTTCTGGGCCGCCACCTCACTGCTCTTCTCCGCGCTCACTTTCGGACTGGTGGTGCTGCTGGGGGAAAGGGGAGGGGGAGGGGCAGGAGGGGGTGTGTTGACGCCCGCTGCTGCCTTCACCAGTCTGGCGCTGTTCCAGTTGCTGACGGGGCCGCTCAACGCCTTCCCCTGGGTGGTCAACGGTGGGTGCGGGAGAGGGGGGTCAAAGACCATACCGAACCATAGGAAACCACAGGTTGGGGCAAGACAATGGGGATAGGAGCGGCAGGGGGGGGGAGGGGTGGGGGAGGGGGGAAAAGTGGCGGGAGGCAAGCGCACAGGGTGTTTGCGGTGCTGAGGCGGATGGCTTGGGGTTTTGGGAACGCAGAGGAGTGGGGCTTTTGGGGGGACGCAGGAACCACAAATCCTAATCGCTCGTAACCCTCCCCCCTGTGGCTTGGCTAAACCAGATCGGCACACCCATGCGTGCGAGCATGCAACCCAGGGTGGCGGCAGCAGCCTGCATATTACATGGTTTCGTGCTGCCTTGCTATCCACTGCGCAGGCGTTGTGGAAGCCATGGTCTCCGTGCGCAGGCTTCAAGCCTACCTCACACGCGCCGAAACCAAGGCCCTGTGGGCTTATGAGGATCTGGAGATGTCGCTTCGAGACCTGCCGCCAGCCTCCGCGGCGGCAGTACTCCACGCCGCAACGGCCGCAGCTACCGCCGCCGCTGGCGGCGACGGCGACGGCGGCGGCTGCGACGGCGCCGCCATCGATCTCGCGCCGCCGCCGTCGGCCCTGTCCCGCCACCCCCGCTGCGGGTTGCTGGCGGCTTTGCATGAAGCAGCAGCCGACGGTGACGGTGGCGGCGGCGGCCTGTCGTACGGCCGGGGGCCGCCAGGCGGGGGCGCACATCCCCTGGATCGCATGCTTCGTGCGCTGCAGCCGCCGCCGCCACCTCTGCCTCCGCTGCCACCGGCCACAACGGCAGTCAGGCCGCTGCCGGCTTGGTGGTGGTTGCGGCGCAGAAGAGCCTCGTGTGACGTCACCATCGCAAGAGGCGGCGACGGAGGTGACGGAGGCGGTGGCGGCGGCCGCTTTTCCCGCAGCAGTGCGCCGCCGGTGCTGCTGTCAGGGGGTGCTGCTACCGCTGTTGAGGTGCTGCCGGCCTCCTCCTCCTTGCAGCAGCAGCAGCGGGCGCTGCCGCCGGTGCAGTCCGGGGTGTCCCTCGTGGCGCTCGACGCGGATGCTCCGGAGGCGGAGGTGCCGCTGCCGCCGCTGCCCTTACCGCCGCTGCAGCGCCTGCCAGCACCGCCACCGCCTGAGCCGCTGCCGCTGGCGCCGTCGTCTCGGCCGACGGCAGTGCCAATGGCTGAGGCGGCAGCGGGGGCGGCAGCGGAGGCGGCAGCGGGGGCGGCAGCGGGGGCGGCAGCGGGGGCGGCAGCGGGGGCGGCAGCGGGGGCGGCAGCGGGGGCGGCAGCGGGGGCGGCAGCGGGGGCGGCAGCGGGGGCGGCAGCGGGGGCGGCAGCGGGGGCGGCAGCGGAGGCGGCAGCGGGGGCGGCAGCGGGGGCGGCAGCGGAGGCGGCAGCGGGGGCGGCAGCGGGGGCGGCAGCGGGGGCGGCAGCGGGGGCGGCAGCGGGGGCGGCAGCGGGGGCGGCAGCGGGGGCGGCAGCGGGGGCGGCAGCGGGGGCGGCAGCGGGGGCGGCAGCGGGGGCGGCAGCGGAGGCGGCAGCGGGGGCGGCAGCGGGGGCGGCAGCGGAGGCGGCAGCGGGGGCGGCAGCGGGGGCGGCAGCGGGGGCGGCAGCGGGGGCGGCAGCGGGGGCGGCAGCGGGGGCGGCAGCGGGGGCGGCAGCGGGGGCGGCAGCGGGGGCGGCAGCGGGGGCGGCAGCGGAGGTCATCGCTGCGAGCTTTTACGGTGCCACCTTTGCTTGGGAAGCGGTAGGGTGGGGACTGCATCGGGGAGGGAGGGCGGGAGGGATAGACAGTTGGTCGTTACCTAGGACGGACGCATGGCAAGGAACCTCGCCTTGCCATGCACCCTCTCATGCCTCGCCGCACCCGCATCCCCACTTCACAACACCAGCTGTCCTTCCCCTCCTCCTCTTCCCCTCTTCCTCTCTTCCTCCTCACCTATACGCATCCGTTTATCCCAGCCGTAAGCCCAAGTACGGAGCATCCATCGCCTGTTGGTATATCTCTGTCCCCTCTTAACCCTCTCGCTTCCCCACCCCTCCTTGCCCCCAGACCTCCCGTCCCTGCCTGCTGGACCTGCACCTGCACCTCCCCGCCGGCTCCCTCACCGTGCTGGTGGGCCGGGTGGGGGCCGGCAAGAGCTCCCTGCTTACGGCGCTGTTGGGGGGCGCGGAGCTGCCGCTGCTGGCGGGCAGCTGCAGCCGCCGCAGCCGCCACAACCACCACTGCTGCAGCCGCCAGGAGTCCCAGGGTCGGAGCCACCAGCAGCAGCAGCAGCAGCAGGAATGTTCCCATCGTCAGCAGCAAGAGTGTCACGGAGTTGGCGCTGCCACGGCACTCCAAAGAGCTGTTGGTGATGGTGCTGTTGGCGATGGCGATGGCGTGGGAAGAGGAGGAGGAGCCGGAGCAGCTACTGTCGTACGGAGCAAGCTGTGTTGTACGACAGGTAGTACGGAAGCGGATACCCGCGGTACGGCAAGGAGAGCGAGGAGCAGGCGAAGGACGTCGTACGCTCCGCAGCGGCCGTGGATCATGGCGAGCAGTGTACGGGATAACGTACTGCTGGGGCTGCCGTTGGACGAGCAACGGTATTGGCAGGTGAGGGGCCGCTTCGCTCTTACAGGCGCTGCCGTTAGGTCATGCCGTTTGTCTTTATGTTACCAGGACTGGTCCCTCGCGTTTCACAAGGGATCTTCCCCTGCCCAAGTCCTGCCAGGCGCCTTGGAGCCTGAACCCAGGGGCCCGCGAACCCCTCGTTGCACCCGCCCCCCCGTTGGGCCCCCAGGTGCTCCACAGCTGCGCGCTGCTGCCCGACCTGGCGCTGATGCCCGCGGGGGACATGGCGCCGGTGGGGGACAACGGATGCAGGTGAGATGCGGGCTGGCTGCATGCGTGCGCTACTGCTTGTGCGTGTGCGTGCGCGTTTGTGTGTATTGAAAGACAACCTTCCGCGAGTGTGCTGCATGCTTGAAACCGCATGTGAGCCGCAGTCGTCGCACACCCGTAGTAGTCCCCTAGTCGCGCACCACCTCCACCCCCGTCCTTGCGCCCCACGCCCTCGCACCCCCCCGGTGCTCACCCCACAGCCTATCCGGCGGGCAGCGGGCAAGGCTGGGCCTGGCACGTGCGCTCTACCATGCAGCTGCCCGTACTGCCGCCGGCGGTGGCGGTGGCGGTGGCTGCGGCGGGTACAACCACCACCACCACCACCACCATCACGAGGACACTGATGACGACCACCACGACGACTGCGATGACGACGACGTGCTGCTGCTGCTGGACGATGTGTTGGCCTCTCTGGACGCAGCATGCGCCGCACACCTTGTACGACATGCGCTGCTGCCGCTGACGGCAACCGCACCCGCGCCCACAACAGCGGGAGCACCCATCATTGCGCCGCTGCCACAGCCACCCCTGCTACCGCAGCCGGAGCCGCTACTGCTGCCGTCACCCGCAGAGCCGCTGCCACTGCAACCACATGCCAGCAGCGGCACCCACTGCGCTGGTAGCGGGACGGCCAGCGCATGGGCCGCCGCCGCCGCCACCACCGGAGCCGCCCCCGCCGGCTGCCGCCTCCGCCCCCGCCGGGCGCCCACCGTGGTGCTGGTGAGTCATGACGAGCGCTGCATCCGCGCCGCGCGGCAGGTGGTGCTGCTGGAGGCGGGGCGAGTGTTGTATGCGGGGCCGCCGGACGGGTACTTTGCCAGCCCGCACTGCCTGCACGGTCGGCAGGGCCGGCAGAAGGAGGAGGAGAAGGAGGAGAAGGAGGGGGAGCGTGGGCGGCATGCGGGGGGGCTGGGTGGCATGGAGAGAGGCAGCGGGTGCGGCGAGGGGGCCTCCTTTCCGGGAGGTGGGAAAGGAGCAGATGAGGACGCCGGTGGTGGGAAGGAAGGCGGAGACGATGCCGGTGGCGGTGGGAGCAGCGCCTGCCTGGATGCTGTGGTGGCGGCGGCGGAGGAGGAGGGGGTGTTGCAAGCGGGAGCGGAGAGCGGTTTGCTGGCGCCGCCTGGCACTGCTCCAGCGCAGCAGGGCGATCAGCAGCGGCAGCAGCAGCCTGCGGCGGAGGTAACAGAAGCCCAAGCAGCAGCAGAAGCAGAAGAGCCCGAGGAGGAAGAGCGGGAGGTGGGCCACGTGCGGTGGCGGGTGTACGAGCGCTACCTGTCAGCGGTGGGTCGCGGAGTGGTGGCGGCGGTGCTGCTCAGCCTGCTGCTCATGCAGGCCTCCAAGAACGCGAATGACGTGTGGGTGGCGTTCTTCGCGGCGTCGGCAGGCGGGGCAGCGGGAGGTGGCGGGGGTGGGGGTGGACGCGGCGGTGTTGCTGCTGTGGCAGCAGCAGCAGCGGCAGCAGCAGCAGGGGGGCCCGCTGGTAGTGGTTGTGAGTTGGGTGGGGCTGGGTGGGGCGCGGAGACGGCTTGGCACTGGAGCGCTGCCGGGGCTGCTGGTGGCGCTGCCTGGCCGGCCTTTGCAACGGGGGGTGCGGGAATGTACCTTCACTCGGCGCCGGCGTGGCTTCCCTGGGCTTCGGGAGCATCAGCTGCAGCAGCAGCGGTAGACGCGGCAGACGCGGCAGGGTGCCCTGATGCGGCGTTGGGGTGGGACATGCGGGCAGCAGCAGCGGTGGGTGCGGATGTGGATGCCGCGGCGGTGGCGCCAGCGGGTGCTGCCCCTGCTGCTGCGGTGGAGGCGGTGGTGGCGGAGGCGGCAGGGGCGACCCCACTCTCCTCCTTCAAATCACAAGTCCGGGCGGGCGGGGAGGGGGACGTGGGCGGCGGGCTTAGGCAGCAGCAAGGAGGTGGAGAGCGGGCGATGCATGGAGAGGAGTCGGAGGCGGCGGAGGGACAGGAGGAGGAGGCGGAGGAGGGGAGGGAGCTCCTAGCCGGCAGTAGCAAGGGCGGCTTGCTTGAGGGGGCTCTCCCGCTCCGCCACCATCGCCGGCACCTGCGGCTGCTGCTGCAACAGGAGCGGTGGAAGCAGCAGCAGCAGGGGCCGCACCAGCAGCACCAGCAGCAGCTAAGCGGCGGCAGAGCCGGCAGTGGTGGCTGGGTGTGGTCCCCGCAGCTGTTCCTGAGGGGGGTAATCGTCATCGCAGCCAGCAACGCGGTCTTCACGATGGCACGTGCGTTCTCATTCGCATTCGCAGGTAGGGGTGGGTGGGCTTGGTGCGGTGGGGTGCATGTGGTGGGGTGGTGAATTGGATGGGGGGCATGCAGGGGCGCGTACCAAGGAAGGTGATGTGTATGTACCGTTGATGAGGGATGCTGCGCTCATCTGGCGTGGTATGCAGTCTTTGATAAGACACCAGGCATCGGGCGCCGCACATCCCTACCTGGGGAGTCCTCCTCACAACCGCACCACCTCCCGTCACGTCCCCTCCCCTCTCCGGCCCCGCATGAAAGAACTTCTTCTGCACCTCCCCTCTCCGCTCCGTGCGGTTACACCCCCCCTGCTGTCCATGGTAAAGCCTCGTCATACAGCTCCTCAGTTTCCTCCTTTTTACCCGCCCCCCCTGCTGCTGACCAGGCATGCGCGCCGCCCGGTTGCTGCACATACAGCTGCTGCGGGCGGTGCTGCGCGCGCCCATGAGCTTCTTAGACAGTGTGCCGCATGAACGCATACTCAACAGGTGGGGAGTGGGCGCAGTGGTGGGGGTGGCAAAACAAGGTAAACAACGTGTGTTTATCCCACCTCCCCTCCCCTCCCCTCCCCAGGTTTTCCTCCGACGTGTCCACGGTGGATGACTCGCTGCCCTTCATCCTCAACATCGCGCTGGCCAACGCCGCCTCCCTGGCGGGCCTGCTGGCGGTGCTGTGCTACAGCGCGCCGCCGCTGCTGCCGCTGCTGGTGCCCCTCGCACTGCTGTACAGGTAGGGGTGCGTGCGGGTGTGTGTTAAAAAAGCGGCCGCGGGTAGGGATGTGTCATACCGTTTTCCCCAACCCCCCAACCGCCACTCACTGCATGAGTCGGGATTCGGGATTGGGACTCCGTTGGTGCATTTATCTATATTTAACCAACCGCCAGTGCATTCCTTCTGGGCCGGCGGCTATGGTCACGGTCAGTAATGTTACGCGGGTCGGTCGATCTACCCATACACACACCCCGCCCCCCCCGCCCCGCCTCCCCCCCAGGCGGCTGCAGCTGTTCTACCGGGGCAGCAGCCGGGAGGTGCGGCGGCTGGAGGCGCTGGCGCTGTCCCCCGTGTACGGCGCATTCGGGGGGGTGGCGGAGGCGGCGCCGGTGATCCGGGCGTTCGGTGCGCAGCGGCACTTCATGCGACGGGCGGTGCGGGCGGTGACGCAACACCAGCGGGCGGCCATCACAGGTGACATGGGGGGGGTGACGTGTATTGTTATAGGTGACGCACACTGTCAATGTCATCCGTATCACGCTATGCCATGTCAACGTTCCCCTCCTCTTATACGCGCTCCCCCCTGCCAACCCCCCATCAGCCGGCGCCGCCTCCGCCTGGCTTGGTCTCCGGCTGCAGCTGCTGGCCTCGCTGCTGGTGGCAGCGGTGGCGGGACTAGCAGTCTGGCAGCGCAGCGCGGGAGCGGGAGCAGGAGGGGTAGGACAGAGCAGCAGCGGTCATGGCAGCAGCGATGACGCTGACGACGGTTCCAACAGCGGCAGCAGTAACAGTTCTAGCGATGGTAATAGCAGCAGCGGTGGCGACCTGGTTGCCAGTCTGGCGGGACTGAGCCTTGCGTATGCGCTGCCGATGGTGGGTCTGCTGAACGGCCTGCTCACCTCCTCCGCGGAGACCGAGCAGGAGATGGTGGCGGTGGAGCGGCTGGCGCAGTACACGGACGGCATCGCGCCGCAGCCAGACACGTTGCCTCCGCTGGGGCTGCCGCAGCCACAGCGATGTCAGCAGCAGCAGCAACAACAAGAGCCTCAACAACAGCAGCAGCAGCAAGCGCAACTGATGCGTCAGGAAGTGGAAGTGGACACGGCGGAGGACGCGCACCTGCGGCCACCGCTCTCCTCGTCCGCCGCCGCCTCTTCCTCTTCCTCACAGTCCGCCACAGCTGCTGTAGCTGTCGTACCTCCTGCCGTACCTCCTGTCGTGCAGTTTGAGGGAGTGGTGGTGCGCTATCGACCAGCTCTGCGTCCCGCGCTGTGCGGCCTGAGCCTGGCGGTGCGGGGTGGGCAGCACGTGGGGCTGTGCGGCCGCAGCGGGGCGGGCAAGAGCAGCGCAGTGGCGGCGCTGCTGAGGCTGGTGGAGACGGAGGCGGGCCGGATCCTGTTGTACGGCAGGGACATTCGTGCCGTACCGCTACAGCAGCTGCGTGCCTCCGTGGGTGTGCTGCCGCAAAGCCCCTTCCTGGCGAGTGCATCCGTACGGGAGAACCTGGATCCTGGGGGAGCAGCAGCAGCGGCGGCAGCTGCTGCAAGGTTGCTGCTGAGCAATGCTGGCGGCAGCAACAGCCCGGCGGTGGTGACGTCAGCGACGCCGCTTGGTGACGCCGCGTTGTGCGCTGCACTTCGTCGTGTGGGGCTATGGGACACGCTGGTGGCGGCGGCGGTGCACCGTCGGGACAAGGGCGGTCGTGGGAGTGCGGTTGGTGGCGACGCCATTCCCAACACTGGAATGATTGCTGTGGGCGTGAACGCTGCACGGGCAGCGGAAACAGGTGCGATGGGCGCGTGCCCGGTTGATGGTCCGAGGGCCCTCGCTGCCGCCTCTCCGGAGGCTGGGACGCTACCGCCGTCGGCAGCAGCGGCAGCGGTGTCAGCGGCGGAGGTGCTTGGCTTACCGCTAGGCGGCCTGCCTGATGCAGTGGGGCTGAGCGCCGGTCAGCAGCAGCTGCTGTGCCTGGCGCGACTGCTGCTGCGGCCGCGGCGGCTGGTGCTGTTGGACGAGTGTACGGCACACGTGGATCCGGCCACTGCCGCTGCCATCCGCCGAGTGGTGGCGGAGGAGTTGTTGCTCCGGCGGCAGCAGCAGCAGCAGCACCCGCCACTGCCGCTGTTGATGGGGACTGCCGTGGGGGCTGCAGCGGGTTCGGGAGAGGCCAAGTCCCCTCCTGCTGCTGTTCCTGCTGCTGCTGCTCCTGTTGCCGCTGGTGTTCCTCCTCCTGCTGCTGCTGCTGCTGCCGTTGGACAGGCTGCTACACCTTTGCAACCTGATCAGCAGCTGCTGCTACAGCAGTCCCCGCAGCGCAAGCAGGAACAGCGGTCCACGCCGCACAGCCCTGCAGCAGCTCCCACCTTGCACACTCCTGTCGGCAGCAGTACCCATCACACCTCCGCCAGAAGATCCACAGCTGCCGCTGCCGGCCCCCGGTGGGAGGGCCCATGTGCGGTGCTGGAGGTGGCTCACGACCTCGCCGCCATGCGGGGGTGCGATGTGGTGCTGGTGATGGAGGCGGGGCGGGCGGTGGAGGTGGGGCCGCCGGGGGAGCTGCTGGGGCGGCCGGGGGGGAGGTTCAGGGAGCTCTGGCGGGCGGCAGTGGGGGCGGCAACGGGGACGGTGACAGGCACGGGGACGGGAGAGGGAGGCAGCCGGGGTGCGGTGGGAGCAGCTAGGAGGTGCTAGCGGGCTAGGAGGGTTGGTGGCGGGTGTGGCGGTTGCGGTGTGGTGGTGATGTGGGCATGTAGGTACCGGTATGGTGAGGTGCAGGCCAGGTGCAAGCCCGGGGGGGTGCGCCAGGCTGGAGGAGTGCAAGCCCCTAGAAGTGTATGGTAGTGCAGGTGTTAAGATGTGCACGCACAGCATGCTATGGCCACCCGTGAACATTGCTTGGATTCCGCCCAGCCTTGGACCCTGCCTTATTCGCTTGAACCGGTGCCGCAGGCGCGCAGGGGCATCCACCGGGGCTGCCGGTCAGGAATCAACACATGCACGCAACAGCTAAAACCGTGCGCTTTCGAAGGAGGTTTTAGGGGCCCAAGGCGTTCTGCATGCTGGTCGTCCGGCGGAATGGCACGACGACCTTACGGGCAGAAACGATGATAACGGTTTGCGTGTGTTCAGCATGGCAGATGACTCCTTTCGGAGGCTGCACCTGGTGCGAACTGCCCGCGCAGGAACCAATGGAAGGGTCAAAGCAAGGAAACGTGTGGGGTTGTAAGCTTGTAACTGTAGAAACCAGATGGTTGAAAAGCCGTCTACCCTTTCATGGATCCGATGGTTTTTTCCCAAGGTCCTTGGGAACAGTGCGTTCACACGTACACCCGGAATCTATCGCTTTGCAGCGAAGCTTTTAGATGAAGCCGCGCCTTAATGCATGGATCAACAATGATGACTGCGGCGGTCTACAGCCTGTATCCCATCCTTTCTGTTTGCATATTTTGTATTCTGTATGCTTTCCAGCTCATCGCAGTTAATGCGGCTCTGCAGCATTGTGCGGAGGGTGCTGCTACTGCAGTGACACAGCACACTTGAAACAATACCATCTGATACAAGCTCCCGGGCAGACCAACGGTAATAGTTTAGCCTGCTGTCGCTATGTATGCTGTCCCCATCTCTCTCCATCGGTGTCTATCCGGCGTACATAGCTCGTCTATCTGGAGGTAGGTACTGGCTCGGGCTGCCCACCCACTGGCCGGTTGGAAAGCCATTAAGATGGCTGCGCCATGATTCCCATTGACAGCGGAAAGACAGAACTCCAATGCCAAGCCTCCCGTTAAAGCGGCAAAGCAAAAAGGGAATACAAGAATTACTCAGACAACGGTGAAATGTAGAACAGCACTGCTTGTCCAATGATGCTGTATGTGCAACACAATGGCACTCCTCTAAAGGATAATACGTAAGTTGGGATGACGTCCAAGCCATGAAGGGAATTTCGAGAACTACGCCATCGACATAGCGGTGCAAGCACAGTTCCAGCCATCACCGTTAGAATGCACTTGCCTCTCTAGGAAATCTTGTGGATGACAATAATGTGAATGCGCCAATGCGCATTTTAGCGCCTCGACTGACATCGACTCGCCGGGATGCGTTAATTCACCCCTTCTGCTACGAGGGTAGTGTTACGTCATTCGCAACGTATGTGAGGTTCTCGTCAAAAAGAGATCCTCGATAATCCCAAGAGTTGGCTATCCTGCTTGTCATCGTCGTCGTACCGTTCATGAAAACAAGTCAGAAGTGTGCAAACACCTAGCTCTTGCTTTGCGTGCATAGTGACGTCGCGGTGCTTCATCGACCGACGGAGGCTTACAAAGCGGTGACGTTTACAGTAGTATCGATTGTTAACGGGCTTGAGTAACCAGCTGCCACATTGCAACGCAAGACTCTATAGCTAGCAAACCGCTCTCTTGCAGCAGCATACAGAGACTGACAAGCGAAGCTGTGGAGGGACGCTGACATTTCGGCCGATACCAATGGGGCTGGAGTTTAGGCCGACGGACAGCGAGGGTATCTAGTGGGTAAGTAACATCTATTATACAAAATTATATTTAGCTACCAAGCGGGCAAAAGTGCGGCGCTGTCCTTGGTTCTCGACGCTCGAGGCCGTGCTGGCGACGTATAGGTTATGGTCATTATTTTGGCTTAATATGAAAACCTATGTTTGTATATGTTACGTCACCTGCAACCTGCACTCCTTGAGTCTATGTCGGCAGCGCGTGCCCGGTCAGCGTTAGGTAAGGGACTTTTGTCTCTCCTCAGCACACTCCAACGCACGAGGGCCATACAGATTTATATTCTTTACTAAGTACACATACGGGTGACGCATTTCACCCTCGCCCACCACCTTTCGTGTTTCTGGTGACACACGCCATTCCCCCCGGCCTTGCATGTAGAGGCGATGATTCCCCATGCCTAGGCAATGTTGTTTCTAATGCCGCTGTATGTGGGCGTTCGATTGCCAACGTATGACGCAGGTGTGTCCCAGACTCCGTAAGGACTCCAGCAACGCGCTCTCAGCGAATAGTTTTATAGGACTAGAGCGATGCCTGGGGATTCTTGCGGTAAGGTATCGCCGCCTGGGCGAGTCGGTCATGTTCCTTCGGCGTCGGACGCTGTACCTCCAATGGCGCAGAGCACTGGCAGTGGTAGCAGCGGTAGTAGCGAGGTTCGAGAGGGACTTCAGCGCTCGACTTCGTCGGGTCAAACAGTTGACCCGCACACGGTTGGTTTGGCGTCCTCTGCCGGCGTCGCCATTTCCATTCCAAGCGCTAGGGAACAGCACGCGCTTTGGCACGAGCAGCCCCATGCGCAATGGCCACCTCTTTCCCTTTCCGAAAGAAACCGCTTGGTAGAGGAGAAAGGCCCTGAAGCGGGCCGGGTTGTACATTTCCATCCTCGTGATTTGGTTGGCAACAATGACGGTGGCTCCGTCGCATTGTCTGCCCCCGTGTCACATTACGCCCAAGATGCGCTTGGGCCCAAACAGCTGCTTTTGGCACGCAATTTGAGCCAGGATTCGTACGACCAAGCAGGAGCAACAGCAGACCCTGCCGACATCCATCCTCCTGGCGGGCCCTCAGCTCTTGCCAAGCCCAGCTGCGAGACAGCCTCTATGCAGGGCTGTCTGGAAGATCCCGCTGTACGGCAACCCGGTGCCACGACGCAGCCGGCCTCGCCTGCTCCCAGGGTGATGGCGCTTGCTGCAGCTGCCGCTGCTGCCGCCGGCGCTGCTGTTGAGGAGGTGCAGCCGGGTGGGTCCGGCAGGTCACCGAGGGGCAGCAGCGGACTGACGGCCGCCGCGGATGCACAGATGGCGACCCAACGACATGCGGCCCGCATTGCGCCGCAGTTCCAGCCTGCCGCTGCCGGGAGTGATGCCAGGGTCCGTGTTGGCGGCGGTGACAGCGAAGCGGAGGCGGGGGAGGATGCTGATGTGGAGGCGGCCAGGATGGGAGCTGGCAGGGGCCCTGATAGCGGCGGCAGTGGCGGTGATGCTGCGGATGACGAGGTGCCGCAGGCGCTGCTCCGAAGCAACCAGCAGCAACCGCAGCCAGCAGCCTTGGGGGGCAGCCATCCTCCGCAGCAGCCGCTTCGCAGCCACCACCACCTCATCCAACAACTAGCCCAGGGGCTTGCAGCCGACCTGGACGGCGGCGGAGGCGGCGCCGCCGCAGCAGCAGCGGCCCTGGCCGTCGCCGGAGCTGCCGTACTACCATCCTCCGAGCGCTGCCTGCCCGCCGGCGCCTGGCAGGCGGCTGCCAAGGTGGCTGCGGAGGCTGCCAGCGAGCAGGGCGGAGAGACGGAGAGCGGGCAGTTCGACGCCGCATCGCTCAAGGTACCGCTGCCGGGCGCCGTGGACGTGACGGTGGCGGTGCGGGTGGCCAACGGCGGTCGGGCGAACGATGACGAGACGCGCGGCGGCGGGTTCTACACGCGCGGGCCGGTGTGCGGCGTGTTCGACCCCAAGCTCTACATGAGCCGCATGGACTGCATCCGCTACCAGGGCTACCTGGTCAGCAGGAGCCACTTTGAAAAGGTAAGTCGTGAAGTCGTGGCCACACGACAGCGGCAGGGGTTGTGTTTGGCGTCCTGGCATGCATGCCTGCGGTGACAGCGGGAGGCGGCCACAATGCCTGGTGATGGCTAAGCAGCTAGCCGCTACAATGTCAGCATACCAGCTAGCGACTAGCCGACTAGCCTCCGTCTATGCGAGGACTCCTCCAGCTCCTCCTTCTCTCCTCCCGCTCTACGCGCACCCTTCGACACGTGTTAGGGCTCCCCCCAACCTCGACTCCCCTTCTCCCTCGCCCTCTCCAACCCCCCAGGTGGGGGGCAGCAACATGGCCAAGTGGTACCGCTCCATCCGTGTGCTGCCCGACCTGGAGCCGCTTGGCGAGTGGCTGGAGCGGCACGGCCTGCCGGTCTTCAAGGGCGCCGCGCGCCGCAGCCGCCCGCGCAGCCGGCTGCAGTTCCTGCTGTCGCCGGCTGCCATGGGTCTCACGCCCAGTGAAATTGCGGCCAGTGCTGGGGCTGCGGGCGGGGGCGCTGGTGATAGCGCCGGTCTTTCGCATGCAGCACGGGGAGGGTACGGCGAGCCGTACGGCGCGCAGGGAGGAGCTGGTGAAGAGCCCAGCGAGCCCCCGTCTGAGACGCCGTCCAAGCGGCGGGCGGCAGCTGCCGCTGCAGCGGCGGCGGCAGCGGCGGCTAACGACAACTGCGGCGGCTCCTCCTCCGGCGCGGACGGCGATGAGACCTTCCGGCCGCCCAAGCGACGCAACGCTGAACCCTCGGAGCCTTCCCTGCGTCAGCAGGAGCAGCACCACCTGCAGCTGCTGCAGCAGCAGCGGAGTGAGTCGCAGTTCCTGTTGGCGCGGCGGGCGGCGGCGGATGCGGGGGCGATGGTGCGACAGGGCTCGGCGGGCATGCCTGCAAGCGGTGGCGGCGGCGGGGGATCCGCATCTGGGTCGGAGCGGCGCGGCAGAGGCGGGGACAGGATGCCGTCTGAGGAGCCGAATGAGGACGAGGCGGAGGGCACAGCGGCGCTGATATCGCTCAGCGGCCTGCCCCGGAACGCTGTCGAGGTGGTGGAGACGGTGCGTGGTGCGGTTTCGCCGAGAAGACTGAAGCAGGTGCCGCGACGGCGGGGTGGTGCCGTCAAGCGGGAGAGCGGGGAGGAGGAGGAGGTGGAGGAGGACAGTGGAGGCGAGGGTGAAGCGCGTACGGAGGCCGTCGGCGTCGGCGCTGACGGGGGTGGCAGGTACGGCAGGTGTGGCCCCATGGGTGCGCAAACCGAGCAGTTTGCTGGCGGCAGGGCCGCCACGGCGGGAGCGGTGCCGCGGGGAGGGCCGTACGGTGCTGCCGTACCATCGGGCGCTTCCTCCGCCGCCTTTGCTGTCACCACCGGCGCCATGCGGACGCAGTCGGGGGGCCTAGCGGGGGCTGCTGGTCTCCCGCCCTCCGCGGCGGCGGCGGCGGCGCCAACAGACATGGGTGCGGCTCGGCGCGTGCTGACGAGGATGATGCATGTCGATGCATCGGTGGCGGCCATGGCGTCGGCTGCAGGGCTGCGAGGCAGGGGGGTGGTTGGGGAGCTGTCCGAGGACACACTGGCTGCGGCAGCAGCAGCGGCGGCGGCGGCGGGCAAGGGAGACGTGCGGCTTGCACACGCTCGGGCGGCTTGGGCCGCAGCGGGTGTGGACGCCTCTGCAGGTGCGGACGCATTGGCGAGCAGCCCGGGCGTCGGCAGCGGTGCTGGTGGTGTTGGCTTCATGGAGGGACATGGAGTGATGGATACGGCGGCGGCTGTGGCCAGGGCTCGTGCGGCAGCAGCCGCTGCGGCGACTGCAGCTGCAAAATCCGCCGTCGCGCGGGAAGCGTCCATGGCAGTAGCAGCGGCGGCATCGAAAGGCGGCTTGCCGCTGCCACCCCCGCGCAACGGCAGGTCTCCCCTCCTTGGATCCGCCGCCGACACCGGCGGCGGCAACGGCAATGACGACCGAAGCATGGAGGAGGCGGAGCCAGGGTTTAACCAGGGCTACAATGCTGCCGAGGAAAACGGCATTGACGATGACTCAGCACTGGTAGACGACACGCAGCTTCGGCTTCAGCTCATGACCGCCGGTGCGCCCGCGCTGCTGCTGTCCATCCGGATCGAACAGGAGCAGCTGCTGCGGCGGCTGCGGCAGCTGCAACAGCTGGAGCGGCGGCTGCAAGTGCTGCAGCAACCGCCGCCGCCGCTTCCGCAGCAACAGCAGTTCAAGCAGCAGCACGGAGGAGGCGGCGGAATGGTAGGGCCAGCTGGGCTGCTCCTTGGTGGCATGGGTGCCGGCGGCTTTCGTGGCCTGCCCCGCTTTGCCGAAGCTGGCGGAGGTGGTGGTGCTGGTGGCGGCATGGACGGCGGCTACCATGCAGCAGCAGCAGCGGCGGCGGCAGCTGAGATGGCGGGTCGGGGCATGCTGGGCCTGCCGCCAGGGGTTGCGCTAGCTGCGGCAGGCCTCAACGGCGGCGGCCTGGGGGCCAGCAGCCGCAACGGCGGCGGCCGTGCACGGGGTACACCTCCTCCCCCCGCGTACGTCAGGATTGGGAGCGTACGCATGGTCGGCAGCGGCCCAGGGCTGCCGGCTGCGGAAGATGAGGAGTTGCCCGTCGGCAGCGGCGGTGGTCTTTCGGCGGCGGCTGTTGCTGCGGCTGGGCTGACGCAGGAGGCGATTAACGGTGTGGTGATGCGGCAGCTCATGGCGCAGGCTCGTGGCTATGAGGCGCCGCCGCCAGGGGCAGCGGGTCGGCCGCCGACTGGGAGTCGAGCTGGCAATGTTGGCGGCAGGGTGCCTGCGCGCGGGGATGTTGCGTCGGTTCCGCGCATTCCGCATGTGCCGTACGGGATGCCGTCGTACTCACGCCGTCCACCGCCGTACGCGGATGGTTCTGCAGGCGGCGGCGAGTGGGCGTAGTAAAGCAGAAGGGCGAGCGAGGGTTGGGTTGTGCATGTAAGCATGGTGAGTCAATTGTGGGGGGCCAGGAGCATCGTTTGTGAGCCGGGAAGGAGGCGGACAGCAACCGTTTTCAAGCTGCGACTAAGTAATGGAGGGTGGCGTGCATAATTGTTCTTTTTTTGCCAAGTTCATACATGGGCCTGCTCATTCTTTTAACTGGGGGGGGGTGTTTGGGTGGTCACGTTTCCTCATTCCCATGCCCAGTATGGGTGGTATCTCAGCAACGAGTTCTTATTGAAGCCGCACCCGGGGTGCGTGTTTGACCTGGGCGCTATGTGTCTATTGTGGTTATTGCGGACATGCGAATGCTATCAGCGGTGCTTGCATGACGACCTAGGGGCATGCATGTGTGCATCCCATCGGTGTTGGCACAGTTACAGTTTCAGTCTGTACGCGTGTACAGTGTGTCCGTACGAGCCAGGGGGGCCAAGGACACTATAAGAATTAAATTCAGTCTGAGTAAGGGTCCCCTACAGGCCTCCGTTTAGGGGCTCTGCGCAAGTGGTTTCTAGCAGACATGCGGGTCTCCCAATCTGGTGGCAGCTCTCCTGCTTTTAGCAACCGCACACGGGGGAGAGGGAGGGCGTGGAGCGATCAGCTATTCGGTGGGGTGGGAGGTAAAGAGGAAGAGAGGAATAACCGGTAACCATGTTTCAAGGCATTCGATGGAGTTGATGGAGGCAGTTGCCGTGCCATGCCGTTCTGCCAATTGGGCTGCTAGGTACAGGTCATACGTTTATCTGGATACCTCTGCCTGATAACACTGTGCGTGGGTTGCATGCATGAGTGCAGCTTCAAGTTAAGAAAACTTAGTAAGGGAAATGCTGTGTTTATTGTATTACTACGGTTTGCTGCGCTAAAGCTAAGACTACCATAAACCAGTGGACAGACAGCGCCTGGGGTTGCAGCCACTATACGTGGCCAGATTCCGATTCTGACGTGCGCAATGAAAGCGACGAACATGATTTTTGTTTGTTCTTTGGTCCTTGGCGTCAATCACCTCGTCTTCGCTGCCGTACATGCGCACAGCGGCGAACTTGTTGGTGCCACACGTGCAGCGCCGCGCTAGCAAGCACTTGTGCTCGTCCCCTGCTGTGCCCTTTCGTCCGCTGTGGGTATAATCGGGACGTGCATTCGGTGGGTAGCGAGGCACGGGTGACCCCAAACAGCTCCAGTAGCATGGATGCGTTCATGGGGAGCATACGGATGCGCAGCCACCCATAAGGATGCGCAGCCGCCCTGTGCCCGGACGATGTGGTTCTTTCTTTGTGGGGTTCTTCTTGTTGATCTTTGCAGTCTCCAGCTGTGAAGGATGCTTCCAGTTTTTTCCCTTGGCTGGAAGACTAGGGCTGTTCTGGGCGCGTTCTTCCTGCGGTAGAGCGGTAGGGACGTTACGCATGCGCTGCTAGGGGGGGCTATGGGCATCCTCCTCCATCGCACCATGTTGTGCTGGCGGAGGGTGTACAAGTTTCGGGCGCCCTCCTTTACCATCGTGTTTGTTGGCAAGGCGTCAACGTGCCTCACGTAGGGCTGAGGAAGCCCGTGTATGGCGTCTATGATTCCGGCCAATAACTGCTTCCCTACCAAATGTGTACAGGGTTCAAGAACGACTAAGTCCGTACAATGGACCCAAGAATGTGTATCCAAGCTGTGATTGATGGTGTTTGCGTCTTGGGTTTGGACTGGTTTGGGCCATGTTTCCCATCTGTGATATCCCGATTTGGTTGCATGACGGCCTGACGTGTGCGCCTCACAAGTGTAGGACTGTTGTGTGAACAAGGGTTTACTCCCAAGGTGACGTTGGTGGTTGTGTTACGTGTTTAGTAGCAGTAGGTGTGGTGGTATGGTGCACTTAGTTGGATCGGGGCCCTCGGACTTATAAATGTTTTGGACGGTTTTACATGTCAGATCACGCAATGCGGTGCACGCGTGGGCAGCCATCCGGGTGCCGGTGGTCGGTCATGCCGTTGACTGGTCTTCACTCACACCCTTTCACGGACCCATGACCTCCTCATTCATCCGAAGGTGACAAAGGGCCCCGTCGTGTAATTTCTTGAATGATACGGTGTCACGCCTTGTTACTGGCCGGGTAGCTCCTTCCTCTACTTCCGCGGCCGGATGTCTGCTAGGATTGAGCTCGTAGCAACTCGGCACGCTCCATATACCCGTAGAGCCTCCCATGCACAGGAAAGTGCGCGGGCAAACTCAAGGGTCGAATAGAAAGGTCGAAACCTAATGCTACAGTCACAGAGTACGGCTGCTTATGCCGTAACAGTTCATTGGGTTGACCTGCACTGCTAACTTGTACTGGTACTGCAGTGTAATCCTGGCTTCCTAACTGGTGCTGCTGGGCTCACGGCAACAAGTTAATGAGACCCCCGTCAGGAGCTTCTTGTTGTGCGGGGCAGGCCTTGCGGGCAATCCGGGATGGCAGTCCTGCGAACTTGCCAGCAGCATGGTCGCGGAGGATAGGATGCGGCTGTCTGGTGTCAAGGCTGTGGGCGACGTGAAAGCCGTATGCGCGTGTCGGTGTTCATAGGGTATACCGATTGGCTGACCCGTGGGTCGTCCTTGGCGGTTGGCGTTCTGAGTGCCAGCCCTACTGAGACGTGTGCCTCTGTACCTGTGTAACCGCACGTCTCCAATCGTTGGTTAAGGGGCCGGCTTCCGTACACAGTCCATGGCAGGCGCCGATTTCCGTACACAGTCCGCTAACGAGAAGATGCGGGACCCCGCCTGGTGTCGCTGCTCTCAAGAGTACCGCGACCAAGGTTCGTCAACTCCCAGTGGTACAGCTATACTGCGATGCTTATAGATCCATTCGTAGAGCTGGACACCGGGGCCAAAACTATTGGTGTTGGAATCATAAAGAGGCACTGCATGTATGCGCCGCTTAAGGGAGCCTGCTTGTGGGAATGGGGCTGACGGTATTACAATTTTACTTGGGTCTTTCCTTGCGAATAGGTTGCATGGGCCGGGATGGGCTTTTATCGCGCTGGGCTGCTTTTCAAACGCCTTCCAACGCATTGCAGATCTACGCCTCAGGTCATGGGTGCTAGTGCGTGGGGTGATGCGGCATTCAAAGTTTTTGATTGACGGCTCTTTGGAGAATGGGTTCATGTCCATAACTTCGCTGTGTAGCGCTGGGTATTGCTGGCGTGACTTCTGCTGGGCATACATCCCACGGTGCAGGCAAGAGGCGCTTTTCAACATACGCCAAGGCGTAAACGGGTAAACTGGTTCACACTACGGCGGATGCGCTACAACTCGTGTAGTGCGTCCATGGTGTAAACGGTTAAGCCTGTAACCCAAATCCTACGCAGGATTGTGACCACGCATACTTCTAAGCAGCGCAAGCCTAGAGCTCTCACTTGGTAAACAAGGCTTGATGAAGTGCTGTTGTTCGTGGTGCTCACGGAGCTCACGGAGTGCAGCTATAACGCATACCGGTAGAGTACCCAACGATGGCATTTAGAACGTAGACATATTGTATTGCTTATGGACTAATGGGTTGTGTGCCACTTTCAACAAAAGTTACCAGCGGTACCTTGTCGATACCCAGAATCCTAGCCCACTGGGCTAGCATACTTGGCCCACAAGAGCAACCGGCAGATCATACGCCAACATGGGATATTAAGGCATTAAAATATAACAACGGCCAGCAGGGACTCGTAAAGAGCTGGCGAAAAACTGGCGTGGTGAAAAGCGTAAACGAGGAAGTTAACAATGTGGAAGGTGAAATCCCAACAGAACCACTCAGACATTAGTTAGGACCTCATAACGAAAAATAAGCACGCATAGGACGTTGCGATGTGTCAACCTGCGTGATATTATGAATCCGTTCCAGGAGTGATTACGTGTTTACGTGGAACAACCGCTGGCTACCGTACGACTGCGTCTGACTGAGCGCCATGGAATTATATAAGCCTTGCTGGCTACAATATTTTTATGCTCTGAGGACTCCTCGTGCATCACAGTAGGTGGCACGTCCCTTCTTTCCTTACTCGTAAGGTGTTGCGAAAGTCGGCCAAAAATGTCGTCGAAGAAGCTCCTCGTCCTCAATGCCGGCAGCTCTTCCCTGAAGTTCAAGCTCTTCGGGGTTGAGCCTTTCGGCGCCAGCATGACCGGCATGTTCGACCGTATCGGAGATGCCTCCAACTGCGTGCTGAAGGCCAGCGCTCCCAGCGCTGAGGGCAAGCCGAAGAAGTGGGAGATTAAGATCCCCGCCAAGGACCACGTCGGCGCCATGGAGAACATCCTCTCCTTCCTGAAGGAGAACGTTTCCGGCACTTTCGCTAAGGAGGTCGTTGCTGTCGGCCACCGCGTTGTCCACGGCCTCGACATCAGCCAGCCTGCTATCCTCTGCGAGAACACCGTCAACAAGATTCGCGAGGCCGCCGTCCTGGCTCCCCTGCACAACCCCCCTGGCCTGCAGGGCATTGATGCCGCACAGAAGGTGTTCCCCGACGTGCCCCAGGTCAGTATCGTTCAGGGCCGCTTTTAATATTATGCACTGCGTTGTCATCTTCTGCTGACTTGTGATATTCGATGGTTTCTCATGCCGAATTTGTGTAGTTGTCTTTTTTGCACTTCACTTTTACGTCTACGTCGCCGGACTGAGCCTTGCCATATGTTCCTGTAAAATGCAGGTGGCCGTCTTCGACACCGCTTTCCACGCCACCATGCCCGCGCACTCCTACATGTATGGTCTGCCCTACGACCTGTATGAGAAGCACAAGATCCGCCGCTATGGCTTCCACGGCACCAGCCACAAGTACCTGCTCGAGCAGGCTGCCGGTAGGTGATGTTAGTTTTATTGCCATGTTCTTCCGACGTGGTCTTGCCCACTTTCCTCGACTTCTTGGGCCGTAGCGTCTTCCCCTGATTGTATGTAGTTTTTTGGTGCGTTGCAATCATGTTTTGACGCGTTGCGATCCTGCCTCCTTTTCCAGGCATGCTGGGCAAGCCCGTCTCCGAGACCAACGTCATCACCTGCCACCTGGGCAGCGGCAGCAGCATTGCCGCTATCCGCGGCGGCAAGTGCGTGGACACCACCATGGGCATGACGCCTCTGGAGGGGTAAGTTGCAGGTTCATATTGTTGCCGTTGCCGACAGGAATCTGCTAGGCTCCTCAGCATGACTATTCGCTAATCGTTCCAGCCACATAAGATGTGTTGCGGTATTACGCTTTCTTCAATTGCCGTTTTGCGAGGGCTTGCCTAACATTTTGTTTTCTTTCCCTTGCCTCTTGCAGTCTGATGATGGGCACCCGCAGCGGTGACATGGACCCTGCCGTCGTTCTGCACATGCAGAAGACCCTCAACCTGTCCATCAAGGACACTGACACCATGCTGAACAAGAAGTCCGGTAAGCGTCTACCATTTGAGTGTCGTTGGAACCGGTCGGGTGAATTGTGTATCGTGATGCATGCTGAGTCAAGTCATTAGTAGCCGGGGCCAACTTGTGCTCCCCAAAGTGTTCTAAGCATTCCTATCCCTCTTATCCCCAGGTCTGCTGGGTGTGACGGGCAACAACGACCTGCGCTCCGTCATTGAGAATGCCCAGAAGGGCGACCAGCGCTCTGCCCTGGGTCTGGCCATGTTCGTGTACCGTGTGCAGAAGTACATCGGTGCCTACACCGCCTCCCTGGGTGGCAACGTAAGTTTCTGAGCAAGTCGCTTGTTGTTCCCCAACTCCTGGACTTGTCTTACCTAGATATGCGTATATGTGGTCTTACCTAGATATGCGCATACGTGGTCTTACTAGATTTGACGTAAGCATGTACAAAAACCCCGCTTTCTCCTCCGACCCCTATTAAATCCCCTGCATTCTTTCTGCAGGTTGACGCCATCGTCTTCTCGGCTGGTGTTGGCGAGAACTCCTCTATCATTCGTGGCCTGATCCTCGAGTCGCTCAAGGTGGGACACATAGGTCGTTCCAGTACACTTAAGTTTTCTCCGTTCTTACCGAACTGTACTGACATGACTTCACCGTCATCTTAGTTGTCGTCTTAGCCATCTTAGCAAAATTGCAGACAGATTGCCTATCAGCTGAACCATCTTGACACTTGCATCAACTTTCTCATTGCAGGGTATGGGCCTGGTGATGGACTCCGCCGCCAACGACGCTACCGTGGGCGGCAAGCAGGGTGACATCTCTGCTTCCAACTCGCGCGTGCGCCTGCTGGTCATCCCCACGGATGAGGAGCTGTCGATTGCCCAGCAGACCCTGGAGGTGGTCCAGGGCAAGGCCGCCAAGTCTGCCTAAGCCGTCCCCATGGCGGTTGGATAGATGTATCTCGTTAGGTGCTTGAATAGCGGACATACTCGCACAATGCAATAATTTGGCGTTTATGTGCCGGGGTGGGATCGCTTCAATATCGGATCGGGTAACCGTGTGAAGGAGTTGGGAAGGTGGATGTGATTTAGTGTCATGTGACACGTGGCTTATATACCTTATATTGAACGGCTTTTGACTACCAAAAGTCGTTCAAAACACTTTTGAAGGACCAAATTCCTTATACCTCGTGAGGATGGGCTCGTATGTGCTCTCGTGTGCTCGCAAATGGTGGTTTGCTTGGCCAAGCAAATATCGTGACCAGATGTCGTTCCGGATATAACCCGCCTGCCAAATGGCTGGCAAGATGTAACAGGAGGTTTCACATACTCGAAAAGAGTCTTGTTCATGTTAGCGTACACGTCATCCGTACCCGTACGCAACTCTTATGCTTTTATTGGTCGTCACCAGCAGTACCCTGTGGTTTTCACTATTGCCAACATGCCAAGGTTCTTAGCGAAAAGCTAAACAATGCTAGGACCAAAAGCAAAAATGATTATGGCGTATCATACTGTGATGGGCACGAAGTGTGGCAATACTTACAAGGCAACCCCAGGAGTATAGGACTCCACAGGTTAAACGGCATGTTTGCCTCAGGATAGATTACATGGATAGATTGCATGCTTACCCTTGCATTTAAACCTTGATCAATGGGCAACATAAAAAGGGTTGTTGCGCATCAACCTACGTACGGTGCTACCGTTGTACTGCACGTTGGTTGGTAAAAACGGCCCACATGCACAGCTGTCACAAAATGAAAGATCTCATTACTTACAATTATTGACCGGTTGTCGTCTTAGGCTGAGACACCATGCTAAAGTACTGTTCATTGGGTAGTTAGCCTTACCTGAGTAGTTGAGGCTTTAGGCCTTCTGCGTCACAGGCCCCTGGGGCCCGCCTCCAAATGCGATGGCTGCGCTGTTGCTTCCGGGTTTCTACGCCACCGGTTAACGACAGTGGTTTGGGCGTGGTAGCAAGCGGCCGCGCCGACGACCTACAGCCAGACTTGCAGCCTGAAAAGACCTGGGGACCGTTTGGCTCATTGTTAATAGAGAACAAGGAAAAGGGAGCGAATGGTCTCCAGGTACGTGGAGATCCGTCCTCAAGCTCAACCTGTGGCCCTGGGTCAATGACATTGCTTCTGCGCAGGCAGGGGTTGCCAATGTATGCACCAGCCTTGCAAGTATGGAGTGTTATTCCTGGTCAGACCGCCTGTCTTTTAGCATCGATGCGGTCTCAGGGGGACTAGCAGACTTCACAAGGTGAAAAGCGAATTGTTCGTTGCGTACCGCTTACGGTACCTAGAGTTTTAGCCCTTTCCTTTAATGCTGTTTACACGCTAAAACCTATGCATAGCAGTTTGGTTGTCTTCAGCGGCAATGGGCGGGCCTGGCTCTTCTGCGGTAGTAAGCCCAATGTCACCCAGCAAGGAGACGGGTGGCTGGACACGTTGTGTGAGCAGCTTAGTCTAAAGGTAAGGATCAGGCTTTGTGTTGACGACCTCACGCTCCATTCAGCTGGCGTATACTTGCATATAACCGTATCCGCGTTGCTAGCTGTAACAAATCCTTTATCCATGCCTGCAGCAATTAAAAGAAGTCTACGTGATTGTCCAAACGACATGCCAGGACTTAGGAGCGCAAAAGCCCCTGCCATCCGTCTCTCTCCGCGCCCATCCCTTGGCCTTGTCACCTGGAGAGCTTCTGGCGCTGCCCATCTACCACCAGGGCCAGCGGTTGGCAGCAGCTTTGCTCCTAGGCTGGACTGCCACGCGCCAGAACACTGCAAAACCTCCGTTGCAGCCGCCGCTCCTAGCCTTGCTGACGCCCGCTTCACAACCCTTACTTCTTTCAGTGGACAGCGGGCGGCCCCATACCGCAACCTTGCAGACCCCTAAGCCAGCCTTCATTCCTACAGCGCTACAGAGCAGCACTGCCATTGCCTCTATCACAGTTACCTCCACCGCATCCGGGCCTCGCCCCCTGTCTCCATCAGTTCAGCCGCCCACGTCGCTGCCTTACCAGCAGCAACAGCAGCACTTAAGGGAGAGCTTGTACGACCTGCGCCGGCAGCAGCAAAGCCCGGGGGCAACGGAGCTGTCAGAGGATGATGTGCTGGAGTTGCAGCGGCTCGCACAGTTCCTGGGTTACGGCCTCTTCGCGGACCCAAACCAATCGCGCTTCTTGGCTCAAGTCGCATGGCACTTGTCCACCATTGCAGCTAGCCTCAGCCTTTATGACCTCGTATGTGCCGTACTGGAAGCTGTACGGAGCCTTCTGAACGTGAAACTCTCGCTGCATGCACAGCCCCTGCTCGTCGCAACCACGGCGGCTGTCGCGGCTAGCGGCAGCACTGGCGTGAATAGTCCTGCAGTGGTGTTCAGTCTGCGTAAGGAGCAGCTGCAGCACAGAGCTCCAGCCGCTACGCTGACGTCACCTGCGTCGCTCGCGGCTCCGCACTCCGGCCCGCCCGAGCATCATGGATCCGCCCCGCATGCGTTACCCTCTGCCGCTGCGGCCCTGGCCGTCGGCGGACACTCCCACCAAGCCCTGCTCGCGGCAAGAGGCTCCTCAAACGGTGGGGGGGGAGTCGGCGGCAGCAATCGGCTGCCGTACGCATCTGCGCAGGCCCTGGCCAACAGCGCAGTGGCCCCAGACTCGGGTGCACATTCCCGGTTCGGCCGCATGAGCAGCATAGCCAGCCTGCGTCTAATGGGGGGCCCTGGAGAGGCTGACGGCGGCAGCGGCGGTGGCATGGGTGGTATGAGCGGCAAGTGCGGCTCCTCGGAGCCCTCGCGCATCAAGGCCGTCCGCACCGCGCTGCCCAGGACGCTGCTGCTGAAGGCTCTGAGGTGAGGGGGCCCGGCCATGTGACATGGCGATGTGCATGCCTCAGGCCCCATGTCAACGAGCAGCAGAGCGCAGCAGCACGCAGCTGGGAGTCATCGTGCGCTGCTGGAGACTCCAAGCCGCCCGCCGTGCTGCCTCCTGCCCCTTTGCGCACCCCTTTGCCCACATGGCTGCTGAGCCCCACGATCTAGACTGGCTGTCGCTTCACATGGTAACAACTGCAAAGCTAAGTCACTTGCTTGCTAACCCAAGCCCTCAACTTCACCTGTATGTACGACCGCAGGGCCTCCGCGCAACAGCAACCCCCCGGGCCGCCATCACCCCCACCGCCCTCCGCCTCCCAGCCACCCCCGACCCACCACCTCCCAAACAACCAACTGCCCCACTCCCAGCCTCTCCAAGCCACCCCCTCCCTCGACGCCAGCGCCGGCACCGCCGCCGCCTTGCTCCCACACCCGCAAGTCCCCACCAACCCCCTCCCCAACCCCTTCTCCCGATCCCCCACCGGCCGCGCCCCTCCCTCCACGCTTGTCGTACCCGACTCTGGCGCGCACCTGCTAGAGGAGCAGCAGCTCTACCGCGACGTGCTGCTCGCCAGTGACCTGCTGGGCACCGCCTCGCCCGGCTCCATGGTACTCAGCGTGGAGGGCCCCCCGCCGCCCACACCCCCGCCGCCGCCAGCAGCAGCCTACTCCGCCGGGGTGCCCTCCGCCGCCAGCGCCTCCGCTGCCGGCTTCGGCACCAGCGGCACCGCCTCCTGCGTCCCCTCCGCCGCCACCGCGCTCACAGGTCTGACCGGCACCGCCACCACCGGCACCGGCATGGGCACCGTCAACAGCCTGACTGCCGACGGCGGGATGCTGGGCGCGGCAGGGCGCAGCCCGCCGGCGCCGTGCATTGACGAGGACAGCGTGGGCTGCGTGGCGGCGGGCGGCAGCGTGGGGGGCCACAGGGTGGCGCTGGCTGCTGCAGCGGCTGCGGCTGCTGCCGCCGCTCCTCCGCCGGTGCAGCTGGGTGTGTACCTGGTGTTCCCCGAGGTGCTGCCGGGGGGGCTGCTGGAGCTGGTGGCGGCGGAGCTGCGGCCCGTGACGGAGGTGGGTGGGTGCGGAGGGGGGGATTGCCGTATGGCACGGTACGACGGTAGGCGCGGTAGGGGGGTTGAGGGCGTACGGCGCTGTGCACATGAGACGGGGAGTAAGGTGGAGCTGGACAGGCGGGTTCCGGGTTATTGCAAGGAAAGAGAGGGCCGGGAAGCAGGAGACCAGGAGAAAGGGACACCTGTCCAACCCTTCCCCCTCCTCTGAACATCTTCCCTACTTTCCCTCTGGGGAGCTCTGGGATTGGGGCTTTAGTTGTTTGCATTTATTATATAATCCCCCCCCCACACACACCACCCATCATTCCGACACCATCAGCATCACCGACATGCGTCGTCACTCATCACTCGCCACTCTTCTTACATCCAGCAACAGCCAATTAAGCAGTTTTCTGTATTACGGTTCAGGTTCGGTCAACTTTGTTTTGCCTGTACTCGCGGTTCACATGCGAACCTCTCCCCATTGCTTGCTCCTGTCCTACTCAACTACACACACCACCCTATGCCCGCAACAGCACATCTTCGGCGCCTTCCGCACCGCTCTGAGCGCCAGCAGCAGCGGCGGCGGCGGCCGTGTGGCGGCAGACTGGCGCTCGCTGTACGAGCAGTTGACCGGGAAGGTAGTTGCAGGCGGTGCCGTACCCTCCGTCGGCAGCAAGCCCGCCCTCGGCTCTCTGCTGGCCAGCGGCGGCGGCGGCAGCCTGGGTGCGCAGCAGTCCCCGCTGTGCCGCGCCCTTAGCGGCGGTGCAGGCGGCCACCTCACCCCGGGGACTCCCAACCTCAACAACGCAGGGCATGGGGCCGTTTCCGAGTGCGGCGGCGCGCAGAAGCCAGCGAGCTGTCTCGGCACCAGCAGCCCACGCCTCGCAGCAGCCGCCATGCACGGCGGCGGCGGCGCCGCACCTACCAGTGTAGGCGGCGGCGCCGCTGCTGCCGCCGTTGGCAGCTATCGTGCGCTGGTTGGACCTCCGCTGCGCTCCGCCCACTCCACGGCTGCCCCCTCTGGCGGCCTGGGCGGCGGAGCCGTAGGCGGCGGAGGCGCCGCCACCCCTGCTGGTCAGGCGGTAGCTCGTCAGGCGTCCGGCGGCAAGTGGCCCGCTAGCCCGCTGGCGGTGCTGCAGCGGCGGCTGGCGGGTCTGGGAGTGCCGCCGGCGCCGCTGGGGGTGGCGGCGCTGCTGGGGGGTGGCGGTGGAGGCGGCGTGAGCCCCTTTGCGTGTGGCATGCTGGACACGGCACCCATGGATTTGATGACGGAGGGGGCAGCGGGTGGAGGCATGGCAGGTGAGGGGGCAGCATGCATGGGGCACGTCGTGGGTAAAAAAGCGGGCTGTATGTGAGGGGTGCCGGACCGCGGGCATATGGCCGGCAAGGAAGGGGGGGAGGAGCGCTCATGCCTCTCCACCGCCTCTCTATGTGCGGAGCATCCACCCCTCTAACCCCCCTGCCCCCCCAACCTCCGCCCCCACCTCCCCCCTCCCAGGCGGCAGCAGCCTGCCCCGCCGCGGCTCCCCCGGCTGGCTGCTGCACTCGTCGCCGGACGTGCTGCTGGAGGAGGCGGCGGGCGGCGGCGGCGCGGAGGGGGCGGGCGGGGGCCTGCCTGCTGAGCTGCTGGTGAGCTCGCTGCGCTGCCGGCTGTCAGCAGCCATGGCGGTGCAGGAGGCGAGCGAGCAGGCCAGGTGGGGAGGGGAAAGGGGGGGCGAGGTACGGAAGGGGGGTTCCCAGGCGCTGTAGCCGGGAAGGGGGTGACTGCGGGCCTCTGGAGGAGCCTCCGATGAGGGGGTCCGCTGCTGACGGCGACGTGGGGCTGCCCCCGGGCTGAGTTCCCACCTGGGGGGCTCCGCCGGGGCTGTTGCTGCGAGCGGCTGTCAGTTGCTGATGAGCCCGCCGCCTCCGGGCGTGTCACGGTGCCGCCATGGGAGCCTCCGTCCCCGGCTGCTGTCCCGCCCTGGCCTGCGCACCGGGTACTGGGCTGTTCTCGCGAGTTGCCACTGTGGCTTACAGCATTTCATTCCCCTCCCCCTCCCCCACCCCCCTCCCCCACCCCCCTCCCCCACCCCCCCCACCCCCCCACCCCCAGGGCGCAGCTGAGTCAGGACCTGGCGGCGGTGGAGCTGCTGGAGGTGCTGGGTGAGGGGGCGGAGGGGGAGGGAGGGGGGGGGCTGTGTGACAGCCCGCAGCACTGCGTGCTGCGGCCCGCACCACTAGCAGCCAGCCAGCCCGCTCCCAGCAGTGCCCGCATGCTGCGTCATGACAACATGCCCCCGCGCCCGCAAGTCCCGCTCTCCTTCAATTCTCCCCCCGCCCACTCCCCTCGCCCCCCCCTCCCAAGGTCGCGGCGGCCAGGGAGTGGTGTTCCGCGGCACGCTGCATGGGCTGGAGGCGGCGGTCAAGGTGCTGGTGCAGCAGCCCAGGCAACACCAGCAGCAGGGGAGGCAGGGGGGAGGGCAGGGGGGGCAGGGGGGGCAGAGGCAACAGGAGCAGGCGGGCGCCGAGGCGGGCGCTGGGGAAGCGGCGGAGGTGGCGGCGGAAGATGGAGGTGGAGGAGGCGGCGGACACGGTGTGGGTGGGGAGGGCAAGGAGGCAGGAGGCGGCGGCGAGGGCGCGGAGGAGGGCGCGACACTGTCACGGCAGGTGGGTGGGTGGGGTTAATAGGGATGGAGATTCTGCATGAGGCTGGATAGTTTGGTTTGCTGGGGTGGGGTGGGATGGGGTGGGGGAGGCAAGCCGGTGAGCTGGCAGTGGGGGGATGTAGCGAGGACTGACGGGAGGGACCGTGCTCGTCTCGGCGTCTAGGTGAAGCACAGGATGGGGCCGTCGGGTGGGTCTCACACCAACCCGGGTGTACCTCGCTACGCAGCCTGCATGCGGCTCGCCCCTCTGGTTTCACCCCCCCCCCCTCCCCCGCCGCTTTGGCCGGCTGGTGCCTCCACCGCCGCCGCTGCTGCTGCTGGGCTAGTGTCCTCCCTGCCCCCGCCCTCCCTGCCCCCGCCCTCCCTGCCCCCGCCCTCCCCCTTTGTGACCTCGAACCGACTAATTCGGCATGGGCAGGGCGGGACGGGCCAGCTACCATGTTTGCACCCTCCCCCGATGGTGAATCCTACATGTCACACAGCTCGTCGGTTTCCTCATTTCAACCCCCCGCCCCCGCATGAGTCGGGATATGGGATTGGGACTCGTTGTTTCACATATTTAATTTTTGCCCCCGCCCCCCCCCTACCCTGCAGGCCAGGCGCGGCGCCATGGAGGTTGCGGTGTCCTCCATGCTGTCTCACCCCAACATCGTGCAGGTGTACGCCACCTTCAGCGGGGTGGTGGTGGTGCGCTGCCACTACCGGGACAGCCCGCTGCCGGTGCTCAAGCTGTGCGCGCCGGACGACCCCATGCTGCGTAGCAGCGACCCGGGTGGGGTGTGGGGGGGGGCGGGTGGGCGGGGTCGGTATAGACCAAACCACAGGAAACCACGGGGGGGATGCACTGAGCTGCGATGGATCCAGACCGTGGGCGGGAAAAGAGGGAGAAACAAGCAGGCAGGCTGGCTGGGGGTTGGGAGGTGCGGAGGCCCATGCACGAGCACGGCCTGCCGGGGTGTCGCTGCCTGCCGGGGTGGCTCCCCCGTCACACCTGACCCCCCTCCTGCCCCCTCCCTGCCCCCCCTCCCCCCCCCCCCCCTGCCCCCCTCCCCTGCCCCAGGTCCTCTCAACCAAGTGCTGTGTTTGGAGGTGAGGCGGGCAGGGCAGTAGGGGCGTGGGAGGCAGGGGTTTAGGTAGTACAAGGGTGCAAACCGCGGGGGGCGTGCGGGCGGTGCTCTGCTTCTCGCACTGGAAGTGGTGGGCGCAACGTCGGTGGTGGTGGTGGTGGTGGTGGTGGTGCTACGCGTTTCATCTTGACTACCACCAGACCTGTCCCTCCCTGTCTCGTTATGGCTTATGGTCGTACCTTCTCCTCTGTCTATTCACCCGCTCCCCCGCTCCCCCCTCTCCAGTACTGCGACGCGGGCACGCTGCTGGCCGCTGCTCGCGCGGGCGCCTTCCGCCTGGCCTGCGCCACGAGCGCCAGCAACGGAGCCATCTGGCCCGCACTGGGGCCGCTGTACACATCGCTGCTGGAGGTGGGGTGGGTGGGGGGTGGGTGGGGTGGGGGGGCCCCACCGGTATGAAGGGAAGGGCAGCCACATGCGCGGTATGCGGCTGCGGCTCAGCCGTGTACCATGCTCTCTGAATGTTAGCTTCCGACCTACCTTACTCCCCTGCCACCACCCCTGCTTGACTAGTACGGGTGGGGTGGGATGGGCCAATTAGCAACCCATGGAGAGGCCTCGTCATCCAGTTCGTCAGTTTTCCTTATTTTTACCCCCCTCCCCCTGCCAGGTGGCTCTCGCGCTGCGCCACCTGCACTCCCGGCGGCTGGTGCACTGCGACGTGAAGGCGGCCAACGTGCTGCTCAAGAGCTCGGCGCGCGACCCGCGGGGCTGGAGCTGCAAGCTGAGCGACTTTGGATGGTCGGGGCGGGGAGGGGGGAAGCAGGGGGGTCAAAAGAGACCAACCGGGGAGGGGAGGGCGGGGTAAAGGCGTTGCGGAGGGGGTTGGATGCATGCGACCTGGCTTCCGGGTTGACAGCGCCGCGGGTGAGGAGCGCGAGGTGGCCTCTCAGGTTGCTGGCGGCCCCGTGCGTGCATGCTCCCTGCCTGCCTAACCCCGCCGCCCCCCCCCCACCTCTCCCCCCCAGTGTGCGTCTGCTGAACGAGGCGGGTCCCGAGGGGCGGCTGGGCTTCCGAGTGGCGCACCCGCTGGGCACCGTGGGGTACATGGCGCCAGGTGGGGGGGGAGGGGGGGGGGATTATATAATAAGTGCAAACAACTAGAGTCCCAATCCCATATCCCGACTCATGCAGTGAGTGCATTCGGAGACACTATCCTACGCAAAGAAATGTAACTTACCGAAGGCTTGCTTACCAGAACCTTTGGCGACGTGCGGGAGGAGCCGCCTTGCGTAGGAAGACATGTGCCGCGCCGCCGGTCACTAATTCTTAAGGAACGCAGTAAATGGACAGACATAGTAAATGGAGCAATACAATGCATGGAAACGCATGGAGGGGAGGGGAGGGGGGAGGCAAGAGCTACCGGTAGGCTTGGTGTGAAGTTCTGCTTGGTAGGAGGGTGCTAGGACGTATGCGTGTATGGCTGGCATCGTGGCATGCCTTATGCCATCGGCCGCCCGCGCTATCCCGCCCCTCACCTCGCCCTTACCCTCCCCTCGTACCGCCCTGCCGCCCCCCCTCCCCCCCCACACAGAGTGCTTTGTGAAGGGTGCGCTGCTCGGCCCCGAGGTGGACATCTACGGTGAGGGGCGCAGCAGGAGGGGGGGCGGGGGCGCTACCAACGTACCAAGCCTGGCCGCCAGTCCGAACGTGCTGTGGTTGCCGGGAACTGAAGTCCGGGGCTTGTTAGCAGCTGTCCGCCTCCCCAACGTGCGCCCCCCTCCCCAACCCCACCCCTTTTCCCCCTCCCCCAGCCTTCGGAGTGCTCATGTGGGAGGTGCTCATGAGTCGCACCCCCTACGGCAACATGAACCCGCAGGTGGGCGGGTGGGTGGGTGGGTGCTGCAGCGATGTGGGTGTGTGTGGGTGGGTGTGTGGCGGCGGTACACCTCCCTCACGGCCTGCTCGCAATGGGCAGCGGCCCTGGTCGGGTACACCTGCGGCCGTGCAGCCAGCTACGGTAGTACACCTGTCAGTGCTGGTGCGGATCAGCAGCAGCAGCAGCAGCCGCCCCTGCCGCTGCACGGCGCAGGGAAGCCTTCCTTCCCAGCGACTGGCGCTTGCTGCAGCCGGTACCTGCAGCGGGTACCTGCAGCCCAGTGGTACCTGCAGCCCAGTGGTGCCCCAGTGCCATGCCAGCCCGCACCGCCTCCTCCTCCTCCTCCCCCGCCAACCCAACACAACCCAACCCAACCCCCACATGTTGCAACCCATGTTGACGCCTTATCCCTCAGTCAGTTAGTTGTTTCCTCTTTACCCCACCCACCCCCCGCAGGACGTACCCCGCCAGGTGCTCCGCTCCCACCTGCGGCCCGTGTTCCACCCCCTGGCGCCCCCACCCTACTGGTGAGCTGAGGCAGCGCCGGCAGCTGCGGCAGCGTGTGTTAAAATAACTGTCCGCGAGGCGAAACGTACTGTGATTGCCGAAAGATGGAGCGTGTGTGTGTGGGGGGGGGTGAAGTAGAAGTGCAGCAACTGGAGCCGTGAGGGGGAGGAGGGGGGAACACCGCACGGTGACTTGCACATGAGCCGTGGCGAAGGCTGGTGTGGTGTGGTGTGGAGGCCTTTCTCCCAGGCACATCCCCGCTACGTCGTCGGTGTCTTGCCCCCGCCCCCGCCCCTCCCTCGCTCCGTGAAGCTCCCTCCGCCTCAGTCCCCACAATCGTTCAAGGCAACATTGTCCTGTCCTTCCCGCCCCTTCCCGCCCCCACCCCCCCAGCTCCCTGGCAGTCCGCTGCTGGTCCGGCAGCCCCCGCCGCCGCCCCTCCGCATCCGACCTGGTGGCGGAGCTGCAGCAGCTGCTGGCGGAGGCGCAGAAGCAGCAGCAGCAGGGACAGGTGCAGCAGCAGGGGGCAGCAGCGGCAGGGGGCAGCGGCGGGGGCCGACCCCCGCCGCCGCTATGGAACCTGGCGCCGCCGCCGCCGCCGCAGCAACAGCAGATGGGGGCGGCGGCTAGAGCGGCGGGGGCGGCGATGCCGCCAGCGGCGCAGGCCATACGATCGCAGGCCTCACCGCAGCCGCCTTCGCCGCCGCCGCAGCAGCAGCAGCGTCCGCAAGCCTAGCAGCATGTGCAAAAGGTGGGAGCGGAGACCTGGGGGATCAGCAGCGGCGGCGGCAAGGCGGCAGGGGGGGGCGTCGAGCGCACGAGGCCCCGCGAGTGAAACTGAGGACCACGGAGGATCAGGGAAAGGCGCGGGGCGAACAGCAGGCTCACAGGGTCTCTTGCACACGGGCAGGGCTGCGGGGCTCTTGGCCGCATCGGGGCTAGCCCTGGGCTAGCCAGTAGGTGGTGTGAGCAGTAGCGGTACGGCTGCCAGATCAGCAGAAAACAGCGGCAGCGGCGGCGGCCGTAGTTTTGCTTCCCAAACCAAACAAAGCAATGACTGCAAGTAAGCCACAGGAACCCTTTTGCAACCATGCATGTGTTATGAGCGAACGAAGCATGCTATGGAGCGAGCCAATAAGCCGGTCTCTACAAAACTTGGAAAAGCACCGCATTGAATACGGTGGGGTTCTACACCCATTAGCAGCCGAGCTTTCGCAAGCTCTTGGTTGCTAAGGCGCTGTTTCTCTAAAAGCGGTTGGTTTACTGTATTGAGCCGATGGCAGGTTTATGCGCTGCCATTCGTTGCTAAGGGAAGTCGAAAACGATGGAGCGGTTGGGGGTGCGGAGATGGAGTGTTTATTGTGTTGCTACCTTATGATGCTGATGATGGTCTTTGTAGTGACAAGGTTTGCAAAGATGATGGTCTGTGAGAGAGAGAGAGAGAGAGAGAGCGCACATGATGACGTTCTGTATGGTTGCTGTACGACGTTAAAAAGGATGCCTATGTTGATATATTCGTAACGCGCGAATAGTAGGTATGGAAGGGAATAACCGGAGGCCTCTGTAGTTCTACTGTAGCACCGGCCGAGTACCGGTCGTATCTCATGATCGTTTCGAGGATGATGATGGTGATGATGATGATGGTGATGATGGTGGTGATGATGATGATGATGATGATGATGATGATGATGATGATGATGATGATGATGGTGATGATGGTGAGAGCTATGAGGAATAAAGTCACGTGAGGAGTGTTGGTTGTTCTGCTGAGCGATAGTGCCTACCGATTCTTTCTTCCTGCCGCGCCGTGGGACCACACCCGCGCAGGCGGCACGTGGGCGCATTGCTGCTGCTGTCCTGGGGGGTGGATGCTGCTCGGTCTGCGGCCCGGTGTATGGTACGAAGTACGGCAAGCATGGGATTCATGTATGGGGTTGCACAAGTTACGATGCTGTGTGGGGGGGTGGGTGGGGGGGGAGTGGAACGGCTGGGACTGGCGGTGGGGGGTGGGGAGCATGTAGAGCTAATGGAGAGGGTAGGGTAAGGAGGGGGGGAGGGCGCTGTTGCTCAGCTCGCGGCTCCCTCACGCTCCTGCCGACCCTCACTGTTCGTGTTGTCGAATACTCATGTACGGTGTGCCCTTGCGAAATTCGACGTCTCTATGCCCCAGTGAGGTGAGCTATGGTGGTATTGCGTCATGGCTGGGTGTTGTAGTGCTTCCCATGTTCCTGCGGCGCCGGGTTCGGGCATGTGTGTTGCGAAGCTGGCCGCGAGGAGAAACGTACTGCTGCTGCTAGAGCGGCGGGAGGTTGTGCAGCGCCCTTGCGAGGGTTCCCCACCCTTCCCCCCGGCAAGGTACCGCCTGGCGTGCGCTAAACGCTTGCTTATGGCTCGACCTGTCCGCATGTGAGTTTCGATCCCAAACAGCGGCATGGGCCCTTTGGTCGTTGGCTACAGGCACTGTGTGATGCTGTTGATGGGTTTGATGGCGGGAGGGACAAGAGGAGAGGATGTGTGACACTGGTGGAGGGCGGTGGTGCTTCTCGCTCATTCGCCTGCTTACACTGCTTTCCTGCATGTGTTTGAGTTGTCACTCAGACGTGTGCCTTCGTACCGCTCGCTAGGAGCAGCGGCCTGGGGTGTGTTAAGATAGCTGCCCGGGCATGTCGGAGTACGGCAGTGCTTGTCCCTTCGGCCTCTTGTGGCGTCTTCCTTCAGGCGTATAGCACTGAATGGGGTGTGCTTGTGGTTGCAGCGTTGCAGTACTGCTGCAGTGCGTTTGACATCTGACCCATGGGTCATTTCAATGGTTAATTTGGACGTAGGCCTTATGGAGGTGGGGCATGTGTGGGATCTTCTGCTTTTATTGCAACAGGAAGGGGGCGCTCGTTTTGAGGGGTGAGGCGGGTGGCTAAGGCTATCAATTCAGCGCCTAAACTCGTGCGTACATGGGTGATGCTTCGAAAGATGATATGCTTTGTTAAAGGGGTATGCTACAAGCCTAAAGGTCAGAATGCGATGTCCTCATCAAGTGCGCAATTGTGTGGACGCCGGATCTACCGGTAATCATGCTAATGAAGGGTAGGTTGATAGTGGAGGGGTAGGATGAAGCACTAAGGCTGGATTCCCACTGAACGGGTCCTAACCATGAGGCTGTGGCCATCGAACTTGGTGCGGGTCGCGTCAACCGAGTGAACGCAAGTGGTGCGGCTGCTGCTTGGAGTTGGCTCGCCAGTGTTTGGGCTACGAAGAAAACATTGTACGGGCACGTTCCATAAACTGGCTGGCGAGGTATTGTATTATGGGTGAGAGAGGAAAGTAACAAGTGGTTTTGGGAGCGAGGGAGAGAGAGGGCGGTTACGATGAAGCGCGTGACGCGTGTGAGTGTGAACACCAGGGACGATCCACATCCTGAGCTCTTTTCATGAGGGTTAGAGGAGATGAGGTACGGGGACTTCGGTTTTGCGTGCGGCGGAGGGCGGCGGTGGTGTGAGTGCTCTTTCGCCCTTGTACTGCACGGTTCACTGGATTGCGCTACTACGTAATGACAGAGCGTAATGACGTGGCGTTGCGTAGCGGCAGTGTTTGTTTTTCTTCCTGGATTTGTTTTCAATGTTGCAAGCCGCAGAGTCTTAAGGAATTGGAGAAGGATTGGCGAGAAAGAGAGAGATGTCGCGCATGCCAAGACACCATGTTGTCATAGTGCGCTGCTGGAAGGGGTGTGCGTGTGCGAATGTAAGAAACCTACATCGACGGTGGTGGGGCACCTTACACTGTCTTTCACCACTGCTGTACACCCGCGTCCGGATCCACATGCATCCCGCCACCACCGCAATGGGGAGGCTTGCTCCCGAGCTTCCTCGTACTGCCGGACACGAATAGCCGTACTGCGGGTTACACCAGCAGACTACCACCACCTCCTCTGGTGGGGGATTATGCGGGCGGGCGATGGGGGGTGGACGAAGGGACGGAAGGGGTGCCAACCGCTGGAGCCGCCGGGTGGCAGCAGCTAGCCGGGCTGAGCTAGCTACAGGGAGTAGCACCGGTGGTCTGCGAGTCAAGCCAAACGACCGTATATTGATTACCCCTGGATTGCCAATCGCTTCTCCTGCAATCAAGGAGTGTTCAGAAACGTCCGGACACCCTCCGCACATCATGTCAGCGTAGAACGACACAGCACAGCGTACCACAGCACGCAACAAGACTACACATGGACGCATCGCTTTGCTTGTCGTACATACATATACTTTATCACATTTAAGCCATAATCCGGGAACGAGATCCTTCCGTCGCGCAGTTCCCCTTGCCTCTGCATTAAACAAATAAAACCATTAGTAACAAACACCAAACACCCGACAAAACAAACATTGTTCTTTAGCAGCAGCAGCGACGCTGGACTTCATAGATATCGTAACAGCTGAGGCACAGCCACACGGTCCGGATTCCCCGCGGGGAGAGTGACAGCGGACAGGGTGCTCCCTCCACCGCTGACCTCCCTCCGTCCCTCCAGATGAACAGAAGCTACCGGTAACCATGAGCCAAAAGTAAATCACCAGGGGGGCACTGCCCTGCGGCGCCAATCCTGGCCGCCACACCTCTCCACCTCACGGCCAACAGCCCAACCCACCAGCGTTACCGGTACCTCAACACCGCAGACCGCAGGCTCCCACGCTGCCGTCCCACCCCCCCTGCCTCCCCCTCACCCCCCCCCTGAACCCCTCCATGCAGCCACGTCCCGACAAACACCCACACAGACCCACACTCCCCTCCACACGCAGGCCACCCCTCCCTTCCTACCTTCCCAGCTGCGTTACACCACACAACCCATTCCTCGCACTTCCCCCTCGCACCATGGCCCTTCGCCTCCCTCCTTTCCTCCCTCCAGCCCCTCCCCCCTAGCTGCTGCTGCTCGCAACGCTGAAGTCGTACAGCCCCAGCACCCGGGGCAGCTCCAGCCCGGCCACCATGGCGGGCACCAGCAGCACCGTACCCAGCAGCGTGGCGGCGGTCACCAGCTCTGCGCCCCGGCCGTACTGCACGGCGATCACAAAGGAGGTGCTGGCCTGAGGCAGGGGAAGGGGGAAAATTTGAAAAAGGAGGAGGTACTGGTTGAGTGGGGATTGTATGCCAACGGCGGACGCAGTGCAGCCAACGCAGAGGATTGGGGGCGTAAGATTGCAGTGGTGCCCAAGCATTTGCGGGTCACAAGGGGGCCCAAACTGACCCACGGGTCACCCAACCGAGGACCCACCACGGGGCACAGCGACAGCAGCAGTATGCTGATGGCTGCGGGCGCCGCCAGCCTGCACGCTGCCGCGCAGGCGAGCTGCAGCGGCGCCAGGACCGCCAGCTTGAACGCCTGCATGAGGCATGCCTGTCGCGTGGGGGCGGAGGGGGAGGGTGGGGCGGGTTGGTGTGCGGGGGGCAGGGGGAGGGGCGTGGGAGGGAGCCACGGAGACACAAGGGGGGCGTTCCGGAATCCCGGTAACCAGGGAGCAGTAGGCCCGCACCCGCACCCGCACGCGCACCAGCCACCCCCCACCTTGACGATCATCTCCCTGCTGAAGCGCTTGCCGTGCAGCCACACTCCGTTGCTGAAGAGGCTGACGGGCACAGTGATGCCGCTGGCCCAGCTCAGCGCCCCCGCCACCCAGCCCAGCTCGGGTCGGTAGTGCGGCGAGGTGGGCAGCAGCAGCGAGCGCAGGCCCGACAGGTTGATCACTAGTGCGACCAGCAGGGACCACAGCAGCGGGTTCTGAGGAGGGGCGGGGCGGGGCGGGGGAGTAGGAGAACTGAGATGCGACCAAGGGCAAAGGCGGGGGGTCAGGGAAAGGGAGGGAAATAAATGGAAAGTTTGAAGAAGAAAAGGGAGGGAAGGCAGGTGCGGAGAGGGAGAGGGAGCATCAGGGAGTGGCGCAAACAGAAGAGCTCCCGGCTTTTACCTTGGCCACAATCCACGCAATGACGGCCGCCTGCCGGTACTGCCGCAACCGCCGCAGCAGCCAACCGCTAACTGCCGCCGCCCAGCCCCCCTGCCTGCGCACCGCTCCCCGCACCGCCACCAGCACGGAGGGGCGCTCCAGACCCCCGCCCGCAGCACCCCCGGGGACGGCACCCAGTGGGGGGGAGGGCGGCGGGGACGTCCGTTTGGGGTGCGGGGAGGGCGAGGCAGGCGGGGGTGCAAGTAGCACCGAGGCGGATGGCAGGTAGGCGGGAGAGGATGGAGCGGTAGTAGGCACGCCGGCGGCTTTGCCGGCTGCTGCGGAGAGGTTGGAGACGGCGCACGCCTTGTTGGCACCAGCAGCATCAGGAGCAGCTGTGGTGTGGTGGTGGGATGCGGGGAAGGGTCCTGTGCGAGGGGCAGTTGAGGAGCGAGGGCCGCGTTAGTGCAGTGCGTGGGTTGCATCAGAGCGAGGGAGGAGCGTGTACCGGGAAAAGATAAGAGCGGTGCGCCTCCCCAGTACGGAAAGTGTGGAGAAACTGGCCAGAAACGTTTGTTCACAGGAAATGCGGACGCGATTGGGCCGTCCCGCCACCCACCACCCACCCATCACCCAGCCCAGCCACTCACCGGGCGCTGTGTTGCGGGCCAGAGACATCGCCTGCAAGCAGCGAACGAGGGGTGGTTGCGCTTGTGGCGGACGGATCCAGATGGTACGGGAGGCCGGCGGCTTCTACCGTCGCTGAGGCAGGAATAATTACCGGTAAGGATATTTTCCTTGTGGTGGATTACGACCCGCCCACCCATCGTGAAGGCAGCACCCGCCCCCCACCGCACCTGCGGCACAGGCAGGTCAGCACACGCCAGCGCGGTGGGGCTCAGCAACCGCGACCCCCCCAGCCCCGGCGGAGGCGACCCAGCTGTCGTACTGTCGTACCCGCCCGCCGCCGCCAGCTCCTCCCCCTGCCGTACATCTGACGCGGACACATCCAACGCCACCGGCGGCCAATGCACGGGCAGCGACAGACGGTTGATGGCCTGGTGGGGCGAACTGCCTCCGCCGCCATGCAGCTTATGACCCATGGGTCCGCTGACGGCGACCGTGCCGCCTTTAACGCTACCGCTGCGGCTGCCTCCGCCGCCTCCGCTGGCGTTAGCTGCTGCGGACGCCACCGCCGCCGCCGCCGCCGCTTTGCGGTACATCAGCGCTTCGTTTTGGCCCCGAAACCGCATGCCTTGCCGTACCATGGCGGCGGGTGGGGCGATGTGGGCTTCCACGCCGGGTACAGGACTGGAGCTCGTACGGTAGGCCGTTACCGAGTGGACAACCGCCGTCGCCGCCGTACCGTTGGTTGCTGCTGACGTTAGGTCGCATTGTTGTGGCGATGGGGTGGTTTCCGGTGGAGTGGTTGATGACGTGGCGGTTGCATGGGTGGCCTCGCACCCGTCGGCCGGACTGCCGCAATGCCCAGACCGTTCGGTAACACTGGCCGCCGGGTTAGCAACAGCTGCAGCCGCAACAGTAAACGGAGAAACGACACCGCCACCTCTGCTAGCGGTTGATGCCGGGTTGGTTGCTGCAACCACCGTTCCCCGCGCCGCCTCGTCATCCATTGCACCTGCAGAGTCACAGCCGCCAGCGGCAGGGGTGGCGGCGGCGGCGGCCGCACCAGCCCCTGCCCCGACGTCCACTGCTGCTGCCACCGCCGCCGCACCGCAGCTTGCAGCCCGATCTAGATGCGCTAGCGTGACGGACCCCGGTGCAGGTGGCAGTGGCAGTGGTGGCGGCGGTGGCGGCGGCGGCAGCAGGACCTCCTCTTCCGGCGCCACCGCAGCTGCGATAAGGGGCAGCGGCGCCGACACCGGTGCTCCTTCGGCTGCCGCTGCAGCACACGTCCCTTCAGGAACCTTCGCCGTACAACCTTTCGACGAGGTACGGCTGCTTACGTCGCTTCCAGTCGGCGTCCCTGATCCGGAACGTCCGCTGCCGCCGCCAGCGCCAACGCCAACACCGCCGATGCCGCCGCCGGCGCCCCCATCGTTGTCTTCACCGGCGGCGGTGATGCACCTCCCCTTTCCACCGCAACCGCCGCCGCCATCATCGCCGCACTTGCCGTCACCGTTATAGCCGCTGACGTCAGCAGCTTTGGCGCTTCCCCCCACCCCTTGCCTCCGCTCCGACAACTCCAGTGCCGTGGGGCCGGACAGCGGCTGCTGCTGCTGTGAGTCCGGGTCCTCCTCCTCCTCCGTCAGCACCTCCTTCTGCACCTCCGCCGCCTCCGCCTCCACCGCCTGCTGCTGTGTTACCCACTTGTCGATCTCGAATGCGGTGATGGAGTAGGGGATGACCTGCAGGAAGAGGACGAAGGCTGCGCAGGAGGCGGGGCAGCAGCAGCGGGAGGAGGAGGAAGGAGAAAGAGGGGGTAAGCGTGCGAGGGGGGGTAAGGGGGAGGGTGGCGGCAGGGAAGAAGCGGTTGGGCCGATGACAATGTTTTGCGGAAGCACCACTAGTACACCCCCCAACCCAACCCAACCTCTTCATCCTGTGCATGGGGCCACCGTACTCCCTGTTCCCCTCCGCACTCCTCTCCCTTGCCCCCCTCCCCTCCCTCCCCTCCCCTCCCCTCCCCACCCCCACCTGACAGCAGTGACAGCCTGGCTCCCGCATCCGGGAAGGTGGCCTGCATGACGGGCAGTCCCACGATGACGGTGTTGTTGGCCTGCAGGGGGGGGCGGTGCGGGTGGTGGGAGTGGGTGAGGCACAGGGGCGCGGTGCGGGCCGGACGTGTTGCTGCCCCGGATGTGGGGAAGAGAGCGGGGCAGGGGCGAAGGAGAGGCGGCAGGGGAGAGGTGCGGGTCAGGCGGCGGGGGGCAGGGAGACCCAGGGCGAACACACGTCCTGCGGCTCAACAACAGCAGCAGAGCAGTGGACGAGGAGGTGCGGTAGTTCTCTTCTCCTCTCACCCCTAACCCCTCTTCAGCCCTCCTCCACCCCACCCCGCCACACGCACTCGCGGCCAGTTTCCTCAACCCCCCCCACACCGTGAGAACCAGGTTGATCACGGCCGCCCTGCCCGTGTTGTGGCCGCGACTCAGCCAGGCCCAACACGTGATGCCGGCCTGGAGGGGGGGAGGGGGAGGTGCAGTAGGGACCAACCACCGGACTACCGCTCACATAGCGCAGTTAGGGCAAAGCAGTGGGGATAGGAGGCGGCAGGGCTGGACGGGGTCCCCCCAGCTGCGGCAGTCTCTTTGAGCAACGTGTTCCCGTTCACCACGGTCTCTTTTATCCGCCGGTGTCCCTTGATGCGGTTCCGTTCCCAATTCGCTGCCCCAACCCAACCGTGTGGTTTCATTTGGACAGGTTCCTCTACCTGATCCCCGCCCTCGTCCCCGCCCTGATCCCCGCCCCCGCCCCCACCTGCACCAGCGCCACCCACAGCACATAGGAGCCCAGCGACCTGCGGGAGGTGGGGGTGGGGGAGGGGAAAGGAAGGAAGGTGGGGCGGGGGTGGGGGAACAGGAACGGTGAGCTCAGGACGCTACCTAGCCAAGGAGCCGGGGCCCTAGGGTAGGGTGAGCCAAACAACCACGTCATCCAGCCTCCCCCTGCATCTCCCCCCGCCACCCACTTCCAGGCCTCCGTGTCCTTCAGGTCCACCTTGATACCCTGGGGAGCGGGCCGGGGGGGGCGGGTAATGAGGACGGCTCCACCTTGGGAGGGCAGGGGAAGCCTGTTGGAGGTGTGTTAGGCCGCCGTGCAGTGCGCCCGCCCCTCTCACGTCTCATACACGTTTCCCCTCTCCACCAGGCCCCCCCCCCACGCCACCCTCCCTCTCCTCCCCCCCTCCGCATCCCCGATTGGGACTGCGTTGTTGCACTTATCTATGCTTTCCCCCCCTCCGCATCCCCCCCTACTCGCCAGCAGGTAGATCATGAGCGAGGGGAAGGCGGCCCGCAGAACCAGCACGTTGATCTGACCCATGAACGCCTCCGCGCTCAGCAGCCCGAAGCGCGCGAAGCACCAGCCCGACCCCACCAGCAGCAGGATCTGAACGCCTGCATGGCGGGGGGGGTGGTTGGTGAGTTGGTTGGGTGGTTGGGTCACTGGTTGGGTGGTTGCTGACTTGCTGTATGGAGGTGAGCACAGGGTCGTACGTAGGGTCGTAAGGTACAAGCTGTTGGGGTGGGCGGACGGGTCAGGGGCTCTCAGGGCTCTCAGCCGCGGCAACAGGACGGCAGTGCAAGCGGAGCAGCGGAGGTGGGTACGGCTGACGGACACAGGAGCGTGGTCGGGCAGAGGGAGGGTGGGGCAGGGAAGCGAGGGGAGTGGGTCACAGTGGGGCTCTGCATGTCACGTCCTCATGTACGCTGGAGCAAGGGATTTGGGCTGAAGGGTTTGGGGCTGACGATACACGTGAGCTGTGTAGACTTGATGTGAACGCGATGACAACTGGCGAGGAGTAGTCCGCCAGTAAAATAACAAATAATATAAGACCCTAGGCATGAATGGGCTTTCTATGCGAGAATATCCCGCCCTAACGTAAGGCGAGGCGGCGCGAACTTGACATTACGATGGTTAACCCTTTGGGAGCCTTTCGCACGAAGTAGGATACACAAGAAGCCCGGTAGTGTGACCTGTTTCCGTTTAGTATACTTCGGCTGAACAGACACAGTGGTTGGCGCTATGCCGTGCCACGGCTGCTGCGGCATAACGCCGACTACGGTGAAGCACGGGGACAACTCAACCGGTGCAGCCACTCATGCCGACGCTTGTTGCATACAAGACCTACCAACATTGAAGACGCCTTGGAGAGCCCACCCGGCCATTTCGCTTGCTCAATCCACTGGCACGACCTGCAAGAATCCAAGCGCGACGCTCCGGCGTCTTGCTGCCGCACCGCCGACAGCCCTTCGTCTAACCTCGACCGGCGTTACCCTATATTGCAGTAGCCAACACGACAGTAATGCGGCTCGGCCGGCCGGCAGGCATGACACACTGTTTCCGTAGAACTTGTGCTTATGCAGCGCAAGTCAGTATTTGCTTTATACTGCAGTAATCTGTTCTTAGACTGTCAGGTTCCGTTCGGTCGCGTTCTTGCAGCCCCAGGCCACGGCATTTGTCAACATAGCCGTACAGAACAGTTACCGGTCTTGGCTTCAGAGTTGAACATCTCTCTTGTTTGCTGCATACGAGTAGCACGTATTTTCTCGCACTCACTTTAAGTAGTATCCTACCAGCGTGCAAGCAAAAAGTAGAACACAAGCCTGGCCCTTTTTGAGAAGTAACAGGAAAAATGGCGGAGGAAACGCAAGTTCTAGTAAAGTTTATTACGAAACTGCCAGCTCACCTCAGAGTTCCAGAGACGCCAGTGGTGAGCAGCCGACGGGCGGCCGATTATCCTCAACCTGCTTCCTAATTACCGCGGCAATTCAACCACGTGGCTTTCAATTCATATACAATTAGATCCGGACGGCCATGCGGATGCGACCATGGGGCCAATCTTTGCCTCCATGCATGCAGCCGCCGCCAGCATTCGCCCCGGGTTCTGCTCCTGCATCTAGATACGTCGCTCCTTATCGCCCCCTTCCATCCCCCTTGTCCCCTCCCTCCTTCCCTCGCTCCTTACCCAGGCCGTACCCGCAACCCTCAAACGCTATGGCCTCTCCCAAATCATCAACCACCTCTTGGCGCTGGGTGAGCTCGAGTTGGCTGGGCGGGGGAGCACACACGGGGATACCGGTAGACCCCCATGCAGAGGCCTAGGGCGCGTTTGCAGTCCCGCTGGGACCCTGGGCCGTTGCCCCCCTGAGCTTCCGGGATTGTCCTCGGATGGATGTACAGATACACGCTGCTGGGAACGAAACGGGGCCTCAGTCGCAGGGCGCCGTACGGCAGGGGGGGCCACTGAGCGCCACGAGGGCGGCGGCTGGTGTGCTGCTTGCATCCACCACCGCTGCGGGGCGCATGCGGGGGTGGTGGGTGGGTGGGTGGGGACAGTCACAGTCACAGTCCGCACCGGGCCTGTGGGGCTCTCGCGACCAGCCCCTGGACTGCCTCCCCTCCCTCGCTGCCACTCATGTGTTGCGTGCGTTGTATGTCGTGCTCGACCCACAGACCCGCCGCGTCCCTTCGACTTCCTGGTCGACGGCGAGCTGCTGCGTCGCTCCCTGGAGCAGCACCTGTTGGGGCACAACATGTCGGCGGTGGGAGGGGGCGGGGGGCGGGCAGGGCGGGGGCGGGGGGTGCACTGGGGAGCGAGGGAGGGGAGCTGCGGGCAGCGGTGAGGGCGGGTGGGCAACGAGTGTGTTAAAATAACTGGCCGCGAGTGTGTGTGGGGAGGGCTGGGGGGCATGGAAGGGGGATGCTCCTCCCTCTCCTCCCTGAAGCAGGGATCCATGCCCCAGCACGCCAACTTGCCAAGCGCCGTCTCCTAGGTTCCAGACACTTACTGCATCCCACCTGCCGAACCCCCCCCCCTCTCCCCCCCAGGAAAGCACGCTGGAGGTGGAGTACGTTCCCGCGGTGGTGCCCCCGCCGCACAAGAACTCCACCCCGCATGACGACTGGTGGGGGAGGGGAGCGGGCAGGGGGGAAGAGGGGAAAGTGGGAGGGACGGATGTGTATGGGGATCAGTCGCACCGGGCTGGGTCGGCTGAGTCTGTGCGGAGGAGGGGCGCTGGGTGGGGAGGGAGTGATGGAGGGAGGGAGGACAGTCGGTCCTTTCACCGCTTCGTGCATTCCCACCGAAAGCCGTGCGATCACTGCCGTCCCGCTCGTTTTTGTCTTCCCATTCTATCTCTCTACCATTTCACACCGAATACAGAATGCCGCTGCTCCGCTAAACACCTTACGTTTCCTGCTGCCGGCCCCTATCCTCTCCCTCCCCCCGCAGGGTGAGCTCGGTGGACGCCTCCCGCTGCTCGGGTAGCACCTCCCCCTCCACATCCTCCTCCTCCGATGTCATCCTGTCGGGCAGCTACGACGGACTGCTGAGGCTGTGGAACGGTGAGGGGGGTCAAAGACCATACCGAACCATAGGAAACCACAGGTTGGGGCAAGACAATGGGGATAGGAGCGGTAGGGTGCCAGCGGGAGGCATGGGGGACGGGGAGGGAGGATGCATGGGGGAGCGGGGCCACCCTAGCGGCCCCGCCAGCCCAGCGACTCATCGAGTCCCCCGGGCGGCATCCGGGAGGCCCGCCACCCCCTCACGACCACCCGCCCCTCAACACATGGGGAATTCTTATTTTTCCCGCCCTCACCCTCCTTGACCCCCACTCCACCCCCTTCCCCTGCCCAGCCAACCTGGAGTGTACGGCATCCGTTGCGGCGCACGAGGGCGGCGTCAACTGCGTGCGCTTCCTGCCGCAATCGCAGGTGGGAAGCGGGGATGGGATTAGAGGGGTAGTGGGAGATGGGAATCTTAAGGGGGTGCAGGGTCCACTTATATGGGGCACAAGGCATGAAGAAAGGCTTCTTCCGAAGAGGAGGACCACCCCTCACCCCTCACACTGCAGGGCACGCAAGGCACCTCCAGGGTGCACCTTCAGGGTGTGCCGTACCGATAGGGGGGAGGGGGGGTGCAGCCTCTCCCCTCACCGGTATCACCCTGACAGCACCTCTTGACGTTCCCGCCCGCCCGCCTGCCCCCCGGTGCCCCCCCCCCAGGGTGACTTGTTGGTGACAGCGGGCAAGGACCTGCAAGTCAAGATGTGGCGCCTGGTGGGTGGGAGCGGGGTGGGAGAGGTGGGTGGCTGGGAGGGGGGTGGGGAAGCGGGGTGGGAGAGGTGGGTGGCTGGGAGGGGAGGCGCGAGCGTCTAGCTGCTTCCCCGGACGGGGTGTTACGACACAGTTGGTGAGACACCGGGTGTGGCTGCGCTGCGCTGGTTGCGGAGCCGGGTGCTGCGGGGGGGGGGCGGTACTGCTGGCGACATGCAGCAGCGGGGCTGGAGCCGCTCCCTGCTGGTGGTTGGGAACCCGGTCTTCACACCACACGGCGCGGGCACTGCACCTGTACCCCTCCTACAGAGTAATGGTGTTGTTGTCCCCCTGTTCGCCCCCCACCTGCTGTCCCCCCCCTCCCCCGCAGGAGGCTCCTCAGGGCTCCTCCCCCTCGGGCCCCCGCTGCCGGCTGGTGGCCAGCTACCGCGGCCACGGGGACGCGGTGGAGGGGCTGGCGGCCAGCCCCAGCGGACAGCGGGTGGCTAGCTGCGGCTGGGACGGGCGCGTGCTGATTTGGGAGGCAGGTGGGCGGGAGGAGTGGGCTGGGTGGGTGGGAGGCAGGTGGGTGGGAGGAGTGGGTGGGTGGGAGGAGTGGGTGGGAGGAGTGGGTGGGAGGAGTGGGCTGGGTGGGTGGGAGGCAGGTGGGTGGGAGGAGTGGGTGGGAGGAGTGGGCTGGGTGGGTGGGAGGCAGGTGGGTGGGAGGCAGGTGGGTGGGAGGCAGGTGGGCGGGAGGTGACACGACATGACTTTCCGGGTGGTGTTCGGGATTGCATGGGGGGTGGGAAGGTTGCAGGAGGCTAAGCCAGGCCGAGGAGTTTAGGGAACGCGGGGTGGGGTTGGAGGCTTCCGGAGGAGGAGACGATGGTGTTGGGTGGGGAACTGGTTAGCCGGAGCGCCGAGCCTCCCTCCCTTCGTTTCCCTTGCCCCCATTCCCCCTGCGCAGGTCGCCAGGTGGCTGAGGCGGCGGAGGCGGAGGCGGCTGCCGGCGGGGCCTCAGAGGGCTCCAAGAAGAAGCGCCGAGTGGGGTCAGCAGCTGCGGAGGGGGCAGCCGGCGGCAGCAGTGCGGGCGGTGGCGGGGGGCTGGTGGTGAGCGAGGCGAGTGGCAGCCTGTCGGGGCACCTGGCGTGTGTGGCGGCGGTGAGCTGGCCGGAGGAGGAGGCGCTGCTCAGCGGGGGCTGGGACCACTCGGTAAGGGAGGGGGGCAGGGGAGGGGAGGGTGGGCGGTAAGGGAGGAAGGCGGCGAGGGTGGGTGGTTTGCCGGCGAGAGGAGCCCATGCAGTGGCGCGCCAGACGTCACACCCATCACACGTCACTCCCTCCCGTGTCTTCCCCTGCTTTACCCATCATAGCCCCACCTGTCGCTGTCCTACAACACCCTTCTGACCCCCACACCCGCAGGTCCGGCGCTGGGACGTCTCCAGCGGCCTGCCCACCGCCTCCTACCACGGCTCCAAGGCGGTCCTCTCCCTGGCGGCGCACCCCGCCTCGCCGCACCTCGTCGCGTTCGGCTGCTCCGACAGGGCACTGCGGCTCTGGGACACCCGCGGCCGCAACACCGCAATGGTGACCAGCAACCAGTCGGCAGAGGAGGGCGGGGCGGATGCGCTGGCTGTGACGACCCATGGGTCACACGGCAACTGGGTCACCTGCGTGGCCTGGTGCCCGGGTAACGCGCACCAGCTGGCGACTGCGAGCCACGACGGGTGCGTGAAGCTGTGGGACGTGCGCACGCAGGTGCCGCTGGGGAGTCTGAAGGGGCACACGGACAAGGTGCTGTGTGTGGGGTGGCTGGGCGGGGCGGGTGCGGGGGCGGCGAGGGGGCTGGTGAGCGGTGGGGCTGATTGCCAGCTGCGGTTGTATGAGGGAGAGGGGGTGCTGGCGGGGTTGTGAGGAGGGGGAGGGGAGAGGTTGGGTTACGTGGCATGGGACAGTGCGAGCCGTGAGAGTGGTTGAGATGGGGGAGGAGGGAAGTAGGGTGGGCTCCGGGGCTTGCGAAGGGGAGGATCGTGAAGGAGGAGTGGCTGCTAGTAAGGGTAAGGTGAGGAGGTGCATTGGTGGGGTTGTCTGGACTAGGGAGGAGGGCGGAGCTGTGTTGGGTCAACAGGGGATGGGAGTTGGGAGCGCTAGGGGCTGCTGAGATTCAACGCTGTGCACTGGGCGAACTGTAAAGCTGGGAGATTGGGAGGCGAGCGGCAGGGGGGCAGCAAGAGAAGGGATCTCGACAAGGGGAGATACTCTTGTTGGTGGACTAGGTGTTGGCTTTCCGGGACGTGCGAGCGCTTATGCACGAAGAGTGTGGGCTGCGGCGGTCGGGCGAGCGGTGGTGTGGGTTGCTGTCGCGCTTAGCGACGCTCTCGCTAGTGAACCCTGGTTCACGACTTCTTTGGTGTTCAGGCAGACCGTAATGGGCGGCTTGTCTGCGATACAATTACAATAAGGCTGTAATTGAATCTCGGGAATTGTGCATTGCGGAGACTTTGCAACAAATGCGATGGGCTTACATGAGGCAGTCGGGGCAGACCAACGGCATTGCAAGGACGGCTTGACCATTGCTCTTGCAAAAGCTTACAGTAATTATATAGTACAGTAACAGCTGCTTGAGTAAAGGAAAAAGCTTTGCAGCTTAGGACCCGCTTAGATCTCGTGCAGCTTACTCCCAACCTTGCTCGTTTCCTGACAATTTGGAGTGTGTTAGGGACCATTAACTGATCATAAGCGACTAAGAGTAGCAGCATACCAAGCAATAGTCGTTTGCCGCAGCAGCATTATCAACGGCAGTGGGCATTAAGCACTAGGCGCGCTTGGGCGCGAGGATCTTGTCGCCATGGCTTCTGAGGCGGAGAAACGTGAAGCCGCTATTACAGATTATCGCAAGAAGCTCCTAAAGCATAAGGAGATCGACACAAAGGTCCGCTCGCTGCGCGAGGCGGTGAAGGAGCTCAAGAAGGATTATGACAAGACGGAGGATGACCTAAAAGCACTACAAAGCGTCGGGCAGATCATCGGCGAGGTGCTGCGCCAGCTGGACGAAGAGCGATGTGAGTCCCTCATGCGAATGTCGCTTCTGACAGTCCCTATTAAGCGCTGGCGGGGGCCGGGGTGTGCATCAGGCGCGAACGGCTCCTGCATTTGGGGATAGTCGCCCCAGAATGCACGCCAGGCAGCGCTGTGCCTCAAGACCAGCGGATGCGGGTCCGGAAAGGGGGGATGTTTGCGATCACATGCGACGCACATGTGAACGGCCGCCCGTTGCCAGTCACCCCGGATGTTGTTGTCAAGCTGGAGACGCACCACTGGGCAGGACCCCACCACTGGGGCCTAGCCCGGGCTCCTGCTCCTCCATGTAGCTTTCCCCTCCCCTCCCTTCCCCCCTTCCCAGCCCAACAATTGTCACTGTGCGCAATCCTCCATTTCTACCTGTGCGAAACACACCCTTCCCCCTTCCCCTCCCCCCCTCCACACATTGGACATCCTTCTCCCCCCCCCAGTCATCGTGAAGGCCAGCAGCGGCCCCCGCTACGTGGTGGGTGTGCGCACCAAGGTGGAGAAGGCCAAGCTGGTCAGCGGCACGCGCGTGTCGCTGGACATGACCACCCTCACCATCATGAGGATACTGCCGCGGGAGGTGAGGGGGGGAGGGGAGGGGAGGAGGAGGGGAGCTCAGAGAATTCGAGGGGAGGAGCTGAGGATGAAGGGGGGAGGTTGCACTTGACTGCAACAAGTACAGCCCTGTCCCCCGTTCATGCCATCACTTGCATCAACCCCATGCCTTACATCTCACCCCCTCCTCATGCGGCCTATCCCCTCCCCCCTCCCCAGGTGGACCCCGTGGTGTTCAACATGCTGCAGGAGGACCCCGGGCGGGTGGACTACTCCTCCATCGGGGGGCTCAGCGAGCAGATCCGCGAGCTGCGCGAGAGCGTGGAGCTGCCGCTGATGAACCCCGAGCTCTTCCTGCGGGTGGGCATCAAGCCGCCCAAGGGGGTGCTGCTGTACGGCCCGCCAGGTGGGGGGTGGGGCGGGGGGAGGCGGGGGGGGGATATATAATAAATGCAAACAACCAGAGTAGGAATTCTAGAGGGGGGGGAATTATATAAAAGTGAAACAACGAATCCCAATCCCATATCCCGACTCATGCAGTGAGAGGGGGGGAGGGATGGGGGCAAGGACATAGGTAGGAAGGAAGGCGGGGAGGGAGGCCCAGCTATGAAAGCAGGGGGGGAGAGGAGGAGGGGGGGAGGTGCAGGCGGAGGTGGAGGCGGCGGCAGAGGCAGGGCCCGGTAGCTGTACTGCCACCACCCCGCCTGCCTGCCACCCTCGCTTCCGCCATTGCTCGCTTCCCCTCACCTGTTGGCCTGCCTGCACCCGCACCGCTCGCCAGCACTTCCAATCAGTGCGTCTGTACATCCAACACCTCTACCTATCCCCCATTTATTATATTATATAATTTCCCCCCCAGACCTTTGCTCCGACCGCCATCCCTGCCTGCCACCCCTCCTTCCCTCCCCTCCCCCTGCCCCTGCCCCCGCCCCTGCACTTCTCATTTAATCCCCCCCTGCATGCATGCATGCACGCAGGCACGGGCAAGACGCTGCTCGCTCGCGCCATCGCCTCCAACATCGATGCGAACTTCCTCAAGGTGCGTGTGGGGGGGAGATGCAGGGAGGGGATGCAGGAGAGGGCAGAGGAAGGGGCGTTTGAAGCAGTGAGCGGCAAGTGCCAGGGGTGGTGTGGGCGGGGCGAGGAGAAAGCGGGAGAGCCGGGGCCGCAGCGGTTTCAACCGACCCAGTCGCTGCAGGGAGGGGAGTGGCACAGGAGAAGAGAAGGGCGGGTATGATGGGGGCGCAGGTGGGGTTTCCAGCCCGACCCGCCGCTGTACCCCCCTCCCCACCCCCACCTGGTGGGGTAGGACCCGCCACTTGCCTTCCTCACCCTGCACCGTCCGCGTCTTCTGTCCTCCCCCTTGCCTTCCGCCTCCTCCCCGCCCCGCATATGGGGCTGCAGGTCGACCTTCACCGTCCTGAAACGACCCCTGCCCACACCTCTTGTGCCTCTCCCCTCTTATCATTCAACACATGGCGCTTCGTTTCTCCCCCCCTCCCCCCCCTCAATTCTCATCCCCCCTCCCCCCCTCTCCCCCCTCTCCCCTCCCCCCCAGGTTGTGTCCTCCGCCATTGTGGACAAGTACATTGGTGAGAGCGCGCGCATCATCAGGGAGATGTTCGGATACGCGCGGGAGCACCAGCCCTGCGTCATATTCATGGATGAGGTGGGGAGGGGGGAGGGTGGAGGGGGGGGGGAAAGGAGGAGAGCCATGCGTTGAGGAGGGAGGAGGGGAGGGGGGAATGGGGTTGGCCGGCTTTGTGGAAAGGAATGCATACCCAAAACCCGCGACCTCCCTCCTCCTCCACCTCGCTACCTTGATCCCCACAAACATACACTTACACACACGCCCCGTTTCCTTAACACACGCATGTACACGCACCCGCCCCCCCCAGGTTGACGCCATCGGTGGTCGTCGCTTCAGCGAGGGCACCAGTGCGGACCGGGAGATCCAGCGCACCCTCATGGAGCTGCTGAGTCAGCTGGACGGCTTCGATGTGGTGGGCAAGGTGAGGGGGGGGGGAAATTATATAAGAAATGCAAACAACTAAAGTCCCAATCCCATATCCCGACTCATGCAGTGAGTGCATTCGGAGACACTATTCTAAAGACACGCATCTCAAATTACTTACCGAAGCGTTGCTTACCGTAAACCGAGACGACTTGAGGGAGAAGCCGCGCTGCGTGGTAACACTAGGGAGCAACTGACGAGCTGTATGACGGGGGGAGGCAGGGGGGCCAGGGTAAGGGCAATGCACGGGGGCGGTTAAGTTGCTGGTTGGAATGGGATGGGGGAAGGGTGGAAGGAAGGGCGGGCGTGTGCGGCCTACTTGGCAGTGGGGGGAACAGATGACCCATGGGTCGTGGCTCTCTTCGCATGAGCGCTCCTTCGCGGTACAGCGTACGTACGTGCTCCCAGGTAGAGCAGCCTGGCCGTACTACCGGTAGCCGTCCCGCACCTCCACAGCCCATGCATGCCGCGAACCCCTCTCCGCCTTCCCCCTGAACCTCTCCCCCTCGGGTGCTGCACGTAACACGCATCTATCCTCCCACCCCTCCCGCCCCGCTCCCCTTTCCCCCCCCCCAGGTCAAGATGATCATGGCCACCAACCGCCCCGACGTGCTGGACCCCGCGCTGCTGCGGCCGGGGCGGCTGGACCGCAAGATTGAGATCCCGCTGCCCAATGAGAACGCACGGTGAGTGGGTGGGAAAAGAAGTTTATCCAATGTGTTGGGAGTGGGAGGGAGAATGGGAGGGAGGTGGGTGGTCGGGGAGGCGGGTGGCAAGGGAGGGTGGGAGGGGGACGACCCCCTCTCCTCCCCCTCTCCTCCCCTCTCCTCCTCTGGCTCACAAGTTGCAAACCATGATGACACCCTATCACTCTATCAGTTAGCTGCTTCCTCTTTACCTCCCCCCCCTCCCCCCGCTGCCCCCTCCCCCGCTCCCCCCCCCTCAGGATGGAGATCCTGAAGATCCACTCTTCCAAGCTGGCCAAGCACGGCGACATCGACTACGAGGCGGTCATCAAGCTGGCGGAGGGCTTCAACGGCGCCGACCTGCGCAACATCTGCACGGAGGCGGGCATGTTCGCCATCCGGGACGAGCGGGACTACGTGGTGCAGGAGGACTTCATGAAGGTGGGGGCGGGGGGGGGGGAGGAGGAGGAAACAACTAACTGACTGAGGGATAAGGCGTCAACATCGGAGGGGTAAAAAATATGTAATGAGACACATCGGAGGGGGGGAGAGGGGGAGGAGGGGGGAAAATACCCAATGTGTTGAGTGAATATGCAAACCAGACGGCAAGGCCGGGGGCGGGGAGGAAGGAAGAGTGGACGATAGGGGAAGGGGGGCTTGAGCCATGCTGGGAGTGAGCGGGAGGGGGGGCTGAACTGGCGTGTTCCCTCTTCATACCTGGTAACCCCCTCCCATCGAACACCTCCCCCTGCAGGCTGTCCGCAAGATGGCTGACGCCAAGAAGCTGGAGACCACCCTCAACTACGACTCCGCATTCGGGGACGGAGGACACAAGTAGGGGACACGACAGGCAGCAGCAGCAGCGATGCAGCAGCCGGTTTGGCAGTGGAGGAGAAGAGGAGTTGGCTTGGGAGGTAGTGTGTGTTGTAAGGGGAGGGGGTTGCAGCGTAGTGCAGGTGCAGGTGCAGGTGCAGGAGAGGAAGAGGAGGGTCTGGGGTGCGCAGATATGTAGTTGGCGAGCGCAGGGCAGCCAGTAAATCCCTTGGGCGGGAGGAAGGGCGGAAAAGCAGGCCGGGTTGGCTCGCCCCAATAGGGGCGTAGTCTTAGCATTCGGTAATAGTTGGTCGGACCGAAACGTTACGCCCTATTGTACCGTGTCCAGTTCCTATGTCTGTCGTGCTGTACCTTCCTGTATGTGCCTGCACTGCAGTCGTGAAGAGCGAATCTGCTCTAGGAATCCCGGAGGAAAGGTGGATGTAACGTCAACGTTGCGTTAGCCGGAGCCGAAGTTGACTGCCCCGCAAAGGCAGGACTCTAGCAACAAGGGGGCTGCGGGTGTGAGTTGTGAGCAGTTATGATGATGCTCGCTGCGCTGCGCACCCGTCCCTCCGTACTCTCCGTACAACTGTACTGCACGGGTCTCAAGAGTACCGTACAGTCCGGGAAGGTGAAAGGGGGGGTCAAAGACCATACCAAACCACAGGAAGTGTACACCAAAGGAAGAGGGTTGGGGGGGGGGGTAGGATGGCAACCGCTGCCGGCCCTTCGCAGCTGCCCTCTAGGACACTAGTAGGGTACTTGGGGCGTGACACGCGTCACACGTGCGTGTATGGGCAGCATCATTCGTCTCATAAGAGGGGTACTTGGGGGGGTCGCCACGGGCGCGCGTGGGCAGTACGCATGTGCAGTAGAGCACGTCCCCCGCCCGGCGGACCGCATGCAGGCGAGGCATGCAGGAGCGTGCGAGCAGCGGCATGCGCCTGCCGTACGAGGTTACTTCGTTTTGGGGGTGGGTGACACGCACATGGGGCATGCAGGCTGGTCGGCAGGTGCGCAGGGAGACGTGCCAGCATGTGGGCTGGCCGGCTGGTAGGTAGGATGTAAGCTGATGTGCTACCCTCCTCCTCCCACCTGCCCTTCGTGCGTCAGCTCCGTTTTGCCCCAGCCGGACATCGGCCTGCTGACCCCGGTGGTACAGTGGTGCACATCTTTGGTACGATCCTGCGAAATCCATAATTAAGAAAGGATCATTACCTGCCTCGCTAACGTATCTATAAGTGCGGTTGCCTGCTTGTACTAGTTGAGCCAGCAGCATTCTGAGTTTCAGTTGATCGTACAATTGTGGGTCACCCTGAAGGCCCTTTCCGTCAGCTGCCACGCAAGATCCGCTCCAGGATAACCAAGTGAACCATATTTGAGTGATCCCTTGTCTAGGGAAAATAATGAGGCATTGGGGTTCGATTGCCGTCGATACCGACGGTTGACGTTAAGCCGTCCAGCATCACCAGCGACTGTTGGAATATAGGCTGTATCAGTATGGCACTTGAAGCTACCGAAGGTCGCTTGGCCGAAGTCCTGCCGGAGATTGCTGATCGCATTTGCGAGCAGTTCATCTTCGATGGAGCATCGCTACTGAAGCTGGGCGAAGTTAACACCTTCTGGCGCCAGCGCGTTCGTGATCCGCAGCTGTGGGCACGTCTAGTTAAGGAGCGCTTTGGGGAGGAGGAGATACCACGTGAGTTGGTGTCGTCGTTGGCTTCGGACAAAATCTTAGCATGTCAGCAGCGGACCAAGTTAAATAACTTCGCGATGGCCCAGGCTTGGGCTGCCTGCTTATCTGGATGTTTTGTTAAGACAGAACCCTCACCTTCTGCCATTACTTGAGTTCCCAGCCCCTCCCTTGTCCCGTGTCTCTCCATAGCTCCACATTGCACCTGCCAACCCCACCTGCCAACCCCACCTGCCAACCCCCGATGCATGCGCACATGCCTGCACTCTGCAAAGAACACAACTCGCAGTGCACAACCATGCGCGCCCGTACACTCCATCCTACCCTTCCCGGTGTCACCCCCCTAGCCCCTGCTCGGTGTCCCCCCGGTGTTTCACTTATTAATTTTTTCCCCACTCCCGCAGCCCCCGCCCAACCCGCCGTGCCCCTGCCCGGCTGGTGCTTCTTCCCCGGACTGGACTCCCCGGGACACGACGTGAAGGGCCCCGCACAGGCGCCAGGGGGGGGCGGGGCGGGGGGCGCGCAGCTGACCCCCGCGGCGCTGGCAGCGCGGGCGGAGGCGGTGGGGGCGTGCGCCTTCAACACGAATGGTACGGAGCGGCGCTGTGGGGGCAAAGAGGGGCTGTGGGGGCAAAGAGGGGCTGTGGGGGCAAAGAGGGGCTGTGGGGGCAAGGACGAAACAACTAACTGACCGTGTGATAAGGCGCCACACGGAGCTGTGGGGGCAGTGGGGGCGGGGTTTGGAGCATGGGATCATGGATGAGGGCTGGGTTTGGGGTCTGGGGGTTGGGAGCTGGGACGGAGGTGGGTTGGGAGCTGCGGCCTGTGGGTTTCAGGTCTTACCTCCCTCCCCCCTCACCCCCCAGGCTGCGTGAAGCGCGCGCTGCTGCCGCTGCACCGCTGGCAGCGCTTCAGCTACAGCCCGGGTGCGGGGCTGTACGTGCGGGAGGCGGCGGTGGTGGCGGAGCTGGGGCTGCCGCCGCCGCCGCCACTGCCGCAGGAGGCGGCGGAGCCGCAGGGTAGGAAGGAGGAGAGGAGGGGTGATGAGGGAAGGAGGCGGGGCCCAGCCTATCGGGCGACCGGGGTCGCCTGCAGTGCGCCACTCCCTCCCACCTTGTCGCACCCTCTGCAAGGACCCTCCTACTTTGGGTGCTCGCAGCCCGACACGTCCGCTCTGGGTTGCCAAGGGAGCGCCCTCCCGCCCCCTCCCGCCTCACGCCTTATCACACGGTCAGCTAGTTGTATCCTCCTTACCTCCTCCTGCCCCCGCCCCTTCCCCTCCCTCCCAGCCCGTCCTCCCGCCCTCCCCGGCTGGACCTTCTTCCCTCTGCTGGACTCGCCCGGCTGGGAGGTGCGCCACCCCGCCACCGGGGAGGACCACTTCAGGAGCAGGTGGGGGGGGGGAGAAGAGTACATTGTGTGTTGAATGAGCATGGTAAACAAGACGGCAAGCTTGGGTGGGTGGGTGGGGGTGGGGGGATTGCCGGGGGTGGGGGGCTGCTGGCTGGGGCTGGGGCTGAGTAGGGCTGCTGGCTGGAGTGGCGGCAGCTGGGGAGCAGGTGGGGGCGGGCGGGCAGGCAGGCTGGCGGGCTGTAGCGGGCGTAGCTGCAGTGCGGGCTGTATGGGGGCTAGCTGCGGCCGGGTGCTGGCAGGCTGCCTGCTGCTGGCAGGTGGTACAACGCCCACCAGGGCTGTAGGGAAAGAGAAAACCCCCTCCCCTCCTCTCGTTGCCACCCCCCCCCGCCCATTATCGCATGGTTCTTGCCCTCTTGCCCACTCTCCCCGCTGCACCTCCCTCCCCGCTCCCCCCCCCAGCTGCGCCTCCCTAGCCGAGCTGGCGCGGGTGGCCGCCCTGTTCCCCGCTGCGGCTGCTGCTGAGGGGGGCGGGGGCGATGAGGGGGGCGGGGCGGGCTGCGAGGCGTTCAACACGGCGGGGCAGCTGAAGCGCTGGGTGGAGCCGCAGGTGGGGTGGGAGGGGGGTGGGGGAGCCCCTGGGTAGGGGGCGGGGAGTGTGCAGTGCAAAGAAGTAGAAGTGCAGCACTGAATCCCAGTCCCAATCCCGCGGGGGGGGGGGGAAGAGCTGGGGCGAGCGTAGTGGGCCGTGTTCCCTCCTCCCCCCAAACCCCGGTTCGACACACCCCCCCTCCCGCGCTGCAAGCATGCGGTCAGTCTCTTGAGTTGCCTGTTTCTAAAAGCGTGTCTCCGTATGCGCTCACTGCATGAGTCGGGATATGGGATTGGGACTCCGTAGCTCCCTTTTTACAACTTGTTTTCCTTTCCCTCCCCCCCTGGCTGTGGCAGATCCACTGGCGCTACCTGGGCAGCCCCGGCAGCAGCAGCTGGGAGGGGCTGTACGTGCGGGACGAGGTGGTACGGCAGCGGGGCCTGCTGCCGCCCCTGCCAGGTGGGAGGCGGGAGGGGGAGGTCTGGGGGTTACCGAGTGTTCACATGGGTGCTTCCGGGGTCAGGACGAGTGGTGAAGTTGGGTCGGCAGGAGCTGAGTGGGTTGTTGTGAGCAGCATGGTCCTCCTCCCCGATTGTCAGCAACTTGTATCATTATCACACCACACTTTGGAATTTCTTTTTTCCCCGCCCTCCCGGCCCCTCCTCCCCGCCCCCTCCTCTCCCCCTCCCCCCCCCCCCAACTGCCAACTCCTACCCCCATTGTTTTGCCCTAACTTGTGGTCTCCTATGGTTTGGTATGGTCTTTGACCCCCCCCCCCAGGCGGCCGGCTGCACCCGCTGCTGCGCTTCTTCCAGCAGGGCCGCATGCGGGCTGCTGCTGCGCGGGATGTGGCCGTCACCTGGCTCAACGGGACCTACCTGGTGCGCCGGCAGGACCCGGAGCTGGCGGGAGGGGGCGAGGAGGAGGGCGGCGCTGCTGCTGCGGGGCTTGCGGCGGCAGCGGCAGTGGCGGGTGGCCAGGGTGCGGGTGGAGGCGAGCAGGCGGCACCAGCTCCTGCCCCCGCCCCCGCCGCCCCCCCGCCCCTGCAGGTGGTGGAGCTGCGCAGCGTGTGCTGGCTGGACCTGCGGGGGTGCTTCAGAGGTGGGCAAAAAAGAAATTGGGGGGTGGGCGGGGGATGGGGGTGAGGTCACGAGTATGGTTGGGTGGGAAAGAGATGTGGGAGAGGCGAATGTGGGGAGCGGGCCGGTGGAGTGCGGTACGGAGCGCCCTGGGGGTCCTCCTCTCCGCCCTGTACGATGGAAGAGAAGGACGGCCCCGCCGCCGCTTCCGTGCACACTCACTTCCTGCTGCTGGCCCCGCCTGAGACCCCAACCCCCTTCAGCGGCTCTCCGCCTCCTCCCACTCCCGCGCCCCTGCCGCCACTCGCACCGCCACCCCAGCGCCCGCTCTCGCCCGCTACGGACCCCTGGCTCTCCCTGCTGACAGTATTAGACAAATCCCCCTCCCTCCCCTCCCTCTCTTTGACAAACGGTTAGTTCGTTTCTTCCTCTTTATCCCCCCTCCCCCCCCCTCCCGCCCTCCTGCCCCCCTCCTCCCCCCGCCAGGTCTGGCTCCCGGGCGCTACCGGGTCGCCTGGGTGCTCCGCCTCACCCCCGACTGCAACCTGGAGCGCATCAACGTCAGGACGCAGCTCACCGCCCGCAGGCCCTGCGCGGTGCTAGACAGGACTGCTGCTGCTGCTGCGGGTGCGGGTGCTGCTGCTGCTGCTGCGGGTGCGGGTGCGGGTGCGGGTGCGGGGGAGGATGGGGCCGGTGGTGGGTGTCCGGCTGCTGTAGGCAGCGAGCTGAGCCGTGTGGTGGTGGGGCGGGGGGAGCTGCGGGGGCACCTGGGGGCCGGCTGGTTCCAGCAGGCCTGCGGGGAGTTCAGGCTGCCGTACAGCAGAGGGGAGGGCGGTGGTGGTCAGGTGTACGACGTGGATGTGGTGCTGTGGGATCACGAGGGGAACTGGAAGCAGGGGATGTGGTTTCGGGAGGTGGTGCTGGAGAGGGTGGAGTAGGCGGGAGGGGTGGGGAGGGGAGAGGAGGTGGGATACAGCAGCGGCGGGGTGTATAGCTGCGGTTGGGAGGGTTGCGGGTTTGGTGGCGGGCCGTTGTGTTGGTTGGCCGGTTGGCTGGAAGGGGTGTGCGGAGGCGTAAGAGGTAGAGGTTGAGGAGCTGTTTGGCAATGGGATGTACAAAAGGGATGTAGCCGGCTAGCCAACCGCCGGGTAGGCGGCGTGTCGACATGCTCCCCGTACTGAAGCGTGCGACAGGGAAGGGGAGGGGCTATGGCTGGAGTGGCTCGTGACGAGCCGCGAGTTTGCAGGGCACATGGCTGCTGAGGATACCGTACCGCAACGGTGCGAGAAGATGGGGGCTTACGTATGTGTGCAGGGAGTGCGCATAAGAATGAACATGTGAGAGGTACATGAACGGGAGGGACCAGAGTGTTAGGTGTTAGGGAGACGCAACATGATAATAATATTCCCTTCTTTCCCTTGTACTAGCCAATGCCGTACATAACCCCTTTTTGTTTCTCTATGGTGTTTGGCAACTCTGTATCCACCCCTGTTGTAATTTCCCAACGAAGGTCTGACACGAGTGGAGTTGTGCAGATACAGGCACCAGAAGGAGGGTGTGATGCCTGCCATGCGTGAATGGCCGGCCAACCGCCCTTCGCCCGCCCGCGAAGTACAGCTCTGCGACAGCATCGTTAATGGTGCGCTTAGAAATGCAGCCACCGCATATACTCGTTTGGGGTGACTGCGGGCAAGCCTGCAGGTTGGGAGTGCGCAACATCCCTGCCTAGACTCACTTGGGTTCAGGGCGCCATACTTGGCTTAACCAGGCATAAAAGGGCAGGGAATCGTGCTTACATGAGGGCTAAGGCTAGGGGCTTTATGCAATCCTTGGGCCACTATGGAAAGCATTTGGGGCCAACCATGGTATTGGTCTTTGGTGGGTCGTATAGCGCAGCCGAGGGAAGCGTCTCAGTTGAGTGATAGTTAAAGCTGCATATCAACGTCCATGTTAGTGGACTTGCACGGGAACATGCTGTCATAGCCAGCGTTTGTTGCAATGTAATCCTGCAATGGGCAGCATACACGTCATAAGCACAGTAGTCCTGAATACTGTAATACAAATACAACCAGCTTAACAGAGGGAGGCATTAACAGTCGCTCATTAACCGCCCGTACAATGTGTACAACGCCGAAGACTTATGCTTGCCCTGCGCTCTCATTGGTCCTTTCCTAGGAAGCCGTTTTCCTAGACAGCAGAAAGATGGGCTACGTTAAGGTTGTTAAGACCTCGGCTTACTTCAGCCGCTTCCAGGTCAAGTACCGCCGGAGGCGGTCGGGCAAGACCGACTACCGTGCCCGCCTTCGCCTGGTGAAGCAGGACAAGAACAAGTACAACACCCCCAAGTACCGTCTGGTGGTGCGCTTCAGCAACCGCGATGTCACCTGCCAGATTGTGCGCTCCACCATTAAGGGCGACATCGTGGAGGCGGCCGCCTACGCTCACGAGCTGCCCGAGTACGGCCTGAAGTGCGGCCTGACCAACTACTCCTCTTGCTACTGCGTTGGCCTGCTGGTGGCTCGCCGCATCCTGACCAAGTTTGGTCTGGACAAGCACTACCCCGGCCAGGAGGAGCCCGATGGCGAGGACTTCAACGTGGAGCCCGTGGAGGACGGCCCCCGCCCCTTCTACTGCCTGCTGGACACCGGCCTGAAGCGCACCTCAACCGGCTCCAAGGTGTTCGCCTGCCTGAAGGTGCGCATCATGGCGGCGGTGTCGGCGCTTCCTACATTAATAGATAGCGTTCATGCAATGTAATTGTTTGCGCAATCTTTAGAAATATAATGCCAATATTTATGGCACATTTCTGACTCTTGCCCCTTTTCGATCATGCTTTATGCAGGGCGCCCTGGACGGTGGTCTGGACATTCCCCACAACGAGAAGCGCCTGGTGGGCTACGACCGCAGCAGCAAGAAGCTGGACGCTGAGGTCCTGAAGAAGTACATCTTCGGCGGCCACGTCGCTGAGTACATGGAGGAGATGGAGGAGGAGGAGCCCGAGAAGTACACCAAGCACTTCGCCAAGTTCCTGGAGGAGGACATCAGCGGCGGTGACCTGGAGGACCTGTACGCCGAGGTGTGCTTCTATCCGGGGCTGCTGGGCGGGCTTAGGGAATGACAGGGTTAAGGAACTAAGGAACCTAGGCAAAGGGGTGGGGTCCCTATCCCTGCGTTCAGCTAGCTGCGTCCATGACAAGTGCGCAACTGGGTCTTGCGTGTGATGGGGTTTCCGCACGTTGTGTCCCCTTAACTGTGGGCCGCTTCCCCTCGGCGCTTCCGCTTGCAGAAGAATGGGGCCAGCAAGCGAGGCCCTCCCAAAAGCATGGGTATCCACTCCATGCTCTTCTCTTCATGTTTAGCCGCATCAGCATGGGTTGTCGCACCAGAGGTGTTTAGAACCACTCTCCAAGAAGCGCGCCAGCCACATGGCTTTCCATGTCATGCTGGCTACATGTGCGCAGAGCCCTGGACCCACAACAACGTTGTGACTAGCGGCTCATCCCCGAAACACCCCTTTGCGGGTTTAGTAGGGGACTAGGTGTTACGGCCGTCTGCCTCCGCGGTTTTGCACCCGATCCCGCCTGATCTCGGAAGTGCACCGGAGGGCCCGATTAGTACTGGTCTTGACCTGCGGGTCGGCTGGGAACCCCGGGTGCTGTAGCGCCTGTCTTGGGGAGGTGGTTGGTCTTGCCTCGAGAGAGATTGCATTCAGCTCACTCTTGCACCACGACCACTGGCACATGGGTACTGGTGTACTGTGTCGGATCACGGTGTCTTAGCATGTGACCAGTCGGAACATGCGCGCGCTTTCGCCCGCCATATCTTGTTGCTCGTACGCCACGCCCTCACTCCTTGCCTCCTATACCCCCTCGCCACCCTTGGCTGCTCTTCCCCTCTATCCCTTCCCGTTTTCCCGCCCTGGCGCGCCCCCGCCACCGCTGTCGGCTGCTGCTGCTCCGATGTTGACACCCTGGTCGGATCTGCGTTGTCGTACGCGGTCTCTTCCGTACACAGGTGCACAAGAACATCCGCGAGAACCCCCTGAAGGAGAAGAAGGAGCGCACCAAGCCCGCCACCGCCCAGACCTGGCACGAGGTGAAGCTGACCCTGGAGCAGCGCCGCGAGAACCTGAAGCAGAAGCTGGCGGCCATGGCTGAGGACGACGAGTAAAGGACTTCACCCCTTTTGAGGTGTTGGCCTTTTTGTCGTCTAGCCTGCTCTGCTAGAGGGCTTCTGTGAGCTGTGCGCACCAGTGGCGCAGCCGAGGGAGGAGGGGTCGAAGCGCCCTGCTGTCTCCTGGGCTTGGGCTGTTGGCCTGGTTACTTGTAACGGTGTACAGCCACTACTCGGTACTATGTGCTTTTGCCTATACAACGACATAAAGCACGACACGACGCATATGACTGGCAGCCGATTGCAATTTGGATATACACTGCTTAAGGGTCGCTGCTGACACGAACACCACTAGTGGGGCCATTGCTGACATACTACTTTGGAGGGAGAAGGGGGTTCGAATTGGTATAAATCACAGCCCGGGGAGAAGACGTGAGTTGCAGGGTGATAGGCGGTTAAGAGCAACTTCCCCTACGAGCAAACGGATAGATTATACCAGTGTTTAGGTCAAATTTATATACCGGGTGCTGTGAGACACATTTTGGAAGATCAGATAGATGCAGCGATGACTGAAGTAGGGTTCAACAAGCTGAGTACCGAGGACCTGCCCTTTACCGTGCGTATTGGGTCAACCGGAGCAGGTGAAAGACACCTACGTCTTAGCAATTATAAAATGGCGCTAGTTGTTATGCAACACGAAACGCTGCAGGCTTCGGCGTGGGATGTGGCTTTGGCATCGGCTTTGGGAAGCCTCTTAACCTTGGTAGGAGTGTTGCCTGTTGAGCTCCTCAGATGTCTCACGAACAATATACATTATGTTATGGGGTGATACCTTGCCAGAGTTACGGCCAACCCACTGTTGTCGACTAAAGCCTTGCCCCTTTGCCATACTGCCAGGATCCGTGCCTGCTCTGGGGCAGGCAGCTGCGGGGGTGAGCAGCGGCTTGAGTCAATTCAGCCAGCTTTTCGGCGGTCTGGGTTCAGGCGCTAGAGATGCCGTACAAGGGCTGGGAGTGAAGGGCTTGGACGCGGGCCTGGGCTGCGGTGTGGGCGTGGGCTACGGTTTCGGAGCCGGGCTCTTCCTGAAACCATCGGCCGCAGAGAAGCTGATGCGGCTCTTAGACAGCACCGTGGGTAAGCGCCGTTGCTCACTGGGTTATGCGGTATTCGTACGCCTTCAGTGCTGAGCCAGGAGGCTAAGTACGGCAACATGTCGCCGAAAATAGTACGATAAAAAGCGTGACGAGTATGGTGGGGATTGCACAGCTTAATGCTCTTTCCATCTACCACCCGTTGACCGTGCAACGACCCGTCTATCCGCCCCTCCCCTCGCTGTCTCATCCTGCGTCTCCTGCCCCCGCTCCTGCAAGCTAGGCCATGTAGCGCGGCAGGTGCAAGCCAGGTTAAGCACGGCCGGCGTGCTGTTGCCACCCCCTTACCCGCACCCACCGCCAACCACACATCCTGCCTACAGCTCTCCACAGCCCCCACTGCTCAGTCCACAGCCGCCCCCCGCAACCTCCTACTCTGCGACTCCGCTAGCCCCCTCCGGCTCAACTGTGGGGCCGCCAGCCGCACTGGCACAAGACCACCCGCAGCACCACCACCTGCCGCTGCAGCAGCAGCACCAGCACCAGCACCAGCAGCACCACCCGCAGCACCAGCACCAGCCAGAGTCCCCCTGGCCCCCCGCCTCCCCGCTGTCACCCCACTGCGCACCACCCGCAGCAGCACCAGCGCCTAGCCAACCCCAACAGCCCCCACCGCTTCACCGCCGGCACGGCGCTCATCCCGGCCGCCCACCCGCTCCTGCTGCCGCTGCTGCCTGTAGTCCTGCTGAAGCTGCTTCGGAGGGTGCTGTTGCTGGCGGCAGTGGAGGCGGCAGTGGTGGTGGCGGTGGTGATGTCGCGGCTGCGAGGAGCGGGGCGGGGTGGCAGGCGGGCAGCTCGGAGGAGCTGCGGGCGCTGCTGCGGCACGAGCGGCAGCTGGCTCGGCTGAGGGCGCGGAACCGGGCGCTGCGGCAGGCGGTGTGCAGCCTGGATCGCAGGTGGGGCGGGTGGCGGAGGCAAGGGGAGAGGGGAAAAATTAAATAAGTAGACCACAGCAGCAGCAGGTAGACCACATCCCTGTTTCTTTCAGGAAACAAAGAAGTAGGGCAGGGGCAAAAGGGAAGCATCGGGATAAGACACCGGCACAAGGAACGTGTGCCGCCCAGGAGGAGTGGTGGCGACTAGGCGTGTGGGATGCGCGAAGTGTGCACTTGAGGCTTACGCTGGGGCCGGCAGTGCTGCTGGGGCATAGGTGTCATGGGGCAGGAGGGCACCTGGGAGGGCTAGGACCATGCTTTGCTGATGTAGCGCCCCCTCCTGGCAACCAGGGGTGGCCTGCCGCTGTTGCAGTCATGGTGCCCCCCTGCATGGCATGGCAGGACACCGACATGGCAACCGGGAGCAGATGGGGGCCTCCACCCAACCCTCTGCTCGCCTGCGCTCCCTCGCTGCTGTTGCCGCATGCGTGCAGGTTACCCGTCTGCCAGGAGCCGAGTGACTCCTGGGGGGACAGCGACGGTTGAGACCGGTAGCTGCTGCGCCTGGGGAGCGATGGGGCGCAGTGTGGGGGAGAGCGGAAGGCGGTCTCCTGGCGGCCTGCAGCTGACAGGGGGGTGGGGCTTTCATTTGCAGCAGGGCTATTGCGTCTCAACAAGCCCCGTCAGGATTGAGAAAGCCGGTTCTGCGCACATCGGTACCGCCCTTGTAACAAAGCTGGTCAAGCGTGGAACCCGGGGCTGAATCTCAATCGTGGCGGCCTGGATTCTGCAAATGTTGATAGACACTTCCCACAGGGGATGAACTTGTAACAGCAAGTCATGTTCCTCACTCTAAACCCTAGCCCTCATGTGCCCAATCCTCCGATAGTTCACAGCCGGGTGTTGGGGTACGACGGCCATTCACGACAGTACGGCTGTGTAACGCCTGCAGGAGGGTAGGCTGCGCCATGTGCCTGATACGCAACAGGCTGAGACGAGTGCTGCGGAGACTGGATAGGGTGAGAGGAAACCCAACTCCTGATTTACATGTGTTGTACAGGGGCACCGAGGCGCACACGTATCCGAAGGGCATAACCCACGCGTACATACCGCGTGAGATACCCGTGTGCGGCGAGGTGGTCATGCAATTAGCCAAACGTCTTAAGCCATGAAGTTATATAGCCACAACAAAATGGAGATCTCTGACAAATAAGTGACTCTCTCTTTGCAACCAATGTCATGTTGTCCATCAAAACTGGGTCCGCGACGTGCGCGCGTCCTGGTTATTTAACATCGTGCACCCAAAATTGCCGCCTTTGCAGCACACCCCTCTCGCAGCCTAAACCCCTTGCCTCGCTCTGGAATCTCTGTTGTGTTCTATCGGCCCCCTACTCCAACGACCATCACATGCGACCTCTCACTGCAGCCGCTCAACGCTCACATGTACTTCTCAACGGTTTGAATGATCGTTGACTTGGGGACAGCGCCAATGATAGTGTCGCACTTCTTGCCGTTCTTGAAGACCATGATGGTGGGAATCGACCGAATGCCATACTCAGAAGCGACGTTCGGGCTCTCATCCGTGTTAATCTTCACGCACTTGACCTTGTCCTTGAACTCGCCCGCAATTTCATCCACGATGGGCGCAATAATGCGGCAAGGACCGCACCATGGAGCCCAGAAGTCCACCAGCACAGGGATGCTGCTCTCCAGCACTACGCTCTTGAAAGTGTCATCATTCACTGAACCAGCCTCAGCGCGAACTACTACTGAACGGCGCGGTGCGGCGCGGGCAAAGGCAGGGCGAGTGGTGTTGGAGCGGGCCGAAGGGGCCGCAGTGACGCGACGCGCAAGCAGAGCCATTATGCAGCGGTGAAAGCAAGGAATGTAGGTGGTGGAGCGGCTAGTAGTTGGAAATAGCTATTTCTATAGTGGCAAGGAGTCAGCATGGACCAGGGCCTTTAATCTGTCCCGCCGATGAGATGATGTCCGTCGAGCAGGACGTCTACAACAAATTTCGCATGTATATTCGTAGTATGAATACCAAATCATTCCCATATACATACAGACATGCGCAGCAACCTTTTGCACGTGCAAGCAACCCTGGTCAGAACTTCCCATATTGTCCCGCTGCAACTGGGCTCCAGCTGCGGCAGAAACCAGCACCAGGAAGAACGCTGTATTGGTTCTTGCAGAGATCTGGGTTGCTCCAGCGGTGCCCCTGCAGTCAGCAGTAGGCGCAAGCATGCATGCAGCCGTCAGGAACCCTGTGCCTGACAGCCAGGCGACTGTTGCTCGCTGGAGTGAACGTATATATATAAAGCTGGCTAGCAATGCGCTTGAAGACTGTTAGTTTGCGCCTTTGTCTTGAACCGGTCCTTGGGACGCTGGGCGAGAGGATACCACGAAATGCACGTGCGTAGGCATGCGGGTCCTTAAATCAGCCCCAGTATCCGTGCCCCTTGATGTGCTGACCGCTCCAAAGATTTGGGTTGGCTCGACGAAAGTGGTGTTGCTTTCTTCCCGCGCTCACCTCGGGCTTTAGGACGGTTCTGCCAAGACCCTGACAGCCCCGTTTAACACACCCGCGTGTTTGGGGGCAACGAAAAGGACATCCGATGGTTTGACGGCCCTTGCTACCCTACATCGACATCTCGTACCTCGGCCTGACACAAAAAGGACACCCCGAATCCAGTACAAAGTCCGGCACTGATATGTATGGCGTGGCGCTCAAGCCTGTCAGGAGTCCCTCAGAGTATAAAGATAACTAGCACCTATATCGTTTGCTAGCATAAACGTTGGCTGCTTACATTTTTCAGCGCTGCCACTGCTCCTAGCATCTGGGTGCCTTGTTCCACAGCTAGCGATTGCATCCTAAGCCTATAGCCCAACTAAACTTATGGATGCTCCAAGCGCGGTTGCTGCTGGCGGCTCCCGCGGGAGCCCCTTTTCAGCGCTAGCCTCGGAGCAAGCCCCAAGTCCGACTTCACAGTCGGAGGATAACGACGACATGGACCGTTTCGTTAGCTGCGAGCCTGCTGATTCGTTAGGTGTGTCTGCAACCGGAACTTGTGCGCCAAAATCAGACCCGCGCAGCGCTCCGACCTCCCCCAGCTTCCGTCGCGAAATCAGCCAAGAGCCGGAAGGTGCGCATGGCTTGAAAGCCTGGACCAAGTTATGGGTACAATAATAGATCAAAATTATTTCTCTTTTGGTAGGCATGCAGGTATGCATAGCTTGATCTGCCTGGGGCCCTACCACGGCCACGTCGCGACCTGCTTTGGGGTTGACCCGTGGGTCGTTTAGGCTTGCTGGCCCCGAACCCCGCTTGTAATGCGCACGCCATCCCCACGCGCTGCTTGGAAAACACGCTTAGCAACCCCTTCGGCTCCCGTTTACGCCAGATATGCAACCTCCCTTCCGCTGTCCTTCACCTCTTACCTCCGAAACCCGGTTTGAGACAGACTCAAGAAATGTGCAACCTCCCCTCCTCCGCAGGCGACGCCTCGGCGCCACTTGCTGCCAGGAGGCCCCTCTCCGGGCCCAGCACACCCGCGCACTCCCATGCCGCCGGTCGGCGCTCCTCCCCACAGCCGTCCGCCGCTGCGGCCCGCCGCACCTCCCCCGCGACAGCCACCTCCCGCAGCCACCTCAACCGCGGCGGCACCGGCCCTGCTCCTAGAGCTGGCAGCGGCGCTAGCGGCACTGCTGCAGGCCCAAGCCGTGACGTGCAGGGCCCAGCCACCCCGGATAAGGACCAAGGCGGCGGCAATGCTGGCGGTGGTGGTGGTGGTGGCAGCCAAGGTGAACCGCCGCCATCGCCGCCATCCCTGCACCAGCAGCGGCTCGGAAGCCGTGATGGAGACGTCGGTGGACTAGGAGCGCATGTTAGCGACCAGCCAGGAAGCCCCGACCCCAGCCCCAGACACAGGCGACCGGCCTCTGAAGGCGGCAGCAGCCGTACAACAAGGGAGGGCGTGAGGCCGATGCCACCTGCGCTGCACCCTGACGCTGCACCCCGGCAGGTGGCGGCGGCTGCCGTGGAGGGCCCCGTCGGGCTGACTGCTGGGTCGCCACCGCCGCCAGCTGCACAAGCAGGTGCCGCTGCGGCACCGCCTCCGGCACACCCGCGACTCCCTCCGCCGTCTCCGGCGAATACAGTAGTGCAGGTGACGGCGGCAGTGACGCAGCAGCAAAACGGGACTGTATCGTCGTTTGCTGTCATCGTCGGTGGCGCCAGCAGCGCTAGCTGCATTTCTTCTCCCGTAGTCTGCAGCACCACATCCAACGCGAGCACCTCCACCAGCTTCCTGGCAGCTAGGGTGCTGTCACTGGATGCGACGCAACGTAGCGCTGTACTTCGCACGGCGCGCCTGTGCCGTGCGGCGTCGGCGTCACGCGGCCCGTCAGCGGCGGCGGCAGCGGCAGGAGGTGCCGCTGGCGTCGGCGCCGAGGCGGGCGTTGCTTCGGGATCCCTGTACGGCTGCAGCCCGGCGGCGTCGCGGGCGACGTCCCTGGCGGGGGCATGCGACGCGGCGGTGGCGGCGGCGATGGATGCCGCAGCAGCGGCAGCGGCGGCGGCGGCGGCGGAGCGAAAGGTAGAGGTATCGGAGGAGGCGTCAATAGCGGCATGCAAGGCAGCCGGCGAGCAGCAGCCAGCGTCACAACAGCAGGATTTCGTCACGCCTGCCATGGACTCCCCATCAGTCGAGGCAGTAATCCCTGGCGCGCCACAATCACCTTTCGGACCCACATCCACGGCGCCGCCACAGCTGCCGCCACTGCCGCTTGCACGCCCGCCCTTGCCGAAAACCGCCATGGGCACGGCAGCCCCGGCGGAAGCGACGGCGACGCCGCAGGTCGTCCCAGCTGATCTGGGTCGGTTGTCTGCGTTCAGAAGCGATGGCAGAGGTGGAGGCCGCGGCGCGGCAACGCCCTCCACGACGTCAGCGCAGCTCCAGGATGTGCCGTACCTCGCATTAGACCGGCGTTCCAGCCTAGGTCGAAATGCGGATCTTTCGTCGTACTTTGAGGTCCTGGATCTCGAGGTATCCGCCGCGTCAGCCGCCGCCGCCAGCGCTGCAGCGGCCACTGCCGCAGCGACATCCGGCGGCCCGCACCCTTTTCCTGTAGCCGCTGCTCTGGCCAGGCATGCCCAATCGCTACCCCCAGCGCACCATGCGTCGCGGCCCCCGCCGCTGCAGCCCTTCATGACCGGGACGGTCGCCCGTGCTGCCGCTGGGACCGGCGGCGCTGCAGTAACAGCAGCAGCAGACGACAGCGGCGGTGGCGGCGCCACGCCGGTCGACTTTACGATGGCCGCAGCGACGGGGCTCCAGGGCCAGCGTCTGCCGTACTCCTCTTCCACTTCCCGGCTTCAGGACCTAGCAGCGGCCCAGCAGCACCAGTACCTGCAGCAACCACCGCACCCCCACCTGCCGCCGCCGCCGCAGCAGCGTATGTCGTACGGCAGCCGTCTCGGGTGGGCAACCAGCGAGTCCGGCACAGCTAACATCGCTTCCGCTGCCGCAGTGCCCTTCCGCCCCCTTGCTTCCATCGCCGCTGCCTCCGATGGTGGTGGCGGACACATGAACTGGTGGGGCAGCTCCAGGGGAGCGCCCGCACCTGCTGCTGCTGCCGTACATCCTGCGTGGTCAGGTGGCGGCGCCTCCGCCATGAGGTATCCCGTGGACGGTGCCAGCGGCCGGCAGCAGCCGACGGGCATGGGAGCACTGGCCGGTCACATGAGCCAGCACCAGCACCCCTCCCAAGTAGGCCAGCTTCCCCTTCCTCATCCTCAACTGCTGCGGCAAGGAGAGCAGTCGGAGCAAGGCCACTGGCACAACCGTACAGCCACAAGCGCCCGTACGGCTCATTCCGACTCCGGCCGGCGGCTGCCTCAGCGCGAGGTCTCATTCGCCCTGCGGCCGGGCAGCCAGATGGGCAGCTACGGGGGCCCAGACGGCGACATGCTGGCGGGACTGCAGCCGCTGGCGCCGCCGCCTCCGCCGCCGCCGGCTCTAGGCCTGGACCTCACTTTCGCCGCCCACGCAGCTCCGGAGGCACCTCAGCATGGCGAGGTAAGCACGCCGCGCGCCACCGCGGCTGCAGCGGCGGCCGCTGCAGCAGACAGACCCTTCGCCGGCGACGCCGCCAGCGCGGGCTTTCCTGCAGCTGCGCACGGCCATCCTTCCCGCGGTCACCATCACCCGCAAGCAGCACCAACACCAGCACCAGCGGGTGGCAGCGGCTTGCCGCTACCGTACGGCAGTCCAACTGCCTCGCTGGACGTTGACTACAGTTGGTTGGACCGTTTGGTGGCCGCTGCGGCGGCCGGCGACCAGGCGACCCTGGAGCGGGTGGTGGAGGGACTGGAGGACGGGGCGCTGGCGGCGCTGCTGCACACCGTAGAGCTGTTGGAGCTGAGCGGTTAGTGGGTTGGTTGGTTGGTTGTAAACGGTAGCTGTGATACTGGACTGTAGGGAAAAGAAGGTTTTGGGATGCAATAGGGGTAAGGGTTGGGATGCATGCAGGGGGCGCACGCAGAGTCAGGGGGCTCCGCCAGCCGTGAGATACAGTACGCAGCAAAACACACACACACGTTTGTCGGGGAAGCATCCGGGCAAACGGATCCGTAACTAGGCGTCTTCACCTCACGACGTGACTTTGCTACTATGGCAAGCCGCCACAGTCACTCCTTGTTTCCCATATTCCCATTTCCCTTACCTGCAGGTGCCGGCGCAGCTGCTGGAGCCACCGGGAGTGCACCAGGTCCCATGACGCTGGCAGCGCACCCGGGCTCCGAAACCACAAGTCTCCCTCACCCTCACCCTCACCTTCACCCGCACCACCAACACCAGCAACATTACTACTACCACCACCATCACCACGACCAGCAGCAGCAGCTGGTTCAAGACTTGGAGCCCACCCTGCCGGCCGCTGCGGCGCCCCGCATCGCTCCCCGCTCAGAGGCGCCTTCACCCACCTCAGTCGCTGCCGCCGCTGTACACACCGCCGCCGCCGCCGCTGCAGGCATGGCAATGGGCGCTCCTGCTCCCATGCACAACATGCACGAGCGCCGCCCCCATCAGGCCCACCAGGAGCAGCATCGCTGGCAACATCATCCGTACCAGCAGCCGCCACCGCCACCGCAGCAGCAGCTGGCGCACGGGGCCCCCCAGGACCCCGCGTCCCAGCTGCCGCAGCGGCAGCAGTGGCGCCATGGGGCCACTGCCGGGGCTCGGAGGCCGCAGCACGCCCACAGCGGAGCCGAGGAGGGCATAACCGCAACCACCGCTGCCGCGCCCGCTTCTGCTGCTACCGATAACGCCCTAGGTGCTTCTCAAGCAGCAGCAACAGCAGCAGCTCCTCCTGCGGACCGAACCCGCGGTGGTGATGGCAACAACAACAGCAGCAGCAGCAGCGGAGGAAACGGCAGCAGCCGCCCTGCCGGCGGCCGAGGCGACGACTTCCATGCGCCCGCGCACATCGCCCCCCTCATGCTCACCACCGCGCGCACCATACGACCCAGGAAGGCGGCAGGGGAGCGCCCCGACTCCAGCCGCCGAACCCAAGCTGCTGCAGATGCGCAACCAGATCAGCACCAGCAGCTTACGGCGGCTGAGGGCAGCAGTGCCACAGCGGGCAGCCGCACACCTTCGCCGCCGGTTGGAGTTGCTGCCGACCCGCCGGCGCCTCCTTCGCTGGGTGCCTCCGCAGCAGCCGCAGCGGCAGGCGGTGCCCAACCGGCCAATCGTGAGGCGATTGCGGTTAGCCCGGCTGCGGCAGCGGACATGCGGCAGAAGGAGGTGGCTGTCGGTAACAACGCCGGGGCTGCCGTGCTGGCAGAAGAGGGCAGCATGGGCGCGGAGGGTACTAGGGCGGTGGGCGTAGGGGCTGCTAACCAAGACGGACGAGGCGGGGACGTAACGGCTGACGTGGCGCCGCAGCAGCGCCGTACACCGCTGGCTTCACCTTTTGCGCAGCTTGCCGTACAAGGGCTGCAACCTGACAGTGGCGGCGGTGCAGACGGCGCTGCAGCAGCGGCGGCGGGGCCAGCTGGAGCGGGCGCAGGGTCAGGGGTAGCACCGGGGGGCGCCGGTCGCGGGAATGCAGAGGTGAGTTCATTTGGTGGCGACGCGGACACTGGTACAACGACAGCAGCGAAAACAACAGCGGACCGAAGGTCGGACCTAGAAGCAGCTGCAATGTCGCATGAAGGCAGCAAGGGTTCAAGTACGCTAACCCACCCGTCCGGACTGCCTCCGCTATCACCTGCGTCGTCGGCGCAGCCACCGCAGATCTACACCTCCGGTCGCCAGCCCTCTCGTACGGTCAGTGGTGGCGCAGCGGAGCGACGCGGGAGCGGTTCGCTGCCGTACTGGCGGCAGCAGGGCAGCGGCGGCTCCGCTGCCGGCAAGCCACGTCAGCGACGACCACCGCAGCATCCAGCGCAGTACTACCACCAACCCTCGCCGCAACCCTTCGATGTTGCATCTGGTAGCGGAGGCGGCGGTGGCCGCTCGCCGTCACCTTCATTTCTGCGTGCGGACGCTCCTCCCTGGCAGGGCGGCACTGTCGTACATCATGCAGCCTCATGGGCGGCGCCGGCGCCGCAACTGCACCCATCGCCGTCACCATACCCTGATGGGGTAATGTACGGCAGTGGCGGCAGCGGCACCCCGCCTCCAGCTGCAGTACGACAACACAGCTGGCAGGTGCCGTACCAAGTAGCGCACGCTGTCCTGCACGCGTCGCCGTTCACCATGCCGCACCTCGTCGTGCCGTGGCCGGGTGCACCGCCGGCTGGTTATATTGACGGCCCGCCTCCCGCCGGTAACACCGCTCCCAACTATGGTGGCGCTGGTCACCCTGCTGCTGCAGCAGCTGCGGGCGAGGGCGGCGGCGTTGCTGCCCCGCAGCGATACGAGCAGCAGCCGCTGTCAGGGCCCCCGCAACAGCAGAACCCTCAACAGCAGCAGGGCCCGCCGGGATATAACCACGCCGGCGAAAGGGCCACGCAGCAGGGCGGCGACGGCGCATGGCCAGCGGTGGTGCCTGGAGCGCCGCCGGCGCCGATGGCGCGCGCGGGGTCCCTGGTCGCCCCCATGTCCACGTCGCCGCAGCCCTTGATGCCGCAGCCTGTGTTCGTACCGGTGATGTTGTCGCAGCAGCCCAGCGGGGGCCTGACCTATGTGGTGGCCCCGTCGCCGCCTCCCATGGAACCAGAGAGGGCGCCTCAACCGTATCAGCAACAACAGCACCACCAGGCGTGGCAAGCCGGGGGGCCTTACTCAGGGCCGTGGCCGGCGCCGGCGCCGCCAGCAGCTGCAGGGCGGCATGCGCCGGAGGATGGTCGAGCAGACGTGCATGGAGGGTATGCCGTTTACGGTAGGTCATGGCTTGAGCTTCCTCATAGGAGCCATTACAATAAGGGAATTGTGGGGGCCATTGCTGCGGCCACCCCAGTATCGCGCCCCAAGATGAAGTTCAGTCTTAGGTATTACACGGTGCCCAATGGGCGTCCCGTTACTTATCTTTCTGACAAGAGATGTCAAATGTCAACCCTGCTGCGCGCATGCCATGTACTGCAATACTGTTTTAACGTTCTCGCGATCTTAGCATCTGCAATCCTATCCTAACGCTCACGACCATGTTAATACCCGCCTGCAACCTGCTTACTCTTGTACGACCACCTGCGTGTAGGCTGGCCTAGCGGCGAACTGTACTATACACCACCAGCACCGCCACCGCAGCCAGTCCCAGCACCACCGCCAGCGGGACCCGCCTACTACCCTTCAAACGACATCACCGGCTTCCCCGCGTCGCATTACCCTCCCACCGGCTGGTACTACCCCAACACGCATGACGCAGCTAGGGCCGGCAGCGGCCCCAAAGACGCAACGCACGGCAGCTATGGATCCAGCAGCGCCAACAACGGCAGTTACGCGGCCCAAATGTCCTCCAGCTTTCAAATCCCCGAGCCCAACGTCCCCGAGCCCACTGCAGTGCCAGCGGCTGCTATGCCGCCGGCGTTCGGCAGCTATAACAGCGGAGGGTTCGGAAGTGTCGGCGCAGGACCCACTGCTGCCACCGAACAGGAGCGCGAAGGGCGCCCAGCGAAGCGGCTCGCCGACAAGGGAGCTGGCGGCGAGGCATCCCCGACGCCGCGGAGCGAGTCAGGGCGGCAGGTGGAGAAGGATGTGGGGCGGAGGACGAGGAGTCGCTCTCGGGCGGGCTCCCCGGGCGCGCCGTACGACATGCCGAAGCCGCCACGTGACACCCTGTCGACGCTGAAGTGGTGCCATGTGCAGCACTCCAGGAAGCAGGTAGGCGTGGTGAGCGGTAGCACTGGGCTTTAGGTTTGGTGATGCGGAGCAAGGGGCACCGTGGAGCGCGATGCCCCGTGAGCCAGAAGGCTGCATGGACATAATTGCAGAAACGCGCTTCCCTGCGTCGATTGGCTACGTAGACCTCCTACCTCGCCTCCCTCATGCTGCTTGTTATATGTTGCTGACTACTGCATTTTCGAACGTGCTGTTACCGCTGCCTGCAGGCTCCTGCGCTGGACGAGCAGCAGGTGAGGGAGCTGGTGCGTGTGCAGCTGCAGTCCAACCAGCCCATCCGAGCGCCCTGGTACCGCGACGTGGCTACCAGCCGCCAGCAGGCTCAAGCGGCGGCTGCCAGCCTGCAGCAACGGCGGCGCACCCAGGGGCAACAGCAGCGGCAACACGTTGAGGAGAAGCAGGAGGTCCAAACTGTGCAACAGCAGGAAGCGGCGCCAAGCCTAAAGGGACCTGGCGGTGTTTTGAAGGGTGAAGGAGTAGGAGACAGGCCTGAGATCGGGTTTGGGACGGGTGTCTTCATTCCTGGGAGGTAGCAGGAGCATGTTTTGCTGTGCGCCTATGTGGCGGCAGTGAAATGGCGAACAGAGTAGCATGTATCACGAGGCTTGAAGGGCGTTAATTAATTGGCCAAGTGCAAAACGCGAACGCTGCAGGCCACATCATGGTTGATCAGGGACGTATCCGCGTACGGTATTGCCTATATTTCGGTGTGTGCACCGTTGTACGAGTCGGCGAACGCATTGTTTGCCTAAGCGTCTGCTGTGTGCAATGCTGCTCACCTTCGTGTTGTGGGCATTAACCAGATGCTAAGTATAGATTGTGCGTCACCTCTTAACGCTCCTTGTTCAGTATGAAACGGAAGGTATGTCACATAAATGTGTACTACTTCGCCAATCCGCGGCAAAGTTTTAAGCGTAGAACAATGCATGTGCTAACAAATGATGTGTGTACATAGCCGTGTCGCACAAGCGGTGTATATAGAGTATAGAGCTGTGTTACTTGAGCTTACGGCTCACACGAATGCTACCGTCTACATATTACATGTAACAAACGCGGTACTAGAAACCTGGAAGACATCCGGCCGGCAACTCCCCCTCACTTACCCCTACAAAGGTGCGCCACCTGGAGCCATGCCCACCGCGGGTAGCCGGGATAGGAGCTGGTCCTGCTGGTTCAGGCCAGCCTCGTACGCCTGCGAGCTGGCCACGACAGCCAGAAGCGGCTCTAGACGATTCTCCCAAGCTGCACCGGCTTCGGGCGTGCTCAGGGACCACGCGATATCTTCGTAGAGCTGTTGCAGCAGGGGACCGCTCTGGAAGATGGAACGGAGTAAGGACACGAACTCCTCCTGGTGCTGCCGCTCGATGGGGATGCACTCTTTGGTTTTGAGGGCACGGACCCTGGAAGCGTAGAAGATCGTTTACTTATGCACCACTTCAGCCTTGGCGAGCAAAAGACATGTCATAGCCTACCTGGCAGCGATTTCCTGCTGCCCTTTCACGATAGTGCGGTTATTGGTGTTTGCCACGTGTAGCAGCTTGCATAAGGCCTGCTGTGCCGACGCATCCGCTGCGTGGGGCGCGTCCTTCTGTGCTCGAAGGCTCTGGACCTTGCACAGGACGCTGTGGTGTGCGTCTGCTGCCTCAACCAGGCTGCTCGAAGCTGTTACAAGCGAAGGTAAGGGTGTTGCGGTTTTGGGAAGCGGAACACCAGCTTGCTGAGCAGCTGTCAAGATGCTTGCAAATGGGTTCAATGAAGTGCTGGTTCCTCCACCCGGTAGAGCGACGGAATTCATGGAGTTACAAGCAGCAGGTTATAGCAGCAGGAAGGTACGATGTAATAGAGCAAAGTAACACAGCTGTCTCGAATCACTTTTGAGACCTTAAATTGTATACGCAGCTTGCAGGAAATAAGAGTTCTTTTACATTTAAGAAATAGCGATACAGGAAATGATGACGGCTCTATTAGCATAGAAGCACAGTAATGGATTCAGCGGTGTACTGGCAATCATACTTTCGTACAAGTAACGCTTGCTGTATTGCATACTTCTCTTTCACAGAAATCGTTTTGTGCAAGGCATAGCTGTTTTGTCACATTATCAAGGTAAGGACACTGGCATTATCTATCAGGCCGGGGCGGCGTTGAGTTGGGAAAAGAAACGCCTATTGCTCTAGGCCATCTCAAGTCTTGTCATGATGACCCGATTAGCGTATGATCTATCATCGCTGACCGTAAGCATCACCTATCCTCCCCGTGCCGCTTTATCGCGCAGAATGGCTCTCCTGTCATCAGCTCAACGGTGCGCCCTGAAGGGCCGCAGCGCTGCCTTCCAACCTTGCGCGACCGCCATGAGCACTCGTGGTCGCAGGGCGCTGGCTGTGCGCGCTTCATCCGACGATGCCTTCGCTGCGTACAAGCCCACCGTTGCCGCGCTGTTCCCCGGCCAGGGCGCCCAGAGCGTTGGCATGGCCAAGGACCTGGTCGCAACCGTCCCCGCCGCCAAGGAGATGTTCGACAAGGCATCTGAAATCCTGGGTTACGACCTCCTTAAGGTACTGATCCTGCGGCTGCTGCTGCACCTGTTCGGTGAGGAGATTACCGGTAGGTACGGGCTTGCATTGTACCCACCGGTAATCCTACTTCCCGCGCCCCTCCCCTCCCCTCCCCACCCACCCCAGATGTGCGTGGAGGGTCCCAAGGACAAGCTCGACTCCACCGCCATCAGCCAGCCCGCCATCTACGTCGCCTCGCTGGCCGCAGTGGAGAAGCTGCGCGCCACGGAGGGGCAGGTGCGGGAGGGGGGTAGGGTAGCGGGGGGCCACGTGAGGGGCAAAGGGAAGGGCAGTGGCCGGAGGGGGGCCTTCAAGGGGTGGGCGGGGACGCAAGTGGCTGCGTGCTGAGGTGGTCGGGCCTAGGGAAGGAGACTAGGAGGGAGAGGGCGAGGGAAAGGGTGAAAGGGCGAGGGAAAGGGAAAGCGCATGCGGGTGTTTGGCGATCCGCGTTGCTGGCTGGCAATGACAGCGGCAAGTCGCCTCCCTGAGCATTCCCTGGAGGTGCGTGGGTCGCACCCAGGGCCCGGGCAGGTGGCTAGGCGTCCTAGGGAACCATGGCCCCTTTCCGCTGCAAGCCTCCCCAGCGCCCATGGTGGCGTGATGGGATGCAAGCCTGCCCAATGAACTGCGCCATGCCTTGCCGCGCACTCGGAACGCCTTCTCCCTCTGCCCCACACAACCGCACAACACCGGTGTGCCCGCATGACCCTCATGGCTTCCTCCCCCTCGCAGCCCCCCGTGTCCCTGCACCCCCTCCTCCCCGAGCCCCCTCTCTTGCTGCCGGCCCCGTACGCTCCTCCCCCGCGTCCACATGCCTTGCTTTCCTCTTCCTGGCTCCCCCCGCACCCCACCCCACCCCGCCGCGCCCTGCCCCCCGCAGGCTGCCATTGACGCCATCGATGTGGCTGCGGGTCTGAGCCTGGGCGAGTACACGGCGCTGGCCTTCGCGGGAGCCATGAGGTGAGGGGACACATTGAGGGAAGTGGCGGGGGACCCGGGGGAGGGTGTGTTGGCCAGGGGACGGGGTGAGGCCTGTATACCGGTAGTAGCCATCATGGGACGGGGGATTGGGTGTAGGGGAGTTGGGGCCGGCCAGGATGAAGGGGGGTGCAACCCGGGGGCGGGAGTGAGGCAGGGAAATAGGGTACAAGAGCGAGATGCAGTGAGTGACAAAAGACAAGAGAGGACATGTGCAGCCTTAGGCATGCGCCGTCTGCGTTACCCCACATCGCACATGTTGCACCGGACCCGAACCCTCCTCCTGACCGTCGCGCCTAATCACCTCAATCCTGCCCCCGTCTTCGCCGCTGCCGTCCCCTTCCCGCTACGTTGCCACTCAATGCATGGCACTCATCCTGCCCCCGCCCCCCTCCTGCTTCCAGCTTCGAGGACGGTCTGCGGCTGGTGAAGCTGCGCGGCGAGAGCATGCAGGCGGCTGCGGACGCGCGCCCCTCCAGCATGGTGTCCGTCATCGGACTGGACTCGGCCAAGGTGGCGGAGCTGTGCAAGGTGGGGGATTAGATAAACTGAGCCGCGGAAACACTGACCCCAGGTGGGGGGGGGGTGGGCGGGGGAAGTAGTTGAGAAATGCAGCAACTGGAATCCCAATCCCATATCCCATGTCTCGGTGGGGGGAGGTGAAGAGGAGGAGACCACCGGTGGCTAACCGAGTGACAGCATCAACGTACCCATGCTGCTCCTCCCCCGCAACGGCCGCACTAGTACCGTAGGGGTTCCTTCCTTGGGTAACGTATTACGTATACCAACTAGGTTGGTACGACTCGCATCCCAAGTCCGCTCCGTTCATCCCGGACTTCCAATACACCCTGGTTCCCTCCAGGCCGCCACCGCCGAGGCGGGTGAGGACAAGCCCGTCAAGATCGCCAACTTCCTGTGCCCGGGCAACTACGCGGTGTCGGGCAGCAAGGAGGGCTGCGACGCGGTGGAGAGGCTGGGCAAGAGCTTCGGCGCGCGGTGAGGGGAGAGGGCTGAGAGGAGGGGAGAGAAACAGACCCAGTGTGTTGGTTGAAGGGAGAATGTGGGGGAGGGAGTTGGATGTGGAGAGGTGGTTCGGGCCTGACGGTGCATTAAAACGAGTTGAAGCATGGAGCAGTCGAATGCCTCTGAACCGCTACATGGCCCCCCGGTGCCCCTGCCCCCATTCCAACATGCAGCTGACTGCTGTAGTTGCTGCCTTCACAAATTTCACATATTACCTGCTACCGTACCCCCGTCTAAAACCTCCCCAACACCTCCTTACCGTGCTAAGCCGCCCCCACATCCTCCTTCCCCGTCCCCCCCCTCCTACCCCCTTCCACAGCATGACTGTGCGTCTGGCGGTGGCCGGCGCCTTCCACACCGAGTACATGTCCCCCGCCGTGGAGCGGCTGCAGGCAGCGCTGGCGGCCACGCAGCTGGTGGCGCCGCGCATCCCCGTGGTGTCCAACGTGGACGCGCAGCCGCACTCCGACCCGCAGGTCATCAAGGACATCCTGGCGCGACAGGTGAGCAGGGGGAGGAGGAGGAGGAGGGGGAGGGGAAGAAGGCATGAAGAAGTGAGGGGGGGAGAGGTGGGGGAGTAGCAGGGAGGGTAGGGATGGGGAAGATGGCATGTAGTGATGAGGTTGGGTCGGGTAATGAGGCTGGGGAAGGGGGTTGGAGGGCGACGGGCTGGTCGTGGTTTGTGGGTGTGGGGGCGGAGGATCGACACAGCGCGTTATGTTCGGTTGGTAGGGGTAGGGGCTTCGGCGATGAACGACAGGCCTTTGTACGGACGGTTTTAGACGCTTCGGAAACAGACATATGTACCTGCTTGTCTGCATACCGGTACTAGGTGGCAGGTTTCCTTGTTGGAAATCTCCCATATACTGGGCGCAATTGATTCTGCATTTCTTCATAATCTCTGCTGCCTGTTTTCCACCCCCACTCTGTCTTCCAGGTCACTTCTCCCGTGCTCTGGGAGAACACCATCAAGACCTTCCTGGACAAGGGCCTCACCAAGAGCTACGAGATCGGGCCGGGCAAGGTCATTGCGGGCATCGTCAAGCGGTTGGACAAGGGGGCGACCATCGTCAACATTACAGCTTAAGCACGTTGTGACATTGATGTTGCCGCTCATGTAACGGTCTCGGCGATGCCTTTTTCCGCCCGCAGTTTAAGCACGGTTTACGGTTTATGTGAGCACCGCAGCTACACCTAGAGCTACACCCCTCGGACACTGTACGACAACATGGGATGTAGCGATGTACATCCGGCTTATTGCATGTGTTGTGGTTCAGCTTGTGGCTTCTGGCAATACCAGCAACAACACCAGCCAACAGGCTGTGAAACAACAGTACTTAGGCTTGCACTTATACCATAAACTAAATCAACCTATCCCACATACAATGGCCGCAATCAAGGGGGTGTCGCCGGTCAATCCATTCATCCGTGCCCACATGGCGGGTGCTTCAAAATCGCTTTGCAATAAACGTCATTGCATGGGGAAGAACAATCTTGCTACGTCTGCTGATGCCAGCTGCATGCAACAACTGCATCCCACTGCTCGTTGGGAGTCTCAACTAAACACCCGATCTTCACCTGCACATCCCTCACGCCTGTGCACCCACAAATCCCAAGCCCCTGCACCTGTGTCATGCCATACCGGTAACCAACCACAGTGGCTGCCGGTCCTATCCTATCCTGTCAAGTAAGCGTAAGCGAGGAGCGCATAACTCCATGCTTAGTCACAGAGCTCCCCAGCGCTGCGCTACCTCAAAAGAGTGGACGGACCCAAAGGCACCACCAGACACCAAGCCATTAACCGACGCTCCGCACATGAACCTCCAAAGGGCTTTCCAAACACTTGAGACCAAGTCAGTTGTTTCTGCCTGTCTTCTGACAATCACTGCTATCCCGCCCAAGCTGCTCCCCTCCACCCTGGTTGCCATCAAGATCTCCTTGCCCCGGCCCATGGCAGCACACACAAGGTTTGCGCCGAAGCAACACACGTCATTCTTATGCCCCCACCTTAACGACACCTTGCATCCATCTCAACCTTACACCAAACCACCGCTGCCGCAACCAACTATCCTACTTTCTGCTTTGCAAAACACCGGTAAGCCACCATGCTCCAAACACAACAAGAGCTCCGGCTAGAGGATGCGATGATAAGAAAGACCGCCTCCGGAGTACATCTTATACACAGGCGGACACACGCAGCAATGTTTGACCATCTCTTTCGACCCCGTTGCCATAACACGCAACATGCCAGGGTGCTATTGGACCATACATAGGAAGCAGAAGCAAAGGTACTCGAGGCGCTCTGCATGCTCAACAACTTGAGTTCAGTTTTGGATCCCGGAATCCCCGGACTCTTAAACGTGGAGTGTATGATACCATCAAAGCAGGGGCGCACATCGACTGTGACAGGACAGGGGATTGGAGTAGCCAAATAATCGGCGTCACAGCAACCCCACTCCTCACATCTCGCCTGTTCCGAAGATTGTTCCCCGTCGTTAAGTAACACACTCCGAGCGCGTATTAAAAACACACACTCCGAGCGCGTATTAGAAACACACACTCCGAGCGCGTATTAGAAACACACACTCCGAGCGCGTATTAGAAACACACACTCCGAGCGCGTATTAGAAACACACACTCCTGTAGTAATGACGGCCACCTTCTTCCGCCGCTACTCCCGCTATTACACTACATGGGACACATGACAACAGCCTACCCTGGCATCAACCAGCCTCAGCCGACAGGGATGAATTATTACGTGTCTGTTAAGTGCTTATCGCAGCTCAATCACCACCACCCCCTACTAATCTAGCCCAAATTGTTACCCGTTCGTTCTTGCATAGACTCTGGCCTTGAAACGGCGATCCGACAAGGAAGTAAAGAAGGCAAAGCACAGCGCTGCTGCAGGGACGCACGCCGCCAACATTCCAAGAGCGCAAAACGCCCGCCCGTCCCCAGAAAACATGACCGTTGTTTCCACCGCTGCACCTTCCGCAATTGCGAGTGCATTGGCAGTCGTCCAAACAGCCACCCGTGCGCTCGAGTCGCCCGCTGGCACATGGCAAGCAAGGCGGCGAACCAGGTCACCTCCATGCAACCCACCAGCTGCACAAAAACCCACGTTGTGGGCGCCATGCGCAAGTTGTCGCACAGTGTTAAGAAAACTGCCACCTGCCATACAACCACATTCTTGGTGACAGGCGTCGGACGGCCGCGATGCGACAAATGCGTAGCACTCAGGTCGTTAACGTCTTTCCTCCCCTCCCATCCGCCCCACCAGTAACCCTGCCATAAGACCCCAGTATCCGCCTTCCCCAGGAGCACAAGCCCCTCTCTAAACACGCACAGCCCTCTTTTTCTCGTCTCTCCTCCTCGTACTCGCACTACAACATCAACACTTTGCGCTTCTTCAGCGGCACGCCGCTCTCCTCACTGGACACCGGCGAGGCAGACAGCGTCTTCCGCGTCGCCTCCACCTGCGCCAGCGTGCTAGAGTCCACGGGCAGCTGCCCCAGCGTCGTAAGCTGAAGCGACGTCGAGGGTGTGGCGGACGCAGCCCCTGCCCCCGCACCAGCAAAGGTCACACCGCCGGCCGAAGCTGCGGCCTGCAGGCCACGTGCCGACACCAGCTCTGGTTTCATGGCTCCAAAGAGGTCTTCGTTAAAGTGCAGAAAGGCCTTATTGTTGGTGGGATGGAAGGCGGGCGGGTGACCCGCGCCGGCGCTGGCAGCAGCGGCGCGGCTTTGTTGCTGCAGGGAGTGCATGGCGTGCATGGTCTGCAGCTCGCTGAGCTGTTGAGCCACGTGGTGGTGGTGGGCGGAGAGGTGGTGGCTGCCGTGGTGCGGGTGGAGGTGCAGGGGGGTGCCGTGGTGGTGGTGGTGGCCCTGCAGGCCCGCGGTGAGCTGCGCTAGGGACAGGGCGTTCACGTTGGGGTTGAGGGACAGCGGGCCGCCGGCGAGGGACAGCGTGGCACCGTGCGGAAACAGCAGCGACTGCTGCTGCTGTTGGAGCTGGAGCTGCTGTGTGTTTGAAGAGGAGGAGGACGGCAGCTGCAGCTGACCGAGTTGGGAGGAGGCTGTGGGCTGAGCCAGCTGGAGTTGCGGCAGGTGCTGCAGCTGGGAGGGCTGAGGCGGCTCCTGGGGAGGTGCTGCTGCTGCTGCTGCTGCTGAGGATGGCGGCGGCGGCTGGGACTGGGCTTGCTGCTGCTGCTGCGCCGTTGTGGCCTGCTGGGTGGAGAGCGCCGGCGGCGGGGGTGCGGACGGGCTGCGGGGTGCCGTGTCGCTGCTGGTCTGACGCGGCAGGATGGACGTTACCCCCTGCCCAGACGACAGCGTGGGTTGCCGAGGGCTGGGGACCTGGCTGTCTTGGGCCTGGTCAGCGTTGTTAGCGCTTTGGATGCCTTGCAGGGTTAGGGAGCTGGAAATAGGCTTGCCGGTGGCGGTTTCCAGTGCCTTCTCTAGCTCGTATTGGCGCCGCTTGAGGAGCTCGATGTATTTAATGACCTCCTCTAAAAAGCATGCTGTGTTCGCGCGCTCTGCATGCGGAACCAGCTTGCGCAGCAGCTCAAGCCTACAAGAAGGCACAAAGGTTTTCATAAGCAAAGTAAGAGGGTACGCTCACTTCGGAGATGCGAGGAACTCCTAGTCGAAGCCAACCGCGATGACAAACCGAACGTAAGACCAGGCGTAATAGTGTTCTAACAAAAAGAGGCCGAAAAGACTGAGGAGGACACAATTGTTTATGTAAACAAGAGCGGGCATCAAAAGGGGTTGGAAGGGTTGACTTGCCGTTCATTGATTCTGGTTCGTCGGCGTTGTTCTGCAGCTTGGTGGCGGCTTGCGTATGCGCTGGAGCTACGACTGTCCGAGGAACGTGTTTTCCCGACGTTACGAAGGCCTCCGAGCTGGTCACGCTCTCCAGAGCTGTACTGCTGCGGAAACAACGCGTGCGGTAGCTGGCTTAGCAGGGCCAGGTCCGGGAGCGCTAGTTGGGCAGGCTGCGGGGCCGATTGCGTCTGAGGTAGCGAGCTCAGGGCGAGGTTTAGGCCAGCTGGCGCAGGACCTAGACTGTGAAGACCCCCGCTCGCGAGTCCGGACTGGAAGTTGAATGTGCCCGACTGGCCGTTTAAGAGCGCGGCCACACGTGCCGCCTCAAGCACATCTGGTTGCGTGCGGCCTACAAGCAGGCCCAGCTGTTGCTGGCGGCTGCTAAGCCGGTCAGCAGGTTGCATTGCGTAAGAATTTCGTTTATCGCTGAACTAATCGGCACTAGCTAGAAGACTCGTATCATACTTTGCGTAATGGCGTCTTGACCAAGAGATAGTAACAACGACAGGGCGCGGCATCGCACCTGAATCATGCAAGCATCGTACGCCCGTACAGCGACCTTTCACAAGGGTCCATGTGTGCAGGAAAACGTGTCCAGGTTGGCGCAAACCAGGTTGGCGCAACCTGGAAGGCAATACTTCCTGGCTATGCGTAGCGCTATTTTCCATAAACATGGGCGTAGATGACGTAATCGTCAGTGAAACCTAAGTTCTAACCCAGTAACCATTGAAATTACACGAGTTACTTCATGGACAAGAAAGCATGCAGAGAACTGTAACGATATGGACCATTGCAACAGCGTTAAAGGTTGTATAGCCCACGTGTCGCGGGTCCTGCACTGCCGTGTACCGTGCAGGAGTCACCTGCCACTCATGGCACGCGCCATGTTATCAACGTAGTCCAGCTCGCACAAGCCTTAGCACTGGTCTAACCCATGCCGTATCCTCCTGTGCTTCACAGGAGCGCACTTGAGTGTCCGTGACGTGTATAGGAAGATAAAAGGATGACGCAACCAATTGTTGATTCTTAATGAATGAGGCGATACCGCTGGGCTGGATTGCGCGTGTCTTTCCTAAACTACCGTTTTGAAGCGACAGCACAGGACATGACCCGCCATATTCATATCTGCTACATTCCTAGCTCTTCATTCTGTGTCGCTCACGCTTATAACAGGTGAACTGACCTGCTCTAGAACAGGGCAGAGCGGTGGCGTACCCGGTTTCCTCCCTGCCCGCGCCCTTGCCTCGCGATGCTGTACTTCCAGACTAAGGCCCCCATGCCACCACCCCATTCACGCCACACCCGTACGCTTACAATGGCTGGTTACCTCCGCTCACGGCCCAGCTTAATAGTGCCGTACTTGAACTGTGGGGCTGCTACGGGCTATCCTCGCTTCCCATCCTGGGCTATCCACACTCGCTGCGAAAGTGAGTCGGGAAATATTTGCTTTAGCATACTGGTAGTGACGTGAGTACGTCCAGGCAAAAACCAAAACCGTGCTGGGAAGCAATTCCAACCCTGCAGACATGTCATCGGCCCCACTGTGGTATCTGCTCCACTATCGGACATCACTATGAACTCATATTATGAATTGATAATGCGACGGACACAGATGTCGTGTACGGCACCATGTCGTGCCGGCACAGGTCTCATGCCCCCCTCATGTCGCCTCACCAATGGACCCACCATCGCGCCCCTGTGCTGCTTCCAACACGCATGTTGCCAGCCATGCGCGGGAGCACCGCCCGCCGCCCCATGACATTGCCAACGCACTACAATACCGGTAGCCTGCCAAGACAGCCGGTTGAAGCGACTCCGCAAGGCCATCAGTCGGTCACCACCAAACATAAAAACAACCAGCCAGACTGATTCAGGCTAATGACTCCTCAACCAAACCTTTTCCCACACCCTCAAACTCCTCCCCCACACCCAATCCCCCAAGCATGGTTTCTTCTCCTCCTTTCCCCGCCCCCGCCCCCGCCGCCGCCCCCTCCGCCTCCGCAAACACCGCCAGCCGCTCCACCAGCTCCGCCAGCTGCCGCCCCGCCAGCCGCGGCTGCGGACCCAGCAGCGGCGGGCACCGCGCGCCCCGCACCGGCCGCACCACCCGGTCCCGCGTCGTGCACTGTGGGGCCGAGCTGACACCCCCCGCATGCTGCCCACTGCAGCTGCCGCCGTCGGCTACAGGGACGGCCGCAGCTGCTGCCGTCGCCTGCTGTTGCGGTTGCTGCTGCTCCTGTTCCTGCGGTGGCGGTGACGATGGCAGCTGCGAAGAAGGCTGTATTGACGGGGGCGGTATCTCCTGCTGCTGCTGCGGCCACGCCTGCGGGTCGTACCACTCCCTGGGCAGCCGCACCAGGTTGCGCTCGCAGTGGTCGAAGGGGCCCTTGAGCAGGTCGGGGTTGAGCTGCAGCAGCCAGCGCCTGGCAGGGGGGGAGAGGGTCAAGGAGGGGGGCAACACGGATACCATTGGGGGGTTAACGGAGTGTGGCAACACTAGGGGACATGTGGTAGGTGAGAAGGGAGGTGGAGGGTACGGAGGAACGGAGCTAGCAGCGCGCCCGAGATATCCCATCACGCATGAGAGCCCAGTAGCCAAGCAGCCAGTGGCCCAGCACAGCCCACCCCTAACCCAGTGTCACACTTCCATCTCTTACCCCACCCCGAACCCCCCCAGCCCCCACAGCCCACCTGTACATCTCCCCCGGCTGCAGCCCCAGTGCCGTACACGCCCTCGCGAACCACGTCACCCCCACCGCCACATGCGCCCGCTCCTCCGCCGCGATGGCCCCCACCAGTGCCGCCGAGCGCGGGTCGCCCGCCCCCACCAGCCGCCCCACCAGCCGCCTGCCCGCGTCCAGCCCGCGAGCCTCCTGCGACATGGGCACCACCGCCAGCCTGGGGGGTGGGTGGGTGGTGGGTGTGTTAAGACAAGGGGGTTCAGCTTCCTCAAAGCTGGAAAAGGGCGGAGCCCCTCCTATTGAGTACAGGAACGTATTATTACCACTGGAATGAAACTGGCCGCGAGTAGGAACGTACTGTGATTGTCGGAAGGTGAAGTCCCCACAGAACCGCCGCAGGAGCCGAGGAATATGGTAGCGTATGTAGATATGGAAGTCCAGTACTGGTGCTGAGAGTAAGTAGGACGGAAGAAGCACTCTCGTAAAACGACCGGACCTAAGGCCCGTAGTAGTAAGTTGGGTGTGTGTGGGTGGGGGTGCGGGGTGCGGGTGGAGTGAGGCGCGGGGCCAGGAGCGGAGACGGCGTGGTCGGGAGAGGTGGGAATGATCCACGTCAAGAAGTGGTCCTCAGACCCGGTGCGGCGAGGCACCTCTCTCCCCTACGGTACCGTAGCTCCCCTGGTCCTCCCCACACCTTGCCAGCACACCCCCCTCCCACCTTGCCAGCACACCCCCCTCCCACCTTGCCAGCACACCCCCCTCCCACCTTGCCAGCACACCCCCCTCCCACCTTGCCAGCGCATCCCCCTCCCACCTTGCCAGCACATCCCCAGCCGACGCGGCGCACCCCTGCCACAGCAGGTCGTGCGCGTCCATGTCCCCGTACGCCGCCCCCAGCTCGCCCAGCCGCTGCAGGCACCAGCACAGGTGCCGCGCCTCGTCGTCAGCAACCCTGGGTGCGGGAGGGAGGGGGGGCAGGAGGGGGAAGCAGGGAGGGGGGGTTTTATGCATAGACACTTAGACAGGTGTGGAGGTGGGGTTGGAAAAAGAGAGAAACCATGACCAGATGGTGACGGAACAAGACCCGCCTCCACCCCATAACCAAGCCCTGCTCAAAGCATAGTGGCATCATGGGCTTCACTGCACCTGGGCCCACCCCCGCCCCTCCAGAGTCCCGCCTCCCCCCCTCCTGCCCGGACTAACTCGTTCCCATTCACCAGGAGCTTGTCATCTTGTTTGCCGTTCTCATTCAACACATCGAGTGTTCTTCTTTTTCCCTCCTGCCCGGTATCCCTGCCTCCCTCTCACCGGGCGAAGTCCTCATAGAACTGGCGGGGCAGCCCCAGGTGCGAGAAGCGCACCACCGTGTCTGCGGGCGGGCGGGGCGGGGCGGGGCGGAATGGGAGGGCGGGAGGGCGGGAGGGGAGGGGAGGGAGGCGCGGTCAGAGAGTTAGGAGGGGACGAGAACGCATATGCAGGGTATTGCCCCACCATATGCAAGGTGCGGCAGTTATTGAGGCTCCAGAGCAGCGACTCACATGTTGCATGCATCTTCCCTTCTTCCGCCCTCACCACCACCACCCCTACTCTGCTGCCCGCGTGCTGCGCCCCTGCTCCCCAGGGCTCACCCCATGCCAGGTCGATGGCGTTCAGCTCAATGTGGGCCTGCGGGGGGTGAGGGGGTGAGGGGGAGGGGAGGGGGTGAGGGCGGGGAGGGAGGGGGCAGGGATGAGCAGGGACGAGCAGGGAGCGTGGAGAGGTCGGCGGGCTGATGGGGGAGACATCAGGGAGGGGAGGGGTGCTCAGCCGTGACAAGAGGAGGCAAGGAGGGGAGGGGGCGCGCAGGCGCAGCCCTTTTAGGAAGACGGCGGCAGCAGCGGCACACGTCCTACAAGCGACGGCGGCGGAGATAAGAACAAGGTAAGGATCGGCCCGGTTGGTGGGTGTCCAAGTGTAGCTGAGCGGCAGGCGCCTGTCCAGGCAGTCCAGCCCTGACTCCAGGCCGCCAATCCCCTGGACCTAACCCCTCCCATTCCTTCCCTGGTCCCCGCCCCCCATTAAGCACGCGGTTCGTTTCTTCCACTTTGCCCCCTCGCCCTCGCCCCCGCCCCCGCCCCAGTCGTTTCCCCTTCACCCCCGCCCCGCCCCCGCCCCCACCCCACCAGGTTGTGGAGCATGTATCCGCCGAGGCCCAGAGGCGAGGCTGCGTGGCCGGGGATCTGCATGGGCATAGAGGAAGCGGAGACAACAGGGCGGCGTGTGGGGTGCGGACGGCACAGGCTTGCAAGCACTCCCTGTACGACACCATGATGACCCCACAACTCCAAAACCCACCCTACACCCTTCCCACACTCGGACACCCCCCACTCCATCCCCCCTCCCACCCCTGACCCCCGCCTCCCATTTCCCAGCGCACCCCACCCCACCTCTCCGCAACCACCGCTTCCACACACCCCTCTTCTTCTCCCCACCCCTGCCGTCTCCTATCCCCTTTTGCTTTGCCCTCTAACCTGTGGCTTCCCCTGTGGGGTCTTTGAGCCCCCTCCCCGCTCACCTCCTTGGGTCGCACCAGGCGGGGCCGCTCCGGCCGGGCTGGCCGCTCCGGCAGCACATACCGCCGCAACTGCCCCTGCTGCTGCTGGTGCCGTACATCCTGCTGCTGCTGCTGCTCGTGCTGCTGCTGCTGCTGCAATTGGCGGTGCTCTATGTCCTCCACGCCACCACCCGCCTCCGCCTGCACCCCTCCTTGCGCCCGCCGCTCTCCCTCCGCGCGCAGACCCTCTCCCTCCCCGCTCCTCAGTGGCAGCCGCCCCTGCAGGTACGCCGCCCACGCCGCGTGTGTGAGCGCCGCCTTGGTGGTGGGGCACGCGGTGAGCAGCACCTGCAGCCCGGCATCCACCAAACTGGCGGGCGGCAGGCGGGGCGCGGCGGGGGACTGCTGCTGCTGCTGCGGAGGAGGAGGAGGAGGAGCAGGATAAGGGGGCTGCTGCTGCGGAGGGAGAGGAGGAGGCAGCGGAGAGGTATGCAGGTCCTGCTGCTGGGTATGAGGGCAGTACGGCTGCCGCACCTGTGACTGCTGCTGCTGCTGTTGTTGTTGCTGTTGCTGTTGCTGTTGCTGCAGTAGCAGGACTGACTCCAGGGTGGGAGCTTCCTGCTCCAAGACGAGTTCGGGGGCGCCGGCAGGAAGGGGGCCGGAGGTGGGGGCCGGGCCCCAGCGGAGGCGACGATCAATGCCGCGGGCGCGCCAGGCTTGCAGTCCTGGCCACTCGTAGCGTTGGGCCTGAGAGCGGCGACGTCGTTGGCAAAGGGCAGTGCGAATAAGGGGGATGGTTGTCATTTGGGCCATGGCATTTGGACCATGGCACCTGGCGGCACCAGCGCGCTGACCAATGCCGACGTACCTCAGTTATGAAGTCGGCATCGGTTGTAAGGTCCGCGACGTGGTCTGTAGGGTTGAATTGCAACCATACATCAGTGGATGCACCGCGACCGCTATCCCAACTGTTGCGCTGTGATTGCTGTCGACAAGCTGAAGCCGCATTGGATATTTCATTTGACGCGTTGCATGTCTCAAAGGGAGTTGAGCGTAACCGAGCTGAGCGGCGCAGCAGCGGATGCGGTACTGAGGAGATGGCCACAGCAGCCTTTGGCAAAGGTGGTGACGCTAGGGCCGTTTGACAATGTATTTCCTTAAGACCTAGGAGAATTGAACGTCCCATGGTGTGAAGTCTATGCAAGCGACCCAACAGAAGGTTAGCCTCAATTGCTCATCACAGTTAGCCCACGTGAAACTGCTGTCCAGGTGCTAATCTCTTATGGAACATATTATAACGTGATTTGTCGGGAAACCTCCGCAGCTTCAAGTCATTGGTTACCTGCTTATCTCTCAACAGATGGTGTGATGGTCGGTTCGTGGTGTACGGGCAGCATGATCAGGGCAGCATGATCAGGGGAGGCACCCATCATCCGCAAGCATACCCAACAATGCGCCCCTGCGCGACGCCTGCAGTAACTCCCGTCGTTACTGGGGAACTAAGCGTCGGCAATATGGTCACGTGCGTTGCTGGGATCCAGGACACCTGCCATCGTGCAAGGCACATGCAAAGCCTGTCTGCGTGCGCATGTTAAACGTAGGGCAAGTTGTTGCCACGACATGCTTGTTAGCAAGCGTGTGTGTCTATCCCCCACTACCAAGCTATGACTGTTGTGCGGGGATCAATTGTTTGCTGGGGCATCCTGGCATACCTGTTGTCGTGTACGCACACGGTTACCCTCGCTTGGGTTCGCTCAGACGCTACCCTACAGCTATGTATTGCATGTCTTGCGCCCTAACGCAATACCTCGCACCCGTGCACGCGGTTGGTGCTTTAGATGCCCCGAAGCTGCTGGCTGCCAGGGTGGTGTCTGCCGAATGTACATGCTGGGTGACCGGGCACGAAAACGTACTAGGAGCGTCGGAGAGACGTGTGGTAGAGTGTTAACGTTGGTCAGCTTCTTTCAGACCAGCACATGCCTTTATTGCCATAGGCCCGAGTGCGCGAGTGGAAGTGCAAGTGCGTCACGCCCCACGGTGCATTGCATGCATGCACCTGCATGCACGAGGAGATTTGCTCAGTGGTACTTACTAGCTTAGTGACGAACCACTACAGCGTACAGTAGACAAAGCAAATGCGCATGTGCTCCCTGGATCGCAAACCAGTATGCATGGTTTTGTACGACAAGCACCTAGCAGGGTCAGTACAGGGGCCGGTTCGGGAAGAGGCAGGACACCCGCAGTTCAAAACAAATGAGGGTTACCAGTGTCACAATGTGCATGACCAGAAGCTCTTTTGCTTGGCGGGCTTTGCTGGGGACGAGTTGCGACGATTGGGCAATACACATGGACGTGCCAATACACGCTAGGCTGCCGCATTGTTGCTGTGGCGCCGCTGAGCATTACGGTGTTGTTGCCCTTTAAAGCCAGGAATATTACACGGTATGCTGAAAGAAAGAAGAGAGCCAGAAACCCGGCGGCCATGACCCGGCCCAGGTCAGTGGGTTGGGCAGCAGGTCGGGACCCTGCTGGTGGGGTTACTCTACAGAGCGTTGGTGCATTCAAGCGTCAGTGCAGGATGTGCCAGTTCTCCGGAGGCTCTGCCTCGTAGATGGTTTGAAGGTTCTACGGTCAGCTGATTGGCACGCTGGCCTTGCTTTCTGTAGACCAATGTGGCATACTGCTGTACGGCAAGCACCTGGCCCGTACGTGCCACGCATCCCGTACGTCTTGCAGGAGACGAGTGCGCAGCACGCAATAGCGCCAGCCGTTGCGCAGTTTAAACAACCCAAAATGACTCTCCTTCAACGAATGCTGTTAGGCGACGATGACGATCCCTCAGGGAGCGCTCATGACAACGATTTCTTGTTCACGTTGTATATATGCATATCCTTGTTCCTCGTGGTCATGGCCGGTCTTATGAGCGGCCTTACCCTTGGGTTAATGTCGCTGGATACAGTGGAGCTGGAGGTCGGATTTTCCAATGCTTGTATCTGCTGTTCACTGACCCGTCAGGTGACAGAAAATTGAATTTTCGTGCAGGTTCTTAAGCGTAGCGGTACACCAGAGGAGCGGGCTTGTGCTATCAAGATTATGCCGGTGAGTTGGAAAGCTGTCGTTGTCGTTGTCGACGAACTTGCAGTGGCTTAATTGCGCTAATATTGCACACAGGTGATCAAGCACCAGCACTTCCTGCTTGTTACTCTTCTTCTCTGTAACGCGGCAGCGACCGAGGTAATGCGAAATCCATCATCGGTCGGGCTCCATAATGCAAGGGCTGAAGCCCGTCCTGGGTAAGGGGGCGTCCATACTTGCGGTATGCAACATGTCTAACTTTTCGCGGTGCCTCGTGTAACCTGCAGGCTTTACCCCTCTTCATCGACCGATTAGCCAACCCCGTCATGGCAGTAATTCTTTCCGTGTCGGTGGTGCTTGTCTTCGGGGAAATCCTGCCACAGGGTAAGGGGACTTCGGTCGTCCTTTCTCTCCGCAATGTCAACAACCCAACCCCTTCCCCTTCATCCCTGGGCACCCGTCTCCGGGCCCCTCGCCCCTCGCCCCACACTCCATACCTGCTCCCCCCCTCCTCCCTTCCCTTCCTCCCCCCCCCCCTCCCTTCCCTCCCTCCCCTCCCTCCCTCCCTTCCCTCCCTCCCTTCCCTCCCTCCCCTCCCTCCTCCCTTCCCTCCCTCCCCTCCCTCCTCCCTTCCCTCCCTCCCCTCCCTCCTCCCTTCCCTCCCTCCCTTCCCTTCCTCCCTTCCCTCCCTCCCTTCCCTTCCTCCCTTCCCTCCCTCCTACCTTCCCTCCCTCCCGCCTCCCCTCCCAAACCCCTCTCCCTGACACTGTCTCCTTCCCTCTCCCACCACCTCTTCGCCACCTGCAGCCGTGTGCAGCCGCTACGGCCTCAAGGTGGGTGCCTACTCCGCCTGGTTCGTGCGGCTGCTGATGGTGCTGTGCAGCCCCATCGCCTGGCCCATCGGCAAGCTGCTGGACTTCCTGCTGGGGCCGGACCACAGCGTGAGTCTGCACGCGGGGGCGGGGCGGGGACTGGGGAGATGCGCCGGAGCTGGTAGAGGGTTAGGAGGAGGTGCAGTTAAGGGCGCAGTCGGCACATGGGGACTGGGAATGAGGGCCAGGGGAGCAAGCAAGGGAAGGGTTGAAGGAGGCAGATGGCGAGATGTCTGTGTGTGGGGGGGATGTGGAAGGGATGGGGTGGGAGGGCTGTCGTCGATACGGTTGCGTGCGGCATGCAGCAAAGCAAGGCAGCGGTGCAGGAGCAGCGCCTGGGGGAGCAGTGGTGCTTAGGGGTGGCAGCCCAGGACGAGCAGCAGCAGCAGCAGCGCACTGGAGGGGCAGCAGGGGCTCCGGCGGAAGCACCGGGCAGCCCAGGAAGGCAGGTGGCAGTGAGGGGTGGCAGGTGGCAGTGAGGGGTGGCAGGTGGCAGTGAGGGGTGGCAGGTGGCAGTGAGGGGTGGAGGCGAGGAGGAGGAGGGGTGGCAGGGGTTCCGGGGGGCAGGGCGGTCGGCCCCCCATGTGCTCCTCACCCGCGTCACGCCACCCTCAGCGGGCCCGCTGCCTCCGCCCCCTCACCAGCCACCACCCAGCCTGGGGTCCTGGGAGCTGGGGGGGGGGTGTAAGCTTGTGGCTCATTAGCCCCTTGCTACATACATATAAATACGTCCTAAAGACGTATCCAACCATCCCGGGTTGCCTTTTCGTCTTACAGGGGGCGGGGGGCTGCTGCAGGACAGGGCGGTAGGAGAGATAGAGATACGGCACTCTGGGGTGCCAGCAACTCTTCGTGCCCTCACGGCGGCTTCACGGTTGTGCGGGGACAATGTGCCTCCACCGCCTCCCCTGCTTCCTGTGTCACCTATCGGCAGCCCCCCTCCCACCCCTTGCAACGTCCTAGCCCGCCGCTATGCCTTACTGGCCGCTCCTACCTCGGCCCCCCACACGTCACATGCCCCGTCCTCCCATTCCCTCGTCATGCCCTCCCCCCCACCTGCCCCCCTCCCCCCCGCTCCTTCCCCCTCCTCCTCCCCAGGCCCTGTTCCGCCGCGCCCAGCTGAAGGCGCTGGTGGACCTGCACGGCAGTGGGGCGGGCTTCGGAGGCACGTTGAGTGAGGACGAGGTGCACGTCATTCGGGGGGCGCTGGACCTGACGAACAAGGTAGGGGATAGGGGGAGGGAGAGGGGCAGGGAGGGTTGAGAGGAGGAGACGAACGAACCATGTGACAAGGCTTCATCATGGTGAGGGAGGGGGGGCGCTGGACCTGGGGGTGGTAAGCGGGTTAGCATGACAGCAGGACACTCCCTCCCTCCTCCCTCCCACCTCTCTCCTCCCTCCCCCCAGGTCGCCTCCAAGTCCATGACCCCGCTGGACAAGGTGTTCATGCTGTCCACCGAGGACCGCCTGGACGAGCGCACGCTGCAGGCCATCCTGATGTCGGGACACAGCCGCATACCCGTGCACAGGTGGGGGGGGCCTGTTGGGGGGGGGATGGCAAAGGGTGCAGGGGGATTGGACTGGGGTGGTAGGAGGAGGGGCGAAGAGGAGACACGAACCATGTGACAAGGCCCCGGGGCTGCATGCGGGGAGCGAGTGGCGCCTAGCGCTGCTCCCGCTCCCCTTCCCACTGCTCACCCATGCTGCATGCTTTTCCCCTTAGTTACCTCCCTTCCTCCTCTCCCTCCTCACTCCCTCCCCCTCCTCACCACTCCTCCTCCCGCCTCCCTCCCAGGGAGGGCAACCGCAAGTCCATCCTGGGCCTCATCCTGGTCAAGGAGCTGGTGCTGGTCAACCCCGCCGACAACACCCCCGTGCGCTCGCTGCGGCTGCGGGAGCTGCCCCGCCTGGCCGCCTCCACTCCCATGTACGACATGCTGAAGCTGTTTGAGACGGGCAAGAGCCACATGGCGGTGCTGACGGGCCCTCGAGGGGGAGGAGGAGCGGGGGGAGGGGGGATGGAGGAGGAGGGCGGAAGGAGGATGGGTGAGTGGGGGGTGGGTGGGTGGGTGGGGTACGAGGTTGCGTGGAGGTCGTGAGGGATGGGTGGGTGCGGCTAGGGAAGAGGGTGATAGGACACTGGGTCGTCGTCATTGCTGCTGTCGTTGTTGGTCGCCAGGACTCCTGATCCCCACGTCTGCATCCCGCTCCCAATGGGGCCCCCGTTCCTCACTTCCCTTCCCCTCCCCCATGCACGCACTCTTCCGCTCCTCTCCTTCCCCCCCCTAGTGGGCACCTCCTGGCCCACCAACCCCCGCGGCGGCTCCTCCTTCCGCCGCATGAACTCCCGCGGCCTGCCACCCCTCGCCGGCCCCACGCGGGATGGCTACTCCGCCCTGGCTGACGAGTCCACCCCAGGACTGGGACCTAACGGACCTGGCGCCGCGCCCGGCAGTGGTGGTGGAGAGGGGGAGGAGCCGGTTGGCATCATCACCATAGAGGACGTCATCGAGGAGTTGCTGCAGGAGGAGATCATCGACGAGACCGACCTCTACATTGACAACCTGCAAAGCCAGCGGGTCAACGCGGCTGCGGTGGCGGGCACGCTGCCGCCCCGCCTGCGGCAGGTGCTGTCCACTGGGCTGTTCACACCCCGCGTGGGCCGACTGGGCAGTAACAGCCTTGTTTCACCTCGAGGAGGTGGTGCGGGTGCGGTTGCTGGTGGCTTGTTGCAGCCCTGGAGCAGTGCGAAGGAGCAGATGGGAACAGCGGGTGCGGGTGCGGGAGCAGCGGGGCAGGCAGGGCCGTTAGCGGGCACGACGGGCCTCATGGCGGGTAGTGGAGGTGTGGGTGTTGTGGGTGAGGAGGGGCGTCCTGCAGCCGTGTCTTGCAGTGCCAGTCCCTTTGCTACTGCGGCGGGGTTGGGGGGCCCAGGGGAAGGAGGAGCAGGGGTTGGTGGGGGTGGGGGTGTGGAGGTGGGGGTGGGGCCGCCGGTGGTGTCGGCTGCGGCGCTACCCGGGGCATTGGAGCTTCGGAGGGTGCCGGGGAGTGGGGGGCTAGGGGCGGGTGGGGGAGGTGCGGGTGGGGGGCCGGTGTCGGCTACAAGTGGGTTGTTGCGGGGCGTGGGAGGGGGAGGCGGAGGCGGAGGGGGAGGGGGAGAGCGGAGTGGCAGTTTGGGTGTGGGGTTGCGGGGTGGTCGGGGTGGTCGGGAGGGCGAGGTGCGGCTGCCGCTGCTGCAGGCGGTGGACTCGCCGCTCAGCAGCGAGGAAGGGGGGCGGTAAGGGGAGGCGGGGGCGGGGGCAATGGGGATGTAGTAGTTGTTGTAGGTGTAGACGCCCGAGAAAGGTTATAAAGCGGGGAGGAAGGGGAGGGATGTTAGGCGCCAGTCAAGGAAATGCGTTGGTCTTTGCCCTTACAATGATGGCCCCCTACCCATGAAAGAGGCGGACAGGGGTTGTGGGCCTTGTGGTGCTGGTGGTGTTGGGAAGAGGGGTGGGCTGCGGAGGGCTGGGGTGGGGCACCAGTGCTGGGGGCGGGGACGTGCAAGGGGGCCAAGAGGTAGAAACTTAGAATGGTGTGTAGTCCAGTTGAGGTATGTACTTGTGTTTGATCGTTGCTTGTCTCGGTGCTGATGGTGCACACTAATGGTAATGCCTGGATGATTCGAAGGACTGTTTTGTGGCTGTGTTGCAGCGCGTGGGGCATGGGACTTTCCGCATCCTTGTTTTAGAATGATAAGAAACTGAACTGGCATACCGGAACCATGCACAGACCAAGATAGGGCGGGCGGGGGGTTCAGGTGAAGGGGCATGCGTGGTGCATCCTGCCTTCTCACACTCCCTATCCTCGTTTCGTCCTTGTTGCACGTCGATTGGCCCGAAGGGCTTGTTACCGTCTCCCTCTCGGACTTGCGTGGCCCAAACAGCAGCATGCTTGCCCTTGTTTGCTGTGTAGCTTGGGGGCTCTTGACGCCAGGGTTTTCCCTGTTGTGGTAGTGAATACGTTGTTTCAGTGGTTGTGGGAGAAGCTGTAGAAACTGGTGTTGCCGTTGTGTTGGTGTCTTGCTGTAGCGTTGTTGATGCGAGGAGCACTTGACTTCTCAAAGACAAGCTGCATCATGTTTTTAGAGCGGCCAAAGCCCACGGCTTTGGCACCGCAATTGCTCCACTAGTCTTTCAAACAGCGCCTACAGAACACGTGTCGGGCCTACTGTGATGGCTGCGATGGTTATATGTATGTTGCCGCATGTTTTCTTGTCCTGCAGACCTTGTTGTCGCGTTTATAAGCGCTTATGTTTTAACCAATGAGTTGCCGTGTCTTGTCCTGTCTTACACGCTGGGTTGAGCAGGATTGCTCTGATACAAGCATGCAGGCACGCAGCAGGGCTCACAGATCACACAGCCCTGTTGGCGGCTCCTGGGTACATCACCCCTTCACCTGTCCCGCTGTCCTGGGTGCTGAACGCATGCAGAGCAATGGTGGATACCATCAGCGACATGCACACATGCTGGTTGAGTGTTCAGGGTGGCTACTGGCTAGAGGGTGTGTGGCTGTGCACCTGTCGGCCTAAGAGAGGAGGAGGTAGGGGCGCGTGGAACATGGCCGTGCGCACAGCTGAGACGTGGGTAAGAGCTTTAGGCTCATCCTTGGTGCACAGAGAGACAAATATGACATCGACACATACCACTTGTTAGCAGTGCCTTTCCACGATAGCATGCCTGTGTGTTTGCACTGCTTAGCTTTGGTAACACGTGCTCAGGTGGGAGGGAGACAGGCACACATCTGCGTCACCCACTCGCCACCAGCCTCATCAATACACCCATCCCCCTCAGTTCTTCAGGTCATGGGCCATTACAGAAGCATTGAAATGCACCACCGTGGAATCCGTTATCTGGTGCTTAACGCAACGACACGCTTGCTTACATGTAAAGACCTAGCTGGCCTCCATTCCTCGAGCTACGGGTTACTTCTGCCAACAGCGGGGCTTACTTGTCTTGCACATTCACGAGCTGTGCCCAGCCTCCTCTGCAGGTCCCCTACCTTCCCTCTGTACTGATCGCCTAAGACAATATACGCAGTGTGTGTCAACTATCCGTTGGACAACACGAATATGCACGAATGTAAATCCCATTGTACGGCAGCTCTAGGCATGTAGCTAATACTGGTACATAGGCACAGATGTGCAAAACCTAATTTTGCACATCTGTACCTATGTGCAAAATATACGTACAGATTATTATCAGGATACATTGTAGCGACCCACGGGTCATCTAACGGACTCCATGCTAGGAACAATAGCGCCTGCGAATGAGCGTGCGCTGTTTGGATACATCCGGAAACATCAGGGTCCATAGAGCCTCGTAAAGCTACTTCCAGATGTTCTGTTGTATCCCGATCACGCTATACTGTAAACTACTAAGCATAATAAGCTGCGCTCACCACAGCAGGTAGCCATCATTGCTGTTGGGCATCCCTGCGCTCGCCCCTCAACAGGGCTTGTGAAGCTGCCCTGCTGCGCTCGCACAAACACCCACCCCATGCCACGCTTTACCACCGTTTTCTGCAATGCGGTCTTGACAATACCGGTGCAGGTAGTGCGCTCCTCTCTTTTCGCCAGCACCGTAGTGCCTCCAACGGACTGCCATCAGCAGCCATTTACAAACCCAGCTCTTAACCCTTGTTGGTGGTGGCGGTGTTGTTTCCGGGCGGGGGAGGTGGCGGAGCCGAGCGGGGCGGGGGAAACCAGCAGGGACCTCCCACGCAGTAGGTCAGGCAGTGGTCGCGACTTACAGCGCACCAGCCAGCAGAGGAGCAGCACTGGGAGGGGGAGGGAGGAGAGGAGAAGCAAGGATGAATGTGTAACAGCGAGGAAAGAAGGGTATTGAAGCCAGTAGAACATATGGAAGGCCGCAACACCTTTGGCAGCTGGCAAGGTGAGATTGGAGTGCTTGTAAAGGTAACACAGAGCAGCAGCAGGGGGAGGCCGCTGCTGGGAAACACCAACCGAATGGATACGGGTACCCCAAGTGTGGTGAATGGTGGCCCACTTCACCGTCACATCCCACTTCGCCACAGCTCATGCACATGCCGCCACCGGTGCCATGTACAACCTCACCGTTGCCTACCAAGCAACCTAGTCACCTCCCGCTGCCTTCTTGGCCCCTCCCTATATTTCTTAACAACCACGTCAGGCCCCAATGCTGACCCTACACCTCCCCAGTTCCGGGGTAACCCCGCCCAAACGCACCTCGCCTTTCGCCAGACACTGCTTGTTGCCCACTTCGCCATTCCCGCACGGCACCACCGGAGGCGGCGGCGGTGGCGGTGAGGTGCTGCCCGGAGGTACCGGGGGCCTGGGGGGCGGTTGTGGTGGCAGCGGCGGCTGCCAGCAGGGACCTCCCACGCAGTAGGTCAGGCAGTGGTCGCGACTCACAGCGCACCAGCCAGCAGAGGAGCAGCAGAGGGAGGGGTCGGCGCAGCGGGCGTTACCCACCTTGCCGTTGCCACATGTGCCAGGGGTGGTTGTGGGAGGTGGGGGTGAGGCGGAGGAGGTGGGGGGCTTGGGAGGAGGTGGGGGTGGAGACCGCTTGGGAGGGGGAGAGGGAGGTGGAGGAGAAGAGGAAGGGGGAGGGGGCGGCTTGGGGGAGAGAGGCGGCGGAGGAGGAGAGGAGGAAGGGGGAGGGGGCGGCTTGGGGGAGGGAGGCGGCGGAGGAGGAGAGGAGGAAGGGGGAGGGGGCGGCTTGGGGGAGGGAGGCGGCGGAGGAGGAGAGGAGGATGGGGGAGGGGGCGGCTTGGGGGAGGGAGGCGGCGGAGGAGGAGAGGAGGAAGGGGGAGGGGGCGGCTTGGGGGAGGGAGGCGGCGGAGGAGGAGAGGAGGATGGGGGAGGGGGCGGCTTGGGGGAGGGAGGCGGCCGGGGAGGAGGAGGGGGAGGCTTGGGGGAGGGTGAAATCGGTTTTGGAGAGGGAGTGGGCGGTGGCGGCTTGGGAGAGGATGCGGGTGAAGGCGGCGGGGGTGATGAGGCTGCAGGGGGCTTAGGAGAGGGAGGCGGCTGCTGCTTTTGCGGTGGGGGTGAGGGTGGAGGCGAGCGTGGGGGTGGGGGTGGAAGCGGAGGTGGTGGTGATGAGGATCGGGGCGGTGGGAGCCAGCAGGGTCCCCCCTGGCAGCCGGAGCCGCAGTAGGCGGAGGCGGTGCCGCACCAACCGTACTGTGAGGGGGGAGGAATGGAGGCGGAAGAGGGCGCGGCGGGTAGGGTTAGGAGAGGAGAAGGACGGTGTGGGGATACGGAAGGAGACACGGAAGAAGAGGTCCCTCACTCCTTGCTGCACATCTTGCCCCTGCCCCCAACATTGCGAAACAGCCATTCCTGTCAGTCCCCTCCTCCAAACCTTCACCCAAACCCAACTCCTCCCCATCATTCCTCCCCCGCGTCCCCCCACCTGTGAGCAGCACTGCCCTGCCACCGAGCAGCGCCCGCCTCCCACCGACCCGCCCCCACATGGCGGGGGTGCGGGGGGCGGCGAGGGGGGTGCGGGGTAGCAGGGGCCGCCCCTGGGGAACAGAGGGGGAGAGGGGAACGTGGAGGAATCCGGAGAAGGGACAGACAGGGTTGCTTGCGGAGTACGGATGGGCACGACGCATGGCTTGAAGGCAGTAGTGGGTGTGTAGGGCAGCTCGGTCAAGGATACCTCTTGCTACAGGGGTCGCTCAGAGGCGGTCCCTTCTGACACTCTGCCCACATGTCACCACCACATGCCCATCAGGTCCTCACCAGCATGCTGTGGGCCGCATGCTATTCGCAAGTCACATGCCCCCACATGCAGTCCAGGTTCTAACCTTTAGATCCCCACCCCCGCGATGGCCACGCAAGCCCCAACCAAGCCGCCAACCTCCTCCCCACCCCACTCCCACCCCACCACAACTCCTTCTACCTGCATCCGCTGCCGCAGTAGGTGTCTCCCGTGCCGCAGTAGCCCCACTGCGAGCAGCACTGCTGCCCTCCCGCACCCCCCGCTGCTGCTGATGATGATGATCCAGCAACACAGGTGCCGTTGCCCACATAGCCGCCCCCGCATGGCCTGCAAATGGGTAGGTGTAGGTACGCGGGGTGTCGGCAGCACAGCCAGGCGCACATGGCAGTTGGCGAAGGTGGCAAGGTGGTGGTTCATGAAGCGTATCCGGGGGCATGGTGGCGAATTAAATCCTAACCTGGATGAGGGGGTTGAGGGGGTTCTGGGGGCGGCTGGAGGGCTGGCGTGCACTTCACCTTCTGGGCTGTGGCTGCCCCTCCCCCACCTCACCTGCTGGGGGGTTGCTGCCGACTGGCCATCACCCGCAGCAGCTGCCCCTCCCGGCTGTCCAGCTCCGCAGCCCAGGCCATCACCCCACCCAGACCATAGCTGCGGGTGCCCTGTGGAGTGCGCCAAAGAATTGGGGTTGGGACAGACAGGTTGGGAGCGGGGAGTTACGGTCAGGCTGGGAGGGGCTGGGAGGGGCTGCATGCTGCTGCGGGTGGGGTGGGTAATACAGTGGAGTGACCCAGAGTGTCCTCACACCCTGCCATCCTGATGCTTCGCGCGTCTCTTGTCAGCCAGACACTGCTCCCAAGCTGATCCCCAAGCCGATCTCCTCCACAAGGCCCCCTGCACCTCATACCTGGATCTTGTCGTACAGTGTCTCGGGCAGCTCGAACCCGATCCACCTGCTGCCCCGCACGTAGTAGGCGCCGCGCTGCGCCGAGTCGGTGAAGACGGAGCCGCCCTGGCTGGCTAGCTCGGATAGGATGGCACGGTAGGAGACCTTGAGAGGGTGGGGAAGGAAGGCATTGGGGTCGAAAAGTTGAACGGGTGAGAGGACATAACTCCCCTTGCTTGAATTTGCTTCTGGCATCTATGCCTATTATAATACGTTCCGACTCGCGGCCAGTATGCCACCACACGCCCGTCCCCTCACCGTCTGCATGTTGGAGCAGTCCCTGCTCTCCACGGAGGGCGCCCCCAGCCAGTACTGCTGCGGGGAGATGAGGGTGTACACGTGGCCGTAGAAGGCCAGGCCCAGCACCAGCTGGGTGCGGGGGACACCTGACGAGGGGGGGGTAACATGGGGTAACAGGCTGTGGGGGTTTAACTCGCGACAGGCTGTTTATAGTGTCAGGAGAGGCGAGGGAGAAGAGGCGCCACCATCTTCTCCACCTTTCACTTCCACCCTTCCCTCCACCCCTCCCTATTACTAACCCTTCTACTACTAACCCTCACACAAGTACTGGTGCGAAATCCAGAATCCCACCAGGGTGGAATATGCGCCTCCTCTAGGCTCTAGCCCCCGCCCACCCTGGCTGACGTAGTAGTCCAGCGCGCGGGTCGCATCGCTCCAGGCGGTGTGCAGCGCAGTGGAGGTCTCCCAGTAGCAGGGGTCGTGCATGTCATCTGGGGGAGGGAATATGAATGAAAAGTGAAGTCGGGGGAGAGAGGAGAAAGACGAAAGGAGGAGGGAGGTCGAAAGGGGAGAAGGAAAGGGCTGTAGCTCGGGCAGGACGGTTGTGGCCCTGGTCCCAGTCACAGTCCCAGTTGCTTAGCCATTATGAAAACTGGTGTCTCCTACCATCCACTAGCACAGCGAGCTGCACCCCGCCAACCCCTGCCCTCCCTTCCACGACCCTGCTACGTGCCACCCCAGTCCCGTCCTACAGTTCGTACGGTGTTTCTCCTTTTTACCCGCCCCCTACCCCCCCACCCTCACGGATTTTCCCTCAGGGCTTGTCAGCTAGTTTACCACTATCACACCACGCACTGGATATTTTTCTTTTGCCCCCCTCCCTCCTCACATGCCATGATGTTGAAGAGGTCCATGTGGGCCGCCAGAGCGGGCAGGTCATAGCCCGCCATGGGCCCCGAGGAGGGGCCGCCGGACACGATGGACTGCGTGGCGGCACTCAGCCAGTAGCGCCGGGAGGGGGAAGAGGAGGCGGCTTCTGCGTCCAGCCTGGTGCGGAGGGCGGCTGCGAGGGCGGTGAAGGCGGCGCGGTCGGCGGCAGTCGGGAACTCCCAATCCACTGCGGGGTAGGAGGAGGGAGGAAGGAGGGGAAGAAGAGGTTGTGGAAGGGAATGGTAAGGACTCGGAGAGAGAAAGAGGGTGTGTGCGCTGCTAAAGGGGGTCCGGGCTCACTTTTGGTCTTCACCCTCTAAATGGGCGCCTCCATAGCTCCGCCGCCCCGCCTGCCTGACCTTGCCCAGCGCTGGTCCCCAAGGCCTGCCCCGCCCAAGCAACACGCGCAAAGGCTCCCCTTCCCCCCAAGTCCCATCCTGGCTTCGCCCTCACTCACGGTCTATACCATCCGCGTTCGCCGCCTTCATGGCGGCCACGGCGCTGCTGATGAAGGCAGCCCGGCTTGTCGTACTGCTGGCAAGGCCGGACCAAATGGAAGTGCTGAAACCGCCGCCGCCAATGGAGAGGATGAGGGCGGTGGTGGGCCAGCGGGCCTTGAGAGCCGTGAGCAGTGGCTGGCAGGAGGGGTAAATAATTGAGAAATGAAGCAGTGCAGGAGGGGTAGGGAAAGTGGGGTGCAGAGGGAGGGAGGGGTGAGGAGGGGAAAAAGAAGACGAAGATACCATGCTGTGACCGAGGAGGGAAGGGAGAAGAAGGGGCAAGGAGAAAGGAACGCGAGGATGGTATTGAAACCACACTGCCACAGCAAAACCTCGCACGGGGCGTCGTGATTAATAAGAAGTCCTTACCAGGTTGCCAAATGGATCATAGACAGTGTATTTTGTGGCGTCAATCCAGAGAAACGCGTAATACATGTGCGAGACGCCTTCCAGGTTAACGGCGGAGATGTTAAAGAAGTCAGCTCCGGCAGCCGTATTTTGAGCCCATCCAGGTATATATATTCCAGTAACAGAATCTGCAGCGATTGGTGCAACGGCAGCTATTCCTACGCTGAAGAGCGCCGATGCAAGGATAACCGTCGCCAGCGCAATGCCGCCCTGCTTTAAGCCCAGCGCCATCATGACCAAATAAGAATCGTAGTGTGAAATTAACAAGTAAATTTGACTATTACATTGATTACGTACAGTTGCCAGGTGTAGGGAAGAGTCAAGTGGCAAGCTAGGTTCGCGGTAACTTCAACCGGAATTACAACTTAGTCATCATACTACCTCTATGAACTATTTTTATAAAAAGGTCCTTATTATTCTTTCTGGTTTGTTGGCTTAACAGATGCGTTTCTGAAAGACACAGCAACAGTCGAGCCGTAAGTAATTATCGTACGCCTTGCAATCAAGCCAGGCCAGGCGCCATGACGCCTGTCCAACGTAAAAGCTTCCTCTAATACATGTGTAACGGTAAGTAATCCTTGCGATTACGGTTGCTCTCAATGTAACGTACTAAGCCCGTCGCGCTAGCATTATTGTCGCTCCTGGCGCCCTAGAGCTGTGTACCTGCGCTCCTTACAGAGAGGCGCCCGACATTTTCCGTACCCGGTGGGGCCCTAAAGTGCAGCCAGGCACCTCTGGAGTGACCGAGGGTGTGTCAAAGGCCCTAATGAAGTACTGTATACACATGTTCACTTTACCGCATTGAGCGCTGATGGGACCACAGCCCAGTCCCCCAAGACGCTGCATTGAATGACAGGTGCTGGAAGACACCCCCTTACTTGCTCGCTATGGCCCATGGGCCCGCTCACCCAACTGCTGGCCCCCCCTCCTGCTGGTGTTAACTCGGACACGCACTCACCTGTAATGTACGTCTAAGAGGTAACAATTGCTGGGGCCGTACATGTCCTAGCCATATACGCACGTGCATAGCATGTGGTTCGGATGCGAGTTCTTACCCCGAGATGAAATGGCTATAATGCATGATAGTATCCGTGCGGATGTGCAAAAGTCTGGTGGCCAGGCGGCATGCCTGTCTTGATGTGCTTCCAGTTGGAGGGGAGTCCTGCTGGTGGGCGGGGTACGGTGCGGTCAGCGCTCATGCAGCTGCCCTCACAGGAAGCGACCTTGCTGCCCTCCCACAACACGACCTGCGTGTCATGCGCTGGCCTGCCCCATGCGCTGGCCTGCCCCAGCTTCTCACCCCCTCGCTTCCCGCATTTGCATGATCAGTGGCCAACCTCCTTACTCTGTACTCTGTCCAGTGGCATTGTATTGCGGGTGTGCGGAGTTCTATGTGAGTTGGGGGGTGGGGCAAGAGGGGGCCACTGATTCAGAGTCTGGTCGGAACATCAGAGCATCAGAAGCAATGGGAGGTGGAGATGGCTGTCCGCCAGAAGCATGTGCCTAGGGGCCCCCGTCCGCCCACCCCATACGGTTAGTTGGCGCCAATGCCCCAATGCTGCCATCGCCTCGCATTGGCATCGCCTGCTGCCTGCAATCCTCTTGCTTAACCCCACCCCAATACTCTCCCACCTCCCTCCTTCCGCCCCCAGCTAGCAACCCGCTCTTGTTGGTGAGAGGCACGTGTGTGTTGCTATCCAAGCTTAAAAGTGGATTGGAAGATACGATGCCCCTACTTCACCTACAGCTAAGGTATACTGTCTGATTTGAAGTTCAACGGCATGAGCACGGACAATAGGGAACATAGAGGCTGGGGCTTGTGTTGCTCGTACGGGGAATAACATTGGTGCATGGGTGTGAGAAGGAAAGGCAGACTCTGGGACGGTGACGGTCGGCATGCAGCTAAATTGAGGGTTGAGAGCTAGGACGAGCGCTTTCCAAGGTATTTACCCTCTTATCACCTGCGCCACCACCGGTCTACCTCAATCTGCACTTTCCGTCGTCCCTTTAACAACGAACATACGGCATTGCATATGCTACCCAATAGAGGCTCACAGAGTAACAACCAGTTTCACAGTGGTCACATCCTCATATTCGAACGCACGCATACAGTCGCACTTATAATCACGAACACACCCATGCTCACGCCCGCACCTTCTGTGTATGTTAGTTCATGTGCCACACATCCCTGCTCCACCCGCATCCACGCCTACGCCTTGCCTACACACGAAATCATACGCACGCACGCACAGACGCACGCATAACGGCACGCACAGTTCACGGCTGCAAACTATGAGCAAAGGATGAAGGAGAGGCGGTCGACATGCCCATGCGCCATGACATGTCCACCATATCCGAACATATGCAACAATAGCCATCCCTGCGAACACCACACGCCTAACACCGCTGCAGGTGCCGTTTGGCACGGCGCCACATCGCTGCCAACAGACGTCCACGTGCCCTTGCTTACGCGCGCTGCACCTCCTCGGGATCAGCGGAGGCCGATACAATCCCTTCGTCGTCGCTGCCGCCACCGTTCTCTCCGCCGTCCGCGCCGCCGGCAGGAGCAGCCGCAGCGTTGGCGCCGTCGGCGGGGGCAGCCGCAGCATTGGTGCCGTCGGCAGGGGCAGCCGCAGCGTTGGCGCCGTCGGCGGGGGCAGCCGCAGCATTGGTGCCGTCGGCAGGGGCAGCCGCAGCGTTGGCGGCGGCGGCAGCAATGTTGGCGGCGGCGGCGGCGTCCGCCGGTGCAGGGGGTGCCTGCAGAGAACAACGGCGTGAAACACCTCCTTGCCAGAGTAACTGCGTCGATACATTGGCACCTTACCGGCCAGTCAATGGTCAACTGAGCTGTCCTGCTCGTGCCTGCGTTCACCACCACCAGCTGCTCATGTGCGTTTAAGAAGCCAGGAACAGCGGGGATGAGCATGTTGAACACGAGCTGGGTGCTCTCGTGCGAGTACTCGTCGTATAAGTTCGCCATTGCCTCAGCCACCTCCGCAACTGCTGTTTCAACGCATGCCCCCTTGTACTCCTGTGAAGCAAGGGACGGCGAGTGACAGACTTGCATCGTTTGTTGGAGAGTTCACGCTGTTCCCATCCCTAGGATATCGCCCTGTCGTAGGTATGGCCTTTGTTCCTTGGATATTCCTTGGATATGCACCCTGTTATTTAGCAGCGTCCAGTGCTTTGCATGCATTTCTATCCTCACCTCTCCGTGCATCCTGATGAGGCTTTCGAGATGACGGAGCTGATGGATGGCCTCAGCGCTGCTGTGGTATTCCAGGTTCAGGAACATCGTCTTGAGCTTTCTAGCAGCCTCGGGGTAAGACATACCCTTATGGTACGGCGCCAACTGCAGCGACCCGTCCTTGTTGCGATGAAATTTCAAAGGCTTCATAGCAGGATCTGCCTGTTATGCGATTCAAGGCCAGGGTGTTGGATCACCATACGTTTGTTAGCGAGAACGGCCAGATGGCTGTTAGATGCAGCCAGCCAGCAAGTCTGTTATCACACGCGCCATTATAGGGCATACAGCCGCTATGCATACTTTTTAACAACGCGGACGTCCAAACTCTTATCAGCACGCGGCCTCAAGGGCACGCAAAAAGTTGCGAACGGTGTACCGGGTATGAATTAAAGAAATATTATTAGTTGTCACAAACAGAACTCACCATTGCCCTCGATGATATATAGATGATGTAGAGTACTTTTAAAGAAACCTGCATAGGAAATACGAAGTGCAATGATTGAATAGGCGATGAGGCGAGCGAAACGAGGTAGACGCCGGAAGGAGGGAGCATACAGTTCCCAGGCCAGAAGCGCAGCTTCAGCAACAACGACAACATAAGGTAGACAAAGTAAATGGCCTGAGACCTGCTGAGATAACAAGGAACATGGACCCAAGGTGTCGCGGCCCCGTCTACAGTAAGTAAGCCGACGCGGACGACGAGCCTGGCGCCGCTTAGCCCACTTTGGTAGCATATGTCCGGTGCAGACTTAGACAGCACCGTCGCTAGGTTGAGCTGGAATTCCCCCGGACAAGCAAGGTTCGCCAGACCAGATCCGCCTGCCTATTCTGCTACCACCTTCCACCCCGGCTAAGCTTACCTGGCTAGCTCCAGAACAAGCCGCAATGGTTCAGACGGATATGGGCGCGTCCAGAAAGGCTCCTGCTGCAATGGAGAAGGCCGCGGAAAGCTCAGTTGCTCCATGGCATCGGTCGTCATATAGCAGTTAGCAGTTGTCGCAATATCTTTGCTTACCTTGTATTTGCGAAGCTTGCAAGTGACCCAAATGTCAGAATTCGAAACAATGAGGACATATTAGGAAGCAATGGCGTATATAAAAACGTCCTGCATCGCTCCATCGTCATCACGTCATCCCATCGGGCCCATCGCTGAACCCCGCAAAGACCATATGGTCAAGATATTCCGCTCAGGCTCTACAGGTAATAGCTGCAGCGGAATGCGTTTAGGAAGGAGCCCCTTCCATAGCAACTCCGTCGCTTGGTTGGCGGATGTTCCTTGCCACGTTTCGCCGCTCTGACCTTGGTAGTATATCCTGCTTACTCCAGTTGCTAAGTATGCCACTAAAGCGAGTCTTGCATTTCCTACTCGCGAGCTTTGTCCGCGCATTCGTTGTATTTATGACGGAGGCTGCCCTGGTTTCTGCGGCGGTGTGTTCGTCGCCGACTTTCTGGGACAGCTATTGCATTATGCAGTCATTTAGCGAGGTATTGCGCTCTAGTTCACTTGTGTACGGGCCCGCGAAAATGGGCACTGCAAGTGGGCATTGTTCCTTAGCCGCTTTGCTCAATTCTTGGCCTTAGAAATAGGTCAGCAGCGGTTGCGGCAGTTGTGGCAGCCCAGTTCACCAGCCTAGGGTGTGGCTGCCCTGGCTCAACTTCGTTGTTTTGAGGACACGTGGGATTCAGCGTTGTTGAACGGTGTGTCGGGGGTTGCTGAGGGCAGGGTGATGGAGAGGTGCTGGTCCGCTCTTGTACGTCGGTTTTTGGACCCGGCGTCCCCGGATGCCTGTGCTCTTTGTTCGTTGCCTAGGTGTCGTGATCTTTTGACGTCTCTTGAGTCGTTGTTGGGTGCGGTGCCTGTGGCTTGGGTGGAGGCTGCTGAGGCTTTTCTTGTTGATGCCTTGCCGCCCCAACCTCTGCCGGCTTCTGAGGTTGATGCTTGGCAGGTTTTGGTTCCACGTTTGGGGTGGCAGTTGCCTCATGTTGGCGCCGTTCCTTTGAGGAATCTGTCGGTTCGGATGGCTACAGTTCTTCAGCTTGGGGGTGTGTTTGAGGAACGTGCTGTGTTGCATGCGGCTTTTATTCGGGAGGCCCTGGGGTTACCTGCTACCCAGCAGCTTCCTGAGGGTGTCTTGGATGGCCTTCGTGATTCTTTCCAGCGTCTTTGGTCGATTCGTTGGGAGAATGGTTTCAAGGAAGCGTTTTGGCGTCTTTCTATTGATGGGGTTCCCTTGCTGGGGAATTCTCATATGTCTAGGGCTCGTCCGGAATGTTGTGGTTGTGGGTCCGTTGTCTTGGGGGTGTCTCCGCGGTTGCATTTTTTCTGGGCTTGTCCTGTTGCTCGTGCTGTGGTTGAGCAGCTTGAGGTCACGCTGGGTATTGCAGTTCCTCGGGCTGCCTTGTGGTTGGCGTTGCCTCCTTCGGGCGTGCAGCAGTGCGTTTGGGATGTTGTTGTTTTGGCTGCTTTGTCCGCTATGGAGGAGGGTCGGCGGTTGTTACGGGCTCGTGTACGTGAGTCTGGTTCTGCGGGTGTTGTGCCTGGGCTTGCTGCTGTGGTGGCCCTGTCTGCTGTTTCCTGGTTCTGGGGTCAGCTTCGGGGTTTTGCTTGTTTGGGTGTTCCCCGTCGGGGATGGGCTGGGGTTGGCCCTTCTCATCCTTTCTTACGTATTGTTGGCGGGCGGTTTTCTGTGGGCCGTTGAGCGTCCTGTTTTTTTGGCCCTGATGCCTTTGGGGTGGTGTGTTCGTGGCTTCCGGTTTGGGTTGTCTTATGCCCTAGATGAAGTTTGTCGAGGTTTGCTGAGGGGCCTTTTGTTGGCTTCTACCCTCTTGTTTCCCTCCTGAGGTTTCTTTTAGGGCTATGTCTCCCATCTTGTTGGCCCGTTGTGGTGCTGTCTCTACGGTTTGTTCCGTTTCTTTTGCAATGTAGGGTTGGGTTCATCACCCGTGTTCCCTTTTAGGGCACCATTGTAACGGTCATTCATTCAGCCTAGGGGCTTGGGTACTTGCAGGGCTATCCGGGACAAGGGACAAGGACAAGTGTCGGGCCGGGACAGGCCTGATGACATGAACCTGTTGAACCGCGAGTGGGAGGCACCGACGCTTCTGCCTTAAAGTAGTACTATTTCTGCATGGTCTAACAACCTATAAACATACTGGGATCACTGGATCAGTGCAGCATCGTGTATGCATGTACGCATGCTGTGTGTTGCTGTGTGGGTCCTGATATGTCATAAACGCGGCAATGCTGAAGCAGCAGGGCAGTAATATGTCTTCTCGTAAAGCTGACGGACCCCACAGAAAACCCCCTCCTCAAAACCCCCCAGGCGACTTCTTCACCTCGGGTTTCCTGTCCGCCTACCTCCTCGGCGCCTCGCTGCAGCAGTGCTGTGCAGCATTGGCGCCGTTCTTTTTATCCCATCACCCAGCAGCATGGGCGATCCTAGTACTACTGCCTTCCTGTCGCATGGATGTTGTCCTTCTCTCTCCACAGCTGCCCTGAAACTCTCAGTTGGCGGCTAACGTTTTTCGTTTTATCCCGTTGTACGAGGAGATGGACCCCTTGCTGCATGAATACACTGAAGTGCAACTGATGAGTAAGGCTACAGCCATGTCAAAGCCGGAAATGCCACGTGCCGCGGAGTAAATCAACGGAGCCACATTCAAAAACTGACCCCTCTTTTCCCCGCATCTCTTGTATTGCACGCACTTGTACCACAACGGCAAGGGCATCGCTCGTACGGACAAGGGTGAACTCCACTTAGGCGGCCCCCCACCCTTTGACATTCCTCTTTTAACCACCGTATACGGTATACAGCTACAGGGGCCACAGTGAATACTCAAAAGGTGGGTGTGAGGGCAGTCCCCCAATTTCCCATGCCATCACCCCACATCATACCCAGATCGGCCCAACCATGCATGCAGTGTCCACACCCCGCCCCACCCACCCCCCGGTCCGACACACACGCGCTTCCCGTGAGTCCCCTGCTGCTGCTGCAATGTAACCTCTACGACATCCTCTGCTCCTCGCAACCCCAACCTACCCCCCCTCGCTAATGATTATATCCCTCCCCTCCCCACCTCACCACGCACACCTCACCCGCCCCGGCTCCTCCCACCCGCCCTCATAGCTGCTGCCTTCTGCCCCCTCCTGCCCACCGCCCTCCCCTCCTTCCCCTCCTCCTGCTTCCCCTTCCCCCCCTCCTCCTCCTTCCTCTCCTTCCGCCCCACATGCGTCAGGTACTCAGCGGACAGCTTCAGATCCATCACCCGCTGCTGCTCCGCCTCGAGCCGCATGCCCGCAGTCACCAGCGCATCCAGGCTGAGCCGCATGGGCTCGAATCTCGGCAGCCGCGACTTGTCACGACCCAGCAGCACGGATTGCAGGGCCGAGAGGTTGCCGTCCTGGGCTAGCGACTGCTGGCCTGTAAGGGTGGGAGAGAGGTAGTGGGAGGGAAGGGGGTTGGGCTGGTAGCCCTGATGAGGGGAGGTGGCAGGAGGGTGATGAGGTGGGGCTGTAGGATGACAAGGTATACGGACGGTAGGGAGTATTTGGTGTGGACTGTGGATTGCAACCCGATGCACACGGGCACACCCACCCACCTGTGATGTCCCGCTGGATCCACTCCCGGATCTGGTTGTCGTACACCGAGGCCCGCAGCGCCCCGAAGAAGTCTAGCGGCTGCCGGGGGAAGCTGCCGGGGGAGGGAAAACAAGGAAAAACCGTGTATGCGTTCCGAGGGAGGGAGGAGAAGGGAAGGTCGACAGACTGAACACCTTTTTGACAGCTTTCCTTACCAACATGAAGACATGCAGCACAAGGTGAACCCCTCCATCCAACTCCCCTCACCCGCTCCTGCATCCTTAGCAAACCCCCTCCTCCACTCCGCATTGAAACTTGACAAGCACAGCAGCCTGGCGGTAACAACTTACAAAAATAACCCCATCCACATCACCCTCACCCCTATCCCAACCCCTCAGCCCCCCCTCACCGGTCCAGCAGCGCGCGCACCTCCCCCTCCCCCACCCCGTCCTCCTTGAACATGTGCGCCAGGATGGCCACCAGGTCCCCCCGGCTGGGCCGCCAGTAGAACTGGAGGGGGGGAGAGGGGAGGGGGAGGCGAGGAGGGCGGAGAGGGAGGGCGGAGAGGGTGTCAGGGTTGGGGCAAAGGGAGGGCGCAGGGCGGTGGGTGGGGTGGGTTACCGGTAGAGCTCTTTACGGGTCACATCGCAGGCTGCCGCAGGCCGCATTCAGCGTGGATGAGCAGCAAAGGACGGGGTCGGGGTTGGGATCGGGGTCGGAAGGGGAGGCAAAGGGGCTGGTTGTGGGTGGGCGCACGGGGGCATGGGTGAGCAGCTGTGCACGGTTGGCGCAGTTTGGAGGAGAGGAAAGGGGAAGAGGAGGGAGCGGCGAAGTGGAAGGAGGAGGGGGCGGGCGGCAAGGAAGCAAATGAGCCGCACGTTGACACGGGTGTGGGGCCGGCAATCCGCTTTGCAACTCCACTTCCGGCAGACAGACAGACAGACAGACAGGGGTAACGTGGCTGCGGCGGCTTGCGTTCCCTGCCTATAGCACATGCACGCCCCCAGCCAACCCCAGTGCTCACATCCAACCTCTACCCTCCACCCCACACTCCCCCGCCCCCCCCGCCCACCTTGTCCATGCGACCGTCCCGGATGAGCGGGGCAAACATCTTGGAGAAGTCGTTGCCTGGCGGGGGGTTGGAGCGGGGGGGGCTTGAGCGATGTGTACGGTACACTGGAATGTGCAACATGTGCTGTCCCTTCCCCTCGCACCCTCCTCACTGCGACCCCAAGCTAGCGCCCAGCTAGACCTTCGGCCATCCGGTGCCCCGTGCCCCAGCTGCCTAGCGGTACTACCGGTACTAGCTGGGCAAAGCCCCCAACCCCCTCCAACCCCACCCCTCCCATCCCCCCAGCTCCCCCCCCACCGCCCCACCCGTGACGATGATGGGCGTGCGGCGGATGCGCCCCTCCGCCACCCGCCAGTCACCCCCGGTGGACACCACGTTGGGGTTGTCACACAGGTTCATGAGCGTGCCGATCACGATCTGGTTGTTGACCGTCACCTTGGCGACAGGGAAAAACGAAGAGGTGGGGAGGGGAGGAGAGGTGGAGAAGGGGAGGAGGGCTCAAGCGGCTCTCAAAGAAGCCACCCCGCCTCATCACTCGTGCTTCTCACCCAACCCAACCCATCAGACAGTCCCAACCTCTCACCGGTCACCGAACACAGTTCCCCTCCCCTCCCCTCCCCTCTCCCCCCCGGTCCCCCACCTGCACATGGTCGAAGTGCCCCAGCCCCGCGTCGATGTCATGGATCAGCAGCGCCGTCATCTTGCCGCGCACCTTGCTCATCTCACTGGCCTGAGGGAGGGAAAGGAAGGCAGGAGCGTGGGGGGGAGAGGGAAGAAGGGGGGGGAGGGGAGCCATGCGTTGACGGCACGCAGCAGGGGGGAAGAAGGCGGGAGGTCGAGCAGTGCCGCGGCGAAGCTCCCTCCCCCTCGTGTGCCGCATCGTGATCGGGCACCTCACCGCATGAGTCGGCCTCGTTCGCGTGCGCAGCAAGTCGCATGTAGGCATCCGCGACGCCCCGAAACCACCTTGCTAACCCCTCCACCTGCATCTCTCTGCATCCGGTCCTTCCAGGCCCCCTGCTGCTCTGCTGGCTCCTCCACCCCTTCCCGCCCCCCTCCCCCTTATGGACACTACCATAGCTGGCCTGTTTCCTCTTTATTTGCTCCATCCCATGTCCTCTTACGTCACCCATAGCTGGTGCCCGTACCTCTGTGCCCCACCCCCACCCACCCACCCACCCACCCACCCACCCAGCCCCACCTTGCGGTACCTCTCCCGTATGAATTTGCCCGGGGTGCCAGCCCATTCGTGCTCCAACTCGCCGGAACTCATCACCACCGTCTCAGCCCTGTGCAGCAGGCAGCAGGGGCGGAGGGGCGGGGGTTGGGGGGCTTACTTGCATTATTAGCAGAGGCGAGTGAAGTGTGCAGAATCCGTGGGTCAGGAGTAGGATGGCAGGCAGCGGGGGTTGAGATGAGCAAGAACCGAGGGCGAGGACCGGGGCCTCGGACTGGGTTACAGCACCCGGAGATGAGGGGAGGGAGATGCAGGGACAGGGTCCAATGAGCTGCGGGTAGACCCCGTGTGTGCTTATGGGTTTGGTAAGAACCCCTACCTGGTCGAAACCACCCACCCCTTCAAACCCACCCCACTCCTCAAACCGCCACCCCACCGCCACTCGCCGCTCGCCAGGTCGCCACCCACCCCAGTTTCTTGAGTGCCAGCTCCGTCTGAAAGGTCTTGCCCATGCCCTTCTCGCCCCAGATGCCCAGGATGAGCGGCACCCGCACGTTGCCGGGTAGCGCCCCCATGTCGTACAGGTAGTTCTTAGCCATGTGGAGCTGGGGGGGGGGAGGGGGGAAGGGGAGGAGGGGGATGAAGAGGAAGAAACAAACGGGTAACAACGAGTTGAGGCAATGGTGTAGGGACCAAGTTGACCATGGCTCATACATTCCCTGTTCCGCTTCACTTCCCTACCTGCTCCCAGTCCGTTTACTTCCTATCCGTTTCTCTGCCCCCCAAGCGCTCCTTCCCCGTGCCCTCCCGCCTACCGCCACTTTCTCCAGGAAGGCGGGCGCCACGTAGTAGTCCCCCACGATGTTGTTGAAGGTACGGAAGTCAGTTGCGCGCAGCGAGCCATCCGCGATGTCAGAGCGGCGGCCCAGCACCTCTCCTGCGAACAGGCTGTCTATGTGGGCCACATTCTGACCTGTGGCCGGAAGGAAGGAGGCGTGGAGCAGAAGCAGGAGCAGAGGTGGGGGCGGGGATTACATGGGAACCGGACATTGTAAGCAGGGGAATGGTGGTAAAATGCATGTTAGGGATTTATGGCAATGGTCGTAGTGGAGCGGTCCAAGGCGGGAGAGGTAGTGTTTAAGAGTCTCAGGTCCGGGTCCCGTCAGCCTACGCCGCACCATGGTCGACATTGATGTTGTACAGCTGCTTCGCGCCGATGTCGCGCAGATAGTCGGTGTCGCTGTCCTCGGCTCCCTTTTCGCGCGCAGACCAGGAGGAGCCCTGGCGTCGCCGCAGGACTCCGTTGCTAAAGTTGACAGATGAGAATCGCTCGCCAGCAGCAGATGTTAAGGGTTCTTCATCGCTTTCTGAAAAGAATTGTTCGCTAGCTGTTGGACCTAAATCCGAAAAGTATTCGCGCCAGCCATCGATGGCTGGGCGCGCAAGCACTGGGCGCAAGGATAAGCCACGACAATAATATCCTTGCGTCAACCGCTGTTGGCACCCTTGCCGGCTGCGTAAGCTGCACAGCATTTTTCTTAACTACCGATACAGTTTCTATGTTGTTGGCTGCGATGCGCTGGCAATTTGGCAAATGAGTAAATGTCTGGATAAAGTGGCTATGGCGCTATCAGTTGGTTCATCTCAGTAACCTCAGTGCTAGGGCATTTCTGATGCTAGACCCTGTTAGGCTACGCCTAGGTTCTTCTAAGGGGAACACATTGGTAAGGTCAATGAGCGCAAAGGGCCCACGGCAACCGGCAGTTAGATAGAGCTAGTGAAGGTCCGATCTCCGCGCGTTTACAATTGTGTTTTTTGCTGAAAGGCAGACACTATCAACCCTTTACTACTTTTACGCCCGTGCTTGGCTGGTCCTCACGGTTGGATCACAAGGCAGGTGGACAAAACCTTACGAACTGACCGAGACACATGCTAATCGCAATGCAGACCATATTTCTTGGCGCACATAACCAGTAAGCCATGTATGGAGGTGTACGGTGTGTCCATCATTAACCATCGCGCCCAGGGCCCGTGGGACACGGATGTCGCAAAAGCCGTACCGTTCATGTCATGTATCCTAGATGTCATGTACAGTAAACGTCCAAAATAAACGTATTACCTCATATCCGCTTGTGGAGAAGTGCAGGTCACCATCACGTCAAGAGGGCAGCATATCCAAGTGGCGCACCGCAGCTACAGCTGCTCCTAACATCAGTCGCTTCCACACATGCACACGCAATTTATCACTCACGTAAGACCCGTTATCGTCCCATTCACTGGTATCAAGTAATAAGGCTTGACTGATACCAGATCACCTTGCGGGTTTCAAGGCGAGGAGGTGAAGGGGATACATCACAAACCGCTCCCACCCACCGCATCAGCCCTGGCACCAAAACCATGTCGCAAGCCCCTTAACTCCGTACCACTACACGCTGCATGCCCAATACGACACCGCACACGCTGCGGATGTGGTGCCACTAAACGGTACGGCAGGACTTGAGTCAGGATGTGGAATCCAAGAGGCCTGATCGATCATATGATTACGTCCGGACTTTTGGCTTTGACTCCGCCCTAACACTGGCCAGCAAACCCCAACAACCTGCCAACCAACCTCGACCAACCGACGGGAAAAGCCACGATGATCAAGCAAACGCGCACGGCGTTAAGTTGTCCAAGCGCAAACCCGTGCCTTGCTGACACGGACTGCTGTGTTCTGCATCATATCCACAAAGCATGTCATGCGTGTCCCAACCTGCGTACCCTGTACATTTCAACACCGGTCAAAGACGAAAGGTGCACCAACAAACGGGCAAAAACACATTCCATGCACGCCGTGTGCCCCTCCCCCACATACCACACTTTGGAATTTCTTTTTCCCCCACATCGCCTGCTGCTGCATCACGGGAATCTCTTGCTGCCCCCCAGCGCTCTCCAACCAGCTCTTGCGTCAGCCTCCCCAACCGCAACTCCGCCCCGTCCACAGCCAACCGCACCGACAAAAGCCTACCGGTATCCTCAGGACCCCCCCTCCTCTCCTCTACCCTGCCAATTCCCTTCCTTTCCTCCTGCTGCTGGTGTCTGGGTTGGGTTTTGGTACACCTTCTCCTTCCTCCCCCTTCTCCTCCTCCATCTCCTTCCCCCTTCCTATACACCTCCACCTCCCCCTCCCTCTTCCCCCCCTCCTCACCTCCCGCTAGGCGGCCGCGCCCCAGCATCCGAAAGCCTCGCATTCAGCCGCCCCCCCACCCCGGGCGGGGGCGGCGGGTCCGCAGCCAACATACCCCGCGCAGGACTCAACCCCACATTGCGAAACCCGGCCCCGCCCCCCCCTCCCCCTCCCCCACCTCCCAACCCGCTACTGCCCGCTGTGAAGCTGTGCGCCGAGCCCTCCACAACCCCGCCCGGCCCGCCGCGGCCACCCAGCACCCCACCACCACCACCACCACCACCACCACCGCCCACCATCCCTCCGTTGAGACTGGCTCGCATGTTCCGGGTAGCAAGCGCGGGTGAGGCAGGCGCGTTCATAGGGGACTCAGCACCGCTACAGCTGACGGCACCCCCGCCGCCACTTCCTCCACCTCCACCTGCACCTCCTGCTGCTGTGGCGGCTTGTGAAGCCAGCAGCCGGGCAGCGAAGGGGAGCTGCGGGTCGCTCTCACGCGTGGAGAGCAGCGGGGGCGGCTGCTGTTGCGGCGGGTGGGGCAGGTAGTGCTGCTGCTGCTGCGATGAGGGTTGTTGCTGCTGCTGCTGCGGGTGCGGGTGCGGGTGCTGCTGCATGTGTGGGCTGGGGAGGGGGCTGGGGGCAGCAGCAGCAGGAGTGGGGCCGGGGGGTGGCGGTGCTGCGGCCGCTGCTGCCAGGCCCGCTGCCAGCTCCTTGAGCTTCACTTGCATCTCCGTGATCTGGCGGGCCATCTGCGGGGGGGAGCGGTGGAGGGGGAAGGAGGGAGTTGGAGGGGGGTGGAGTGGAAGTGGCAGGAGTGGGCGAGCAGAGGTGGCGTGGCGGCTGGTAGTAGAGCGAACACAGAGGCTCGGCGGGCCAAAAAGAAAGGCCCGCTCCCTACCCCGCTATAGCCATGCCCCAGCGAGGCCCCGCATCCTTACTACACTCCCCCCACCTCCCTCCGCCTCCCACCCCCAAGTCCTCCCCGCCCCCACCTTCATGATGACCTTGCCCGTCATCTCGCTCTGCTCCCCCGTGCTGCGCTCCAGGGAGGCCAGCGAGCCCCGCAACCCGGCGTCCAGCTCGCGAAGCTGGCGGAGCGCCTCGGCGTCAGCTGGGGGGGAACAGGGGGGAGGAGGGAGGAGGTGGGCGGATGAAACAAGGAAGACCAGGGCACCAGGTCTCCTTGACAGAGCGCTGCCGTGGGTTGCATCGCCAACGGCAACCGACCCTTCCAGAGCCCAACACGAGCCCATCCACCCATGTCACACACCCCACCCCCAGTTCGTCAGTTGTTTCCTCTTTGTTTCCTCCCCCCCTCCCCTCCCTCCCCCTCCCCCCATCCCTCACCCCTCACCCCTCACCCTGGTTCATGGCCGCCTCCAGCGCCGCCATCACCTCCTTCACGCTGCCCAGCTCCGCCCCCACCACCTGACCCAGCTCCCCCAGCGCACCCCCCAGGTGGCTCTCAGCGCGGGACAGCCGCTCGCGCAGCTCCCGGGTCTGGAGGGAAGGGGGGAAAGAAATTCCAATGTGTGCAGGAAGGGGGGAGGAAGGGTGGGGTGGGGGGAGAAGAAAAACGGATCCAGTTGGTTTCAATGGCGGCATCCACCAGTGAATAACAGTTGCAAAAGAGCAGCAGGAACTGAACCATCAACCCTTCTCCGCACTGCAAGCCCTGCTGCGCCTTTTCCCCTGCCATCCCAACACCTCTACTCCACCCAGCCCCCCAACGCCTCCACCCCCCGCCCGCACCTCCCGCTCCCGCTCCGCCCTCTCCCGCTCCACCGCCGCCCTCGCCTCCGACGCCGTCTGTGCGGCAGTGGCGGCCGCAGAGGCGGCGGTGGCGGCAGTGGCTGCGGACGCCGCCGCATTCCCCCCTCCTCCTCCTCCTGCCCCTGCCCCTGCCGCTGCTGCTGCCGCCACTGCTGCCGCCGCGGGTGCCGCCGCCTCCCTGCGCGCCTCCAGCAGCTGCTTGTTGATGGAATTGAACTGCGTCACCAGCTTCTCTAGGTTGGCCTGGGTGGGGCGGGGTGAGGGGTGGTGTAAAAGAAGAAGTGGGAAGCATGGGGGAGCTTGGAATGACCAGAAGGACCCGCCGCCCCCTTCCCAGCCTGTGGTTTCCTGTGGTTCGGTATGGTCTTTGAAACCCCCGCCCCCACCCCCTCGCCCCCCGCCCACCCCCCCGCCCCCACCTGCACATCCCCCTGGAACTCCTGCACCTCCCGTCGCAGGTTGTCGAACTGCCGACTCACTCCCGCACCCCGGTCCACCAGGTAGTTCTCGGTGTCCTGGGGGGGGGGGAGGAGGGGGAGGGGGGGGGGAGGGGGGGGGGAGGGGGGGGGGGAAAGAGGTTAGGTACGGGTGGAGAAGAGTCTTTTATTACTAATGTACTATAGCGGAACGGGTTCGGATATCAACCCTGCGTAAACACTGCCACCCCCTCCCCGCCCCCCCTCCCCGCCCCCCCCCGCCCCCTCCCTCACCTTCACATCTGCCGTCCTGGCCAGCCCCAGCCCCACCAGCCGGTTCACCAGCTCGCTGCCGCCCCCGCCCAGACAGCTGCCCTCCACCTTCTTCTCCAGGGCGGGCAGGCGCAGAGTGAGGGAGCCCACCTCCTTCTGAACCCTGGGGGGGAGGGGGAGGGAGAGGGGAGGGAGGGAGGGGGTAGCAGTGGAGGAGGGGAGAGGCATGGGTAGTTAGGGAATAGGTGCTGGGGGCAACTCCAAACCGCAGGCACCGTCTTCCCCTCCCCTCCTCCCCCTTCTCCTCCCCACCCCCTGCCCCGCTGCTGGCTGGCTCACTTGATGTACTTGGTGTCAATGTCCGCGATATCCGCCATGATGACCTGAACACGGGGGTGGGGGGAAGGGGCAGGCGGGGTGAAGTGGGGAGGGGCGAGGTGGGGAGGGGCAGGCGGGGTGAAGTGGGGAGGGGCGAGGTGGGGAGGGGCAGGCGGGGTGAAGTGGGGAGGGGCGAGGTGGGGAGGGGCAGGCGGGGTGGGGAGGGGCAGGCGGGGTGGGGAGGGGCAGGCGGGGTGGGGAGGGGCAGGCGGGGTGGGGAGGGGCAGGCGGGGTGGGGAGGGGCAGGCGGGGTGAAGTGGGGAGGGGCAGGCGGGGTGGGAAGGGGCAGGCGGGGTGAAGTGGGGAGGGGCAGGCGGGGTGGGAAGGGGCAGGCGGGGTGAAGTGGGGAGGGGCAGGCGGGGTGGGGAGGGGCAGCGAGAGCACTCGCTATGAATGGAGGAGGGTAACCGGAGAAGGGAAGGGGACCTGGCCTTCGCGTGCATGCCCTGACCATTTTCAGGACGATCACCCGGAGAGATGTTCCAACCCCTCCCAGTGACACGCCCTCCCTCCCCTCCCCGTCCCTCCCCCACCTTCTTCACTTCGTTCAGCTCGTTGCGGGTGGGGAAGTCGATGGGGTTGAGGTGGTTGGAGCCGGCTATCTGGTTCACCCGCCGCTTCACGTTGTCCAGCGCCTCACACAGCAGCTTGATCTGGGGAGGGGGGGGGGGATGAGAGGGGGGGGCGGCATGAAGGGGTGGGTGGGTGGGAATTCCGGGCGCTTGTAGAAATAGGACGCTCATGTACCTCTTGGCAGCCCTTATCGCCCTTTTCCCATATCCATCCTCCCCTGGTGTGTTCCTATACCTCCCTCCCCCCATGCACACCTCCTCATCCAACCCCCTCCCCTTCCTTCCCCTCTTAACTATCGCCCCCTCCCCCCACACCACACATTCAATTGCTTCTTTTTCCACCATGTCCAACCCCCCGCCCGTTTCCTTATTTTTAAACCCCCGCCCCACCTGCAGCCGAATGTCCTCCTCCGTGTCCAGCTGCACCACCCCCAGCGTCTGAACCAGGTAGTCACCCCCTCCCCCACCTCCTCCTCCTCCACCTCCTCCACCTCCTCCATTGGGCACCATTCCTCCTGCTCCTCCCCCTCCTGCCGCAACCCCACCCCCACCCCCACCTCCACCTCCATCTCCACCACCCCCCGCCGCCGCTGCCGCCGCTGCCGCCGCCTGCTCCCTGCTGGGTAGCGCCGCCGCCGCCCTCCCCTCCCGCACCACCCGCCGCATCTGCCCCTCCAGCGCCTCCAACTGCCCCTCCGTGGCGGCGAAGCGAGCCAGCAGCTGACTCATCAGCTCGCTCTCCTTGCTGGCCGCACCCGCGCGCAGCTGCTCGGTGACCTGGCAGGGCACGGGAGGGGGCAGGTGGGGAGGAGGGAGGGAGCAGGTGGGGAGGGGAGGACGCTACTGTATGCACCCCGCATGCTTGCAGGCATGGAGGCTGCATGCACCTCATAGAGGTGCAGAGGGATGGCAGACGGGGTCGAGACGCGCCGCACCCTCACACACCCACCATGCCTCCCTCACCCCTTCCAACCCCACCCGCATCCACACACACACACACGCAGTTTTCTTAACACACACACGCCCACCATGTTCCTACTCGCGGCCAGTTTTCTTAACACAGCCCACATACCCCCCCACCTCCCCCCACCTGCCGCATGGAAGCTACCGCCGCCGTCGCCTCCGCCACAGGGCCCTGCAGCCCCCGCACCGCCTCCTCCGCGCCCCTTGCCGCCGCCTCCGCCGCCTCGCCCCGCTTGCCCGCCCGCTCCACCCCCTTGCCCAGCCCCTCCAGCCGCCCCGACACCGCCTCCAGCCGCCCCCCCAGCCCCGCCACCTCCTCCCGCAGCAGAGACAGCTGGTGGGGGAGATCGGAGCAGGGGGACAGACGGGAGAGCTGCGGGGGAGGGGGGGTGGAGGAGAGGGAGGGAGGGGGCAGGAGAGGGAGGGGGTGAGCTGGGGTGTGCGGCGGAGGAGGAGGTGAGGGGCGAGGAGGCCCATTATGATGGGGATGAGGAGGCGCATAAAGAGGAATTCCGCGCCATACCGGCAACCCCTCATTCCCACTCCCCCTGCCTCAGTCTTTCTCCCGTCCACCCCCACCCCTCAACCACCGCTGCCACCACCCCTAACGGCGCCACCACCACCCTTGAGGTCCACCAAAGCCCCCTAGCCGCCCCCTCCCCCTCCCCTCTTCCCCCACCCCCCCTACCCCCACCTCCGCCTCCAGAGCCGCTATCTTGGCCTCCAACGCCGCCACCTGCGGAGAGGATGCAGCCGCCGCCGCAGCAGCACCACCCCCCGCACCATTACCCCCTCCCGCTCCTCCTCCTCCCGCCGCCGTCTCCCGCTCCCTCTCCCTCGCCTGCTCCAGCTGCGAGATGCGCGCCTCCGCTGCGGCCAGGCGGTCCAGAAGCAACAGCTGGGCGGAGGACAGCTCGCCCAGGGGGCCCTGGTAAGGGGGGTGGGGGGAGGAGGGTGGGTTGAAACCATGGGGCCGCGAAGGGGAGGAGGTGGACGGGAAGGCGCTAGGGGATGGGTGCAGACGGGTGGGGTGCAGGAGGTGAGCTAGGACACACCCCTTCCTTCTTGCGCCCACCCCCCTCCGTCCACAACAGTCGCCACCCTCAACCCTCTCTCTCAAAGACCCCCGGCCCTCCCTCCCTCCCTCCCTCCCTGCTCTCACCTTCCCAGCAGCACCACCGCCCGAGCTGCCTCCCCTGCCCACCCCGCCCAGCCCTCCTCCTCCTCCTGCTGCCGCCGCCCCCACCATCCCCGCCCCTCCCAGCGGGTTTCCCAGCGAGGTGAGGGAGCTCCGCATCAGACCGGCCCCCCCACCCAGCTTGGCGGTGAGGGGGCCGCCGACTAGCGGTGCGAGCGGCTCGGGGGGGCCGGAGGGGAGGGAGGAGGAAGGGGAGGGCAGGGGGGCGGTGGCGGGGGAGGGGGAGACGGGCGAGCGAAGGGCTAGGCCGGGGGAGGCGAGGCCGCTGTTGGTTAGACGGTTGCCGCCTCCGCCGCCTCGCAGGCTTTCCTCGATTTCGACTGTGATGGGTGGATGGTGGTAAGGGAGGGGGAGGGGAGCAGCGGATATGGAGTGAGTGCGGCTGCATGGCTTGCGGCCGTGCGCAGGTAGGGAACATGGGGTTTGTATTTCCCTGACCACCACCCATGAGGAGTCGCAGTATACCTGAATGAGCCTTCCCTTGGTACCCCAACCAGCACCACGCCTACACCTGCTACCCCACACCCTCCCCGCCCGTACCCCACACTTTCCCGGACCTGTACAACTTCCCAAGCCCTTGCTCCTCCCCTTCCCTCAAACCCCACCCAACTCCACCCAACTGGAAAACGCGCCTCCTCCACCGCCTCCTCCACCTCCACCTCCTCCTCCCGCCGCCCTGGCAAACGCATTCGCCGCCGCCAGCATCCCACTCGCTGCGCCCCAATTCGCCTGAGCCGCCGCCGCCGCCTTCAAGTCCACGTTTCGCAGCGGGAAGCAGGCGGGCTGCGGCGGCGCCTCGCCTCCTAGCCCCCCTCCCCCTGCACCTCCTCCTGCCCCCGCCCCCCGGGGTCGCATCTGCGGCCCCAGCTGCGCCACCATGTGGTTGCAGAGGGTGGTGAGGTCGTGAGAGATGAGGGCGAGGGCGGTGAGGAACTGCTTGAAGGTGAGGGCGGGGGAGCGCTGGGCGGCGGCGGAGAAGATGTTGGAGAGGTCCTGGGGGGAGACGGGACCTGGGGCCGGGAAGGAGGGAGGGAAAAAATATATAGGGAGGTGGAAGAAGGCCAAACCATCAGTGAGAGCAAGACGAAGGGAGGGAGGGAGGGAAAAGGTGGAAGCGGTGGGGTAGGTGCTGGCCGCTAACTCACTGTGAGCTTCAATGCTACAGCCAGTACCCGTAGTCACCATCCGTTACGGCACTCGTACAAGTGCTGCACAAGACCTTCCCTTACTACTCGCATACACACGTCCTGCCTGCACCGCTGCACGCCAAAACCGAACACCCTTCCCCGCCCCCGCCCCCGCCCCCCAGGCTCCGTTGCATCACCCCCACCTTCCATCCTCCCCCCCACCCCCACCCCACCCTTCTCCCCACCCGCCCCCACTCACCCACGGGCTGCGCCAGCCCCACATCCGCCCCCAGCTGGCTCCACTGCGCCGCACTCAGCCGCATGTCGCCGTCCAGCAGCAGCTTGTTGGCGCCGCTGCTGCTGCTGCCGCCCGCCCCCGTCGCCCCGCCCGCCCCCAGCACCAGCCGGCAGTAGTTGTTGAAGCACTGGCGGAGGGAAGCCTCCGTGCGGGCGTCAACTGGGGGAAGAGGGAGGGGGGAGGAGGAAAGCTACCGTTAATAAGGATCCTTTCCTACAAGCCTAAATCCCTGCAGTCCGCATACCGCCCCAGCATTTCGTTTCCTCCACCCGCCCATCCTGCCCCGTTCCCCGCTGCGTTTGTCCCTTCACGATTCCACCCTTCTACACCGCTCCACGATGCTCCTCTCACTTCCGCTTGCGCCCTCCACGACCCAACCCCCCTCCCCCGCCCCCACTCACGATCTCTCAGCGCATCCACCGCCTGCCCCATCAGCCGGTCCATGCCGCGTCCTCCCAACGCCAGCCCCCCTCCTCCTCCTCCTCCTCCTCCACCGCCTCCGCCTCCTCCCGGCTCCCCTCCTCCTCCTCCTCCGCCTCCTCCTCCTCCTCCTCCCGCATCCGACATGAGCACCGCCCGCCGGTAGAGCTCGCTGAACTCCACGGGCGTGAAGCGGTAGGCGCCGTTCTCCAGCTTGGACTCCAGACCCAGCGCGGCGGCTGCGGAGGAGTGGAGGAAGGGAGAGGGCGAAGGAGAGGGAGAGAGGGGAAGGGATGGGGGTGAGGAGAAGGGTTATGGAGGAGCGGGAGCTAGAGAAAAGGGGGAAGAAGCTGGTGGCGGGTTAGTGCAATGGATAGGAGGGACGCAGGGGATGGAAAGTGGGATGGAGAAGGAGGGCCGACAGAAGCGAGGGTTAGTATTGGTGTGGTGAGTTGGCATCGCGGTTGGCTTGGGTTGTGGATGTTGTTTTGCTTACATAGGCTTTTCACGCTGAGGCCATGGGTGCCGCAAAGCTCGTTGACTGCTGACGCCATCTCCCGAGGGTCCAGCAAACCGTCACCGTTCATGTCATGTCGCTTAAATAGTTGCATGGCCTTTTCCCTCCATTGATCCTGCAGGGCATGGATATGGCAACAGGTCAACAGGGTGTTATCACGGACCGTCGCTAGAGTGTACCGGTAAGCTGGAAAGTGAAATCAAGCGACTGTCGGGGTTCCGGCAGACTGCAAACAAGTACATGCAAAGCCTGGCGAGTACTTTAATAGAAATAGGGACACTTGCGGGACGGACGGCTTAAAATTTGTGCAGAAGCTGACCCAGGCCGTTGCGACTGCGTAGGTTTTCATGCCAGCAGGTGGCTAGAGCGACCAGCTCACCTTCGATGCCCCAGCACCTGCTTGCTCCCTTGTCGCCATTACTACGAATGCGGATTATATAATCAATCTAAGATAGTCCCTTTAGGCCTTCCAGTTAACGTCCCATGCACGTAAGCTTCGTAAGCTTCGTGCAACTAAAGCAACATCCCTATTAATTGATAATGGTTATCCAATGATTGCTTTACTGTCTATAACTAGACCAAAGTTCCGAAGGGTCAGGGAAAAATGGCGTGCTCTGTGTAACGGTGTGCCACAGCCATAACATCTGAGGCTTACGACGATTAGTAACTATGTATTGAGAAGTCATAGCGATGCATAGAAGCGCACGCGTGATAGCGAGGTAGACGCAGTACGGCATCTAGCTGTATTCTTTTTTTACTCCAACTCGTGATAGTTATGCAACTTAAAGCTTATTTTGCACAACATGCTCGAAATTTGCTGCGTGTTTAAGGCCTCTTACTAAGTAACCACCCAACAACGGCAACATCGCTTGCTGAAGTACCTTCACAATTGCGCAGATGACCTAGACAGGAGGGCTGCGTCCGCTCTCAGCGCTGCATAGTTGATTGCTGCTTTAGCGCCTTTCAGCCTTTACGGCGCATCATCGTGCCCCGTGCTTGCGGCCTTCCGACGCGCTACGTCCCAACAGCTTATGCATGCCTCGCATCATGCTGGGCCAAAACCCTGTAGAAGTACTTGCATGCACCTCGCTTTCACATTACGAGGCTCTGATCCTATGCCACGAGCATCTGTTACTATTGGCCAGTATATGGTATGTGCAATGAACACCGCCGGCGGTGAGTGCCGTGCGACAATGCCTTTTTAGTGCCTGAGATCCTGAAAGACAAGCCACTAAGGGTGGCATGCAGTGCGCATCATTACTTGCGTTACAATGAGAGTACCCTAAAACCCCAGCGTCGTGACGCCGCCGCGAGTATCGGCAACAGCTATTAGCCTATCAGGTAACCGCTACTGGCCTGGCGATGCAAGTACTGGCAAAGAGGTAACGACCTACATGCTCACCCTCACACATTGCGATACAAACCAAACCAATTCGCCCAAACCAATCGCCTGTGGTGGGACAAGGCGCCCCTGCCACACACCTGCCCACATGCGCCGTGTCAAGCCATACGCTGGTTGCAACTGTTTGGCAACGGCTTGAGCCCGCGAGCGATTAGTTCAGCAGCTCACACAAATTCCGACTCGCGGCCAGCTTTGTTAACATACATGCGCTATGCCCGTGCTTTCTCTTCCCAAAGAAACTTCTCTGCCTTACCCTACCCTTCACCCTAGACGCAAGGCCCATGCCGATACCCTAGCAATCCCCAGGGCCCCCACACCGACCAGAATACTTGACCCTTCACAAACCCACAACCATACCCCACAGTTCATTGAACCCAAGAAGCAAGGAGCCAAAGCTCCGCCCCTGCCCCTCTCCAACTGCACTCCCACCCTCTTTCGCCTCAAACACCACGGCAAAGCCTCACATCATCACCAAAACGCATTGGGCGGCTGTTGCTGCGGCGGCGGCGGACCGCCGTACATACCGCCTCCGCCGCCACCACCCTGCTGCTGCTGCGGCGGCGGCCCTCCTCCGGCGTTCCAGCCCCCGCCGCCGCCCGGTCCCCCACCCTGGGGTCCTCCGTAACCCCCACCCCCGCCGCCACCTTGGTATCCGCCGCCTCCGCCTCCGCCGTACCCTCCTCCGCCGGGACCGCCGCCGTACCCTCCGCCGCCGCCACCGTAACCCCCTCCGCCGCCTGCATTATAGCCTCCGCCTCCGCCGGCGTTGTAGCCTCCTTGTTGCTGTTGCTGCGGCGGAGGCCCGCCGTACATGCCGCCACCCCCACCACCGCCGCCGCTGCCACGGCCTCCGCTGCCACCCCCACCTCCTCCCTGCTGGGTGAACCCGCCGCCAGTGTTCGCCGGCGGCCCGCCGTACATGCCACCTCCGCCACCTGCCGCCGGCGGCGGAGTCCTCGGCGGCCCGCCTTGGCCACCAGGCGGCGGCCCATAGGGGTTCGTCGGCGGTGCGCTGCCGTACGGATTCGTCGACTGCGGAGGTCCGCCGTACATGCCTCCTCCTCCTCCGCCCCCTCCACCGTACTGCCCTCCTGGACCCCCATACCCTCCTCCGCCCTGGTTTCCGTACCCTCCGGCACCGCCACCGCCTCCGCCGGCTGCCGCCGCTGACGCGGCGGCGGCGGCGGATCCGCTGGGTCCTGCCGTACACAGCACGGGCTGTCCGCTCTCCAGCGCCCGGATGTACGACAGCATGTTGCCGCACTCCTTGACGTAGTCGCTGAGGCGCTCCAGGCGGTAGATGGACACCTTGATGCGCGACTCGTCGTTGTAGTGGTCCTCAGCCACCTGGCGGCAGCAGCAGCAAAGCGGCGACATGGGGGGAAAAATTTATATAAGTGAAACAACGAATCCCAATCCCATATCCCGACTCATGCAGTGAGCGCAAAAAAGGGAAAAAATGACAAAAGCAGCAACTGGAGCCCTAACCCCATATCTCGGAGGAGGGAGGGCGGGGAGTGCGACTGTGGGCCAGTAGAATACAGGTTGGCATCCGCTGTGAGTGGACAGTGCTCAAGCATTCAATTAGGGCCCCTCCTTTCCCTCCTTCCCTTTTGCAGGCTGCTTTGCAAACCCCCCTGCATCGTGTTCTTTGCAAAGCAGCCCCAGCCCCGCCCAACCCCACCACACTTCGACCACTCTTCGCACCTTGAGTCGGAAGATGAAGGGTGTGAAGCGAATGGACTCCGTGATGCGGTCAAACTCCTGCGTAGCACGGCATGGAAGACCTCAGAATCACTCGATTCAGAAGCACGACTCATGACGTCATCCTTCCGACTAGGCAGCGGCAGCGAGGACCCCCCCCCCCCTTACCCGCCCCTCCACCCCACCCCTTCACCCAGCTGCCTCCCACCCTCATCCCACACCACAAGTTGGAATTTCTTTTTTCCTTCCGCCCCATCCGGCTGCCTTCCCCAACCCCTTCCCAACCCCTTCCTCCTCCTCCTCCTCCGCTCCCCCGCACCTGGGAGTTCTCCTGCTCCAGCTGCCGTACCTCCGCAGCGGTGCGCCCAAAGATGCCGTCACCCGAGTCCCCGAATGCGGTCAGGAACTGCTTGCCCGTGTGGTCGCAGGCACTCAGGGACACCTGGGAGGGGGCAAGACAGGGAGGGGGGGGGGGGCAGCAACCAAGAAACATAACGGTAAGAGTGCAGGTAAGAGGCAACCATGATATGGGTCGGAAAAGGGTGGGAACGGGGTTGCCGGGGGTTGGCATTAGGAGTGGGGATAAAGCACGGTTGGGGACAACCCAACCTATCTGAGCTCTGCCCCACCACCACCCCCGTTCCCTCTCTCCCTCCTCCAGCGTCTCCCTCCTCCCTTCCCCACCCGCCTCCAGCGTCTCCCTCCACCACCATTTCGGCTCGACTCACGGTTGATTGCACCAGGGATTGTCAGCAACTTGTATCATTATCACACCACACTTTGGAATTTCTTTTTTCTCCCCCACCCGCTTCCCCCACCTACCAGGTACCTCCACGCCGGGTTCTCCGTGCTGTACTGGCAGCGCTCGCAGTTCCAGTTGCCGCCGCCCAGGTCCATCATCTTCTTCTGGCAGGGCCTGCAGGAGGGGGGAGGAGAGGAGAGGGGAGGAACAGAAGGTTAAAGAGGGGAGGGGGAAACATGAGGAGGGAAGGGGGAGCGACAGGTATTAGGATGCGGTGGGTGGGTGTGGGCCACGGGCCTGGGAGGAAGCAGCGCACAAACCCCTCTCCCTCCTGCCATCCGCCCTCCCCCCTTCGGTATGGACCGCTAATAACCACTTGTTTTTGCGACATCCCGCCGCCCCTCTCCCCTTTGCCCTGCCCTCCCACGCCCATTCAAGCGGGCTGGCTTCTCTCCTACCCTCTCCCTGCTCCCTGGGACCCCCCCCCGGAGCCCCCACCTTCCGTTGAAGTCGTGCGGGCAGGCCGGGTACACCACCGCCGAGGTGTTGCCCCCCGCGTTGCTGTTGGGCGGCTCCACGCGGATCATGTCCATCACCCCCGACACCGTGATCCAGTCGGGCTTGCCGGAGGTGCCCAGGTGCTCGTCCTGCACGTGGGGGGGGGGCGGTGGGGACCAAGTACAGTAGGTTTGTAGAAGTGGGAGAAGGCGGGTGGATGGGTGCCCGCACCGCCCGCCCCCTGCTGTCATACAGCTCGTTAGTTGCATCGTGAGTGTCTCATTAATGTTTTGCCCGCCCCCTGCTTGCCTTGATGGCCGAGAAGGTGACCCGGCGGTCCGCCTTGCCGCCCCCGCCGCCCCCGCCCGCGCTGCTCAGCGAGCTGGCCACCTGCGTGCGGCCGCCGCTGTCGTACCTGCGGGTAGGGCGAGGTGGGAGAGGAAAGGGGGGGAAGGGCGAGGGAGGGGTGTTGCGGATGGGATTGATGTTCCGCATAGGGCTGGAGGAAGAGGGATGAGGAGGCATGAGGAGAGAATGCGTTGAAGAGTACTTTTGAAGATGTCAACATGATAGCACAGCCCGCCCCTTCCCTCCCCTCCAGGTGTCCCTCCTCCTCCCTCCTCCTCCCCCCTCCCTCCCCCTCCCCTCCCCCCTCACCAGCTCCTCAGCCTCTGCGCCGCCGGCAGGTCCATGGGGTCGATCCGAAGCGAGGAGGCGCCCACCGTGGACAGCGTCTTGCCGTTGAAGTCGCCCACACGCAGAGCCTTGGCGGCCAGCACCGGGCGGCCGCCGTTGCGAACCGTCTGGGATAGGAGGGGGAGGAGGGGGTGCGGGAGGTTAGGTGGGGCTTGGGAGGGTTGCACGGGAGCTGGGCTTTTGTGATATGTTTTCCGCCGCCCCGCCGCCTCCGTGGTAGGCGGGCCACACAAGGCACGAGCGCACGACCCTCCTGCGTCCTCCCAGACCAGACCATACCACCGCCCTCTCCCTTCGTGTCACACGGCTTGCCTGTACTCTCTTTTACCCACACTCCCCACCTGCTCCCCCCCCTCACCTGCTCGATTGCGTCCCCCGGGTTGCTGACCAGCTGCCCCCACAGCGTCACCTCGATGGAGCGACCGCTGTCGTCGCGAACCACCAGCGAGCGCTTCTGGGTCTCCTCGCCCGTCTTGCGGGTGATGGTCTGAGGGGGGGGGGGGTGATGGGCAGGAGGTGATGGGCAGGAGGGGAAGGAGGGAGGAGGTGATGGGCAGGAGGGGAATAATCCGCAGGAGAGGGGTCGAGAGAGGGCCGTGAGCGCCAGGACGAGGGGGCTATTAACATCTGCATGAAAAATAACTTAACAGCGAGCTTCTCGTGTAAGAGCTGAATACCTCCGCATGTGTGGTGCGGGCCGGCTGCAGTACACCCTGCCTATCCGTTCGCTCCTTGACGTCCCTCCCTCCTTCTTGCCGCCTCCTATCCCGCCTGCTCCCCCTCCCTGTCATGGCCTTCTTCTTCTCCTCTCATGGTCGGGTTCCTTTCCACCTCCCTCCCCTCCCCGCCGCACCCCCTCCCTCCCCTCCCCTCCCCGCCGCACCCCCTCCCTCCCATCCCCTCCCCTCCCCGCCGCACCCCCTCCCTCCCATCCCCTCCCCTCCCGGCCGCACCCCCTCCCTCCCCTCCCCTCCCCTCCCCGCCGCACCCCCTCCCTCCCCTCCCCTCCCTTCCCCGCCGCCCCCCCTCCCTCCCCTCCCCACCGCCCCCCTCCGTCCCCTCCCCTCCCCTCCCCGCCGTCCCACCTGCCACGGCTCGCAGCTCTCCACCAGCCCGATGATGTCCACCATGGACCCCGCCTCCGCCGTCTCCAGCTCCGTGATGCGGCGGAACTGGGGGGAGTGGGGAGGCATGGGGAAGGTAAGCGACATGGGGGAAGGTAGGGGGAAAGCAAAAGAGTGGGATAAGGATAAGAAAGGTACAAGGTGAAGTTCTATGGCAATAAGGGAGGCAAGGGGGCGGAAACCAGCGACTCACAGCCCTACACCGCAGTGCTCATGCACACCAGCACCTTGCATGCCGTTACCCCCAATCCCCCCCTTCCCTTCCCTCCCTAGCATGCTCTTCCCCGCCCCTGCCTCCCTCCCGCCCTCCTCCCTCCCCCCCCTCACGTTGAAGCTGATGGTGGGGATGAGCGCCGTCTCGTTGTCCTCCGGCACCGCCTCCACGGTAGAGTTGCGGTCCAGGCGGATCTCGTACGGGTGGTTGAGGTGGTTGAATTGCTGGGGGGGAGGGAGACATGGGGCATAGGTGACGCATGTGAGACACGTGTAACGCGTAGGAAAGGCGTATAGGAAGGGCGGGCAAGAGCAGGAGAAAGGGCAGGTGAACATGAACGCAAGGTGACAAAGGAACGACACCCCCCGGCTCCCCCATTCCTGGGGTTCCCCTTCCAGAGTCCTTCCCTTCCTTACCAGGATCTGTCAAGCAAGCCCCCAATACACAGCCCCTCCCCCAGTGCCCACCTCCCCGCTACACCTACCGGCCGCTTCTGCGTGAGGCTGGCCTTCGTGATCTGGTAGATCTTACCCGCCTGGGGGAGGCGAAGGAGGGGGAATCGGGGATAAGAGGAGATGGAGACGAGAGGGAAGGAGGGGAAGGGTTGAGTTGGATGGCGCAGGGCAAAGGGTGTGCAGGCGGGGCGCGACCCACCACCCGCACTCACATGCATGCGGCACCATGCGCCTTTTCGACGCTCTACCCGGTTTCGGACACCCATAATCCGACCCCTGGCGGGCGCTTGTCACGCGTTCCCTCACCCTCACCTCCAATCCCATGGGCCGGGACATGGGATTGGGATTCACGTCGCTTTCCGTTTCCCATTCCATTCCACCCCATTCCATTCGTCCTTTCCACCGCCTCCCCCTCCCCCTCCTGACTCGTTGCTGCAACTATCATTAGTTTTCCCCCCTCCTCCCTCACCTCCACCATCTCATAGAACTTGTCCGCCTCCGCCCCGAACGCAGTGGCGCGGATCTCCCCGCCGTCGCGGTCCAGCAGGTCGAAGGAAAACACCTTGCCCTCGCCCTTCACGTTGTTCCACCTGGTTGGGGGGAAAGGGGGAGGGAGGGGCAGGACGGAAGATAGGGGGGGTCAAAGACCATACCAAACCATAGGAGATAGGGGGGGGGGTATGGTAAGAGATAAGCCTATGGACTATGTGCCTGCTCACTCCTCTCTCCTCACTGAGCCCATATGCCACACCATCGCCCAGCCTTCCCACGTCATCGCCCACCCCTTCCCACGCCCCCCGCATCCCTCCCGTCCGGCTCGACAAACTCGATGCCTTTCATCAGGAGCTTGTCATCTGTTTTGCCTTTCTCATTCAACACATTGGGTATTCCTCTTTTTCCGCCTCCCCACCTGAGCAATTTCCGGTAATCTACGGTCAGGGTCAGTGTTTCCGCGGCTCAGTGTATCTATTCCCACCTGCGCAGCTCGCCCTTGCTTGTCACTCGCGCCCGAATGGCCCAGCGGGCCGTGTAGGGGTTGAGCGCTGAGATGGGCATGAAGCGCGGAGGAGCCTCGTCGCGAGCGATGGCGCCCTGGCCCTGGTACTGCGGCGGGGGCCGGGAGCCCCCCGGGCCTCCCCCGCCTCCGCCGTAGGGGTTGTAACCGCCGGCCCCAGGCGCAGGTCCGCCTCCGCCTCCGCCGTACATGCCTCCACCGCCTCCGCCGTAAGGCCCAGCGCCTCCGGCGGGACCACCGCCTCCGCCGTAAGGCCCAGCGCCTCCGGCGGGACCACCGCCTCCGCCGTAAGGCCCAGCGCCTCCGGCGGGACCACCGCCTCCGCTGTAAGGCCCTCCGCCAGTGCCTCCGCCGCCGGCAGGGTTGACGGCCGGCGGCGGCGCTCCGTACATGCCGCCAGGCGGAGGGCCCTGCTGGTAGGCGTTTTGGGGCCCGCCGTTGTTGTAACCGCCGTTGACTGGGGGCGGGGGCCCGCCGTACATGCCTCCGCCACCAGGCCCATTTGGGTTGGGCCCTCCGTATGGCCCACCGTTGGCACCGGGGTTGTTGTACCCGCCCGCTTGCTGCTGCTGAAATGGCTGTGCCGCCTGGGCGTTGCTGCCGTTCCCTCCAAACGCCTGCTCCTCAGCGAGCTTGCCGGCGTCAAGGAGCTCAGTGTGCGGCGGTACGACAATTGGGGTGCTGTACGTGCCGTACTGATCTAGAGGCTGGCAGTTGAAGGCAATGTAAATCCTAGTGGGTTCGACATGTGGGGAAGGGGGGGTGGGCAGCGTCGGATGACGGGTGGTGAGTACTGGGAGGAGGCAAAAAAGGCAGGCCCCGGGGGAGGGTGCCGTGTCAGCTAGTCAACTGGAAAGCGTAGCGAGTGTGATGCAGGCAGGGGTAAAGTTTTATCAATCATGTACATGACGCACGACTAAGCAAAGGCACAAGGGGGGAAACCAGTCTAGCGGGTAGTGGTAGTACGAGGGCGGAGCCATAGGACGTCGCTCACACACTCTTACAGCTTCAAGAGCAGACACAGCTGACACCTCTGGACTATCTAAGCTGACCCTTGATACAACAACAGCCTGTATATGCTGCATAAGCTAAGCAGCTTATGTTAAGGATGGCAAACGGGAAAAACGCAACGTACACACTTTTTGGAATTGACAATGTTGACGATAAAGTCCGTAACTTGTATAATTGCACCCTGGGTGATAGCGCCAGCGATGATCAGGTCCGTTACTTGCGAGCTGAGCATGACGAATAGGCCATACTGTCCATCGCCGAGGCGGATGCGGAACCGTGGCCTAGCGTTCGGCTGCTGTCCCTCCTTGCCGGGTATATGCTTGATCTCTGTTCATACAGGGGATTTCAGCTGTGTAAGCCTATGAACGCGCGGGAAAAAGCCCGCTGCAGCCACCTACCAATGACTTGAAAAGTTCCTGTAATGTTAACCTTTGAGTCTGGTCCCGATGGTGTCGATGCAACCCTGAAAAGGTCGCCCGTCGTAAGCGGTGGGAGCTGCATCTTCAATCTAGCTTATTAGCACCTCATCAGCAAGTTGCAAAAGCGCAACGCAGCGCAGCGTTTGCTTTTGCAAAGCGCAGTGTAATAATGTCATATACAGTATACTGCAACGCTGCCTAGCCCATGTCTGTTGGCGGACAGGCCTAGGTTACCGATGCCTGCTGTGCATGCTGCGCAATGAAGCCTACGCTGAAGCTCGTCCCACCGTACAACAATCTGCGTGCCGGCCAGCTCTAAAGCTGAGTTCGCTTCCTGGCTGTGGAAGGCTTATAGTTTTGTCGGAAATCTGCTCATCCTGCTCATTACAGGCGAGCGTCAATTTAAAGGCAACACGCATCCAAACTACGGAACCCAGGCTTGCTCACACATGATCGTTGTTTCATTTCGCAACGTAACTTAATGTCTGCATGGTTACTACGGAGGTCTCCGTCCTGGTCAGCCGCGTAGCGTCGTGTTTTGGTTCCTAGCCCAAGAACTAGCCACTTCATGCCTCGCCTGATTATTGTAAAAGCCATGATCTCCATACTTTTTGCCAATGCTCCTTTTCCCACCTATGCAGTGTCCCTCCTAGGGCTTGCGCTTGCTTGATGCGGGCATCACTCAGGGTGACGAATCCAACTGCCAGTCCGAGCCCTTGGCTCCTTCTTGGCCTGTGTCTTTGGTACTTCCCCGTCAAGGCCGTGACTAAGCCCTTCCTTTCTTATGACCATACTGTACAACGCGGGTTCGCCCCAACAGGGAAACCTGCAGCCTATTGACTGAGACTTCAGTTGTTGCATGCCATCGACGGCTATTGGTGGCCACATAACGACATGCACCAAACACCAACCGCAATATTTAGATGCATATACTGCATGGCAATGTCCAGGTTGCCGACTCATGAAAACTCGATGGTGGAAAGAGCTACAGGAAGGGTGGGACTGAAGCGCAACATCCCATCCCGAGTCATTACCAGGCCTCCATCACGCAAACATCACGCAACAATCTGGTATGTATGAGGTAGTCAAACTACCTCATACAAAAAATTGAAATTCTGATGCCACCCCTCTCCGTTTTGACTTAACTAGCTGCATGCATACCGTAAACCCTGCTTTATAAAATCACGTGACCCACTGCGGCCAAATCCTCCACTGCGGCCCTCTGACCTAGCACACCATCACATCAACTACCCCTACACATCCTACATGCACCAAGGCACCATCAGCTGCGGCCGAGGCAAGCGTGAGCAGCCGCTGCTGTCACTCTCTTGCTGCCAAGCCTTTTCACCTGCAGTCCATACCTGCTGCTGCTGCCGCAGCCCAACCTGCTGCTTACTTAAACCATGTTGTGCTAGTGCTGGCAGCAGCCGTGTGACTTGCAGCCGGTGCTCCTCGTAGCCATTGTACGATGACGACGGTGAAAACGAATCAAAATACATGTTATACGGCACCCTAGTCCTACCGTACGGTAACGCAGGGCCGGTGGACGAGTAGGTGCGGTTTAAGCGCATTAGCGGCATTCTGCGCAGCACTACGCAGGGGAATAATTGCTGCTGGTTGTTACTCTTCCCGCTTCTATGTTTTTTAGTTCGAAGAGCTGGCTCGCCGGTTGGCCACTTTATGTGCGCAAGTGGCACATAAAAGCGCTTGTTTTTTAGCTTGCCGTGTTACATGTGGATTCCTTGGCTAGCATCTGTTCAACGTAGCGGCTTAAACACAGCCCTCGCGCACACTACGCTACATCTACATATATATCAAACACGCGCAACATGGGAGGGCGGGGTCGAAAAGGGGTCGTACGCTTGTACTCAACCCTGCACTCTCCGAACTTAAAAAAGCAGGACCTTGAGGGCACGCCTCCATCACGAACTCGTTCGTGAACGTGTATGTATGTATGTTACAAGCTTCAGGCTCGTAAGGCCCAGACGAGCCAGTAGGCTCATGGACCGCCCGATAAACAAGCAGAGAAAGCAAAAGAGAAAGTGGTAGGCATCAATATGAACTTGTTACTATAATACGTCCCGACATCCGGGGACCGCCGGTCGTACATTCCCGACATACAGCCGCCAACCTAGATGCTTTCAGGCTTTCAGGAGCTCCGGTCCCCCTTGTAACTTTCGCATCCTAGATGCCCCACATACATGCTATTTACCAGTAACCTTGCACACTAATAGCTTTAAATGAAAGCATAGTACGTAAGACCTCATGTATGATGCGTAACCCCATCGCTCTACACCCATAGGTCGCCAGCTATCGGCGGGACTATCCTCATACGATAGCAGTAGCGTTTTACTAGACTCGAAGCATGTGGAATAATACCCGTCGGGGTTGGCATTCAAGGTGCCCTCAAGCATTGCCAAGGCGCCAAGGACAACGCAAACTTTTGGGTCGAGGTTACCCAACCAACATGCTTCTACACATTCTGCTTATGTAAGAGCTGCTTGGGCAAAGTGCCCTTTCTGCTGGTTTGTCAGTTTGTCTCTAAGACGCCCACCTTTGTTTCGTCAATGGTTTGTAGGCTTTCGTCGGCGACGCTCGCCTTTTCACAAGGTTGGTGAACTCTGGACTGGGACTACTAACTATTGCACCGTATCAGGCAACACGCAGTCGCATACCAACTGGCGAAAGCGACACCGGGTCACTTGGCAGCAGGGAATGTGTCAGGTCCGCGGACCAGTCCCTCCCACTTCACACCCTGTATCATTTCCAAGGACAACATCACAGCCATACTATGCGTCGGGGCTGGGTGCTGGTTGAGCTATGGACGGCTCACCGTGTCGGACTTTCCATGCCGCGGGGAGGTCCAAATGCACGGCTTTCTCTCTTACACGGGGAGCCTCCCAACTCCCCGACAGAAACGCATTATTTTTTATATATCAAACTTGCTTCCTAATGCCTAGAAACGCTTCTAGATTGGTCCAATAGGCTCCCCAGAGCTGCGCGCGGCAGTACGCTGGCCATCCGATTGGTGCTTGCAATGCCAATCTGGCCCCGTGCGTAAACTTGTACACGCCTGTTACACGGCCCCAGCCATTTACCTACAATAGTCTTAACAATTTGCAGTATAGGACGGCATGGGGTGCAATCGCTTTGCAGCCGCACGCGTATCCTGTGGGGAGCTGGCGCAAGTAGAGCTAGGCATCACAAAACATCCCGAACGATAGGCTAGCACTCTAAAGGCTATACTTGATGTCACAATTCCATATCATCATATATGCACTTATCGCGTTATTTGTAATTAACTTCACCTGGACTTAGGCAACGGCGAACGGTCCATAGGGCAACGAACAGTTAAGAACTTAGCGAAGTATTGGTATACAAGAAGCTTCCAGCGTAATCACCGAAGATTCATGATGCCTTCTGTAACAGAGCATGCATCGGAACTTTCAGGGAACCTGGGGCGGACTTAGAGTTATCAGGGTTGCAACAACAAAGGAATGAAAAGTTGGGAAAGGTGTTGGTTCCGATGGCAAGCGGCATTAGCAGTCTGGCGAGCGGCGGGTACATGCAATGAACACAAGAGTCGCAATCTTGGTCTAAACGACGGGCTTAGGACAGTAACGCAAGCCCTTACTGTAATGTAGTTGAGGAATGACAGGTACGACGGCAAAATAGCCTGAAATATGGGTGGGGATGTTGTTGCCATGTGGCTTAGATACCAGACCTCGCGATTCACGGCCTCTTGCGGCCTTTCGGAGCCCTGCAGAGCATCCGAGAAGCCTTTCCTAGGCTGATGTAGAGCTTTCCCTATACCAAAATAATTGCGTTTCATGCGGGGAGGCATAGGCCTCCCCGTGTAAGAGAGAAAGCCGTGCATTTGGACCTCCCCGCGGCATGAAAAGTCCGACAAGGGGAGCCGTCCATAGCTCTGCTGGTTTATCAGCTCGGCAGTTCTAGTGTGTGCGTGCGTGCGGCCTGGGGTTGACCTCGGGGCCTGGACTGGGCTCGGGTGCACCGATACATGCCCATCACCCCCCATCCCATTGAGTGTCACACTTGGTTGCGAGGTCGCCGAAACGTCAGATCTCAGCAAGTCGTTTTAAATATGAATTTGCCATGTGGAACGGGAGTCTGCTGAAACGGTTGATTGTTGCTAGCCGTTGTGTGTTCTGCATTACTGGGACTGTTATCCTGACTGCTGGCTGTCCCGACTGGCTGCATGGGCGGCGTGTTGGGATTGCGTCTTGGGTCAGTCTCCGGTGCCGCAGTCTGTTTAACGTACAGTCCCTTGTATGCACCGCATTATGTGACATATGTACGACACACCTTTATTTATTACTTGCCCGCAGCAAATATGGCTCCCAATGGGTGGACGTGCTACGAGGATTCGGATGTCCCACCGTAAGTTCATAACTCTGCTACCGTATTACTGTCCGTCAATCCTATAGTGTTTAAACATGTAGCTATGCTGTTGGCTGTCCTGCCATGTCAATCTTGTTTCGTGTTCGGTGCAGGGGCTTTGGGGATGGCTTTGAACTCCAAGGCAGTTTCACTGATGTAGTGGATCAGGCCGTTGAATACCATTATGACAATATAGTATACCTTACTGGCGGCAATGAGGCCTTCCTTTATGATGGTGCTATTACCGCGGACAGCCGACTGTACTCCCCTGGCAAAGGTAGGAAGGTCCGTTGATGGACAGCCTGCTCTGATGATGACCATCCCAGCAGCATATATATATCCGCAGGGGATACCGTACCTTGCTTATCCCCGCCCTTTGCTTGATGACCTGCATGTGCGTGCTGCTGCGTGACACTCCGCCCGCCCGCCCTATCCCTCCCTCGCTCCAGTGCTGTGCATTAAGGGGGGAGCAGGCGGGCCCTTCGTTGCAAGTCACGCTCCTCCGCCGGCGACCGCGCCGCCAGCACCCAAACCCGCCTCAGGTATCAGTAGCACGCCACGGCACTGGTTCTTTGGGGGCTCTGACCATCCAACTGCTGGGTGCTGTATGTAGACACGAGCAATCAAGCATGCATGCTGCCGGTGTGTTCATGAGAGCGTAGTTAGTTGCTCGTGTGTATGTCATTCCGCGCGTCCTCAACGGCACACGTGATTGCGCACCTCGTCATTGCAAGCTCACCGTGCGGACCCTGCCTCGCATATCCCAACACTCCTTCGCCGCCGCCTTCTTTGTCGCCGTCACCCTCCCCGTCGATGGCCACACCTCCACCGTCTCCAGGTATGTTCCAGTGGAAAAGGGGCGCCGTACATGCGAGCTTGCTGCCAACGCTATAGCACACGACAGCTAGCGTCAATGTCTGTCCGTCCCCATTGTGCGCGTGGTTGCATGCGTGCACAACGTGAGACTAGCAAGACAACTTTCGAACCAAATCATAAGCAACCAAGCAAGCAAAGTGCGTGATGCATGGGGCTATCTATCTGCGGCTGGGGTATGATGCTTATTACCTTGCCTATTGGGGTATTATGCATGGGCGCGTTCAGGGACTGATGAGATATAACGTCCTTCGCTTGGACGCCGTACGAGCTAACCGCTAGCTCACCATGTATGAGACCTCCTGGCTGGGCCGCCATCGGGCAGGGGCCCTTGCTTGGCCGTCTGGCGCCTTTGGGGTGTGTGAGGGGTTAGGTTCGTGTGTGCGGCCCAGGGTCACGACGGGGCCTGGGTCCACGCACCCACCATCAAAGTTGTGGGCTGCCTCTGTTAACGCTGCGGGGGCTGGGACTGGGGAGGGCGGGGCATGCAGAAGAGGAAGCGTAGTGGGCTCTGATGCTGGATGGTACGTACAGGGCCGCCTGTATATACGGCGTGGAGGGGTGCCTAGGTGGCAGGGAAGCCATGAGCGGAGAACATGGCATGCGGTTCAATTCAAAGAATTATCCGAGCATGCTGTTGTAGAAGCCCAGCCTCGTGCTGCTGATGTTGGAGGGGTGCCCGAAATTGGGCCTAAACCGTCTCGGATCGTGGGGTTCCACGATCGCCCTGGAGGGAAGATAGAAACACTTGGCAGGGGGAACAAGGGGATTACGGGTTTTAGCAGACGCTGCAGCGCTCTCACACATTGTTGCACAGACAGACGTTTCTGTAGCTTTGGATTTTGCACCGAGGCGTTCCCCAACTTACTTTGCCCCCCCTTCAGCAAACAAGCACAACCTTGCACATTATCGAATCTGTCATTTTCTCCTGCTGTACGATGTATACCTATTTATACCTCGTACGGCTACGCTTTTGACACATGTACAACGACATATCTTTTGCCCGCAGAGCGGCCTGTTATTGACTTCTATTTCTGCTATCTGGATGCGGACATACCGTAAGTCCACCATTGCTTGCACGTTTGTGCCTGTATGCGCTTACGCTGTACGTACACGCATTCGTTCGTCATGTTTCTGCCTTGGTGTCCGCAAACATCACCTACGTACCCTCCAACCATTGTCTTACCGCATCTAGCCCATGCATCTATAGCCCATACAATCTGGCTGATAGCGTTCCCGGGTGACAACCCTTACTTGACATGTTTCCCTGCCTTCCCTGCAGGAACAAGTTACTACATGTGTTCGATGAGCAAGGACCCTATAATGCGACGCAGTTTGCGGAAGAAACTCAAAACGATTATGGAGCTTTCGTAATCTCCGCTGATAAAATGCGCATCAATGCCTCCTATGACACTTATACCGCGGCGGACAGGGTGTACTCCCCGGGCGCAGGTAACTAAGTCCCCTGCTGCTGACAGCTGCTGCTTGTAATTGCCCAGCTGCTGACCTGATGGAGCTAGATTGCGTGACAGGCTCAAGTTAGCCTAACCGACAAGACTCTCTTCAATAATAACATCTGCTATGTGGCACTTTGAAGTTAAGCTTCGTCCTTCCTGCCCGAACCCTCCAGTCCTGTACTTATGGGGTGACGGGGCCCTAGGCGGACCCTGCACACCAACGCTTCCACCCACACCGTTCCCTCCACCTTCACCAGGTATGTATAGTAGCTACGGGGTTGGTTCTTTGGCATACTTGCTTGAGGGCTATGAGCAACTAAGTGGGTGCTGTACCTGGCCGTGCATACGAGTATGCTGCCACTATTGCAGTACACGAATCCGTCGCCCTCTCCTTCTGCGGTGCCTTCACCAGTGCCCTCGCCGGTGCCCTCACCGTCGCCCTCTCCTCCACCAATGCCCTCACCGTCGCCCTCGCCAGTGCCGTCGCCATCACCCTCGCCGTTGCCAGTGCCCACGCCGGTGCCCACGCCGGTGCCCTCGCCCGTGCCCTCGCCGTCGCCATCGCCGGTGCCCTCGCCAGTGCCCTCACCGTCGCCCTCGCCGGTGCCCTCGCCTTCACCCTCACCGGTGCCGTCACCCTCGCCGTCGCCAGTGCCCTCGCCAGTGCCCTCTCCGTCGCCCTCTCCTTTGCCAGTGCCCTCACCGGTGCCCTCGCCGTCGCCCTCACCGGTGCCCTCGCCCGTGCCCTCGCCAGTGCCGTCGCCATCACCCTCGCCGTCGCCAGTGCCCACGCCGGTGCCCTCACCGGTGCCCTCGCCCGTGCCCTCGCCGTCGCCATCGCCGGTGCCCTCGCCAGTGCCCTCGCCGGTGCCCTCTCCGTCGCCCTCTCCTTCACCAATGCCCTCACCGTCGCCATCACCGTCGCCGTCGCCGGTGCCCTCGCCAGTGCCCTCGCCGGTGCCCTCGCCTGTGCCCTCGCCGGTGCCCTCGCCTGTGCCGTCGCCAGTGCCCTCGCCCATGCCCTCGCCCGTGCCATCGCCTGTGCCCTCGCCAGTGCCCTCGCCGTCGCCCTCTCCTTCGCCGGTGCCGTCACCCTCGCCGTCGCCAGTGCCCTCGCCAGTGCCCTCGCCGTCGCCCTCTCCTTCGCCGGTGCCCTCGCCAGTGCCCTCGCCGGTGCCCTCGCCGTCGCCCTCTCCTTCGCCAGTGCCCTCGCCGGTGCCCTCGCCGTCACCATTGCCCTCACCGTCGCCCTCACCGGTGCCCTCGCCCGTGCCCTCGCCGGTGCCCTCACCGTCACCCTCGTCGTCGCCATTGCCCTCACCGGTGCCCTCGCCAGTGCCCTCGCCGTCGCCGTCGCCGGTGCCCTCGCCCGTGCCCTCACCGGTGCCCTCGCCGTCACCCTCACCGTCGCCAATGCCCTCACCCGTGCCCTCGCCGGTGCCGTCGCCAGTGCCCTCGCCGGTGCCCTCGCCGTCGCCCTCTCCTTCACCTGTGCCCTCGCCGTCGCCCTCGCCGGTGCCCTCGCCGTTACCCTCGCCGGTGCCCTCGCCGGTGCCCTCACCATTGCCTTCGCCATTGCCCTCACCGTCGCCCTCGCCGGTGCCCTCGCCCGTGCCCTCGCCGGTGCCCTCACCATCACCCTCGCCGGTGCCCTCGCCTTCACCCTCACCGTCGCCCTCGCCCGTGCCCTCGCCGTCGCCGTCGCCATTGCCCTCACCATCACCCTCACCGGTGCCCTCACCGGTGCCCTCGCCCGTGCCCTCGCCGTCGCCCTCGCCAGTGCCCTCGCCGGTGCCCTCTCCGTCACCCTCACCGTCACCATCGCCGGTGCCCTCACCCGTGCCGTCGCCAGTGCCCTCGCCGGTGCCCTCGCCGTCGCCCTCTCCTTCACCAGTGCCCTCGCCGTCACCCTCGCCGGTTCCCTCGCCCGTGCCCTCGCCGGTGCCGTCGCCAGTGCCCTCGCCCGTGCCATCGCCTGTGCCCTCGCCAGTGCCCTCGCCGTCGCCCTCTCCTTCACCAGTGCCCTCGCCGTCGCCCTCACCGGTGCCGTCGCCGTCACCCTCGCCGTCGCCAGTGCCCTCGCCAGTGCCCTCGCCGTCGCCCTCTCCTTCGCCGGTGCCGTCGCCGTCGCCATCGCCGGTGCCCTCGCCCGTGCCCTCGCCGGTGCCGTCGCCGGTGCCCTCGCCGGTGCCGTCGCCGGTGCCCTCGCCGGTGCCCTCGCCGGTGCCGTCGCCGGTGCCCTCGCCCGTGCCCTCACCATCGCCCTCGCCAGCGCCGTCACCGTCGCCCTCTCCTTCACCGGTGCCCTCTCCGTCGCCCTCGCTGTCGTCCAGCCCCCCGTCGCCGTCTCCCCCCAGCCCCCCGTCGCCGTCTCCCCCCAGCCCCCCGTCGCCGTCTCCCCCCAGCCCCCCGTCGCCGTCTCCCCCCAGCCCCCCGTCGCCGTCTCCCCCCAGCCCCCCGTCGCCGTCTCCCCCCAGCCCCCCGTCGCCATCTCCCCCTAGCCCCCCGTCGCCGTCTCCCCCCAGCCCCCCGTCGCCGTCTCCCCCCAGCCCCCCGTCGCCGTCTCCCCCCAACCCCCCGTCGCCGTCTCCCCCCAGCCCCCCGTCGCCGTCTCCCCCCAGTCCTCCTCCATCTCCGCTTCCTCCGTCACCTTACCCCAGACCTCCACCCCCGCCACCGCCGCCACTCACGCAGCAGCGCCTGCCCCCACCTAGTTCAACGCCCCCAAGCCCTCAGCCACCCAGCAGCCCAGACCCCCCACCGCCCTCTCCATCACCACCTCCTCCTTTACCGCCGCCAACCCCACCACCTCTCAGCCCTGCGACACCCCTGCCACCTTCCCCCTCGCCCCCCAGTCCTTCTCCGCAGACACCATCTCTACGGTCTCCACCAGCTGTCCTTGCCTCGCCACCGCTATCTTCACAGCGGCCCCCCGTTTCCCCGTCCGGCCCGATGTCCACGTCACCACCCTCTAGCTCCCCTTTACTCTCACCACCGCTGGCACATCCGTTGACGCCACAGTTACTGAGCCCTTCACCGCCTCCGGCACGACGTCTTCGTCCCCCGCCACCTCCACTCCAACCCAGCCAGCCGCTGCCACCACCTCCAGCCGTCACCTACTGGGCCACATCAGCCACCGGCCCCTTCGTAAGTACTGGGATTGCGCTTGAAGACGGATATTTGGGTTTGCAGTTGGTTCTTGGGCTCCGCCAGACCCGCGCCCTGGAAGCAACGGAACAGCCTAGGGATACCTCCGACAGAACAACCCAAAAACATTCCCAACCGCCGTCGATTCTGCGCATAATCACCCTTGTCTTCAAACACTGACCCTTGTCTTTAAACACTGTTACTATATTACAGGACCCCTTGGGCACCGGCTCTGCCCCCGGCGCCGTGAGCCGCCTGGTGGGGCCCCCTAGCGCCAAGGTGATGTCCATCAAGGGCTGCAAGACCTCGCCCACACTGGGCTGGGTGGCAACCATCAAGGTACGTAGGGTGCGGGACAGAATGCAGGGACTCGATCATAGGAATTGCATATCTAGCAAGCAATCTTCCTAGGCGATGCGTCAGCATCTCCCGCCGCTACTTCGAGGTCTAGGTCACTGCACATGCAAGCAATCAACGCATGTAATGGTCTATCTACATACACGAACCGTCAGTGACACGCACGGCTCCGCTGACACCTCACTCCTTCAGAACCCTCGCTACGTGGAGGCCCAGTTCAACCAGACCCCAGCTGTTACCCTCAGCCAACTGGATAGCGTCAAGGTCTACGTGGCCAGCGCCGGCACCGTCACCCCAGCCATCGCATCCATTGAAGTGCTGCTGCAGATGCCGGGAGAGGTGGGTCGTCGTAGTGTGCTCAGTTTACGTAGAGATCCTGATGTTGTGCAGCACCGGCAGGTGCGTGTTAGCTACCGATAGCACCTTGCTGTCATGTAGCGGTAGGGCTGAACGCCGCTGCAGGCACATAGGAGCAAAGCCTCCCGGCGCACGACGAGTGAAACACCTCGCTCCCAACACCTCCGCCTCGCAATTTCCAATCACCTACGTATCCGCTGTTCCTGCTGTCTACTGTGCGCCCACCCCCATGCACTCCGCAGGTTGACCTCCAGGCGGTGACCATGTACACGGGGGATGCACAGCAACGTCTGAAGTGCGCGGCCCTCAACTACTTTGCCGTGTCGCTTGACACGCTGCAGCCCTCTGTGACGGCAGAGGCAGCCAGTACGGCTGTCGTGCGTGCCGTACGCATCAGGGCTACCAGCGACCCGACCGTGAGGGACAAGGCAGACCTGCCGGTCCTGGCCGCTGTGGGGCTGGACTGCAACCAGTAGGCGATCGAAGAAATTACGTGCGAAAAAAATGGCAGGGTGTTTCCTATCTATCAATCCATACCTTCATGAGCCGTTGGACTAGTAGCCACGCACTTATGGTTAACCCTGTGTTGTTCGCCCGTCTCTTTGCGCCTGTAAGTTCGATCGACATGTTTGCCCCGTGTGCGTGTGCGCGTAAGGGAACGCACCCAGCAGGGCCAGCGTGTGCAAACTTCTTCACTTGTTTTCGGCGGTTGACTTTACCCGACGCAGTCGAGGTCGTTGCGCATGCCATGTGCACACTTGCTTCCGTTCTGTGCGGTTTCAACGAGGTGTGTGTTACTAACATTTGACTACCGGCTACAGCGCGTTGGAAAAGTAGCCGCTATTTACGTTGCAAGTCAGCCTGGGACTGCGGTTTTAAGAATCCGTGTTGTTCCGTTATTCGCTTAAAGCTACCGTATTGTACAACCGATGTTGTGGTACAAACTTGTTGGCACTGTTCAGGGATTGCCTTCTTTTTTTGCGGGTGGGTTTTGCTAGTGTTGTTAAGGTATTATACCTGAAGGCCCATTAGGAAAAAACGTGTTGGGTTTGGAACACCACTATCCGGTGCTCGTTCATTGCCTGGTATGTGTGTGGCTGCCCTGGCTCAACTTCGTTGTTTCGAGGACACGTGGGATTCAGCGTTGCTGAACGGTGTGTCGGAGGTTGCTGAGGGCAGGGTGATGGAGAGGTGCTGGTCCGCTCTTGTACGTCGGTTTTTAGACCCGGCGTCCCCGGATGCCTGTGCTCTTTGTTCGTTGCCTAGGTGTCGTGATCTTTTGACGTCTCTTGGGTCGTTGTTGGGTGCGGTGCCTGTGGCTTGGGTGGAGGCTGCTGAGACTTTTCTTGTTGATGCCTTGCCGCCCCAACCTCCGCCGGCTTCTGAGGTTGATGCTCGGCAGGTTTTGGTTCCACGTTTGGGTTGGCAGTTGCCTCATGTTGGCGCCGTTCCTTTGAGGAATCTGTCGGTTCGGATGGCTACAGTTCTTCAGCTTGGGGGTGTGTTTGAGGAACGTGCTATGTTGCATGCGGCTTTTATTCGGGAGGCCCTGGGGTTACCTGCTACCCAGCAGCTTCCTGAGGGTGTATTGGATGGCCTTCGTGATTCTCTCCAGCGTATTTGGTCGATTCGTTGGGATAATGGTTTCAAGGAAGCGTTTTGGCGTCTTTCTACTTATGGGGTTCCCTTGCTGGGGAATTCTCATATGTCTAGGGCTCGTCCGGAATGTTGTGGTTGTGGGTCCGTTGTCTTGGAGGTGTCTCCGCGGTTGCATTTTTTCTGGGCTTGTCCTGTTGCTCGTGCTGTGGTTGAGCAGCTTGAGGTATCGCTGGGTGTTGCGGTTCCTCGGGCTGCCTTGTGGTTGGCGTTGCCTCCTTCGGGCGTGCAGCAGTGCGTTTGGCATGTTGTTGTTATGGCTGCTTTGTCAGCTATGGAGGAGGGTCGGCGGTTGTTACGGGCTCGTGTACGTGAGTCTGGTTCTGCGGGTGTTGTGTCTGGGCTTGCTGATGTGGTGGCCCTGTCTGCTGTTTCCTGGTTCTGGGGTCAGCTTCGGGGTTTTGCTTGTTTGGGTGTTCCCCGTCGGGGATGGGCTAGGGTTGGCCCTTCTCATCCTTCCTTACGTATTGTTGGCGGGCGGTTTTGGGGCGGAGCCCCCGCCGCGAAGCGGCTTCGGGGGGGCTCGCCCCCCAGGGTTGCCCCTGTCCGTGTGTCCGTGTGTCCGTGTGTCCGTAACGTCAAAACATATAAACTAGACAAAACTATTAATTGCACCTAATAGATATTCGTTATCTGTATTCAGTAAAAATAACTGGAAGCCAAACAAACTTGATTTCGCAATAAACAATTTATTGACCAGCCATCGAAAAGGACCACCTCGGCAACACCGATTAGCGCTCCTCTTTGGTGTGTCCTGGTACCGTAAACAGTATTTAGTGAATTGGTAACAGCGGCGTGCCGGCAAAGGGCTACTTGTGAAAGCCGGCGGGAGCATGCTCGCATCTACTGTGCTACTCAGAGCCCACACAATCCTTTGTGACGATGTTGCCAGCCTTTGCTATGGGTTTGTGCGTATGAACTGTAACGCAAACGGGTACGGGGTACCTCGCTTATAAGCTAACATGTCATGTGACGGCGCAATGGCTGAAGTCCTCCTGAGCACGATGCCGAGATTGCCGAGCCTGACCTCCTCATCATGTTAGTAATGTAGGTGAAACCCTAACGACCTGCGGGACCCTGAAAGCACTCCCATGTGGCAGTTACGCCGTCGATTTGGGTTCTGTAGCCTAATGCGTGGGTGTTATCAAGCATGATAAGACGTTACTAAGTACTCGATTGAACAGGCGTAACCTAACAATGTGTGCAGGCGTAACCTAACAATGTGTGCAATGAGTGAGGACACTATGTACGCCATGGGTGAACAAGGCGGCCGGCCTCGGCTGGACAAGGGGCTTTGAGCCCGTCTAGCCATGCAACGAGCACTAAACTACAGTAAACAAGGGGGTTCAGCGTCCGTGTAACAAGTTGTGTTAGAATGCGAAAGTGCCGTGGAGCCACAGGAGCGCATTCCAGGTCTATAAGGCCCATAGGGTTGTGCGTCGCACTTGAGTCGTTCCACTCCCTTGTAATAATCGCATTCATCCCAGTGGTAATAATACGTTCCCGTACTGAAGAGGAGGGGCTCCGCCCTTTTCCAGCTTTGAGGAAGCTGAACCCACTTGTCTGTGTGCCGTTGAGCGTCCTGATTTGGCCCTGTCTTTGGGGTGGTGTGTTCGTGGCTTCCGGTTTGGGTTGTCTTCTGCCCTAGATGAAGTTTGTCGAGGTTTGCTGAGGGGCCCTTTTTTGGCTTCTACCCTCTTGTTTACCTCCTGTGGTTTCTTTTAGGGCTGTGTTTCCCATCTTGTTGGCCCGTTGTGGTGCTGCCTCTACGGTTTGTTCCGTTTCTTTTGCAATGTAGGGTTGGGTTCATCACCCGTGTTCCCTTTTAGGGCACCATTGTAACGGTCAATACCTACGCCCCTGCACGCCTGCATCTCATGCCTCTGTCTTACCCATGATGCTACATGGTGGGTGCCCTATCAGGGCTGTCACAGACCATGTAAGGTCTAAACGAGCCGGAGACCCATAGATCTGCTGAAGTGTTCACTCAAAAAAGTGAAAAGTAGTAAAATAGATGGGACGAGAAGTAGAAAAGTGAGAAATGAAAAATACAGGGCTAGTGGGCAGCAAGCGCCTCCTGCCTTAGCCCCCAGATGTCCTGCAGGAGGCTGGCTACTTTGCGCGGTTCTGCATTCATGAACACTCCCTGCATGTCTACACCCGTGCGGGGTCCTAAGCCGTGCTTCAGCCTAGCTGCGTCATAAGCAGTACATTCGGTGAGCACATGAAGTTCATCCTCCACAATACCACTGCTGCATGCAGTGCATACACGTTGACAGCGCGGTAGACGGTTTGGGCCACTACCTGGCCGATGCACGGCTAGAGGCCACACTACTCCTAAACGAAAACGCATAAGTTTGACGTGCGCGTCACGAGGAATGTACGGTATGTATTCAGGTGGCGTTGCGGTGTCAGCCCCATCCATTGTTTGTATCTACACGTGGACACGCCAGGAACAACCCTACTATCCTTGGGGAAGACCCGTGGGCAGCAGCTCATAGAATCATTTTCCCACGCACCAAAAAGAAGGTCCGCCATGCGCTTCTCAGTATCATTTGCGTCCAGCAAATTCGAGGTGTACCAGTTGGCCTGTTGCCGTATATCCGTCACCGCCATATCTCCATCCGGCCATGGGTATCCTAAACGCTGTAATATCATAAAAAGCTTATTAGCCCAGCAGTCCGCTTTCAGGTTTGTACTCAAGGCAAGCTCAATATTATCAACGAGCACAACATGAAAAATATCCCCAGGCCGTGTTTGGCCTCCTACTAGTCGGTTCCAGAAGCGTACGACACACTTAAGCCAGTACAACACCAGGGGGGCTTGGCCGAACTCCTTATATAGTACGCGAGAAGGAGGCCTCATTGCCCCTGCTAACCACCGCATGAACTGTGTTTGCAGTACTACCATAGGGTCTTTCATGGCGCCCTGGAAGACACCTGATGACGCATTGTTGAGTGCTTTGAGAATTGCATCGGGGCCCCAAAAGTCTGCTCCGTACGACAGTACTGACCGTACTTGCACATCGAAACAGCGTAGCTGGATACTACTAGGTGCCCATAGCTCCATGGCATCCAGCTTGTTGAGGAGGGCAAACATAGCCTTGCGCCCAGCGTCCAGCGATTCGGTACGACATGAGGCGAATTTCCGTTCAGGGCCGTAGTAAATACCCTATCATCTGTGTACCCTGCTGCTGTGACAACCGACGGATGTGCGGTATTGCAACCTCCTGCACCTACCTGGTGAATCCTGACGTCACGTTGCATCAACCCGCAATGATCCATTCCCGCGCAGCAGATAGGGCCCCTTATACCCAGCTGCTGCTACTGCAGGGCGGCTCCCAGTGTCAGGGCTAATTGCCGTCTAGTGACAATTGCCGCCGGGCTTGGCGTGCTGTGCGTGGTTTGCTTGCCATGTGGGCCCCTTGTACGGCAAGATCTGTCAGTGCTTTATAGCCAGGCGCGCGCGCCTGTTCGCGCACGTTTTTGACACATGCTGTGTTATTGCGGCTGTGTAGAAGGTACCCTACGGTGGAAGGTACCCTTGGCATTGCAATGTCTCGGCTTAGTTGCTCTATGTAACGCTCTATGGACGGCATGCATAGGATCTGTGTGGCAGCATTAAGCTAGCATACATGCAGAGCAAGTGCGCATTAGCTCAGCGATCGTAGGTTATGCTTGCGCCGCCCAACATGGCGCCATCCTGCAGCTTCCTCGTCTGGTCTCGTCGCCGTCTGGTCGCTTCGTGTACCCAGCCTCTCCTCACCATCCACACCTTTCCTGCCAGTCAGGCGCCAAGGCCGCACTGTTAGGCCAGCGACCATCACTGGCCCTGACACCAGCAGGGCCCCTCATACCCAGCTGCAGGGCTGCTGCAGGGCGACTCCCAGCAGCAACGGCACCATATCTGCATCCGCCAGCGTCAGCATCCATCAGCCGCCGCAGCCATTTGCATTGATGTCGCTGGCAGCGGCTTAGACGCCCCGCTGAGTGGATTGGAGGGCTTCCACCTGCGTCACCAACGCTCTGGCTGGCGCGTGCCGCTGCACCGTGCTGCTGCTGCTGCCGCCCGCCTCTCCGCCAGCAGTGTCTTCTGTGTCGTCATTATCGTCGTAACATAAGCGGTAACCACCATGGCAAGCAGCCAGCCAGCCCGGAGTCATGCATGCCAGAACTCCAACAGCGCCCCCAGAGGTTGCTGATGATGCCTCGGCCGCGGTCTCCTGGGTCCCCAGCTGCACCAGTCGTGACAATGGCGGCAGCCACTCACATAGCGCGCATGACGTCAGCAGCGTCAGTTGCCGCAAAGATTTAGACGCAGTAGCGGCGGCGGGCAACACACCTCCAACCGCTCCGACTGCACGTCACAACACGTCCGCCGCAATCTCCAAAAGGCCCCAGGACGCCTGCATGGGCTGCCAGCAATGGACTGTTGCTAAACAGAGCACATGGAGCTGCAGCAACGGTCTTAGTAACGACCGGTGGGTCAATCCGGCGGAGTAGCTTCCCCAGCAGCGTGACCACCAGCGCCGCGCGCTGCCTGCCTTTCCTCGTTGTAGAGCAGGTGGGAGACAAGGCAGCCCTGGAAGTTTGCGTCCAGCACCCCGCACAACAGCGCTGCATGTGGGCTGCTACTGCTGCTGCTGCTTGCGGTGGGCTCGTCAACGCACATGCATGGGTGATGAAGGTGAAGGTAGGAGGCAAGCTGAGTGACCCTTTCCTATCCACGGAGGGCGTTAAGCAAGGCTGCCCACTCAGTACTGACCTTTTTGGTTTTACCATTGAAGTGTTTGCTGACTACGTTACTGAGTGTGACGCGATCGAGGGCTGATGCGGCCTAGCGACAGTACCCCCACTGTGGGGGATCTAGCCTTCCCTGAACTGTTCTACGCTGATGACGTGAACCTGTTATCGACGTCAATCGACCGGCTGATTGTCCTACTAGGTTATCTAGAGGCAGGAGTTCTGCAAAGCTTTTTGTATGACGGTGAATGTGCCCAAGTGCGAACTAACGGTCTTCCATCGAAACCCTGCCACACGAAAGCGTGCCCGGGATATGCTCATAGGGAACCCACCGATCATCTATGGAAAACCTGTACCCCTAGCGGACAGTGCACGGTATTTGGGTATTCACTACGGTCCTGAACGGCAACGAACAAGGAGCACAGGCATCCGGGGACGCCGGGTCTAAAAACCGACGTACAAGAGCGGACCAGCACCTCTCCATCACCCTGCCCTCAGCAACCTCCGACACACCGTTCAGCAACGCTGAATCCCACGTGTCCTCGAAACAACGAAGTTGAGCCAGGGCAGCCACACACATACCCAATGTACGAAGGGCATGGCAATGACCGAGCACCGGATAGTGGTGTTTCAAACCCAACACGCGGCGCTTAACACGTTTTTTTACTAATGGGCCTTCAGGTATAATACCTTTAACAACACTAGCAAAACCCACCCGCAAAAAATGAAGGCAATCCTTGAACAGTGCCAACAAGTTTGTACCACAACATCGGTTGTACGATACGGTAGCTTTAAGCGAATAACGGAACAACACGGATTCTTAAAACCGCAGTCCCAGGCTGACTTGCAACGTAAATAGCGGCTACTTTTCCAACGCGCTGTAGCCGGTAGTCAAATGTTAGTAACACACACCTCGTTGAAACCGCACAGAACGGAAGCAAGTGTGCGCATGGCATGAGCCTAGGGAGAACAACAACACCAACGACCTTGACCGTCGGGTAAAGTCAACCGCCGAAAACAAGTGAAGAAGTTTGCACACGCTGGCCCTGCTGCGCGGGAATGGATCATTGCGGGTTGATGCAACGTGACGTCAGGATTCACCAGGTAGGTGCAGGAGGTTGCAATACCGCACATCCGTCGGTTGTCACAGCAGCAGGGTACACAGATGATAGGGTATTTACTACGGCCCTGAACGGAAATTCGCCTCATGTCGTACCGAATCGCTGGACGCTGGGCGCAAGGCTATGTTTGCCCTCCTCAACAAGCTGGATGCCATGGAGCTATGGGCACCTAGTAGTATCCAGCTACGCTGTTTCGATGTGCAAGTACGGTCAGTACTGTCGTACGGAGCAGACTTTTGGGGCCCCGATGCAATTCTCAAAGCACTCAACAATGCGTCATCAGGTGTCTTCCAGGGCGCCATGAAAGACCCTATGGTAGTACTGCAAACACAGTTCATGCGGTGGTTAGCAGGGGCAATGAGGCCTCCTTCTCGCGTACTATATAAGGAGTTCGGCCAAGCCCCCCTGGTGTTGTACTGGCTTAAGTGTGTCGTACGCTTCTGGAACCGACTAGTAGGAGGCCAAACACGGCCTGGGGATATTTTTCATGTTGTGCTCGTTGATAATATTGAGCTTGCCTTGAGTACAAACCTGAAAGCGGGCTGCTGGGCTAATAAGCTTTTTATGATATTACAGCGTTTAGGATACCCATGGCCGGATGGAGATATGGCGGTGACGGATATACGGCAACAGGCCAACTGGTACACCTCGAATTTGCTGGACGCAAATGATACTGAGAAGCGCATGGCGGACCTTCTTTTTGGTGCGTGGGAAAATGATTCTATGAGCTGCTGCCCACGGGTCTTCCCCAAGGATAGTAGGGTTGTTCCTGGCGTGTCCACGTGTAGATACAAACAATGGATGGGGCTGACACCGCAACGCCACCTGAATACATACCGTACATTCCTCGTGACGCGCACGTCAAACTTATGCGTTTTCGTTTAGGAGTAGTGTGGCCTCTAGCCGTGCATCGGCCAGGTAGTGGCCCAAACCGTCTACCGCGCTGTCAACGTGTATGCACTGCATGCAGCAGTGGTATTGTGGAGGATGAACT